GGAGGGGGAGGATGCTTACCATGAACGTTTCAAAGTTGGGTCTCCACCACTGGGCTAGGCAGTCCTGAATCTCCCAATCGCCATCGTCCTTATTTCGTCCTTCGCCGTTAGGGCCAAAAGAGGCAGGATCGCTTTCGACCGGACTGAGTCTCTCGTCCAGTCGTGCCTTCATACCTTCCACCTCATCCTCTCCTGGCTTTAGGTAGTCTCCCGGTCTAAATCCCCCGCCAGTTACCACGATCTCTCCGTCAGTTGTGCCTTCTTCTCCGTCGATCTTTCTGTGTGGTTGAGGCACTTACAGCTTGAAGAAGGCGTTTGCGATTTGGAGCATGAGAACATGCGGATGTCCATGCTCGTGAACCACCAGCACCGCTTCGACAGTACGCCTCATGCCAAGATCCTCGTAGTTGTTCTGGAGCCGCTGCAGCCGCGCTGCCACCGACGGGTCTTCTTCCGGCTGCGCCTCCTTGGTGGTGAACGTGAAGGCCGTGACGGGATGCAGCGTCAGTGTCTGCGACATTGTGGGCGAGTTCGGCGTGTGGTGATCCCTGAAATTGCAGTGTGGTGTGCGTGCGAGGCTTCGCCTTGTTGTACCTCCTCGAAGTCGACGCTCGGTGGCTGTGTTGGTGGTGGGGCGCAAAGAGTGGGGACGCTGGCGGACCGGTGGAGAGAGGGTCAAAAGAGTGCGCATCCGATGAACCCTTGTCGGTGCTGCATTTCGCGTAGAAGGGCGCCTGAGCTTCGAGACGCGGAAAATGCGTGACTTGGGGTTGTTAGACCGGCAGGGTGCTGACTGAGATTGGATCTGCTGCATCGGGTCGGTGGCTCTGGCGTGCCCGCCATGATTGGGCCTCGAACGAGTTGCACTTTTTGGCGGAAAACGACGAAAAAGGCAGCCCAAAAAAGGAGCCAGAAAAGGAAAAAATGGTCCCGATGATGCAGATGCAGACGCCTGTCAGAGACGCGAGGCCGATCCACGAGAGTGACGAGGTGCGGCGGCGCGGATTCACGTCACGACGCCTGTCGAGGCGCCGCCCCCGCCTCCACCCAAACCGCGTGTGTCCCGTGGTGATGTGCCTGTGTGCATTCGCGCATCCGGGTCTCCGCATCTGGCAAATCCATCCACCAGCAGCCCGATTGGCGCCCTGCCCATCCATCCACCCATCCATCCATCCATCCTCGCATCCATCCGTTGCTCTTCTCTCTCATCCATCCCTTACACGGTCGCTCGCTCCCTGCCTCCCGACATCCACATCCAACGACCAGTGCCTCGCCTCGATACAGCCATGTCGTCCACTCCTTTCAAGGGCTCGCTCAAGGCCAAGCGCAAGGGCGAACTCACCGAGATCGCGCAGGCGCTCGGCATCGGCCTCGACCAGTCGCAGAAGAAGGAGGAGCTGGAAGACCTCATCCGAGAACACCTGCTGAGCCACAAGAACCAGTACTCGTCCGACGACAACTTCCGCGGCCTCATTGACAGCCTCGACTCGGGCCGCAGGCGATCCGCGCGCTCCAGCAGCGTCAACGGCAACGCGTAAGTTGCTCGCGTCATGAACGACCGAAACGCACCCGAGCCCCAACCACTGACATCTGCTCCTACTTTTCTTGAAATGGACAGCGACTCGGATGCGTCGGACTCGCCCGAATCGTCGGTGCGCTCGCCGCGCAAGCACTCGCAGCGCCCCTCCAACCTGGGCACGCCCTCGACGCCGTTTGGCGCGAGCGCGTCCGAGATGGCCACGACGGTCAAGCAGCGCGGTCTCAAGGCGCGCAAGTCGCTCGACAAGCTCGTCGACTCGATCCAGGACTCGGCGCGATCCACCGCGCACGAGCTCACCTCCGAGGTGCAGGACGCGCAGAGCGAGGTGGCTGCCAGCCTGCAGGCTGTGCAGGGCGAAGCGGCCAAGCGCTACCGCAAGGCCAAGAATGCGGGCAACAAGCTGTTTGTGCGCACGCGCACGTGGCTGAGCGATGCGCACAACCTCGTGCGTCTGCTCATCGCGTTCGAGGGCATCCTGCTCGTGCTCGCCACGCTGCCCACCACGTACGTCCAGCTGGGCAGCCGCGGTCCGCACATCCCCGTGGTGAATCCCAAGAGCGGCATCAACGACTACCTGCCGCACTGGGCGATTACGCTGCCGGACGTGCGCGCGCTGGTGAGCGTAGCGTTCTACCGACCGCTGGTGCTGTGGGCGGTGTACAGCGTGCTGGTGCCGCTGGCAGTCGCCCACCTGGTGACGTTTGACCGTCGCTCGCAGCCGTCGACGTACTCGTTCCTGCTGGCGCGTCTGTCGGCGCTGGTGTTCCTGGCGCGCGTGCTGCCCAACAGCACGCTCACCGCACTCGGCCTGCCAGCTCCCGCCGTGCTGGGCGTCGCCGCTGGCGAGGTGCCCGAGTCGGCACTCATCCGGGGCCTCCGCTCGCTGTTCTCCTACGACTACGTGCTCGCCCACCTCGGCGTGGACCTGCAGATCTGGGCCACCGCCACCGCGTTCGGATTCGCCCAGTACGAAGCCATCGCGATCCGACCCCGCGCTGCCTGATCGCAGCGAGTGTTTCGCCCTACACGCGACGGCCTGTCTAACGAGATACCCGGCAGGTCCGTGCTTTGCTTGATTTTCCCATTCCTGCCCCCCGTCCTTGACTGTATCGCGACTCCGACTCCCTCTTTTTGCTCCGGTCCTCACGCCGCGTTTTTCTTATTCGTCCCTGGCCGCCTGCGTGGCCAGGATGTGGATTATTTATATGTATGTATGTATCGAGACTTTCCAAGATCCCGCCAATGGCAAGATCTGTAGCTGTGCAAGTTTGCGTCATGGCGGGTGTCGGTGTGGTATCAAGCCGAGGACGGCTGTGGTGCGGAGGGCGAGAGTTGCGCAACGAGGTTGGCGAGCGAGGCGTCGGTTTGTGGTGGATCCGATGAAGAAGTGCTGCGTACTTCGCGTGCGAGTGCTTTGGCGCGTTCCAGCGCCACTTGCTGGATGATCGACGGAGGTAGCGAGCCATCCCCACCTGGCGCGGCCTCAGAGGGGGGTGATGACGATGTTGCGGGCTGTGTCGCTCTATCTTTGCCCAGGATCGCCTCGAGTTCGAGTGCTTCTGGTCCCACCACCCACCTCTTCTCCAGTGCCATGTTCAACAGCACCGAGACCGCTGCCTGGAGCTGACGGCTCTTGAGTTCTTCGTCCTGCCTCTCTCGGAGCAGTTTCAAGCGCGCCTCGATGAGCGACGGATCCGCCTCCTCTGTCACGTCCCCGCTGCCCAGTGCCCCACTCGTGTCTGACGATGAATCTCGCTGCTGGTCGTCGAGACGTTCAAGCTGGTCGAGGTCGATGCCGAGGACGTGTGCCATGCGCTGGACGTGGTCGCTGAGCTGATTCAGCGCGTCCTCGGTGCGGTCTCGCTGTTCTGCCTTCTTGCGTGATCCGCGGTAGGTCTCTCCGAGAATGAGCGCTGCTGCGACAAAGAAAAGAAAGCCCTCCGAGATGGCGTTGGCGCCATTGGCGATCGCCTTGGCATCGTTGAGTGGCCGCACCTTTTGCTGCACACCGTTCGGGAGCAGGTTGGTGCGCAATGCCATCTCGGTCCGATGCATCCTCTGCGCTAGTGATATGCAGATCTGAAAGCCAAAGCAAGCAAAGCAAGTGAGGCCAAGGCGTCAGCAGGGGAGTAGTGATAGCGTTGTTGCGAGGGGATGGCGCTTACTTTGCGGAAGGTCTCATGCTGGGCGGCCTGGCTCTTGAGCTGCGTCGCGATGGGTTTGGCGAGCGTGCGGATGGCCAGCGTGGCGATCTTGGCTGTCGCCATGCTGCCGGACAGATGGTATAGAGTTGTGCGAGGAGGGGCGACAGGGTGAGAGTCAAGCTTCGAGGTGGAGGAGGAGGCCCAACTTCAAGGCTTCTGGAAGGGTCCGCGCGGTGCCAACGCCGCCGAACCGTGCCCGACTGAGCCGTGCGAATTTCCGTGAATTGTGAGGGCTTTGAGACTCGACACGGCAAAACAAATCGCACGGTCCGGCGACTTCCGGTGAGCAGACATGTGCAGCCGCTTGCATCCGACCCAAAATCCCCACCAACGTCGCCGCATTCCGACACGTGCCGAGCGCAGAGCAAGCGCATCAGCGTCGCTGTCTATTCGCTTCGACCAAGAACCGCCTCGAGAGGGGAGTCTGTGCCGGGAGACTCAGCCACACTGCGCGGACGATCCGATGAGCATCGGAGATCTCGAGGCGCGAGGGTGAAGCCTCCACATGCACCCAAACCTGGAAAGAGAGAAAAAAAAAAGGCACGGCACTGCGCTCTTAGCGAGAAGTCTATTCCAGAAAGGAGCTGCACATATGGTTTCGCAGCAATTCGCCGGTGCGTTGCTGTTTTGCTTCCTTGGGCGATGCACAGTTCGGTTGTTTTCCTCTGCCGCTCGGTCGGATACCGACGACCTCACCCCGCACACAATCTGATCGCGGCCCGCTGCCGACGAGTGGACTACGGAGGCCCGTCGGCTGGGTTTGGCGTGGACCGGGTCAGTGCGTCGCGCGGAAAAGCTCGGATCTGACAACGTGCGATGTGGATGAGCTTGAATTGGAGCTCGGCTGTAGCGGCAAGCAGCGTTAAACGCAGCTGCACGAATCACTCAGCCGGTGCGTAGCCAGCTCCATAAATTTCTATTCGATTCCTTCGCACTGCATCGCACAGGAGTCGAGCCACTCATCAACGCCTCTCTGAGCTTGTTGCGCACATTCATCCCTCCAAGCATCCCACTCAGCTCTGCGTCATCCTTCCTCTCCACCACCATCCTCGCTGCACTGCGCCTGGACACTTCTACTTAGGTGCGCGCAGACTCCCCGCTCTGCATGCTTCTCACCACCACCATCGCATCGCACTGAGGCCAAAGCGTGTACAACGACCCATCACCATGCCGCGCAGAGGCAATCTCGGCGGTCACCGCGTGGTGATCGCCTCGCTCTTCTTGCCGGACACTCTCCACTTCACGGAGCCCGAGTTCGAGTCCGCCCTGGCAGAGTCGCCCGAGGAGTCCACCGCTCCCCCCTCGCCCGAATCCATCCCCAACGATGCCCCGCTGCCCCTCCACGAGCTCTCGTCCAGGCTCGCCGCTTCCATGTCCATGTCCAGCAACAGCAGCAGCAGCAACAATGACCGCCAATCCCGCACAGCGCCGCTGCCCGCACGCACGCCCAAGAACCGCCAGCCCTCGTTCACAGATACGAGGATCAACATGAGCGAGCTCATGTACGAGGCCGCCGCCGTGCCCAGGCTCGACATGCGCGACGGCCCCATCTCGGGCGCATCCAGCCCACTCGCCAACTCGCGTCGCGGCTCCATGTCCGAACACACCTCAGCCGCCGGCGGCCCCTCGTCCGGCCCTTCAGACATCCCCGTCGCCCCAGCTTCCGATCATGGTCGTGCCGCCACACTCGCAGACCCTTCCGCTGCCTCTGTCTTCTCCACCTCTCCTCTACTTGGCCAGCCGCTCGCCGATGCTCCACCCGCAGCGCCCAAGAGCCGCCGCACCAGCTTCAACACCAACACCAGCAGTGGCACCGCACTCGCCCCCGCCGCCAACATCCCCGAAGGCTCGGGCACCCGCACCCCAGGCGCAATGGCTGGCGGAAAACTTGGCATCACCACTCCCCTCAGCATCATCTCGGACCTCGCTGCCAGGCGTGGCGGTCCCATCCCACCGCCCAACACAAACGCAGAAAGCGAGAGGCACCACCCCTTTGGCTCCGGCGCCGTCACTCCCAAGGCTGGCTCACAGACCCCCGGCGTCGCAAACCGTCCGCCAGGACTCGCCCGTGCTTTCCCCTCGTCTTTGAGCATGACCAAGGCGAATCCATCGGGCACCGTCTCGGCCGGTCCAGGCCAGCTGCCCACGCTCAGGAGCCTCGCGTCTGCAAAGCCCACCGTCGCAGCATCCGGATCCAAGACCCCAGGCCTGCCCTCGGCGTCGCGTCCAGGTCGCACCACTACCGCCGCCGCCGGAGGCACCGTCAACGACCATGGAAGGGGCGCCATCGCTTCGCCCGTGCAATCTCGCAGCAGCGCTTCTCTGGCTCCCGAACGCCCTTCGTCGCGCGAGCTGCTCGGCCACGCCCGTACGCCGCGCGAGCGCTCCGTCGCCTCGTCGCCCACCGCCTCCATCAGGGGCCGCGTGAATCAGCATGGCGCTGGGCCCTCCAGCGGCCCACCTGCAGCTCCCTCATCCGTCTTCAGCCGCAACAAGAGCATCCGCACCGCCGGCCGTCGCGCCCACGCACGCCGCGCTTCGTCCGCAAACCGTTCGCAGCTCGGCCGCCGCACCTCCACCGCATCGCTCGACACCGTCGCCGACGACAGCGTAGATGCGGCGCTCCCGCCCTTCGAGTTCGTCTCCAACCCCTCGGCCAACGGCGGCCTCGTCAATGCGGTCAAGAGCATCGAGCGCGAACGTCTGCGCGCAGGTAAGCTTTACGTCGGCACCCCCGGCCTCTCGATCGAGGGAGGCTGGCTCGGCCCCACAGAGCGACGCGAGCTCGAGCAAAAGTACATGCAGGAGCGCTCCTCCATGCCCGTCTGGCTCGACGACGACGACTTTGACCTCAGCTACAACCGCTTCTGCAAGCAGATCCTCTGGCCCACCTTCCACTACACCTCGCCCACCTCCAAGGGCCTCGACAACGAGCACGAGGCGTTCCAGGCCTACTGGGAGGTCAACCGCCGCTTCGCCGATGCCATCGAGGACGTCTACCAGCAGGGCGACATCGTGTGGATCAACGACTACCATCTGCTCCTCGTGCCGCAGATGGTGCGCGAGCGCCTGCCCCACGCCACCATCGGCTTATTCGTACACATCGCCTTCCCTTCGTCCGAGATCTTCCGCTGCCTCAGCATGCGCGAGACGCTGCTCAAAGGAATGCTCGGCGCCGACCTCATCGGCTTCCAGACCCACAACTTCTGCCGCCACTTCCGCCAGACCGTCAGCCGCATCCTCCAGCTCGAAGCCACTCCCAAGGGCGTCCAGCTCGAAGGCAGCTTTGTCACTGTCGCGCCCTTCCCCATCGGCATCGACGTGCGCAGCCTCAACGCCAAGCGCCGCGATCCCGACGTGAGCGAGTGGGTGGCGCAGCTGCGCCAAAAGTACGCCGGCAAGCGCATCATCGTCGGCCGCGACAAGCTCGACTGGATCAAGGGCGTGCGCCAGAAGCTGCTCGCATTCGAGGCGTTCCTCGACGAGCATCCAAAGTGGGCCGGCCAGGTGGTGCTCATCCAGGTCGCGCTCGCCACCACCGAGGAGAACGAGGAGATCGGCGAGGCCACCGACGTCGTGTCGCGCATCAACAACAAGTACAGCACGCTCACCTACCAGCCCGTCGTCTTCCTGCACGTGCAGGACATCACCTTCAGCCAGTACCTTGCGCTGCTCACCGTCGCCGACTGCTTCCTCGCCACGAGTCTCCGCGAGGGCATGAACCTCACCTCGCACGAGTTTGTCGTGTGCCAGGAGGTGAGCCACCGTCCGCTGGTGCTGTCCGAATTCACGGGCACCTACTCGGGCCTGCGCGCGTGCATCGGCATCAATCCGTGGAACACCAAGCAGGTGGCGCACGCCATCCACAAGGCGCTCACCATGGACGAGAGCGAGATGGTGCAGCGCTGGACGGATCTGCACCGCGTCGTGGTCACCCAGACGGCGCAGCAGTGGATCACGTCGCTGCTCGGCCATCTGGAGCGCGCGCATCTGGAGCAGGAGCGGCTGGAGAACATGTTTGTGCCGCGTCTGGAAGTGGCGCAGCTCGTGTCCGAGTGGCGCGCCGCGCATTCGCGACTGCTGCTCATCGATCTCGAGGAGACGCTGGTGAAGCACGACCCGCTGCTCGCGCACGAGCAGGGCGGCTTCCGTCCGCCCGAGTGGCTCTTTACGCTGCTCAACGATCTGGCAGCCGACGGCAAGAACGTCGTGTACATCCTGAGTGGAATGGGCACGCACGACCTCGACCGCGTAGCGACGCGCATCGACAGCGTCGGCTTCGTCGCCGAACACGGCTGCTTTGTCAAGCACGCCGGCGAGAATCACTGGAACAGTCTCGTGGCGCCGTTCGACCTCAAGCCGGTGCACGACATCCTCAGCTACTTTACCGAGCGCACGCCCGGCTCGTACATCGAGCAGCGCGGTGCATCCATGTGCTGGCGCTTCTGGAACGACACGCTGGGCGACCGCAACTCGCACGAGGCGCAGTGGGCACGTCGCCAGTCGGCCGAAGTGGCCAACTTAATCCACGAGCGCTTCTCGCACTCGCTGCGCGTGGTACCCTGTCGGACCAACTGCCTCATCCTGCCGCGGCACGCGAGCCGCGTGGCGGCGGTGCAGCACATCATCATGCAGATGAGCATGGTTGGATCGGTGGCCACGGGTGGGAACGGTAGTCAGGCGTTGGGACCGACGGCGTATGCGTCTGGGCACAAGGTGGGCTCGGTGGCGGAGACGAGCGATGCGCCGCTCGAGAGCGCTTACAAGCAGCCGTCGAACTACTGGCCGATGCCTACGGCGCACAGCACACGCGCGTCGTCGCCGGTGGTGCATCACTCGCCCATGCGCACGCATGCTGGGTCCGTATCGCACCTTCCGCACCATGTGCACCACACGCACACGTTTGACTTTGTGCTTGCGCTCGGCCAGGACGAAAAGCTGCTCGCCTACGTCAATACGCTCGACCTCTTTGCGCCCGTCACATGCACCACCGTCGATCTCGACAAGAACAGAGGCACCGAGGCCGCCTACTTTCTCGCACAGGACGATGTGCGCGAGGCTCTCGACGAGATCGTGGGATTCCGCGCACGAGACCTCAAGTGGAACCATCGCTGAGCGTAAGCAAAGAGCACGCGATGTCGACATCCCAATCACAATGGTACCGTGTGTGTGATTGTGAGAGAGTGAGCGGTTTTGGCCCGGAATCACGGGGCCACGGGGCCACGAGGAGGCTCGAGCCCTTGGCATTGTGACCTACGCGAGAGGCCGTGCCATTGTTTGCAGTGGCACTTATACGGCAACGTCCGCAGCACGGGAGGTTGACTTCCGCATCGCAACCCGGATACAAAAAAATGATCAACCTCAGCCGATGCGGTTCCCCACCGCACAATGAGATGATGGAGATGAGAGTCTGGCAAGTGAAAAAGTTGGCATTGTTAGGGTGGCACTTTTCGCCGATCCCGAGAGGGTCTTGTTGGTGGCTGTGACGGCATCTGGGTTTGGGTAGGAGGAGCGGGCAGATACAGTGGGATCGACAGTGCACTTTGTGAGCTTACCCCAAGTTGATCCGGGCTGAGATGTTGGTGGGCGGCGCACGATGGCGAGGCAAACAGGGTTTGGGTTTGACGATATGCAAGGGGGTTGGGTAGGGGTTTCGCGACGGAGGTTGAAAATCCACGCGATTCACTGCTCTAGCGATGTTGGTGTGCGCGAGGATGCATGCAAGCGAAGCGCATGCGAATGGGTGCTGGACATGTCGACGCCACTTTGTCCGGGCTGCCAAGGCAGCAATGCGATGACCCATTCCAAGCCAAGCAATCGCGCCTGGTGCCGGGGATGTGCCAAGGTGGGGCAGCTCGGACTCGAGTGCGTCCTGAGAACCTTTCATGGCACAAAACCAACGCTGAGACAAACACCCGCGACTGCGCGCGGACAGCCTGTTCCGAAGCCCAAGCAAGCTCCAGGCGGAGACGCAATATGACAATGGCGGCGCTCGACGACGACAAGCACCAGATGCATTGCAAACCGGTTCGATGCATCGAAGACGATGTCCACCGCCAACGGGCCAACGTCACTCGACAGCTTGCACGACGCCTCGCCGATGGCGGAGAACAACGTCGCGGAGACGCGTGCGGCTTCTGGCGGAAGAAATTGACCGGGGTGCGGTGGCTTCGATCCGTCGGATGGAAGCAAACACCCGTATCACACACAACACACAACGGTCAACAGACAACAGAGTCGGCAGCGTGGCGAACAGTGGGCCAGCGCGTGGATCTGCCGCGTGTGGTGCCCACGCCGTACCCATCGGCGATGCGAGGACGTGCAGGCGCTTTTCCTGCTCAACAGCAAAAGGTGGCGTCGGCACGCATCCCCGGCAGCCACACCGAGCCTCGCGAGCACGCCCAAAATTGGTACCGGCAGGGTCAAAGGGACAGAGCGCCAAAACGTTGTGCCCATCGGCCACCGGGGCGCGATCATGCAAGGAGACGTCGGCTGCACGTTCGCTCGTCCATGCAGCCGCACCAGACTCCATCGCGCGGCGACGCCATCAGCACGCCCAAACGCAGCAGGCGATGATGCGGCGTACAACCAGGTTGTCATGGATATCGGCATCGGTTGCTGCCATTGTACGCGCTTGGGCCTCGTCCGCGCCATCGGCGGCGCTTCCAATTGTGCTTGCCAAACACACCCAAGGTCGCCAATCGACGTGCAAGGCGCGCAGCAATCATTCGTGGGGGGGTCACGCGGTCTTTGGCGCGCAGGGCGTGCACGGCAAAGACGGGCCACGCCAGCCGAGCAAACAAAGGGGAGCGAGTGCGCCTCGCCAACGCTTCCCGTGTATCGGCGGTGCCAAAGCGAGGCGATTGGTCGCCCAAACGGGTGTCAGGGCCAGGGTGGCAGCACCAGACGAGCCTCATCGGGAATCGGTCGATTTGGCACCACGACCAACGGCACTTGCCAGATCCAGCGTCGCATCCATCCCCATGCCCACCCCTAACGCCGCGGTAGCAGCGGTTGCCACGCTTCAGAGCGGAGCTTCAAGGCAGATTGCGGAGTTGCAACTCGCTTCGCCGCCACGATCCTCGTTTACACGACGTTCGCTCTGGCCAAAGTGCCCGCGCCTCGCCAAAATCGACACGCGTCGCTTGCCCCGCCTCGATGCGCGTCGACGCGCAGCTGCAGCTGACGAGCATATGCCGCTCTGCCTCTGCGCCGCTCCTCTCTCGGCGCCCGCTTGGACTGCCATCTCGCCTGTGCACCTCGACCGACTCGATCGCTCGACCGCTCGCGACGCTGCCATTTACGCGCTGGCTGCGTGCGTTTGTTTGGGGCGGGATCGGCTCAGAGTGCCACTTTGTTGCCCCAACGCTTCCTGAACCCCCGCCACTTTTGGTGCTCCGCCAGCGCGGCTCCTGACCATCGCAGCTAAGTGGAGACACTGAGACCTGGGCTTTGGCGATGCACTTTGGGCTCATCGTCATGCCAAAAGTCACCAATGGCCGTGTCGCAAACCTTGCATTCCTGCTGACCCGTCCGGCCGATCGTCGTCGCGACCTGTCGAAAACCCCGCTCGTCGCAAGCTTGTGTCTCGATTCCGGCCCGGGCGGAGAGCATATTCATGGAGGGCTTGGCTGTCGCTGTCCCAATCAAATGGGCCTCGAGCGTGACACCCGCTGCTGTGTCTCGTGTCTCGCCTAGTCGCTTGATCTGGAATGCGCCCGCAGCTCGAGCGCGGACCTGCAGCGCATCATGTGCTCGAGCCTGTCGCTCTTACCGACACATCGCGCGACAGCTGAATTGTGACACCCACGCTACACGCCGTCCCTACAAGTCGCACCGCGCCATGGCCTCCTCGCGATGGGAACGGGACGGGATGGACGTAGCGAGACAATATATTGCAGCCGATGCCCTGTTCGAACACTGAATGAGAGGAGCCCAAGCGATCCTTGCTGAGCCCAAGAACATGGGCGCTCGGGATACTTAGTCGGATCTGGACTTTGGCAGATCCCTTAGGCTGGCGACGCCATTGTGCTGATCGGCAAGTTGGAAGCCGCCGCACGAGCGACCGTGCCCATCGTCAAGAAAAGTCACACCGAGGTCCAAGCGTGGGTGCGGCAGTGCAGCGGAGGTGGACGAATATTGCCAGGCGAGAGGATCCAAGCGGTGGCGTGCGAGTCAAGACGCACCGCGGCTGAAGAGCAAAGCCCGAGCGTCCAAGCTGATAGCGGCGAAACACGATTTCTTGGTGACACGCCGCAACTGCTCGTCGCCGATCGTCGAGGGAGCCTTGGCTGGCTGCGAGCGTTGCTGGGTGTGTCGGCCACGAGAATCGCGACCTCGCCTCGCTTAGCGCTTCCAAAAATTGCGAGTGTACCACTCGGTTTGAGCTCGCGGAATGCACTCTCTCTTCGGTCCGAATTTCCTTTCTTTTCGTTTTATTCGCAGGCCATCCATCCGAATCGGCGCTACCTCCTCGCACTCCAGTCGCCAACGCCGTGCACCGACCTAGCCTAGCCTCGAGGCCTGGGTGCTCAAGACAACTTAGCCATCGCCCTGGACTCCGAGATGCCATCCGAGATGGCAGCAGATCGTTCTTGTCGCTTCGAGCGCTTGACCCCGTCCCGTCTTTCCGTTGCATTGCTCTGCCGCATGTGCGTGCGTGCGTGCGTACGAGCGAGCCGTCAAATGCCACACAAAATGTCATGCTTGTCTTGCACGTTCGAATCGGCTCCAAGAACGCATCGAGCTGAAGAGTGCCGACGACGATAGGATATGGCGTACGCGGAGTCGTGGCGTGGGTGGAACACGCGGAGCTCCAAGCTGTGCTGACGCCAGGTCGATCGGAGAGGCGGTCTGCAGACGCTGGTAGCGAGCAGCTGCATGCAACTTTCTTTCCCCTCCATGCATGCGTTCGCGCACGCCGCAGCCGCACTGCAGCCGCACTAATTTACCGCCATGAGCCGGACTCTCGGGCCTGAGCTACATAGTTTGAATTTCGCATGCGATTTTCCTTTTTCCTTTTCCCTTTTTCAGCTGCCTTTTTCAGCTGCCTTACTTCAGCTGTTCTTTTCGAGCAAATTCGAGACGAGCAAGCAGGAACACGCCAGCTGCCCACCCATTGAAGCGAGGCCGGTCGCAGCTTCGACGCCGTCATGTTTGAGCTGGGCGGCGTCTGGCGGAGGCGAACATACTATGGCTGGCGTGTGCCTCCTCGGACTTGGCGCATCACAGTGACGCAGCCTCACTATCTCGCACGCGCCACCATCAACCCGTATGCGGACGCCGGACGCCTTGAGCGCACGGTCAACGCTGATCCGGAAGAACGGGGCGTGTCGGCGCATGATTTGAGTCAAGAAGCGTGAGGGCGACGCGAGCATCGAAGCGAGAGAACCACGGCGACGTCGGACGTGGCCATCTGAGACGGATGGTGATGCAAGATGGAACGCACGCCGGCACGAAGCATGGTAGCGAGCCGACACGACGATCATGTCAAGATGGCCGGGATTGGAACGCCGTAAGGTTGGCTGCTGACCGTCATGGGTGTTGGCGACCATGCTGGACGCCGCAGCGCGTTGATGTCAACCTGACGTCGTCGTCGTGGCATGGCCATCGTGTACGGTGCGGCCCGATCGAGCTGGATTTTGATGCGATCCGCGCGTGGGCACACAGTTGCCAAAATCGGCGTCACGGATGCTGCAGGCGTCACTTGGCTCGGCTCACAACGCCGACTGCTCCCATGCAAATGGCAACGTGGCAGCCGCCAAAAAAACCAAAGAAAAAAGGAAAAAAAAAGAACAGGGTTCGCTCAGACCCTCACCCAGCAGCCGCACTCTAGCCAAGCTAATTTACATTATGCATAGCCAAGGGAATCGAGGTAGCGCTGGAAGAAGCATCGCCAAGCCAGTCGCCGCAGTCAGGGGTCTGGCTGTCCGATGACAGCTTGTCCAAAGCTTGATGGCCACGAGGAGGGCTTGGCAGCATGAACAGCAACCAAGATCGAACCACGGCCTTCCCGGCCCCACGGGCAGCTAAATTTGACGGCGTGGGACGATCCACCACGCCGCCCTAGCAACATCAGAGGGCCAGCAAGCCGCGGGAGGTTGGGGGCTTGATTATTGGAAATCCAAATTTCAAATTTCAAATCTCGAAAAAACGAGATTTGTGGGTCGGAGAACAGCATTGTGTGGCTGGGGTGGATTTGCAGACCGGAAGCGGCAGCTGCTCCAGTCGAGACGCTCCGCATCCGCGGCGCCAAAGTGTGAGAGTGGAGATCCAATTCGACCCTGGCTGGTGTAGCCCCGACAAGCTGCACAGCATTGTACTGTCAGGCTGCGTTTCAATTCGGGGGTTTTTGCATCCTGGTGTCGCTCCCATCGCGTTGACGTGTGCACCGGCATGCACGGCGACCACGGAAGCGATCCGAGTGGCAGAGGTCCCGTGAGGATCGCGTCCAATGTTGTAGCCTCCGAGACGGCTTGCCGAGGGGGGCCGGCCAAATCCTGACGGCAGCCGTCGCATGGTCGGCAGAGCCACGCTGTTGGCGGGTGGGCCGTGGCAGGCCGGGTGGATGTGGCTCCAACGGATTCCCATGGCGTTGCGCGTTGCGCGTTGCGTGGACAGACGCCTCTCCTGTCAACCGTGTCAAAGCTGTTTGCGGAAGATCCGTCTCGACGGCAGGGCGGCCGAGAGCATGAGCAAGAGCAAAAGCAAGCGCGGCTTGCTTGCCGTATCCGGCACCTGACGCGTGCTCTGGAAATCCTGCGCGGCAGCTGGGTGGCAGGCGCACCGAGGCTGTCCAGTGAGACCAGCGTGCATTTCCGCGCATGCAACCAAACCAACTCGCTCCCACACCAAAAAAAAAAAAAGAAAGGAAAACAAAAAGTTAGAACTAAAATGTCGGCAGCCGCGCTTTTCGGATGGGCACCACGCCTCTGTGTGATGTCCTCGAATGAGTAGGTAAGAAATATCTAATAAAATCAAAATTGAAAATTAAACATGAATTCGGGGCTGCATCCCAGCCGTGGTGGGGTTGTGCCCTGGATGCCAATCCAGAGACAGCCAGCCACTCCGCCTGGGTGCGTGACGCGGGCGCAGCGCCTCGACCTTCCGTTTCCGTTTCCGTTTGCATTAGGCCAGCCCACCAGCGGCGCGAATCGAGCGTTCGTCATCCATTCCTCGCTCCCACACCCGCCTCGGCGCTGCGTCTTGGCCCTCGCGCTAACTTATCCGCTGCTGTTCCTGGTAGCTTGGCCGCATGACTGAGCCGATTCGGACGGACTGCAAGCCGCCTCTTGCCCGCCTCATCTGGCCTGCCCTGCCCTGCCCTGCCCTGCCCTCTTGAGTCACGCTCCACGCTCCATCCATCTGTTGGTTCCCACACGCTCCTGGCCGTGCCTAGCAGCTTGTCCTCGGCTTGGCTTCACGACCGCGTTCGCATTCGCTTTTTCGCTTTCGGTTTCTCGCTCCTTCTCCCCCTCCGCCGCCGCCAAATCTCCGATTGCCAAAGCCTGGTTCGCCCCCATCCGGGCTACCGTCCTCGCTGGGTGCCGTCTGCTGATGCATGCCGTGCCTGGGTTTCTGCTCCCGTTAGTCACCCAGCAGCCATCGTTGCAGCTCGCCCTACACGACATGACCCCCAGGCGGCTTCTCCCTCGCTCTGCTGCCTGCCCATCCTCACCCAGCTACCGTCGAGCCACATCGACTCCTCCTCCTCCTCCTCCCTCGCCGTGCCCTGGCTTGCTTGGCCTGTCCTTTTTTGGCTGACGCCCTGCTGCGTGCCCTCCCCTCCCAGCTGTATCGCAGTCCATATACCCTCATAACCTTGGGTGCCTCTTCCGCTCAGCCTGCCGCTGCCGTCCGCATCCCCCATCCTTTCCTTTCGATCCCATCCTTGTCGCCCGTCGTTGTGGTCCCTCCAACCCACCATCATCATCACCATCCTCACTGTCGCTGCCCACATTCACGTCGACAACGTGTTCCTACCGGCACGCTACTTTCCCACCACCTTCATCGACGTGTCGACCTCATCGTCCCACACTCTCGTCCTCGTCTGCACCTGCAGCGGCTCTACGCTCTTTTCAGCCCGTACTAGCACCGAAAGTCTTGCATCCTCTCGATCGTCCATCTACCGCTTCAGCAGTCCTACCGCCCGACCGAGATTGCTGGAACCCATCATCGAGATTTCCATCGCGACATCGTACTGCCTGCCTACCTGCTTTTTCGCCGAATAGAGAGAGCTCGCTTCACGTCATCCAGCAACAGTCGAGCCCGCCCCTTGACTAGCAACCTCACCTGCTAGCTTCAACCCCCACCGGCCGTCTGCTGCACGCTCACCCCTTGCTTCGCCAGTCACCATGTCGTCGGCGAGCGCCAACCAGCAGCACAAGAACCTCATCGGCCACCGCATCGCCGAGGGGCGTCTCGAGCTCGTCCAGGTGCTCGGCCTCGGTGCCTACGGCGTCGTCTACCTCGCACGAGACCTTCACCAGCACCAAGGCGCCTATGCATCCACCTCTTCACACCAGGCCTCGTTATCGCTCTTGGCCGCCAAGGAGTGTCACGCTTCCGGCTACTACGCCGTCAAGTGCCTCAACAAGGTCGGCCTCGATGCTCGCCAGCGTGCCTTTCAGCGTCGTGAGATCATGCTCCACACCATGGCCTCCAGTCACCCCAACGTCGTCAGCCTTCACCGCGTCATCGACGACCCACAAGACCCATGCGTCTACGTCGTGCTCGACTACTGCCCCGATGGCGACCTCTTCAGCATGATCACCGAGACGCAGCGCTACATGCTGCCCAGCGCCGTCACCCGCGCCGCCGAGGCACAGGGCATCGAAGTCGCCTTCACCACCGAGCGTCTCAAGATGGACGCCCTCATCCGCGACGTGTTTGACCAGATCCTCGACGCCGTCGAGTTCTGCCACCGCATGGGCATCTACCACCGCGATCTCAAGCCCGAGAACATCCTCTGTCTGCGTGGCGGCGCCAAGGTGGTGCTCGCCGACTTTGGACTGGCAACAGGCGACAAGACCAGCTCCGACTTTGGATGCGGCAGCACCTTCTACATGGGTCCCGAATGCCAGGGCGGCATCACGCGCCGACTCACCAGCTACAGCACCGCCGCCAACGACGTGTGGTCGCTCGGCGTCATCCTCGTCAACCTCATCTGCGGCCGCAACCCGTGGAAGCAGGCGTGCCCCGCCGACGACACCTTCCGCGAGTATCTGCGCAACCCCGACTTCCTCAAGGAGATCCTGCCCATCTCGGACGGCATCAACTCGATCCTCAAGCGCGTCTTCACCTTCCGCGCCGAGGCGCGCTGCACCATCGCCGACCTTCGACGCATGGTGCGCGGCGTCGACCGTCTCACCGCCACCTCGGCAGAGATCAAGGCTCGCCAGCAGATGGCTCGCCAGGCCGCCGCCGAAGCACATGCTGCCCGTCAGGCCGAGAAGGCCGCCGCCGCCGCCGCCTACCGCGAGCAGCAGCGCCAGCAGCAGGCCATGTTTGAGGCCGCCCGCGCCGCCCACGCTCACCCTCACGCTTACGACCCGGCCACCAGGGTCGTCCGCCACGTCGCCGCCGCCCGCAAGCCCGAGTGTGCCCGCGTCGCTCACCACCCACAGGTCGCCACCTTCGACAAGATCTCGCAGCCGGTCGTGTATGCTGATGACCATGCTGGTTACGTCGCTCACGGCGAAGCCACCGCCATCGACGACGACTCGGCAGCTTATGAGAACTACTCGGACTCGGAGCTGGACAGCAGCAGCTGCGAGGGCGATGGCTCCTTCTCGCCGTCGGATGCCCCCGACGGCTCCGACGAGGGTCGCCACCAGCAGGCCTGCGTGGATTGGTCGCGCCACCCGATCGCCCGCCCTGCACAGGATCACCTGGACCGCGGCGCCGGATCCAACTACACGAGCATGAGCGATGTGCACGCATCCGGCGCGAGTGTGGCGCCTTCGACAGCTGCCCGTGGTGCGATGGTGCCGATGCACAGCTCGACATCGATGGACGAGCGCGAGGGCCAGTCGGACGACTGCTCGAGCCGCAGCGGCAGCGGCGAGTCGCGCCGCAGCTCGGCTTCCTACACGGGCCTGCCGCCCACGCCGCAGTTTGTGCCTCACAGCGTCGAGGAGAACGTGCAGCGCAGCGCCGACTACTCGCCCACGCCAGCCAGCAAGTTTGCGGCGCCGGGTCAGGTGAGCGTCGTCGGCGGTGCCGATGAAAGCCTGCTGGTGGGCGGCAAGGCATCCACGCGCGGTCTTCCCGCCCGCTGGCTGCAGAGCCGCTGGGACCAGGACGCGGCGTCGCTGGCCAAGGTGCAAGAGACTTCGGCCGTGATTGGCAGCTACGCAGGCGGCAGGCAGTACGCTAGTGTCCCCTCTCGTCGACAGCGCCCGGTGGGGCTGGGTCATCATGGTGCGCATCCGCCCATGCCTGCACCCTACTAATCTCCGAACACATTCCAAGTGGACGGGCCATCTCAATCCATAGAAAAGACGGCCTTCAGAGCCCTCTAGCTTTCGTTCCCCCTTTCCCTCCTTTGACTCTTTGATTCCCACTCTCCCTCATCCCTTGCCCCTTGACCCTCGAGTCGATGGAGGCGCCTATATCCCGCCGACTCATATGGTCGGCTGTCTCCCCCTCGTCGTTATTTGACCAACTCGTCTCGCAGTCGTTTCGTGTCGCTTTCGTTCGCACATCGCCTCTCTCTCTGTATTTGTCTCTTTGTCTTTATTCATGTATAGTATCGCACATGCCTGCACCTCACTCGCACACTTGCAAATGAATTCGTCTATCGTTTTCGACTTTGGATTGCACTCGGCTGGGAATGAGTTGAGGTTGGCCAAAAATAGGCCATGGTCGAGATCAGCGATAGACACAGGAGGGTACGCGCAGAAGCTCGAGGAAGTTTCGACGGCAGAGGCAGGAGGCGTCCTCGTCTCCGCTTTGCTCGCCCAGGAGGGGAGATGCCAAAATAGAAAGTCATGGTCGCAGCCACAGACGGACTAGACGATCAGTCTTGGCACCACATCGCAAAGCGTTCCCTTCGCTCCGAGCTGCTATACACATCCCGGACCTCGGAGAAGCTCTACAACGGGTCGACCACGAACATCAGCTCGCCTTGGCATCTGCAGGCAATCGAATCAGGTCTCTGGTCGGTGTCATTGGAGCTTGTCCAAAGTGCGGGGGAGGAAAAGGGGGGAGGGGGGAGGGGGATCTGGGTGAGGTCAAAGGTCTTGATTGTATTTCTCAAGGATGGGAAGTATCGTCTCCGAGGGACGGGCAGGATAAAAAGAGTTGTAGCGGAGACGAGCGGACTTTTGTGCTTGTGCGCTGAACGAGGAGTATGGACATGGTCTTTGGTGGTGGAGACCCTTTGGCGAGGAAGAGAGAGGTTTGTTTGTTCGCTCGCGTGGGAAGGGGTCGGAACCACCATGCAATTCCGAACCTCAAAGCTGCAGCCGCGGTGTTTTAAATTTTCGAAAAGAACGGGAGCTTCGCATGCTGCAGTCTCACACCACCGAGCACAAGGTGGTCTAGACCATGTCGGATGCTTTGCATGACCCTTTGCTCAAACCCAACACTGCGGATCAAGAGCTAGGGCGGCAACGTACAGTTTCCGTGCGCGCGAGAAGAACGGCATCGTGCAACCCGAACGGACGGCACAGATGGCCCAGGTGGCAGAGTGAGGGTTTGGGGGGTTGCACAAATTCGAGGCGCAAATTTCCACTCTATGCTCCCGCGTCCCCACACACCCACTCACGCCTCAGAGTAAATTGGACGTCCCGAAGGCCCGTCGGAAGTTGCACTTTCGCCGAGCCAACGACCTTGGCTATGCTGTAACTTGGCACAGGTGCGCACGCCTCCCGTGCAAGGCGGTTCCCATTTCGGCGTGCACTGTCCGGCTCCCCAAGGCCGTGTTCCGAATCGCAGCGACGCCAAGAGTGCATATGCTGGCAACCCTGTCACGCGGCGTGGGTGAGGAGAATAAGCCCGTCTCGCCTCCATACCTTAGCTCAAGCTCTAGAGGTGGCGCGTGCGTGCTCCCGCATCTTTGTTGCTACAACGTGGCGCGCTGCGTACAACGCTCCTTGCATGTAACGCCTCTCTCAATGCCATTCAGTCCATGGCTATACCGCGTGGCGTTCACCTGCAAGCAAGAGCTTCGCCTACTCGCGCACGGAATTGTCACACCAGCGAAGAGGGCATCGCAGCGGCGGATTCGGCCTCCGCCATCATGCGTCCCACAGAGGGTGGGTAGCCCCTTGCAGCGTGGCTTCTATCGCCTAACGTCTTCCCACGCGCCCATACGCCTTGACGACCTCCCGGGCAGCCCCACAGCATCGCATTGATGCCGCGCGTGGGATTCATGCGCGCCCGCAGGCGTCCCGATTCCGATCGAATCACTCACGCCACATGGATCACCGCGATCGCATCTCAAAACCCCCTTGCTTCCCAACGCGCCGCGATGAGCACCGAATCGGTACGGATATATATTCTCGATTTTGGTACGAGCAATGCATGACTAGAGCACCCACCACTCCAGGGATTACGAGAGATCGTTCCACGGATCGTCGTCTTCGAAATCGGGCGCTGCAGGCGTGGCGTCGAGCCGGGGTGCAGCTTCCTCGGGCGCCGGTGCCGCTTCCGCTTCTGTGGTCGCCTTGGTATGCACATCTAACAGCTCCGAGGCCATGCGACCGTCAATCGTCCCGGTATCTGCTCGAGACCCATGTCCGTCGGTCCCTTGCACGATTGGTATCGCCGCATCTTGTCGTCTCGGTTCTGCGCTCGACTCGGGCTGCTGTCCGACCGCCGAGGCGAGCGCAGCATGCCAGGCATCCGCCTGCGTCTGCAGAGTTGCCACTTTGGAATGCAGTAGATCGGATCTCGTTGCGTCTTGACCCTGCGGATGCGCAGCAGTGGGGCGACTCGATCCCGAGTGGGTGCGTTCCGACGGCAACACCAGGCCCACCTGGGCTGCAGACACGCGCTCCGTGTTCAGCCGACCCGCATGGGCGAACCCCGCAACAAGCGCGTGTGACAGCCCCACGTACGCCTTGCGTCGATCTTCCGGCGTCGAGGCATCTAGAGATCCTCGTTCGAACGAGGACAGAAGATCTTGCCCCGTGTGCGTGCTGGTGATGGTGGGTGCAGAAGACCGCGCGAGAGTGAACAGCGCATCGTCCGAAGACAGCATGTCCAGATCAGAGAGGATGTCGTCCAGCCTAAGCGTACGCAGCTCCGCCGCCCCAGAGGACGCTGATGTCACTGCCATTGGTGTAAGATGGGTGCGCGAGTGATGGTCATCTGCAAACAACACTAACTCCACCCCGCCAAATCCTCGACCCAACACGCCAAACCTCGGATCTCGGAAATTCTCGCCTCCACGTCCCCAACCCCCACACCACAGCCCGAAACCACCTTGGAGCTCCACCGCGACCTCAACCCCAGCTCATCTACACGCCGCAGGCCAGACACAACGAACCAGAAGGACGAGAGAGTATGCTGCATGGGCATTGCGATAAGGTACAGATGCGGATGGAGATGCACGTAGACAGCGTTGTTATCAGAGTGGGCGGAAACAAAGCCCCATGACTCTAAGCGGGTATCATGACCGGTCAGCCATGGCGGCATCACGACCATACAGAGCAGCGACAGCCGAGTGCGGGCGCATTAGATCTTGAGTTCGCGGAATCCGCACACCTCGGCGGGCGAAGGACGCGGGCTGGAACTTGCCGGCTCGTCGCCAGTCACGCGTGCGCGCGCACGGCCGACCTTCTCGAGCTGACGCTCGCGCTTGCGAGCCTGCGCCGCATCGCGCTTCTCGCGCGCCGTAGGCACACGCCGCTTGACCGCAACGCTCGACTTGTTCGGCAGGCCGTCCTTGCGCGGACGCCCGCGGCCGCGCTTGATGATCTCGTACACGGTCTCGCCCTCCTGCGCCTCGTCCTCGGCTGTCGTGCTTGTGCCTATCGCTTCCGCGGCCAAACCATCGCCCTCTTCGTCGGGCTGCGAGTCCGGTAGAGCATTGATGTCGGGCGATCGGCTTTGCGAGCGTCGCTTCGGACTGCGGATCATGCTCATCGTCATCGCATCCGACGACGCAGCGCGCTTGCTGCTCAGCCTCTCGACGCCCGGCGTGCTGCCCCGCGATCCACTCGACGCCTCCGGAGACGCACATGCCGTCGTGTCGCCCCCATCGTCCGTGGTGGCTGTCGTCGAGGGTGAGTCGCCTTCACCACTGCTGTGCGTCGCCGACGTGTCCACCGACGAAGGCGATGTGGCACGCCACCGTCGCATGTGGTCCGGAAGGGGGGTTGGAGCCGCCAATGTGGATCGTTCCGCCGTGGTCGACGATGCCTCGCCCGGCGATGACACCGCCTGCAGCTCTGCTCCGACCTCCTCCTCGTCAATGATGGTGTCCTTCTCCACCAGCAGTTCCACCACATGCGCCCAGTCATTCAGATTCTCGCGCAGCAGCCGACGCACCTCTTGCAGGTCGTGGTCTCCGCTGATGCTCTGCAGCACCATCTTTTCCTCGGTCGTCGGCTCGGCGTCGTCCTTGACTGTGCTTCTGCTGTCCGCGTCGGACGCCGCCGCAGCTGCCGCGATCTGCTCTTTGATGCGCGGGAGGCCGGAATGCGGCCCGTCGAGATTTCGGATGGAGCTGTAGTGCTCCCAATTGTGATAGGCAATGTAAAGTGGGCCGTACGCCTCCGGCGGTTGTTGGGGCGCCGAGGTGCTCGCTTCTTGTGATGACGTAGATGTGGACGCGGTCGCCTGGCTGGAAGTCGCGTCTTCTGCTTCCGTCGTTGTCCCTGTCTGAGCGGCATTGGGCGAAGGCGTGGAGGCAGATGGATCTGCGCCATCGGCTTTGGACACCTTTTCGCGCTTGATCTCCTCGCGCTTCTGCCGACGCCGTTGACGCTCCGTGAGCGGACCAGCGTCTGTGCCTGCTTCGATGGTGTTTTGCACCCGAAGTCGCTCCTGCTCCTTGGCTTCACGCGCGCGTAGCGCCTCGGGCGAATCGTCGACGCCCTCGACCACGTATACGAGTCCCGGCTGCACGATCTTGATCTGCTTCTGCTTCATCTGCGCAAAGGCGTGTAGTTCGAGGTGACCGCCGTAAGTTCCGTTCTCTCGCATGAGGCGGACGTACTCTTCGAAGGGCTTGTCGTCCACAAAACCGGCAAACTTGTCTGGCCGCTCGGCGAGGTGGTCGCACGTCTCTTGACGCAGCTCTGCGTGTCGGCCTGGGTAGCCGTAGAGCTGGTCGGAGAGAGCCCTGAAGAGGCAGTTGCCGTCGCCTGTCGTGTTGGCGGCATACAGCCCCATGCGCTTGAGCTGTGCGTTGAGATCGCGCTCCACCTGCTCGGGATCGTCTAGGGCATAGCTGTTTTTGGCGCGGCTGCTGCGAGTGATGCGCTCGTTCTTGAGCGTGGCCGCTGCGCGGTTGCTGCGTCGGCTAGGCCCCGCCGCTGCGGCGCGCTGAGGCCTCCCCATGATGGAAGTGTGGAGAGTATGCCAGATCGATGCAGAGGTAGACCTGGTTGGTGGTCGCTAAGGGAGCTGCACGTCGTCGTCTACGTGCGCATGAAGGATGGCGATATGGGCGGAGTTGCTCCTAGATTTGGATGCTGAGTGCAAGGGTGAATGCCGGACAGCGCACTTGGCGAGGTAGCAACTTTGGCGAGGTCGAGCTGGAGCGGTAGCTGCGTGTTGAATGCTGTAACGCTTACGGAAACGAGCCGACGATGATACAGAGGGATGAACCGAACGCGACACTCTATGTCAACGATGTATGCGTCCACGTCCAGTGCGACAGATACCGACGGCGGTAGACCCGAGACTTCCACCGATGTTGCGAAGCGATGAAAGGGACGACGTCGCGTGACGTGGTTGCGGTGCGAGACGAGGCGCGTAGATGTGTCGGTGCTGGTCACCACAGGAGGCGAGATGAACGGGTGTGGGCTTGCTCGACTTGCCCGACGTCGCTGCTGGTTCGAGTCGGTGCAGCGCAGGCGACGGTGAAAGGGGCGCTAGGGCGTCTCGACGACGGCGACGAGGGATTGCTAGGGTGCGAATGGGAGTGTCTGCCTGCGTCTTGCTCCAACGCCAAACGCAGGTAGCGCAGGTCAGCCGGAGGTGGCCAAAATTCGACGGCGCATCTGTCAGACGTGTCGTGCGCGATCCAGCAAGGCACAAACGCCGCCCTCTGACTCCTCACACGCCGTGGCGCCCCACCGCAACGCAACGCGCAGCAGAAAAGGCCAGGTTCAATTTGTGAGGGGTTTTTTTTTTCTGCCTCAGCACAAGCCAGCAGAGAGAGAGACAGAGGCTGAGAAAGGGGTTGAAAAAATTCCGAAATTTGTGCATGGTGATGTGATTTTCGATTGGATTTCAAACGAAGCCCTTTCGTTGCTTTGCTTGCTCGCTCGGCCTGGACTTGCGTCCTGCATCGCGGTCCGCGGCCACGTCTCGTCAGCCTGAGATGGCCGTGCAGATCTCACATGTCGCTTCATTCGCGCCTTGCGTACGGCGGCACTTCTTCGGCTTGGCTCTGATCAAGACTGCAGCCAGACAAGACGTCCTCAATGCATCGATCTACCAAGTCGACCAGAGCTGGATTGGGCAGGCAGAGTCTGCGAACATCCGCCACGATGCAGTCGACCGCGCTCGGGCAGGGCCAGCCTTCGTATCCTGCGTCCTCGTCGGTGCAGTCGGTAGCCACAAGTGTCTGCTCCGTATGAGCCGTTTGCGTGCCAGGCGTGGTCATGTCGGAGCTGCCGCAGGAAAAGCAGCGCCAAGCTTGTGGGCTCTCCTGACTTTGCCAGCCGTATGCGACGTCGTGGGGAGCGAGATCGACAGCAGTCCCCACGAGCAAGCTGATTGAGGGCCCACCAAGTTTAATATCTTCGCCAGCATTGATGCTCGGGGCCGCCGGCAACGTCTTCGTCTCTACTAGCCGCTGCAGGAGGCTTCCGCTTTGAGACTGACTCTCGTCCTTCCGCTCTGATGTCGGCGCTTGCGTAGGCGTCGCAGAGCTTGTGGGCGCAGCAAGCTTCGCCGAGGGCATAGGAGGCGCACGAATGGTGCTCTCCGGCTATCGATCCGGGCTCATTTGGAAGCTCGTCAGACCTCCTTCATCAGAGGCACAATGTTGGTTCGAGTCGGGAGCTGCACTCACCTCAATGAGACCAAGAAAGAACGCTTTGTCCTCCTCTCGTGAGAAGTGGAGCTGCATGCGATGACACTAAATGTGACCAAAAGTGACCGTTGAAGCACCTTGCTCGACCTGGCCGTCGTGGATACCCACTCATGCTCAACATACCTTGGATGCATCCAGCTGGTCGAGATAGCGGATACCGATCACCATACCCCGATGCGCTGTTTCGACAGCACCCAGGCGATGGTCTGTGTGGTAGTAAGTCCTGTTCACGCTCACTAGGTCCACATCCTCCTGAGGCAGACAAGTTGTTTAAGAGTGCCCCTGTTCCTTCAGCAAATGTACCGACATTATGCCTCTGATCTCCCTTTCTCACCAGTATGATGGCCTCCCGCGGCTGAGATGCTGTCTCCCTCCTCACTGGCTCGACGCGCTCAACGCAAGTCGAAGGCGCAACGCTTCGTGCTTCAGATTGGTCGTCGCTCGTCTTTGTCGACCCGCATTCCACAGTGATGCGCAGTTGACGGTCACTCGACAGCTTCCAAGATGCTGCAGAGCTGCTCCCAGCCTCCCCGCTCTCAGCTTTGTTCGACGCATCGGGGCTGGGCTGTGAGAAGACCACCCTACAGCTGAGATTCTTGCCCGAGAACTGCTGCCATGCGATGTCGTCACCACCAGGCACCGAAGCTACAGACTGCGAGCCACGTAAGAACCTGTCTAGGGCAGCCGCCCACGTCAGCGACTCTGTCAGACTCGGCATGGTAGAAGCGTGTGATGAGGCGAAGGCGATGGTGCGTGGTAGAGCCAAGGAAGCTCGCGTGCTTTGACCCTTCAGAGAGCGCAATGACACGATCAAAGGCCCAATCGGTCTCTTGTCTGGCCGATTCAGGCGGACATTTCGTGCAAGATTCTCGCGCGAAAAGACGCTCGTCTCCCCGCTAAGATTCAAATTCGCCCTGACCGGTTTCGAACTTGGGCACCGCCGCTCGAACCCTTGGGCTGTGGACTAGACCAGAATCGGCCGGCCCGATGAGGCCGCGGATGAGCCGACTGAACCGGAAGATTCCCAGCAGTCGGTCGATCCGAACCAAATGAAGCCTCGTTCCCAGGCCCTTTGTTCGGCGCAGCCGGTCTGGCCGAAGCTAGAGAGCCGTGGGCAAGGGCGCGCGAACAGCTCAGCCAACGTGGGAAGAGCAGCGGCTGTCTCTCTCCGGCTGACGATCGTAGGTTCTTGATTCAAGCCTTGCAATCGGCGAGCGCCGAGACACGGGGGAGGAGCCTGTGGGAATTTTGTCGACGCATCTGCGCGACGCGGACAGCCGAGTCGCTTTCATTTCATCTGCAAGCCAAATTGAGGATGCGGTCTCTCTGAAAGTCACAAGCTTGGTGAAATGATCGAGACTCGACGCGAAGAGCAACCCCAGATTTGAGGGTCAAGTCAGGCGACTGGCGAGCCTGCCTTTTAGTCCGTGTGACCCGCGGGCGAGCCGCTGGCGCGTTCTGGCCACGCCTCTGGAGCGCTTGGCCGCGGCGGCGGAGGTCGTCGCGCCTGTCACTCCTCCACCTGCTGTGGCGGTTGATCCCCTCGCCCGACCATGCCGCCGCCGCCGCCCCTTGGCACCTCTTGCCCTGATTCCCCTCGCTCTCGACATGAACCTCGAAGCTCGTCTGCCCACCTTGCCTTCACACCACATCCGCATCCCCTTCCACTCGCTCGCGCCCGTTGCAACTGATCTTCACTGCGCCCACACTACGCCACACACTCCTTTATATCTCCGAAGCGACTCACACGACGCTCCCTGCGCCTCAGCACTACTTTTCCTGTCGACTCTGGCTCCGGTAGACCCTACCGAGCTACTCATTACTCGACAGCTGGTCCGAAAAGAAAAGAAAGAGAAAAGAAAATCAACGCCAAAAGCTGCGCTGCACGCCAGTCTCGCTCTCTCGTTCCCCGGCTCAATTTCGCCGGCATTTCTCATTTTTCTCGCTTTTTCGCGACGCGAACGATCCAGTTACGCATCCGTCACCCGGCGCTCCACCGCTCAATTTCGGCTCTCACCATCCGCAAGCCTCGCCGCAACATTCCCACCGCCCTCGCTAGTCCTTCTTCATCCTCTTTCACCCTTTGCTCCACCGCATCGCAGATTCAACCACCATCACCACCGTCGCAACAAAAACCGACATAGTCATCATGGTGTTCCAAGGTTTCGGAATCGAGTCGAGCTCGTACAACCCCATCAACCTCAGCCACGGCTCGGTGGCTGCGCCGCTCCCGATGGCGGGCGCAGGCGGTTGCAGCAAGAAGCGCAAGGCGTTCGACGACCTCGACTCGTACGCCGATGCTACGGGCGACTTCCACGTCCGACCGAAGCTCAGTCTGCCACGTTCGGCCGGTCTGGTGTTCAACGGCGATGCGCAGTTCCACCCGCTGCCCGCCGACGTCAACCAGGCGATGCTGGCGCAGCTGGGCCACAACCCCTTCACCGGCTCGAGCGCGTCGGGGTCGACATTTGTGACGCCGTCRTCGTCGTCGAGCTCGGGCTTCCTGGCGGGCCACGAGCACAAGTCGTCCAACGGCTCCGATTACTTTAGCACCGCTGCGCCATCGCAGTACCCAGACGTGGAGCCGTACCCGCCCACGTCGCCGACGTCGGCCTACGGCATCCTGGGCCCCGCTCCCGGCAGGCACAATTCCTTTTCGGACTCCAACAGCATGGACGTCGACTATGGGAGTAGTGCCAGCACCCGCAGCGTGCATGGCCCGCAGTGCAAAAGCATCCCCCAGCTCTGTGTGCGCTACAATGACGGCTCGGGCTCCGAGCTCTGGGCCACCTGCCCCGACTGCGGTGCCTGCTCCAAGGTCGAATCCAACGCACCCTCCTCCAACCTCTGCTACTCTCCGTGACCGCCTCGTGCGCCGCTTCTATCCCATGTAGCCTCGTGCGCTCCCCCATTCGCTCCTTTTGCACCTTTTCGTCAGCAGCGTCGCGTATTCTCTCAGTCCCAGTGCAAACCTCGATCATGTATTTCTAGTAGTCTTTTCCGTCCTTTGCTCGTTCGTTCGTCTCTAGTCGTATTCCGTAATTCGCAGATATCTTCGACCCTGCAACGAGCCACTTGTCTCCTTTCGCAGCCGCGCATTCCCGTTGCGTGCGTGTCTTGGCGATAGCGTGAATTCCCGGCCCCGGCTCCGGCATCCCTGTCGAGCTGGAAGCGATCCTGACACGAGTGCGGCCATCGGGCTCGTGGTCGATACCGAGCAGTGCAGAGCGGCTGCTGCGATCATCTGATGTGCATCCATCATTCTTTCTCTTGGTCGAGATGCTATATCGTAAGAGATATTTCTATACTTCGCAAAGGGCCCGAAGTCGCTCTCTGCCATTGTCAGCCTTGCGTTCGTACATGGCCAGCTCTGTCTCGTCAAACACAGGCTCCTGAGCTGCAAGGTGGGAAGCAAGAGACAAGAGTGTTTAGTATCGGCCGAGAGATACCACCTGATCGGGTCTGCTTTCGTCGATCTCGATGAGATTCGAACAGAGTCTGCCGTGCCGCAGAGTGGCCGTTGCGAATACAGAGGGCGAATACAAAGAAGCGAAGAGAGTTTGTATTTGCCAGGAATTTTCCATAGAGTCTCCAAATGAAAAAAAGCAAAAGCTCGGTTGCAGCCAAAGTGCGCAGTGTCAGCTGGCCAACGAGGCGGGTCAGAGCAAAGACGAGTGTCTGGAGCTGGAAGCGAGAAGAAGGCCAAAGGGGGGCTTCTGAAACTCGCGCTGAGGGTGGGCAGTTGCGCTAGCCACAGACGAGCATCAAAGGCTCGCGCTGCCCTGCGCTGCGCCGCCGCTGCCGCTCACAGCACAACACCCGCACCGAGAGAGGGCCAGAGGGGAACGCGCAGACACACAGACACACAGACACACACGCCCCGGGCACCTGGGCCCACCCTCGCAGCCATCGCCAGTCAGGTGGATCTGGCTTCGCGTCTGGCACTCTGCGCTCGCGCACTCGACCTGTCCGCCGCCTTTTCCCTCTGCAAGCCCGCAAGCCCGCAAAGGCTCAGTCTTTTGCGCGTGTCGACAAGGCTTTCGCTTCCGCCACACCATCTCCTCTTTTGTTCCGCAGTTCCCGGTTTCGTATCGTCGAGCTTCGTTTTCGGTTCTTCTCTCTCTCATCGCAACACATCGGTCCCAGACTCGTCCGTCTCGTCTTCTCGTCTCGGCTTCCAGCATCGGCTCGATTGTATCGGTAAGTTACAGCCTCGCAGCCTCGCATGATGGCGTCTGCACGTGCATGCTCTCCTCAGCGTACTCGTGGTCAGCTCGTGCTCTTAGCACCATATCAACCCAGTTGTATTTGACCCGCACAGGCGCTGGCTCATACGCACGCCACCTGCCATCTCCACCACACGACGTTGCGCACCACCACACATCCGCTGTACGAATGAGTCAACGGCGCAGGCATACTGACCTTGTCTCTTCTCTTCCCTACTCTTTCAACACCGCACTTGCACCGACACTGCCTCGATCGCCTATGCCGACAACCATGCATGCCACGCCATCGCTTCCGCAACCTTGCATTTGCCCACCGTTCCATCGCTCGCTGTCAAACTCGACTCTGCATCGACACAGTTAGTCTTCGGATCCCTCTATAGCCCGTCCACTCGAATTACTTCAAGATGGCCGCCAAAGTTTACGTCGGAAACCTCTCGTGGAACACCACTGATGACTCGCTCGCCCACGCCTTCTCGGCCTTCGGTCAGCTCACCGACTACATTGTCATGAAGGATCGCGAGACCGGCCGCTCGCGTGGCTTCGGCTTCGTCACCTTCGCCACCCAGGGCGAGGCTGACGCCGCCATCGCTGCCCTCAACGAGCAGGAGCTTGACGGCCGTCGCATTCGCGTCAACATGGCCAACTCGCGTCCCGCCGGCGGCATGGGCGGTGGCTACGGTGGTGTTACCAGCCAGTACGGCGCCAACGCCTACGGCGGCGCTGGTGGCTACGGTGGTGGCTACGGCGGTCAGCCCGGTTTCCAGCCCCAGCAGGGCGGCTTCCCCCAGCAGGGTGGTTACCCCCAGCAGGGCGGCTACGGCGGCTACCAGCAGCCCGGATTCCAGCCCCAGCAGGGCGGCTACGCTGCTCCCCAGCAGGGTTACGGCGCTCCCCAGCAGGGTGGCTACGGCGGGTAAGTACATTCTCTTTGCGATTCTTCTTCCGTTCCAATTTCCCGGCTTTCTCTCAGCTGGCTCGTTGCCAGCAGCTTCGTTTGGGCCTCGTCCGCCGTCCGCCTTCTCGCGCCGGACTTGATGCGAAGGTCACACGATGCTCCAGTGTCTGTCTTCCTCTAGCACGGCACAAGAGTCCGTGCGCCTTCGCATCGCACGACGTTGCTCCGGTTCTCCCAAAACTCGGGCTGGGACTGGCCCTCTCCCCCTCCCCATCTTCAATGTCTCCGGTGGCTCGGTTTCTCAATTGTGCTCTCTGTTCCCGTCTTTCCCGTCTCAACTTTCCGTCGCCCGCTCGCCGCTCTGTCGTTGCTTCTTGTTTCGGATCGTTCGACTCTTGGTTCCTCAACGCTCGTCAACTCGATCTCGTTTCCGCCAATCTCCCGCATTCTTGTTTGCCTTCCGATGTCGCTCCGCGACCGACCCGACTCGACCCGATTCGATCCGTGCCTCGGTCTTGCCTCCTTTCGTCGCGCCTGTTTCTCTGCCTTCTCAACGTCTCAACAGCTACGGCGCCCAGCAGAGCTTCCAGCAGCCTTCGCAGCAGAACGGCGGCGGCTACAACGGCCAGGGCTACTAAGCCCATTCGTCTAGGTTGTCCTGATCCATACCATCGCTTCTCGTCCTGCGAGGCTCGGCGGTGTTCGCCTCGCACCTCTCGATTCTGTATCCCCGCGCTGAATGAATCGATCCAGATTCTCGAGCCTTGACGTTTCCTTGTTGCTGTCTTGTCGTGTTGCTGCTTTTTCATTGAGCCCACTCGCGCCCGCTTGCTACTCGGTTCGAGTTGAACAGTCGACTGACCTCTTTCTCTAATTTTGCATCTGCGATTTTGCAAACAGCTACAACGGCCAGAACCAGTAAACTCGATCTGACCCTGGTGTGATCCTCCGCGCGCTTTTCAGTCGAAGATACCTCTCCATGTTCCGCTCTTCCAAAAAAACAGCAAGTGTTCCGAGGACCTCGTGTCCAGGGCATTTGATCTCACCCCTCTAGCACTCACAGATGGCTCTCTGCCTTCGTCCTTGATCCCGTCGAGACGATGTCCGAATCAAGAGTAATGCTTCTGTGCGATCCTGACGCTGTGTGTGTGCGTGGATGTGGATGCACTGACAAAACGACGACGGCGGGGTTTCCAGCGGAAAGCGGCCAACACGCCGGCATTGTTAGCGGCCATGAGGCCATCGGTATCGGCATCGGCAAATTGTTGAGTTACTGGGCTCGGCGACGAACGCGAAGAAATCGCCGCGCCGGCCATGCATGCGCGCTCTGCAATGGACGGCGGCATGCATCCGAGTCGGTCTCAGCAACAAGCAGGATCCGCACACGCCTCAAGGCTTTCTCGCACCCTGCCAACTTGGACGTGGTGTTAGTTTCGGGATGACTGATGGCACGATGACAGGCGATCTGATGCGATTCGGCATGGATTTGGGTTTGTGCAGTAGGAGTAAGGCGTGCGGCGTTTGTGGTGGGATAGCGTCATACCGCTGCGGCCGAACCCCGCAAGGATATGATAGCGCGAAGAAAATCCAATCGAGCATGGCCCGTGTGCCGTCGTGGCTCGGGCGCGGCGAAATTGCTGCACAGAGGCTGCCGCTGCTGCTGCGACGAAACCGGCACTCTGCACGCACCGACTCGCACTCTGCGTCACCGATGCACTGCCCCGAGTGCCCAATCTCCCCCACTCGAATCTCGCCTCGCCTTGGCCTCGCGCTGCCTTGCCTCGACACGCTTGACACGGTTTGAGAAACACACACAGACAGCTCGAAGCTCTTTTCGCTTCCTCGCGTCCGTCTTCCTTTCGTGCACTCACATCTCCGCCTCACACTCACCCGAGTACACGATCAAGATGCGTTCTACCTTGGCTTTGCGCCAGCTCGCCGTCTCGGCTTCGCGTGCTTCGAGCATGCCCAGCGTCCGTGCTGCCGTGCCCCGCGCCACCAGCTCGGTCGCCACGGCGCTCCAGCGCAACAACACCTCGGTGCGTCTGCCCGCCGGTGCGAGGGGCATGGCCTCGGATGCGCCCACCGACTTTGACCCCAACGCGCCCACCGCCATGGACAAGATGGAGCCGCCCAAGCCAGGCGCCGACTTCAACGTGGTGATCATCGGTGCTGGCAACATCAACTTCGGCTCGGACGAGGGTCCGTGGAACCACTCGTTCCGTCTCGAGCACAAGCTCGGTCCGCGTCTCAAGGTGGTGGCGCTCATCGACCCCTCGGCCGCGCGTGCCGACGCCGCACTCACCGTGAAGCGCAACTCGTTTGTGCTCTCGGCCTACAAGGACACGGTGGTCTACCCGACGTTTGCCGACTACGTCGCCAACGTCACGCCCGACAAGCGTCCGCACGCCATCTGGGTCGGCAGCCCTCCCGCCTTCCGTGGCCGCGAACAGCCCGGTCGCGACCTCGAGAAGAAGCTCGTCGAAGCGTTCCCGGACGTGGGCATCTTTATCGAGAAGCCCGTCAGCACGGGACCCGTGCAGGATGCGCTCAAGGTGGCGCAGCTGCTGGAGAAGGCGGACAACCTGGTGAGCGTGGGCTACATGCTGCGCTACCTCAAGGTGGTGCAGAAGATGAAGTCGATCCTGGAGGAGAACAACCTCAAGGTCATGGCGACCAACGCGCGCTACATCATGGCGTACGAGCACACGGCCAAGCTCGACTGGTGGGACAAGTCGCAGACGTGCGGACCGATTGTGGAGCAGGCCACGCACTTTTGCGATCTGTCGCGCTACTTTGGTGGCGAGGTGGATCTGAGCACCGTCGCCGCACACTCGCTCGAGTGGTTCGAGCCCGCGGGCGAGCTGAGCAAGATCCCCGTGGACGAGAGCAAGGTGGCGCCGGACAACCGCATCCCGCGCATCACGTGCGCCACGTGGAAGTACGAGTCCGGTGCCGTAGGTTCGCTCACGCACGCCGTGGCGCTGCAGGGCTTCAACTACTCGACCGAGATCGACGTGCTGGCCGACGGATACAGCCTGCGCCTCGTCGACCCGTACAACGCGCCGGCGCTCTACTTCAGGAGGCCCGGCGACGACCACGAGGAGGTGGTGAGGTACCAGAACGACGACCCCTTCTTCAGCGAGGTGAGCAACCTCATCGACAACATCGAAAAGGGCAAGGGCGCCGCACCCATCCTGTCGAGCTACGACGATGCCGTCAAGACCTATGCGCTCACCTGGGCCATCCGCGAGGCGTCCGAGAAGTCGGCCAAGAAGCGCGCCAACTAAACACCCGCCTGCGAGGCACTTGTAGGAACGCTGTTCTCGGACTGTAAACGATTTTGAACTGTTTCCTGTTGACCCAAATGTGTTGTGTGTGTGTGAGTGAGAGTAGGAGGTTTGGTGGGTTGGGGAATTTTTTTTGGGTTACAATGTGAGATTGCTGCCTTGCCGGAGAGGTTACAAATCGCACGGACCAATTGTTCTTCCCACCGGCGACCACCACCATCTTCAGCTTTGGAGGCCAACATCACGATGAGTGGGAGTAGCACGATCGACATTCCGCGCAACGTCCTCGACGCCGTGCGCAAGTTCCGACTAAAGCCCTCGTCGCACCTCACCGCACTGGTGTTCAAGATCGACAAGGCGACGCTCACGCTCGGGCTCGAAGAGACGCTTGACTCGGGTCTCACCTCGATCCCAGACCTTCTTGAAGGTAAGCCAGAACCTCCGCCCAGCCGGTATCAAATTGATCTTTGTACTGATGCTTGTGGTGGCTTTGGTGTGTAGAATTGCCTGAGAACTCGCCTCGATTCGTGGTGGTCAACTACAAACTCAACCACCGCGATGGTCGCATTTCCTACGTAAGCCCCATCCACCCCTCTCCAAACAAACTCCCGACCTTCTCGACTCAATCTCACCTTTTTGCGGCTGTTGTTGGCTTGTGCAGCCGTTGTTCTTGCTCTACTGGGCGCCACAAACGAGCTCGCTCGAACAGAGCACGCTCTACGCCTCGGCGCTGAGCAACTTTAGCGTGCAGGCGGATGTGGCCAAGGTGATCGATGTGCGCGATCCAGACGTGTCGCCCGAGTCGATCGATCAACGTCTAGGCGCCTAGAAGACCCTTGCACACATCTCCCATACGCCGCCGAGACCAACTGCTCACGAAACGGACCAAGATGAATCCTGTGCGAAAATTGGCATTGAGGTGCGCCCGTGTGTGTCTGTGTGGGTGTCTACTTTTTCGCCGCGTGCTTCTTCTTGGCCGCACCCTGCGAGGGCTGCGAGCGCGATTTGGGCGCATGCATGGAATCGGCCACACTGGGCGTCTTCGCGTCGACCTGCACCTTCTTTGCGGCCGTATCGTCCTTCTTTGCATCGCGTCCGCCCGACGGCGGCGGTGGCTTCACAGCTTCGTCGGGAGCAATCAGCTTAGCAAGTGCGCCGAGATCAGCTGCAATCCTGGGTCGACCCGCCGCTTTGTCTTTGGGCGCGGCGGGCTGCTTCCATCGTCCATACGGCGTGGCTGCGGGCGGCGGCATCTCTTCGCTCCTCAGTGCCGGACTCGCCTTTTTGCCCCTGGATGGCGGCTCGGGCGAGAGACTCGCCTCCTTGGCCCGACCTGCAATCCGAATCCCCAGCGGTCCACCCTCGGCCTTGGGCGGTGGCTTGGACTTGCCACGAGGAGGGTCGGCACGACGCCACGCCGGCTCATCCTTCTTAGGCGGCTTGCTGGCGCGTCCGGTGTCCTTGGATGCAGCCGGTTTGGGTTCCGGCGCGGGCGCGGGTTTGGCAGGCGTGAGTGTGACGCCCCAGTCGTCGAGATCCGGCAGCTCGTCCTCGTCGTCATCCTCGGCCCAGTCAATGTGGCTCGGCGCAGGCGTCGACGCTTCCTCCACCTTGGCCGACGCCTCTGACGCCGTTTCTGCGGCTTGCGTTGGTTCAGCTCGTGCCTCGGTGCTTGTCTCGACGTCCTCGTGCGCGGACTCCTTGGCCGCCGAGGATGGCAGCCCCACTTTCGGCACGGCCGGCGACGAAAAGAGGTCGTTCTTCACCTCGGGGATGCTCTGGACGCGCTGCGCTACTGGCGTCGGCTGCTCGACCGCCGACGTGGAAGCGGCATCAGGTTTCGACGGCGTCGAGCCGCGTGCGTTTGCGTCCAGATCAACGGTTGCGATACCCTTGACCAGCTCGTCGGCGCTCGCCTCGGTCTTGGTGGTTGCCGCGGTCATCTTGACGTGGTCGACGTCCTTTTCCTTGCTCGAGCTCGACCTCCTGCCACGGATGCGTTCGGACTTGTCGCGCTTGAGCGAGCGCTTCTTCTCCAGCCCGCCACTCGCGGGCGCCGACTCGGTTGCCGACTCGGGCAGCGCCACGACGGGCTTCTTGGCCGGTTTGCGCTCCTTCTTGCCGCCTCGCGGCTTGTCGGTTTCGGCGTCTGCATCGCCGTCCGAATCGAGCGCGGGCAGCGGCGAGCGCGCCGACGCAGGCGACAGGCGCTGGCTCGGCAGCTTGTCGGCCGCCGAGAGTGCAGGCGATGCATCGAGCTGTGGCGACTTGGCGAGCATGCGGTGCGTCGGCGACGGCGTACGCGACTTGGCAAAGTTGATCGGCGGTGGAGGCAAAGGCGAATGGTGGGAGCGCTTGTCTTTGCTCGCGGCCTTGGCGGCGCGCTGCATGTCCTCAAAGACTTCGACGTCGTCCTTGCGATCGTCGTCGTCGTCGCCGCTCCAGTTGGCCTCGAGCGTAGAGGAGGAGGGGAGGTTCGAGAAGAGCGAGCCTTTGCTCGCGTCTCTCGAGTGGGTGCCCCATCCGAACGCATCGAGACTGCGCGAGGGCGGCTTGCTGGCCGCATTGTCGTCATCCGACGACGGCGAGTCGCACCCGAGCACGGGCGTGGGCGGAACGACGCTGCCGTACCAGCCATCGTTGCCGGTGGCATCGGCGTCGTCTTGCGGAGGGTCGATCTTGAATGTCTCGCCCACGGTGGCCGAGGAGAGCGTGGAAGGCGCATAGTCTTCCTCTGCTTTTTCCTCGAGCTCCTGCATGACGCTGATCTCCTGGCCGAGGCTGAGCTGCAGGCCATTGGGGCGGTGACCGGGACGCTTGCGGTCGAGACCCGTCTGCACGCCGAGGAGGTTGCTGGACGAGAAGCCCGAGCCGATGGTGTGCGAGGTGGTAGAGGTGGATGCAGTGTTGTCGTTGCTACTGGCAGCGGAGGCGGGCTTGGGCGCCCACATGCTGGCGCTGGTACCGAGGCCTGAACGGGTGCTGCGCAGGCGATCGAGCATGGCGTCGATCTGACCGTTGCCCTGTGCGCCGGCTTTGCCGAAGGAGGAGCCGAGAGCGAGAGGCTCGCCATGGAGGTCGGTACGGCCCTGCTTCAAGGGCGAACCGATGGAGGCGTTGGAGGCTGCCCTGCCGCGGAGGTGGACGGCGTCGTTGAGCGGGCTGCGCATGGCGTCGGGGCTTGGTGCGAGAGGGACGGAGCCCTTGAGGGGCGTGAGGCCGAGACCGAGACCGCTGGCGCGTGAGGCGTCACCATCGCTGGATGTATGCGAGGAATGCTGATAGGCCGGATAGTGCGGAGTGGCGGGCGTTTGCGGGCCGCCGCGCTGGGAGAGCTTGAGGGGCGTTTCTGGGATGGGGTGGGAAGCGCTGAGTGGGGTGCGTGTATTGTGGGGCGAGGCGGGAGGGTTGTTGCGAGCCGGGCTGGTGAGCGGCAGAGGCGAGGGGATCTTTGCGCCGGGACGACGGATGCCTTGGGAAGGGGTGGTGCGGAAGGGCGATGTGGCAGCGGGGGAAGGTGAGGGCGAGGATGCCGAGGCGTCTGCGCTGATCTGGCCTGGGCGTGGTTTGGGCGGAGGCGTTTGGAGAGTCTGCGCCATATCGATGCGCTCCAGCAGCGAGCGAGGATTGGAATCGGAGGCGGAGGGATCCTTTTGGCGTGCTGGTGTGACGGGTGAGCGCTTGGTTTTGGATTTGGAGGCTGGAGGAGGCGATGCATGCGTGTCAGTGGCGGGCTGTGACTTGGGGGCGTAGATGCTCTGGCTGGAGCCGCCGATCCAGCCATCCTCGTCGGTCTCTAGATCCATGATGGGAGTCTTTGACTTGGTCATGTCTGCACTTGACAATTGTACGAGCGCTGATGAGGAGTGCGCGATGGCCAGCGGGATGATCCGTGCGAGTTCCGATGTGCGGTGGCTGAATCTGTCTGGCTGGGCGAAGGGAGGAGCACGGAGACTGGTCGGGTTCTAAGTAAAGAGCGTGGTGAGAGATGCCATGCTGCGGGTGCGTGCGCAAGAACGAGGATTTCTATAGCATGGGCTGAAGGCGTGCCAAGCCGGTCGAGGTTGAGCCGGTCGATCTAGCGTTGGTGTACAGGATTCCTTCCAAAAGAGAACGACAGCCGAATGAGATGAAGCAGCAGCAAATGAAGCAGAGGCAGAGGTGCGGGGGTTCAGAGCATCGCAGCACACACCTTTGTCCGGTGCGAGGATGAGGTGGGGAGCGAAGGAAGGGCCAACGGCTGCGATTGGTTGTGGAGCCGAACGTCGCACGGCATTGTATTTAATTGATTCAATCCAAATGAAGGCGGCGAGAGCCGAGCCAGAACAGAGCGGTGCAGAGCAGTGCGAGCAAATGAGGCGGATCGACGCAGCGCAGTGTTAAGCTGCATCCATTCATCGCCACTCTGCAGCTGCCACCGTGCATCGCCGAAGCCAAAATGCGCAGCAACTCCCGGCGTCTGGAATGGAAGCGCAAGAAATTGGAAATGACAATGTTAAGCTTTTCCGCATGCGAATCGGACTCGTGCGGCAGGCGCTGCTTTTGTGGAGGAAGAATTGGACCCTGCGTGCCACGTTGGCCTGGAATCAGAAGGCCAACTCAGCCACCGGTTCGGCATTCTTCCCGTTCACCACCATCGCTCTCGTCACCATGTCATACCAGACCGACATAGAAGATGCGAACCCCTGGGCAGCAACTACCTCTCGCGCTACACCATCGTCCCTGCCCGGGTCGTCGCTAGACCAAGCTATCGTTGTCGACGACCCACCAGAGACCGCGCCTCCTCCCTACTCGGATCCCCAGCACGGCTTCACCTCGTCATCCCGCCCCGACACCGGCCATGTCCATCACACGGGCATGGAAAACACCGACCAGGTGCTGCTGCTCGTCTTCATTCACGGCTTCAAGGGCTCGTCCGAAACCACGTTTGAAGACTTTCCCTCGCGCCTCACCCACAACCTCCAGGAAACCTATCCGGGCCTGCACGTCAAGTCGCTTGTCTATCCGACGTACGACACGCGCGGCAGCCTCGCTGCTGCCGTCGCTTTGTTCGTCGAGTGGCTCACCATGCAGACCGTCATGCTCGAAGACAGGCTCAAGCTCGACCCGGACACGGGCGCCATTCGGCCCGACCCCACCGCCACCATCGGCGGCGGCGGCCCAGGCAGCGTCAAGATCGTCCTCGCAGGCCATTCGATGGGCGGACTCATCGCTGTGGATGCCGCGCTCAGCATCGCACGCAAGACGTCCGAGCAGCAGCAACCCACGCACGCCAAGCGCAAGCTGTGGCCCGCCGTCGTCGGAGTGATTGCGTACGACACGCCCTACTACGGCGTGCATCCGGGCGTGTTCAAGCACGGCATCAACAAGTACGCCGGCTACATCCAGACTGCACAGAACATCGGCACATTTTTGGCGCCCATGGGCGTAGGCCTGGCTGCACGCTGGAATTCGGAGCGTCAGTCGCAGTCGTCTTCCGCCACCCCACCTTCCAACACCACCAGCGCGGCCAATGGACGGTCTTCGCGCACGACGGAGTCGAACGGGAACGATGCAGCCGCATCGGCACGCGCGAGCAGCAACTGGCGCACCGCACTCATGGCGACGGGCGCCGTGGCGCTCGCTTCGGGCGCCGCCGCTTCCGCAGCGTACTTTAACAAGGACAAGATCAACGGCGCGTACGGCTGGGTGTCGGACCACCTTGCGTTTGTGTCGAATCTGTGGGATGATTCGGCGCTGCGTGCGCGGTTGGACCAGCTGGTGGAGCAGCCGCAGATCCTGTTCCACTGCTACTACACGCGGCTGCCCGCCAGCTCGCGCGCCGCCAACCCGACCGCACAGGCGCAGGCGAGGGATAGGACGTTCATCATTCTGCCGCCACGCGACGCACGCTCCGCACCGAGTTTCACGCCCATGGACAATGTGCAGGCGGCCGACGAGGTGGAGGCGCACATCAGCATGTTCAACGCGCGTGCCAATCCGAGGTACTTTGAGCTCGGGCTGCAGACCTCGCGCCTCGTCGCGACGTGTCTGGACAACGAGAGCAGGTTCGGCGACCAGACGCATGCGCAGCACGAGACCGAAACCGGCCGCGGCGATATGGACGAAGAAAAGGGTCTACGGTTCGGAGACGACGAGATCGAACAGCTCAGGCATGCCGAACGTCCAACGTAGACTGCAAATATACCCCCCCTCTGCCTACCGGCCTGCACTGTGTATGTGTGTGATTAGAGTGCGCAAAGGTATTCGATGAGAGCGGCTAGGATGTCCTTTGTCTTGACCTCGGTGGGGTGGGAAATGGCGAGTTGGTCTCCGATGTTGTCGCTGTATTCTTGCAGGGTGGCCACCACGTCTTGCCACGACGCTGCGTTTCGGCGCAAAAGCATAGCCACGTGGTCTCTGACAGCATCGTCTTCCATGACCAACCAGGCGAGAATGGTGTCGAGTAGCTGCAGACTAAACAGACCCTGGTCTAGTCGCTCCAGGTATTCGTCGTCGGACTTTTGCAACCGCGAGACCAGTGCGCTGCGCAGGTCGAGTAGATGGTCCAGAGCCTGGTAGTCGTGCGCAACGAACCGCGCAAGCAGTCGAATGCGCGGCGGCGAGTCGGAATCCAGATGCGTCAGCATTGAGCTGATGACCGCCATCGCGTGCTGGACGTTCTCCAATCCACTGCGACCGCTTGCAGAACACTGCAGAAACGTAGACACCAGTGGCGCCAGACCCGACGCCTCCACAAGCCGGTGGCATATAGCGTGGCCTGTAGGACCAGAGGTGGCATAGTCGAGGATCTTGAGCGCACGCATGCGGGCGAACTTCTTCTCCTTCATCAGCAGCACCATCAGCTCCACCCCCTCGCCCTCGAGCAGCAGCGTCCGATTCGCCGCCTCGGACATCGACAGACACAGCACGTCGATGACGTTCTCGGCGAACTCCTCCTCTTCCGCTCCAGCCGGAGACTGACGCCGATAGCGCGCCAGCACACCCAGCAGCACATCGATGCCGTTCTCGCCCGCATCGCCCGCGCGCGTGCTGCCAATGCGCCCACGGCTCGACTCGGACGTCTGCAGCAGAATCGCCAGCAGCTCAGCCGTGTAGCTCGTGTTCTGGTCCACCTCGCGCCTCGCCGCGAGCCGAGAGAGCGCCCATGGTAAAAAGGCACTGGCTGCAAGCTGCTCCGCCAGCGCCGGACGCGACGTGACCAGGTTCTCGAGCGCGCCCAGTGCATGGTAGATCGCCTGCGCATCGCCCTCTACCTCGATTGCCTTGGCCGCTGCCTCCTCCGGCCCCAGTGCCGGGTCCAGCTGGTCGTTGAAGCGCGACAGATTCGACACCACCAGCTCCAGCACGTTCTGCTTGAGCAGCGCATCGACGAGTGTGTCCATAGCCGCGACCGCACTCGCCCTGCCCTGCTCGGCGTCTTGCTCATCGTCGTCGCCCTCGTACCGTGCCTCGGCCTGGTCGAGCACGTCGTCGTCCGTCAGCTCCTCGATCACCTCGATGGCCGCAGCCGCAATGTCGGCGTTCTCGTGGCTCAGCAGCCCCACCAGGCTCGCTGCGCCGCCGAGCTGCACAAACTCGGCGTAGAAGCGCTCCGGCTGCGTGGTGAGCACGAGCAGCGACTTGATCTCCGCGTCCACATCCGCCTCCGACTCGATGAACCGCGCCGGGTCCGCAGCGTACTTGGTGCGCATCTCGGCGTTCTTGGTGATGGCACGCTCGAAGCGCAGCAGCTGCTTGCGCAGCGCAGGCACATCAGCCGGCGGAGCGCCGGACGAGGCGTCGCCGCCATCCATGATGTCGAGGATCTGCGTCTGCTCCGCAGTGAGCCCACCGCCAAAGAAGCGGCCACCGTCCTCATCGTCGTCCGAGAAGAAGTACGTCTCCTCCTCGGCGGGCGCAAGCTCGTCGTCGTCCGCGTCGACGACGCGCGCTGCCTTGCGCGCGCGCGGGGTGGGAGCGTCAGGTTGTGCGGGGGTGCGGGCGGATGGCCCGGCGGAGGCGGAGTCGGCGGGTTGCGGCGCGGACCACTTGCGCTTGTTGACCGCCGCAGACGGCAGGTCTGGCAGCTTGAAGAGCTTCCCCACATCCATCGTGTGTCGATGCTGGTGCCGGTGAAGGATGGTGGTGCGGAGCAGCGTGCACAGACGCAGTGGAGAAGCCGAGGAAAGGCCTCGAAAAAGTGGAGTGGGATTTCCGAGTCCCGACAATTTTTCGCTAAACTGACGAGGCGGGGTGCTCAGCCATCATAACTCTCAACCACCAACACCTCCTGCAAGACGAGCAGACGAGCATGTCGAATCACGCTTCTGCGGCGGCCAACTCTGCGGCTGCGTCTACGTCCGACGACCCATATGCGCCGTTCTACTACTGGGACGCCAGTGCCAACAACTGGGCGTTCGACTACAACTCGTACTACGCCACGTACGGCTACCCTGCCGACTACTACACCTCGGGCGGGGCTTCTTCGTCTTCAGCCTACGCCTACCCTTCCGCCGATGCTGCAGCTTCTGCAGCAAACCCTTACTACCTGGACTACCAGACATCGTCGACAGCACAGCCTGCTGCCTCGTCTTCGAGCACGCCGATTGTGGATCCGTTTGCGGGGCCTTCTTCCGCACCGCCACCGGCAGACGTGCGGTACGACGAACACGGCCGTGCGATCCCGGGCAAACTGCGCAAGGGCGAGACGCGTCCCACGGTGCTGCGGCGCGCTGCAGGCAAAGTGTGGGAGGACCAGACGATGCTCGAGTGGGACCCCGCGCACAAGCGTCTGTTTGTGGGCGATCTCGGTGGCGATGTGAGCGACGAGATGCTCGCTGCGGCGTTTGACAAGTGGGCGTCGTTTGCGCGCGCGCGCGTCGTGCGTGCCAAGGACGGCAAGAGCAAAGGATACGGCTTTGTCGCGTTTGCCGACCCGGAGGACTTTTTGAAGGCGTGGAAGGCGATGGATGGCAAGTATATCGGGTCCAGACCGTGCAGGATCAAGAAGGCCGCGGATACACTCAATGTGGTGCAGATCGGCGCGAGGAAGGATAGGCTGCTGGCGATCGCGGCCAAGCAGGACAAGAACGCGCACAAGAGGAAGATGGGCGGTGCCGTCGGTGCAAGTCTCCCGCGCACGGGTCTGGCATCCAAGCCGAAACCCTACTAACCCCTCTGCCGTTGAATACAAAACTCACATTCCCCCAACAAAACCTCGCACACACACAGTCTGAGGAGGTCCCTGCGGAAAAGTTCCATGATTAAGCACAACCAAAAAGAGAGTGAAAGTGTTCTACGAGACACGCACGACGATGGCGCCCGGTTCGTCATTGACGTTCCTGGTGGTGGGATCGAAGGCCCTGGGCGCATCGGCGAAGGGGAGGACGCTTCGGAGTCTGGGGCAGATGTCGCCCGACTCGGCGGCGCGCTTCACAGCCTCGAGCGCCTGTTTGCAGTCCTCGCCCGTATCGACGCCGACCCACTCGTAGCCGATAATCTTCTTGTCCTTCTTGAAGAACGCGCGGCGCAGGCTGCGGAAGTGGCTCTTGAGGTTCGGGTTGGCGGTGCCGTGTTCGTCGCCAAAGCACGTGCAGAACTGTCCGTCGCACGCGAGGATGCGCCGCGACGCATCGTAGATCTTGCGCCCGCCCACCGTGTCTACGATCAGGTCGAACGACGACTCGTGCAGCGAGTTGATCGCCCACAGTGGCTCGCCGATCACCACCTCGTGTGCGCCGTTGGCCTGGCACACTGCCACACCATCCGATACGCTCGGCGGACACTGCGCCACAATCACCAGCCCCAGCCCCACCGACTCTTGCATGGTCAGCAGTCCGACACCGTCGTGCGCGTTGAGGATGAGCACGCGCGCACCGCGTGGCAGCTGGCTGCAGTGATTGTGCACCAACTGATGCGCCATCACGCCCGCCGAAGGCAGCGCTGCAATCTGCTCGGTGGTCAAACAGTCGCTCGGCGCATGGCAGATGCGGTTGTGATCCACCACGGTAAACTCGGCCAGCGCACCAGACTTGCGGCTATCCTGCAGCCCGAACACCACATCGCCCTTGCGCATCTTCTTCACCTCGTATCCGCACTCGACGATGCGCCCGCAGAAGCTGCGGCCAGGCACGAATCCAAACGCATTGTCGCCGCGCACCTTTTCGCGCAGCAGCAGCTTGTCCGTCTCGTCGATGGCCACCGCGATCACCTGCACCAGCACCTGGTGGCTGCCGATCTTGCGTGGCGGCGGCGTGTGCGCCGTGATCGAGAGCGTTGTCAGCGACAGCTCGTCCTGCAGATGCTCGGGCACATCGCTCGAGCTGCGACGCTCGCCGTTCAGGTCGACGCTGCTGCGCTTGCGCCTCGCCACCTTGCTCTTGCCCGCAAACGCGCCGCTCGTCACCGCCACCGTCTGCATCGTGGTGCGGTTGTTCAGCAGGTCGTCCACGTTGGAGCTGAATCGCTTCGGATCCTTGTTCGGTCGGTAGCTCGTAGGCACCGTCGGCATCGACGTCGGGATCGTGCTCGTCAGACTGATCACCGACTGCGATGCCGACGGCGACGAGCTCGCCGAGCTTGCGCCCGATCCGCGCCCCACGATCGACGGCGGGCTGAGCGACTCGGCCACCGACTCGGCGACCGAGGGCATTCCGACTCCGTCCACCGACATGCGCGACCTCGCCACGGGCGGGTGCAGGTACTGGTTGGTCGCCGCGCCGAGCGGCGCGTTGCGCACCACCGCCGGCGAGCTGACCGCACTGATCACCGAGCTGCTGCGCGACACGGTCGAAGCCGGCAGCGGCGGATACGGGTGCGGCGAAGTCGGGCGCGATGGATAGGGCGAAACGCCGGTGGCTTCGCCCTCGGGCACCTGGCTCTCCCACTCGTTGATCGCCGACATGAGCGAGTGGCGGTTGCCCGTCTGCGCGAGCGTCGGCATGACGGGGCTCGGTGAGAGCGCACGCATCTTCTTGGCGTACGGCGAGAGCTCGTGGTGGTTGACGTACGTCGCCTCGGGCCTCGGGCTGCCGCGCACCGAAGAGTGGATGCTGCTCGACACGTGCGACGCCACCGATCGTCCAGACTGACTCGGCACCGCACTCGGCGCCGGCGACACCGAGCGGCTGTCCCAGCCGGGCTCCGACGATGCGACGCTCGGAGCGTACAGCCGTGACGACGAGCTCGAGACGGACGGAGCACCAGTCATGCCTTGGTAGCCGACAGGAACGGGCGGCACGGGCGGCGCTTCGGCCATGATCTTGCTCATCGACGACGAGTGCGGGATCGCGCCAGGAGAGCCACTGCGGCGCTTCGATTTGGGACTCGGAGATGGCGTGGCACGCACGGGACGCTGCGGAGACTCGACGATCGCCGCGTGCGCCACAGGCACCACTTGACCAACGACTGGCGCCACAGGAAGGGCGTACTCGGCATTGCTCGAGGGAGCTGAGGCCAGTGGAGCTTGGACAGTGGCAGGTGCAGCCGCCTGAGCCGATTTCTTGTCGTTCATGCTCATGCGTCGCAGCACGGACGAGTCGATGGTCGTGGCGACGAGGCCAGGCGGCAAGCTCAGGCCCTTGCCCTTGTACTCGGTCCAGACGCCCTTCTTGGTGGGCGCCATGGACTTGGACCTAACGAGGTTGTCGGAGGATCCGCTGGGCTTCGAGTCCGCCCTGACCGCGGTGCGCTGGCTCGAAGAGCGAGACATGAGCGGCGGGCGCTGCGGTGCCACCTCGTCCTCGGACTCTTCGATCGTGGGTGTGCCGGGCACGCGCGACGATGTGAACGAGGTGCGCGTCTCGAGCGCCGGTGGCGTGGGCGGGATGAGGTTGATCCCGACACCCGGCACCTGCTGAGGCTTGCCCGTGGGGGTGCGGTCGTCGTGCGGTACCGCCATGACATCGTCCATGTCCGGCGGCGGCGGCATGGGCAGCCTCTTTTCGGCCACGCTGAGCGCCTCGGGGTGCGGCTGGACCTGCTGCACGGGCAGAGCCGGCGCAGGCACGGCACGCTCGCCCACCTCGGTTGCGACGGGCTTCTGGGTTGGAGCGCCATCCACGACATCGGGCGAGGTGAGACTTGTGCTTGCCACGCTCGCTTCCGATGAGGTCGGAGCACTCGTTGCGGCGCTCACCGTCTCTGCTGCCGGGCTGTCCTGGGCAGGGACTGCCAGCTGTGCTTCGGCAACAGCGCCGTTGGTCTTGGGCGCAGCGCCATCCACGTCCGCGGTCGCCTGAGGCTGAGCCGCCTGTTGCCCCTCCGCGAGAGGTGCGCTTGGCTGCGGCGCGTCAAGCTGGGGAAGCAAGAAGGAGCCAAAGCCGTTCATGCCCTTCATCTGCTCGGACAGATTGCGCTGATGAGCAGGGCGCGCGTCGGCGGCACTTGCTTGCGGCACGACTTGTGCTGGAGTCTGTGCTGCAACGTGTGCTGAGGCTGCGTTTTGGAGCTCGGTCGGGTAGACGGGCACCGCCGTGTCTGCCAGAGCCTTGAGATCGTAGGCAGTGTGGAACTTTTCCGGCGATACGTCGGCACCTGCGACGCCCTGCAGGTTAGCCATGCTCTGCGGCGGAGTCGCAAACTGGCCAACGGTCTCGGAGGCCACCAGCGCGCCTGTCTGTGGTACTGGAGCGACGTCCGCCTTCTGCTTGCCCAAGGCCTTGGCCGAGGGCGAGGCGGGCACAGCAGCGGCAGATACGCGTGTCGAATCGGCACTGGTGCGATCCTTGGCCGACTCGGCGAGAGACGAGCGCTCGCTCTTGACCGAGCTGGATCCGATCGAGTCGACGGAGGCGTCGCGCTTGTGCTTGTCCTTCTTCGCCTTCTTTTCCTTCTTTTCCTTCTTGTCCTTGCTGGGCGAACGGAACTGGATGCCAAAGAGGGTATCGGCGAGGGAGCGGCTAGGCTTTGCCTTGGGTGTAGACTGGATGAGCGAAGTCTTGTCCTTGCCAAGCGCGACGGGAGCTGCCTTGATCGGCGTTGCTTGGCTGCTGTGCCCTGCCGACGGCGCCGATGCTGCGCTCGCCAGGCTGTTCTGGGAGAGCGACGCGGGCAAGGTGCTGCGTGTATCCTCAGCGGGGCGTCGCGGCGACTCGGGCTCAAGTCTACCCTGAGAGATGAGCAGGCCGCCCATCTCGGTGGGTCGCTTCGCCTTGGGCCTTGGGCGATTCAGCACCGACACCTTGGGTTCGGCCAAGTCGCTAGCGTCGACTGTCTTGGGTTCTGTAAGGGTGACGTCGCCGGCATCTTCGGCCGCTTGCTGGTCTGCGCCCTCGCTGCCATTGGCCTGGTTGAGCAGCCAGACAGCTGCGAGGCTCGGCGCAAGGTCGGTGCTGGCGCTGTTGCGCTTGTTGCCGTCGGCAGCAGTGGCAGCGGCGGCCTCTGCGCGCTTTTGTCGCACCTCCATGACGGCACTCTCGGTCTCGGTATCCACTGCGTCCGAGGAACGAGCAACGGGCGCGGAGGAAGTGGTGATCGGAGCACTCTTGTAAGCCGAGGCCGGGGCCGCGACAGGCTGCTCGCTCTCGGGGACGAGCTTGTTGACAGTGGTATCGGAGTGATCAAAGCGGTCGAATCTGTCGAGCATGTTCGAGATGGAGGGACCGAAGAAGTCCTCGCCAAGGTTCATCTTGCGTAGACGCTGTTGCTCTGCGAGCGACTTTGCCCTGAGCTCGGCGTCGTCGTCGGAGAGGTCTGCGTCCACATCCGAGTCGTCGTCGCCGTTCTGACGCATGGAGGAGCCGGAGCGTCCGAGGATGCCGCTGACGGCGAAGGAGGTGCCGAGACTGATTTCGCTGAGACGTCGCTGGGCGGTGTCTGGTCGGGATGCTTTCGAGGCGCGGTTGGTGCGGCGCTGGGAAGGAGAGATGGAAGCCGTGTCTGCCGAAATGCTCTCGGTCGATGGCTTTGTGCGCACACGTGGCCTTGCGATGGATGCCACCGGAGATGCCTCGCTGTTGGCTTCGTCGGCTGCCTCCTTGGCAACGGGAGAGCTGCGCCCGCTCGTGGCCGACTGGTATTCGCTGAACTCGGATGCACGAGAGACGAGCTGCGGCCTCTGAGCGTCCACGGCGAGCTGTGGGGGCAGCGACTCTGGCTGAACTGCAGCGGCATCGGCGTTGGTGTGGCCAGCGGCGGAAGGCTCGGTGACGTGGATGCTGACGCCCGAGATGGCCGCAGCCGCAGCATCTTCACTTGCGTCGGTTTGACTCTGCATGGAGGCCTGTCGTCGATGCAGCCTTGCCTCGAATTCTTGGTAGTTCGCTCTGGGACCCTTGCCTTTGACGGAGTTGTGCGAGAGCATTTCGCGGTGGTTGTGACCGATGCTGGAGCCATCTTCGTCCTCTTCGGCGACGACGTCAAGCGTAGGCTGGCCGCCGCCCACGAGACCCTCGTCGGAGGACGCTTCGGACTCTTCGGACTCGTCCGACTCTTCCGACTCTTCTGTCTCTTCCGGCGTGGCCTGCTGTGACGGAGCCTGCTCTGCGACTGCCTCGACCTCGTCGGCATCCTCTTGCTCCTGGATGCGGTCTGCGAGGTACTGCGCCGTGGTGGGTGGTGCAGCAGCAGCGATAGGCGGCGGGGTGGAGCTGGAGGACGCTAGCTCGGTTGACGGTTGAGCGGCGTACTGCGTCGGGGCAGGCTGCACAGCGGCACGAGGCGCGGCCACGGCGACGGGCGCGTAAGTCTGCGTGGGACTCTGAGGAGGCAAAGCTGGCGCTTGGGCGACTGCTGCAGTGGCTGGTTGAGCGTATTGCTGAGGTGCCGTTGCGAAGTTGGCCTGCGCGTGCGGGAGCTGTGCGACCGGAACAGGGACATACACTACTTGCTGGGGCTGAGGAGGCGGCGGTGACTGCGCCGGAGAGAAGGCAGCGGGCGCTGCGGCGACCACGCCTGGAGGCAGCATGGCTTGCGGAGGCAGGTCTGTGTCGGACATGACGGCAGCGGCGTGGAGCGACATGGAGGCGGGATGCTGCGCCACGTTGACCGAGGAGGTGGAGGCGACGGGCGAGTAGACGGGCGAGATGGGCGCGACGATCTGGCCGGGCTGGAGATGAACGGCAGCGACCTGTGGCCCCGAGAGGGGCGAGACGGGTGTGGGAGGCATGTCGCCGATGACCTGGGATGCCGCGCGCGCGAGGAGGTCCTGCTGGACGACGCCGGGATCGCGCTGTACCTGCTGGAACTGTGCATCCTGTTCGAGCTCCTTCTTGATGCGGCTTGCGACCATGCTGCTGCGCTTCTCGGGGTTGCGGGGCTGCTTGGGAGCGAGGGTGGGCATGCTTTCCCACACCTTTGCGGTGTCGGTGCCAGACATGGACTTGACGAAGGAGTTCCAGTCGTTGGAACCATTAGCAGGAGCGCGTCTTGTGGATTGGGAGCGACCCATGGAGGCGGCAGGGCTGACTGGACGGTTGAGATCGGTTGTGGAAGCGAGCTGGGAGGCAGTGGAGCGGGTAAGGGAGGTGGCGGAAGCCTGGCGCATGAGGCTGGGCTGCTGCTGGCCTAAGGGAGCCACTCCGGACTGTCGTTTCAAGGCGGACATGGAGGCCTTGCTAGAAAGCGAGGGCATGGGCGGCTGGGAAGGGTGGGAAGAGTAGCGAATCCTGCTGGATGTGGGTGCGCCGTAGTCGCTGCGTGCGCCACGAGGAGGGGCGGAGGCCTTGAGCGAGTCCGAAATGTATGGGAAGCCGGGAGGTCCTGATGCTTCGGGTTCGGAGAAGACGCTGCCGGCGACGCTGGGTGGTCTGGAGGAGTACTTGTTGCGAGAGCCGCTCTCCCACCATCTTCCCTTTCTGGGGCTGGTTGTGATTTCGGAAGGAGCGATGCTGCTAGCGCCGTCGTGGTAGATGCTGGCGCCCGAGATGGAAGGGGCGCGATTCTTTTTGCGACCGAACATGCTGAATCGGCTTGTGTTGCTCCTGCCGGACATGACGGAGGGAGCCTGGCTGTAGACGCCGCCGCCGCCGTTGCGACTGAGGGAGCCTGCGCCGTTGGCACTGAACATGTTGCCGGCGAGGATGGAGTCTGGCTTGTTGGGCGCATTGGGGAGGTCTGTGGGCGCGTGGCCAGCATGGCGGGAGGGTTTGGTGGGGACGGGTTCGGTGTACCTCTGGGAGGGCCGGTTGAGGATGGTGTCCATGAAGCTGTGCTTGGTCATGTTGGCGTATGATGCGGCTCAAGCCGAGCCGGGCGTGGTGTGAGGGGGTATGGTGAGACGATTTGTGTTTGTACGTAGCAGCAGCCGATTGAGCGGCAGGGTGATCAAGAGCAAGCCATTCGCGCGTGAGCTGGTTGCCGAGAAGTCACAAGACGAGGAGCATGGATCCGGGCATGAGATGTGACGATCCGGGATGGGCGGGGTGGATTGGCGGTGTGGTGGAGGTGGTGGTGGAGGTGGTGGAGGAGGAGGAGGAGGGTCGAGCGCTGGGAGGGAGGAGGAGGAGGAGCCGAAGCGGCTGGGAAGTTCCGGGCGTCAGCACCAACGGCGTCGGAGGAAGCAGATGTAGCTCGCTCGGATGGAGCAGCAGCGGTCGGCGGATTGGCGGATTGGCGGATGGCTGGGCAGATCGAGCTGATGGGCGTGGAGCGACTGCCAATTCGAGCCGTCCATCGGCCGCGCTGATTTGTGTATTTTGGCATCCGAAATGGCCGCTGCGCTGCTGCCGCACGGCGATCCAAATCCAATTTTTCCAAAATCCTATTATTTTAATAAAAAAAGGGCGAAAATTGCATGCTCACCGCGCTCACCACCGCACACCGCGCAGATGCCGTGCAGCTTGCGTTCGGGCGCCCAATTCTCCAAGCACCGGCGACTGACGACAGCCAACAGAGGCCAATTGCAACTCAGCGGGCACGCCCTCAACATCGCCAAATGAAGTCCTAGCGCAGATGCTGCCGTGGCCTGAGTCGACGTTGATGCTGAGTATCGCCCTCAGAGTGAGGTTGGCAACCGCTGCTCAAGAATCTAGTTGCATGTTCAGTAGCGTACGCATGCTTGCGTGCGTGTGTGCGCGAGGGGCTCGGCTGCAAAAGCGCCGACGGAGCAGTGCGGCGCAAGCTCGAAGGGCTCATCGGCTAAGAGCTGTTGGACAGGCAAGCTGCGCTCCGAAGCGGCTGCGCGTCAAAGGCAGATGCAGTAGAGTGGGTGCCGGTTTATTTTTGGTGCTCCCCAAGATCGCACCGCCAACCGAGCCGACCAAAAGGGCCCAACCCCAGGACCCTCGATTGTTCGTCTTGGCGGGCCTCCATCACTGCTGTGCTTTGAATCAGCGAGTACTGTACGAGTGCCATGCATTCATACCGGGAGACAACCACGCCATGGTCATCGTCTCGCCCGCCAAAAAGGCAGCGCAGGGCAAGGATCGTAATCAAGGTTTGGCGGCTTGAAATGGAAGAACCAGTGTTCTACGGCGATCGACCTGTCAAGTTGCCGTCGCCTTGAATCATGCCGGCCAGCCAGCCAGCCAGCGCTTCTTGGCTGATTGCAGATCGCAGCGATTGCAGTGCGACATGGGGAAATCCAGCCAAGACTCATTTCAAAATCGCGCACAAAAAAAGCAGGGCAAAAAACGTGCCTCGCGGATCTTGACCCTCTGTGATGCGCTCACTCTGCATGAACCTCCTGCAAGACCTCGTTCCTCATCTCGCTCCCTTGTCCCTGGCTCGATGAGTGCACCGAGACAAAAAGCCGTCAGCTGATGCCCCTCAGCTTTCGCACAGATAGCATTGTCTGCCGGCTCGATTCCAGAATGTTTGCTCGGTCCGCGCCATAGATCTTCGCACTCCCTACACAGGACCCTCGGCGCCAAGCCTGGTCGGAAGCGGCTCAGCGGAAGCATGGTTGGTGCCGTGCCTGCCAACGTGCATTCGCCTAGCCTGCGCTGCAGCCCTCGAACCTGACAACCGAACTCAGGGCCCACAGCCGGCCGCGGTCTAACATTGGCTATCAAAGCACACAGCTCGGCCCAGAAGCGATACAGCCTCAGATTCGCACAGCATCCGATAGGAAGCCAGTAGATTTGGCGCTCGGAATCCGAACCAGATCCATGTTGATAAATGAAATCAAGAAAAAACCAAGAGAAAAATGTGGCCCAAATTCTTCCTCTAAAATCACCACGATGGCTCGGACGTTCCTGTGCGTTTCGCAACAACCTATCCCCATGGACGCTGTACATCCGCAATATCACAGGCGGGCGGTGTGATCAGACATATGACAGCGTTAGCTTTGATGATCACGATTGGACACGTAGCCTCTTGTGCGTGATGAGCGCGGTGGCATTTCATGCAACTAGACGACAAAGGGCACTGCCGCGCGGCACCACGCCGAAATGTCGCCATGAATCCGCCCAACTAACGCGGCACGCTCGAGCCCCTCGATAGCCACACCCACCTGCCATTCAGCTCATCACCTACGCCAACGCCATTGTTTGCCCCCACCTTAGCACTTGCAGCTTCGGGACCCTGCCCAATGCACCCTCATAGATGCACTCCCGTAGCGCGGTCCGGGCAACCCACTCACGAATATAAAGAGCGAGTGAAGGAAAGCAAACTTTCCCCCGACTTCACAAGCTCTCCCTTACACCATTCCCTTTGGATCAAGCCATCCGTCAGCTCGTGATAGCCAAACGTCAAGATGGCGGACAGCCTGCAACGCCTTCAGGCGAGGTTTCAGCGCATGCTCCTGACCAACCTGGCAGGCATTCGAGCTCTCAGCACTCTTCCTCAAGGCGGTCGAGGCACCGGTCCGCGTGTGTATCAGCCTCGGCTCATCTCAGCCACGAGGCGATCGGGTGGATCGCGACTTCTGTCCCCTCACCCACGATCCATCGATCCCGAGCAGCGCTACCGACGCGAGCAACGCGCTGCAGCCTTCCTCGAATCCGTCGCGGACCTCGCCCACGGCACCGACGACGAATGGATCGATGAGGATCTTCAGCGGCGTCCCGATCGGCGCTACCACGAGCGAAGCTATGCCGATGCTGCTGCTGCGCGCGAACGCCAAGCCATCCTGGCCATGGCGCAAGGCACGCTCGAGCTCTCACGCACCACGCTCGAGTTGGTCCAGAGCCTCGTCCCAAAGCCGCGTGAGTCAGTCCTGCTCCGGGCAGTGCGCAAGGTGGCAAAGTGGCCAGGCGCTTTCTATCGTGCACTTGTGCGGCCAGCGCTTGTGGCGAACCTCCGCTGGATCGGAGCGGTTCCCCGTCAGATACTGGGCAAGATCGTCCGCGGGATTGCGAGCGCCTACGTATCGGCGGTGACGGTTGGCGTCCGCACCCGCGCCCGAGACAAAACGATAGGCCCAGCACCCAAAGCGACGCCGCGACAGAAGGCCCGATCGATCCTCGGCATTGCGTTCGTGCTCGGATCGCTGCACTCGCTCGGACCTTACATTCGCATCTTTTCGCCCGACTTCTTTGCGCCGCTCATTTCGCCGCCGGGTATCGAGCAGATGATCGGCGTGCTCGTCCACACCGCCTCGCTGCCCCTCCTCCTCGGTTCGGTCGCCACCGCAAAGTACTTTGCGCATCGCTTGCGCACAAACTCTGGCGACGGATCTTCGCGAAAGCGCCGAAACCGCTCGGCCCGCCACGACCCCACACCCCCTTTGGAGTAGCTACACACCCAAAGCACAAGCCGCGCACATCGTAGAATCCAAAGGACCTTGACCCTGTTGTAGCGAGCATATATTGCAGACCGTGTGTGTGTGTGCTAGTTGGACTTGAGCGTGCGCTGTTTCTCGGCGGCCTCGACGATGCGTTGTGTGACGAAAAGGCCCTGCACGAACAATGCCAAGTCAGCTCTGGTACGCTTTTCTGTTGTGTGCACTCAGTTTGTAGACTTACCTTTCGCTTGCGCACGGCGTCCATGTACTTCTTGGCGACATTTTCCCTGTCACCCTTTTCGCCTAGATCCTCGAGCTCCTCCTCTGTCCTGGGCACCCAGAAGGGGTCGAGGTCGAACATTTCGAATCCCTTAAAAATCAGCTGGGGCGAAGCGGCTCCGCTGGTGCGTTTACGAATCTCGTCTGCGAATCCGAAACTCTCCACGACAGGCAGCAAACTGCCGACCGTGAAGAAGCTGGTTCCCTCCTTCATCTCTTCCGAGATGATCTTTCCGCGACGCTTGGCTAGCACCGCATGCACCTTGCCGAGGACCTCGGTGGATGCTTGAATGTCGCACGAATACATGGCGAGCATGAGTCGCGGTGACCAGTCGAGCAGCGCGGATTTGCAGCTCTCGCGGAAAGTCGACATGAGCGGTCCCGTAACCGAACCGGTCGCTGACGAGGCAGAGAGAGATTCGATGAAGAACGCAACGCCCTGCATCGGTTCTGCGCACAAAGGCCCGGCAGAAGTCGCCATCTGGAAGCCCGAATCAATGCTCTCGTTAAGCGCAGCCAGGTTGACAACCGACCGTCCGGGATCGTCAGAAACGTTCATCTGATCCAGCGCCTCGGACAGCTTTTCAACACCTACAGCCTGCGAGTCGACATGCGCAGGTGTGCCGATTCCAGACGACTGACGTGTAGCCGCACGAGATGGGTCGGTCCGGTTGCGCAACGACACCCGTCCACCCGTTCGGTCCACCAAGATGTTCGCGCCCACCCTGCGCGGGCCGAACGAGACGATCTTCTCGACCACCTCTCGCCAGTCCTCGCCCGTCTTGTCCTGCCCGCACCTGTCGAGCACCGTCTGCAGCGTCTGCCAGAACTTGTCCGCACGCACCGTCTTGCTCGCCTGCGACCCCGCCGCGTCCACGCTGCCGGAATCGTCCTCACCCTCCGCCGACGATCCGCGGTTCTGCAGTCGCCGCAGCGTCTGCGTGTTGGCCAGCAAAAGCTCCACCACCGGCTGCGGCAGTGGCACCGCACGCACGCGGTACGTCACAGCACCACTGGCAACGTTACCGTCAACCGTGCCGCGCGGGGCACCGTCGACTTTGGGCGGCGCCATCTCGGGCGCGCGCACGCACGTCTCGCGGAACGGCACCAGCGGCGCACTCACCTGGATCTCGCACTTTGCAAACCGCTCGCGCAGATCCTTCAGACACCGCTCCAGATGCAGCTCGCCCGCAGTGAGGATGACGTGCTCGCCCGTATCCTGCACCAGCGACTCCACACACGGATCCGCCTGGTTGAGCAGCTTGAGGCCCTCGACGAGCTTCGGCATGTCCTGCGGGTTCATCGGTTCGAGCGCCACGCGCACGATGGGCGCCGACAGCATGTTGATCCCCGCGAGGTGGACGAACGTCGACGCTGCCATGCGCGCGTCGATGGAGGCGGCGTCTTGGTGGCGCTCGATCGCGTAGCTCTGCACGAGCGACGGCGCACACAGCGTAGCGTTGCGAAGCACTCGGCCTTCCATACCGCGGATGGCAAATACGTTGCCCGCGGGCACCTCGTTGACCGCCAGCAGGTCGCGGCCCATCACCATGTACAAGGCCTCCAGCTGCACCGCCTTGATGTGCTTGGCGTTCGACGCGTGCGACGGCGCCAGCTGCGTGTTGTACTTGGGCAGCAGCGCGTACATCCACTGCCCTACGCGCAGCGTGCCCGAGTACAGCCTGGCAAAGCCCAGCACCACCTCGTCCGAGCCCTCTTCCTCCTGCTCTTCCGCTGCGTCTTTCTCGGCCTGTGCTTCCGCCTCGCGCTGCGCACGTGCAGCGCGCTGCGCCTCGGCTTCCTCGAGACTGGTGCCGTTCGCCTTGCTGTCCCCGTCGGCCGCGCCGTCTTCCATGCTCGCGCCCGTGGCGGCGAGAGCGGCACGCACGGCGCTCTGACGCTCCCGGCTCTCCTTTGCGCGTTCGCGCATCTGCTCGGCCGTGAGCGGCGCCTTCTTGGCCTCGGGCAGATCCTCCTTCTTGACCGCAAACATCTTGGACACGTATGCGACGCGGTTCGACTTGGGCCCGATCTCGGCGTTCATCAGATGCTCCTCGAGCGGCGTCTTGGCCTGGTAGCTGCCGCGGTCAAAGTAGCTCATGTCCGGATTGAGCATCATGGGGATGCGTTTGGCCTGCGCCTTGCTCGTGGGCGGGATGACGTAGATGATGGCTGCAAATGCGCAGCTCGCCAGCGGCAGCCACTGGCTCACCACCGCCTTGATGAGCGTCGAGGCATCCTTGGACTTGAGGTCGCGCGGATGCACCTTGAGGTTGAGCGACGAGACGATCTTTTCGATCTTGTCCTGGTCGCGGTTCTCGATGATGGCGTCGTAGACGGACCAGATGTTCTCGAGCACAAACTGCACAAACATCGGCTTGAGCGGACGCTTCTCCTTCTCCTTCTGCTTCTGGCTGAGCACGCGCTTGGTCTTGGGGTCAAAGTAGAAGTCGCCCCACAGCACCTTGCGCAGCTTGTGCTCCTGGATGCCCATCTTCTTGGCGTAGAGCATGGCGAAGCGCTCCAGACGGAACGCCCAGTTGTCCATGGCCGAGGCAAAGATGACGTTGCCCTTGGACGGGTCAAAGTAGATGTCTTCGTCGTCCCTCTCCTCGCGGTCGTTGTCGTCGTTGTCGTCGTCGGCTGCATCGTCGCCGGTGGCTGCGGCGATCGAGTCGTTCTTGGCCTGCTTGCGTGCGGCGATGCGCTTCTCGCGCTCCTCGTGCCAGCGCTCGTCGTCGTCCATGCGCGCCGAGGCGAAGAACGACCCGACCACGGCGTTGACCTGCTCGATGACCTGGATGAGATGGTGGTAGGCCTCGTTCGGCGAGAGTTTGAGTTCTGTGATGAGGCGATCCACCTTGTTGAGCACGAGGATGGGCTCGAGACCGTCCTGCCATGCCTGGCGCAACACGGTGACCGTCTGTGCACACACCCCCTCCACGACGTCGACGATGAGCAGCGCACCGTCGCAGAGCCTGGAGGCGGTGGATACCTCGGATGAGAAGTCGACGTGGCCGGGCGTGTCGATGAGATTGATCATAAAGTCCTGGATCGGAGGCAGATTGTCGGGATCCCAGCCCTTGGTAGGGTCGTGCACGCGCATCTTGACTGAGAGCGAGACGGCGGACGCCTCCATGGTGATGCCTCGTTCCTGCTCATCCTCTCTGGAGTCAAGGTAGCGGATCTGACCCGCCATGCGCGCCGAGATGATGTTGTTGGCCGCGAGCAGCGAGTCGGCAAACGAAGACTTGCCGTGGTCGACGTGGCCGATCAACGTGCAGCAGCGCACATTGTGCGAGCTGAATCGCTTGCCGTCCGTCGCCATCTTGAGAGACGAAGAGGGCGAGGCTGCGATTGTCCAAAGCTGGCTTGCACGGTCGTTTGCTGTGATGAGCAGACGCTTCGACGGCAAGATAGGTTGTGGTGGTCGGACCACACGGGAAGCTCAGTCGCTCGTCATAGCTGAGTCGTTCCTCGGAAGCAACTTTTTCTCGCTGTGGAGGTGTTGCCCGATTTTGTACTTCATCGGGTCGTAGGAGAGCCACGGAAGTCGGAATTGCGGGCATTTCTCCACCCGCGGCATCTTTTGGGGCGCACGTCAAGTTCGGCTAGATTCGATTCTCTCGCTCGCGCTCGTGCTCTGACCTCGACTACCACCACGACGCCATGGCCGAGAAGCGCAAGACATCACCGCCCATCTCGTACCGCGAGGCTGCGCTCGTCAAGAGGCAGCGACACGATGCGGATGACGGTGCAGCGGGATCGCAGCAGATCGCCATCGCCTCTTCCAAGGATGGCCAGGACAAGGGCCTCGTCCGCTCGGTCAAGCGAACCTCGTCTCTGTCGCACCCTATCCTCGGCCTGACTGGCGCACATACATCGGAAATCCTGGATACCAAGTTTTCGCGCGATGGATCTCGCATCGCTGCCGCTTCGGCCGACCGCACCATCTCCATCTGGAGCGTATACGGCGACTGCGCCAACATCGGCGTGCTCAAAGGCCACTCCAAGGCGGTGACGTGTCTAGCATTCAGCAACACCCTCTCGGACGCGCTCTACTCTGGCTCAGCAGATGGAACGCTCATTTCATGGAGTCTCGCTACCGGCGAAAAGCAGCGCCGCTTACGAGGCCACCGGGCCATCGTCAACTGTGTCTCGGCGACGCGGTCGGGTCCCGAATTGCTCGTGTCTGGCTCGGACGACGGCAAGGTGATGATCTGGGACCCACAAGCTAAGGAGCCCCTCGACGTGCTCGATGTTGGATACCCGGTGACGGCAGTTGCATTCTCGGACGACTCGAGCCAGATCTACATTGGCGGCATCGACAACCAGGTGCACATCTACGACCTTGCGCGCAAGACGAGCGTGCTTTCGCTGCGCGGGCACATGGACACCATCACGTGCGTTTCGCTGTCGCCCTCGGGATCGCATCTGTTGACGACGTCGTTTGACGATACGCTGCGCATCTGGGACGTGCGTCCGTTTGCGCCCGAGCCCAATCCGGCCGATCCCAACGCAAACGCAGCCAATCCAAGACTCTATCGCACGCTGCGCGGGACGACGTTTGGCGGATTCGAGAACTTGCTCATCAAGGCGGGATGGAGTGCGGATGGCGAGAAGGTCGTGGCGGGAGGCGCGGATCGAACATGCACCATCTGGGACGTGGAGTCGTCGACGATTTTGTACAAGCTGCCCGGTCATAGAGGCACGTGCACCGCCGCAGTCTTCCATCCGCGCGAGCCGGTCGTCGTGTCCTGCTCCACCGATATGACGCTCCTGCTCGGCGAAATCGACCCGTAGTCTCAGTGCATTTGGCACGAGCACCACGCTGTAGAGTCACGGTAATCTGCATTTCTGTCATTTGCGATCTAGACAAGGCTTGGTTTTGGGGTCGGGGTCAAAAGTGGTGCTTTCGTTCCAATCGGGGCTTAGACCTGCATCGAGAACGATATGGATGGAGTGTGCGATACACTGGGTGGAGAGAAGACAGCTTGCTCCAGCTGCGTGTCGCAAACGCAGCAAAAAGGTCAGATCAAGGACTCTACCAAATCGGAAAAAGGTGGCGGAGAAGGAGGACATACCTTGCTGAGACGGTCGCTGAGCTGGGTGCAGGTGTCGGTGGTGTTGATGAGGCGGTTCTGCATGGCTACCAACGCGTGCTGCATGGTGCACAGCTCGCCTGCCTTTTCGAGACGGCACACGATCTCGTGCAGCGTCTTGTCGCTTCCCGCCCTCGCCTCTGCACTCTGGATGGCGTTGGTGGACTGCGTGGCTTGCGGGGTCGTATCAGTGCTGGTGGGGGTGCTGCCCGTGGCGTGTGAAACGACAATGCTCGGTACCGCACCCACTTCTCTGCCCTGCTTTGGGGCGGAAGGCTGGACGGGATCAGCGTCAAAGTGCAGGTCGATGAGCGAGCCTTCGAGCAAGTCGATCTCCTTCTCCGTCGCGCCTGCGTTGGCCGTAGGCTCGGCATTCGTGAGCGAAGGCACCTGCGAGAGACGGTCTTCGATCTTGCACCGGAGCAGGAACACGAGCATGAGACCGGGACGCTTCTGGAAGAGCTTGTACATCTTGTCTGGGTGGCGACGGATCATGGCGTCGAGCGTCTCGATGTGCGGCGTTGCGCGAGCTTCCAGCACCGAAAGCGTGGTCCGCGCTGCGTCAACCGAGCTTCGACGCTCCCCGTCTTCAGCTCCAATTCCGAGGTGAGACGTAGGCTTGTCGGACTCTGGCACGCCGTCGAGAATCGATGTCGTTTCGGGGCTGATGCAAGCTTGCGTGCGCAGCGCTGCTCGAGCGAGTCGCTCGAACTGCGAGTCGGTGAGTCGAGCAATGTGGCGCGTGCCGACACCTTGGCAGCCGTTAGTGTTCGTCTTGGCATCATGCTCGCGCGAGTCACGGTGATCACGGCTTTCTTTGTGACGCTTCTCCTCGGCGCGGCGATGCCCACCGTTGGGGAGTGCTCGAGGCTTCAACACTGGCGTCTTCTGCGGATCGTCAACCTGGCTTCGGCTTTTGTTGTCCTTCGAGAGCGGGCTGCGACTGATCGAGGTCAGGTGGGATGACAGGCCTCCGTCCGTGTACATGCCCGAGTGGGCGGAAGCGCACTGCGAGCCAAGCACGGATGGCGCGTTGGTGATCTGCACGCGCCACGTCTGGATCCTATTGATCGCCTCGGGCTCGGACTCGTTGGCGAACATCGAGGTGGCAGCGCTCGAGGCATGTGCGTGCACCTTTCCGAACGTCTCGTGCCTCGGGAATCCGGGCGAGGCGTCGGGACGCCAGCCACACTGCGCCTCGCGACTGCTGTCGGCAAGCCGAGTGTTGTCCGAGGAAAAGTCGGACCGAGGCTTGCGTCGGCGAGCGGACGATGAGACGAGGCTCTCGAGCTCGTCGGCGAGTCGGTGCGCGTCCACTTGGTGGTTGGCGCGGTATGCTCGAGGCTTGTCGGCGTTGGTGCCGTCGCCATGCGTGTGGATGTGAGCTGCTGCACGTGCAAATTGATCGACTCGGTCCTTGTGTTGGAATATGCCGAGACCTAACGCTGAAGCCGGAAGAGGGTGTGGGTTGAAGCTGTCCACTTTGCCAAAGCGAGCGACAGGAGCATGCACCGGCGTCGGCGGGAGTGGACGGCTGACCGATCGGACCGCAGGCGGAACAGCTGGACGCGATACACCCATATGCGCAAAGTCAGGTCGACCCTTGCCAAGCGCATCCTCGATACCGTTGACATGCCTTTTCTTTGGGCTCATCGCCACCGGTGGGACCGAAATCGGCGTCGGGGGTCGGGGCAGTTGCGGAAGAGGCGGCAGTGGATGCAGAGTTGAGGTGCTGCTGCCTTCAGGGTCAAGACGCTCTCGGATCGCCTCGAGAACCGCAACCGCCTCGCGTTGGCTGACTTGAGCTGCTACATCAGATGCCTCTAGCTGAGGATTACGAGCTTGATGACCCGCTGGGACTTCGTTGACAACCTGCGTGGGTGAAGTCTGTACAGTGTCTTCGCTATCCGACGTATCGATAGGAAGCTGAACAGCCGCAGACTCGGCCTGCTCCTTGGGGCTGGAGAGGAACCGAGCCACGGCTTTGATTTTGGCTCTGACACCTCGAAAGCGTTTATTGGGCTGTGCCGCAAAGGCGTCCTGATCGACGCTGGATCGAAGGCTACCAGCTGTGTCGGGAATGATGGTGAGAGGGTGCCAGTGCACATGCTTGGCATCGCGAACAACGTCGCTGTCCGATATCGTCGTAGAGAGGCTCGGCGTGTCGGGGCGACTGACAACGCTGCCATCATCCGGAGAGCCGTACATGACGATAGAGAGGGAGCCACGGGTACGGAAAGGCTGACTCTAAGTAAGAGGGGATCCTACGATTCGCAACAGCTCCTTTTAAGCAACAGAGCCAGACAGCAATGACGGGCTTTCAATGACCTCGTACAACAGGCACAAGCACACAGCGGACTTTGTCAGGGTATATTCGATGTGCGGAACAAGAGGGAGAATGTCTGTCGACATGGGTGGGTACTAGATTAAGCTCGCCTCCGTGGCGGTACGGAGGAGAGGTGTGGTATAGATGATGCGGTGACCGTCCAGGTCGCACAGATGCAGTTCCTGTGCGTCCCATGGCGTCTGCTGGATCCCGCCGAGAAGCTTTGCACCGTCGGACAAATGCGCGACGCCGTACGCGTCGTGTGCGGCTTTGGCCTGGTCGAGCCTCCACTCGTTGAGCTTTGCGGTGAGAAGCGAGTGCATCGCCTCCAGGTTGCCACTGCACTCTACCAGCACAGTCGCGCCCGAGGGTGCAGAGGCTGCGGAGCGCAAAGGCAGACTCGTGGCGGAAAGCTTGAGCGGGCCAGGCTCCGTGCCAGAGTGGCTCAGAGATTCGGGTGGCAGCCACGACTGGGTCTTCTCAGGCTCCTCTTCTGGCGTGGGCGGGAGCACTGCGTGTCCGCTTCCGAGCGGATCGATCCTGGCGCCATTCTGAGCCGTGGAAATCAAGCTCAGGCGCGAGAAGTTGCTCACCGCGGTCGGCGGCGGTGCATGGCGAAGGCTGCGCAGGCACACGGTTGCTGCTGAAGAGCCCATGACCGCTTGCACGTCCTCCGAATGCGAAAGGCAGGAGAAGCCCAAGACGCGGGTATAGAAGGCCATGGAGCTGGCAAGGTCCTTGACTGGCAGCAGCGTCATGCCCTTGAAAGAGGAGGGTGCAGGGCCCACACCTGAACGCTTGCTCTCTTCGATGGGGGAGATGGGCAGATCATCGGAAAGCTTGCTGCAAAGTGAGAGCGGAGGCGAGAGGAGGGTGATGTCTTGAGCAAGAATGAGCGAGTGCATGGCAAAGTGCATGCGCGACTTGCGCTGCGCCTCTCTGCGCTCTGCGGACATGCCGGTGCTCCTGCGCCGAGCCAATTCGCTGTTGGGGTCGAGTCCGGTGAAGATGCGGATGCGCTCTGCAAGTTCGTCTTCCGAATCGGCGTCGTCCTTCTTGGCCGGCTGGGAGCTGAAGCGGCCAGCCTTTGCGAGGAAGCGCTCGGCTTCCGCTCGGTTGTGGAACTGCTGCAGCAAAGGTCCAGGAAACTGCGCCGGGGTGGGAAATAACAGAATCAAGGTTAGGGTGCCACTCTGCGGATGAAAGCTTTGTGATTGTTGAAAGGAAAGGAGCGAGCACTTACGTTTCGAATTTGGCGCTGAGCTTCTTCCTTTGTCGTGTAGATGCCCTTCTTCCATCCGCGTCCGACAGCATAGAACAAAGAATCGACGGATTCGGTGCCAGCAGGGTCCACAACGACGTCATATCGGGGAGGTTGGTCCACGTCCGAGTCGTCGGCGGACTGAGGTTGGCGCACAACGATGCGCTCTGACACGATGGTGCTGAAGCGAGATTGGGACGCGCTGCTGTTGATAGCGAATGGCGACTGGGGCCGAGCAAGTGGAGCGACGACCTTGGGCGGCGACGATGAGACGCGTGCAGAGTTGTTCGAGGAGCATCGAGCGCGCACGGTGGATTGAATCCGCGGCGCTGGCAGAGCCTCGTGGACAATGGGAACGAAGAGCGGCTGCTCGTCTGCATGCGGGCTGCCGAGCTTGTTCAGTCGACGTGGGCTGCGGCTTGTCGAACTTTGTCCGAACTCGTGGCCAGCGTGTGCCTCTGCCGTGGCGGGTCGCTCGATTGCGTGGGAGTGTGGCATCCGACTCTTTCGGTTTCCCCGATAGCTGGCGGAGCGGACATGGTTGATGCTCGAATAGCCAAGGCCGTAGTCGGCAGGCCCCGAGAACGAGGTCGGCTCTTCCGCCGTGGTCGTATTGTTGGGGGTCGAGTTGGGGCGCGAGGATGCTGCCAGTTCGACGGAGCGACGCTTGGGCCGCAGCGTGAGCTTTCCGAACAGGATCGAGTTGCGCTCTCCCATGCTGTCGGATGGTCCGATTGTTTCGGCGCGACTTCGTATAGTCACTGTGACTTTAGGGTAGGGATATGCGACGCCTCTCCTGAGCGGCACCGGACGGTGATGGGTCGGAGGAGCCGTCCGTGGAGCACAGTGCCGTGGCAACTTCGAAAGGTCGGCCTTGAAGTTGGAGGTGCGTCTGCAATTGGCAAGGTCTGGTGGGCTGTAGAGAAAGAAGCTGGGCACGAAGCGTCTGCATCGTGTGGGTTCTATATACACAGGCCACCCTTGTCCAGGGCTGGATTCAGGGCCGCCACTGCAGTCACCGCACGGTCGGAGCGAGTCCACTCGACAGACCTACGGCGACACCCGAGGGGCACAATGGCCGGCTTCGGAAGAGCGACACCCACGAGCGGCTGCCCTGAGCCCGAGCTTGCCCTGAGACAGGCAAACAACGCTGGGCAACCGGAGGCGAATGAGCCCAAGCCAGCACCACCAGCTTAGGCCTCGGCTGCAGAGCCAGCTGCTCCAATGACTTATGCAGGCCTAAAGTGGGAGAGAATTTAGAGTCTTGTACGAGTGTGCGGCGCACGCAGGTTTCTGCAGTTCTGCATGCAAGCGAAAAAGAAGCAGCGTTGAGGCGCAGCGAGGGTCCCGCGCATTTGTCGGAGAGGTCGACCAGATTGGGTCTCGCGACGCTTGTCTTGGCATAGAAGGTCGATGGATCCCCGCGCTCCTGCGCCTGCCCACTCTGCGAAAATCAATCCATGCACTCTTTCAAGGTCCGGCGAGAGACAGAGGGTGGCGGTTCCGCGCCTCCTCACCGCGGAATAACCGGTGTGGCCTTGTCGTCTTCCGCTTCATTGCCCCGCAGCCCTCTTCATTGGCTCGTAAGCAAAGATCAGACACACCGTCCCGAGCGACCGAGAGCACCGTTCGGCATGGATGACGAGGAGAGCTGTAGCTGAAGCAGGGGTGACATCAGCCCAAAGATTGGTGGCTCGGACCGACTTGCTTGGTGCGGTGCGATTCCGAGGCCAACGTGGGGGGCTGGTAGGAAAACGTGCGCCTGCCGGTCTGAAGGCGTCACCAGCAGCAGCAGCACCAGCAGAACCAGCAGCACCAGCAGCAGCGGCTGAAGCAGGGCAGCGCGATTCCGCCGCTTCTCAGACATTTAGCAATTTCAATTGGGCGGTCGCCATGGGGCCAGCCCCGTTCCGCCGGTCTCAAATCCCGTCATCCGACGCTAGCTCAGCCTCTTGCGACCTCGGCCTTTCACCGCCTTTTCCGCTCACCGGCACCCCTTCTCCCTGCACGATGCACTGATGAGAGGCGCTGCGAGAAGGGCAAATCTTTTTGGCAAATGGCTACGGAACAATCGCTGGTCGCATCGGTCCTGGGAGGGAGGATACAGTCGCAGCCATCTAAAGCTCTTGCGAAACGGGGTGCGCACGTTGCTGCCTGGAGCAGGGTGACGGCAACTCGACTGCTGTAAACCGAGATTCGGCATCCTCCGTCTTTTCTTTCTCGGAGCGCGGACGGTCGGAGCGAAGCTACGACCAGGCTTGTCCAGTCGTTGCATCATGCCGCGACTTCCACATGCTATTTTGTCGGCCGAGACTCGAGTCAAGCCTGCCTGTCCAACCTAACATCTCAGAAGAAATTTCGCTCGGCGAAAAGGAGGACACCGCAGCTGAAACACACACACACACACACACACACACACACACACACACACACACACACACACACACACACACACACGAGAACGCGTGGCTCAAGATAGCAACAAAAACACGCCCGGTTCGTCTTGGCCTGCAATGCTTGCATGTCTGCTGGCCGATCGTGCTCTGCTGCTACCCATACAGTCCATCAGCGGTACTGATCGATCGCTGCAGCGGCCTGTATTGATAGTCCTCGGAACATTGATGACCGCGGCCAAGTCAGGATGATGGGCGTGAGAGCAGCATCATGAAGGAGCTGCAAGCTGAAAATCAAGAGGGCCGGTTTTTCTGCACTGCAAAAGCAGAGCTGCAGCTCGGCATCCACACGAGTCGACAACACCCGCTCATGAGTGTCAAAGTGCCTCGGTGAAGGTGGATGCCGCCGTAAGATGAATCCGCTCACGCCGTTGTTTCTCCACCGTTTGCTCCTCCATCCATCCATCCATTCATCTTGCCGGCTCACACTCGCTCGTCTCCGTTCGCTCTCGACTCTTTCCCCTCTCTTCTTCCCCTTTTGTTTCGCTGCACGCACAGATCGCGAGGCTTCAAAGCGAGCGACAAAGGTACTTGGCCCATCCAAGTCGAGCCTCTATCGGCGCATCTCCACTCTCACTCGTTCCGCCCTTTGTTCTCGCTCGGATCTCTACCACCTAGCTTCGCGTCCACTTGACTCTTTGCTCCCCCCGATCCACTCGTTTCATCGGCGTCCGGACCTTCACTCTCCGACCATCACACATTTCCCATCTCGAATTGCTTGCGACCTCCTTTCACAGGCCATGCATCCTTGAGCCATTCGGCACCTCCATCTTTCGAGACCTACGGCATTGCATCGCGACCTGATCATATCGACAGCTGGCTCGTCGTGCAGATCTGCGCTCTCCCCTCTTTCACCCTCAACAGCATCTCGTTTCTGCATCACCGGTTGCTGGCTCAACTCGGTGAATCCTCAACAAGTCGTCCCACCGCACCGTCTCGCCATCTGTATTCGACCCGGTTCCTGTCTTTTCCTTTGCACCTCTACAGCACTCAACTGCCAGCCCTATCTCTCACCCGCGTAGGCTAGGCCGCCGCCCACCGATCCCAGCCTCCCTTCATCACAACTTCTAGCAGTGGCCACCATGTGTTGCGGAAACGCGAGCTGGAAGCGCGAAGAGGTGCCGGATCACAAGTTCGACTTCATCGACGTTCGTGACTTTCGCAACAATGGCTGCTTTCAGCAGCTCAAATACGCCTTCCTCTTCATCATGGTCGTCAAGTCGTTCGCAGTATACGTCGCCGACATCTATACGGCCGTGACCCTGCTCGCCTTTGGCCACTTTAGCGGTAGCCTGTACGACAAGGTGCAGAACGATCCTCAGAACAACTTCCGCGTGCCCATCTCGTACGGCCGCTGGATCTTTACCGGCTGCATCATCTTCTCCTTCCTGCTGCTCGCATACGAGGCGCACAAGTCGAGGGCCATCGTCAAGAGCCGCGACATCAGCTACGCATACACCAACGTCATGGCCAACAACTACTACTCGCTACGCAGCTACAACCACTTTTGCTTCTTCGACCACATCAACGACAGCAAAAAGAAGAAGGACGAGCTGGCCTTCTTCATCTTCTTCACCTTCAAGGGCTGGAAGCGTCTGCTCGTCGCCGACGGTCCGCGTCAGGTCATCAACTTCTTCACCCTGTACGGACTCGGCTCGTTTGCCAACTGGAGCACGAATCCGTACGACTACTACGAAGGCAATATCTTCACCGGCCTCATGATCCTCTCGATGCTCTTCACCGTCGCCGTGTTTGCCGGTTCGCTCATCCTGCTCATCATCGCCGCCATCGCCTACATCCCGCTGCTCTGCTACATCAAGGGCAACCTCAAGGAGTACTGCTGCCACAAGGTGGACAAGCGCGTCACCGAGCTCGTACAGCGCAAGAAGAAGCAGCGCCTCGCCAAGGTGGCCGAGATCGCTCGCAAGGAGGCGGCTGGCGACTTTTCGCATCTGATGAACAAGAAGGGCGAGATGGTAGGCACTGCCATCCCGCAGCCCACCTTGCCGACCGTCGATGTGGATCTGCTCAATGACGAAAAGCCAGGCAAGACGGGCGGGCTGCAGCGAAATACCAGCGTCGGAAGCTCGACGGCAGTGCACGGCAATGGTGGCGGCTACTACGGCAAAGGAGTGCCAGGCTACCAGTCTCCCGCTTTCGGTCCATCGCACTTCTATGGCGTCAACGCGCCTTCCACGCACAGTCTCGGATACGACAAGCCCGAGTATGCGAGCACCGCCAATCTGGTCTCCAATGCGGGACCAGCGGGAGGAGACTATGGCCGCATGCCGCACGACAACTTTGAAGCTATGGCGGATCGCATGGGGCCGATCGGAACGAGCCCGATGCTGTTCGCTCAGCGCGTCGGCGGTGCGCCCGGCCGTATCTCACCAGTGCCACCCACGGGTCCCGCAGGCGACTTTTACAACATGCACGCCACGGGGCAGCGTTCGCTGCTAGATGTCGGCAATCGCGCCGTTCCTGGACAGGCGTACGCATCCGAAGCGGGGCTCGGACGACAAAGCCCATATCCGCCATCCGGACACGATGGGTACGGCAATGCAGGCGAATCGCCGTACAATGCGCGAGGGCTCGACTATCCTCCGCCTCCCAACACCCACGGCGTGGACGGTCTCGACTATCCTCCCCCACCGCCACCCGATGTGTCTTCCTACGTCCCATATGGGGGTCACGGACACGGCGATATGCATGCTCCCGCTGTCGAGGTGTCGGTGGCATCGTCGAGCACGGCGCACGAGGACAACAACGGCCACCTCGCCGTGGGTCAAGGCACGGATGGATTCGGTGGCGAGCTGCATCCGGATCGATACAGCCACCTCAACGGAGGCTCGCGGTCGGGAGCCAACTCGTCTGCGCACAGTCCGAGCACCAGCGTGGGCGGTCTGGACGACGTGTACGACGCCTACCTCAACTCGAACACGCACTCGCCCGCCATCACGCCCGAGCAGCGCCACAGCTACATGATGAGCGACTATCCGGCAAACGGCTACGGCAACCCGCACCAACCCGAGTATCAGTACTACGAACCGCAGCATGGCGATGGTGGATCCCCTCATGGCTACAGCGGCGCTCAACAGGGCTACCATGGCTATGCTGAATCGTGGTCGCAACAAGCAAGCGGGCCTGCGCAAGAGGCGGCGCAGTATCATCAGCACGACCCTTACCACCACGGCGCCGGACAAGGCTACCAGCGTTGAACTGTTAGCAGCTCGTCCGTTCTTTCTCGCACTCGATCCGGATAGAGGTGGCGAAGCAGTTCAGCAACGCTCGCCACCAGTTTCTTGCACATACCAGCATTCCGTGTTCCTCGCATTTTGCAATCCATTCGACTCGTGGACCTTGCCTCTATCGCTCAAATGCTGCTTGGACGTGTGTGTCCTCAACAGTGAATGTCCGGCACGGCTCAACCACCATCTGCTCGACTGGGAGACTCGAGCAAGTGAATTGTTTTTCGGCCGATAAGAAGGTGGATCTCGATGTTAGCTCGGACGGCAAAGGAGCGAGCTAACGATTGTGTGCGATTCCTGCCGGCAATGGCGGGTCGCTTTCACAGCGCTCTCTGTACGCTCTGTTGCTCACCCTCCGAAGCGATCGCAACATGCAAGCACGTGCCATCCCACGAGACGATGCTTGCAACCTGTGCATATCCTTTCGAGCATTTCCATTTCATCCTCGAAATCATGATGGCTGGCTTAGATGACGAGCGTCGAAAGAGAGGAAATCGTGCCTTGGTGGGGCTCGCTCGCCGGTAACCGCTTTTCGAGAATACCCGGACAGGTGGAGAGACGGGGCGCCGCACGAAATGGACCTGGGGAAACACGCGCCAGCAGCCAGGCGCAGCCCAGGCAAAGTGCGAGTTGAGTGACAATTCACGCCAAAACGAAAAAAGGGCAGCATCGGAAGGGCTCCACACACAGGCCAACCGCCCGAGCGCCTCGTTGACCGCTGGATCTCATGCATGTTCAAGCGTGCAGCTGGTGGTGATTCACCCCAGCACCGGCTACGGCTTGGACTGGCCCCAGTTAACCGGCTGGCGCTTTGAGGCAGAGTCGGCTCTGCGTAACGCAGTCTCGTCCAGTCCGGGTTTGCCGTGGCCCCTCCGGTACAAACGGACGCGAGCGGATTTGCTGCCGATGCATCCAGCACCGACCGACTGGCTCTTGGCCCAGTGTCCCGCCAGGAATCGCCTTTGCCGGAATCTTCGCGCGCCTACTGACGCAACGCATAGTCCCCGCCGAAGCCAGCCTTGGTGTCACCACTGACATCTTATCGTCCATCTTCCCTTCCCACCTCTTCCCACCCCTGCCAGCCATTCCACCACAGCGGCCCCCTTCACGAGCGCTTCGGAGCCCAAGACAAAGACCGTGAACGTCGCAGCCCAGGCCGACGTCGCTTCTGTTTCGAATTCACTGCACGACCACCATCGTTGGACGAAACCGCACAGCTTCGTCTTCGCTCGACACTCTTCCGTTGCTCAAGGGCATCAAAGCGTCTCTATTGGCATTCGCATCTGGACATTACTGCGGACTCATTCCTGACCATTCACCACCCCGCCTCGAGGATCCTAGCCGCACGCAACTAAGCTCGCACGGCTCACCGACCCTTTCTCCCCTCATACTTTGCCAGCAACTCGCCCACTACACCACATAGACACAATGGCTGAAGCACCGCTCACGCCGTTCGGACAGGCGCTCGCCGGCGCACTCGGCGGTGTCTTCTCCAATGCAGTCATCTACCCGCTCGACACGGTCAAGACGCGCATCCAGGCCGGCCAGAGCTCTGCGGTGACCGCAGGCAAGGAGGTCCGCGACCCCAAGGACCCGACCAAGACCATCGTCACCGTGCCCAAGAATGCCGGCATGATCAAGGGCATCTTGCACATCATCCACAGCAAGGAGGGTGCGATGGGCCTGTACAAGGGCTTTGCTGCCAGCATGGTCAACACCTTCACCACCGGCTTTGCCTACTTTTACTGGTACTCGACCGTACGAACGCTCTACCAGAACCGTCTGGCCAAGCGAAGTGCCAATGGCGTGGCGATCATGAGCACGGCTGCCGAGCTTGTGCTCGGTGCCATCGCCGGTGCGCTCGCGCAGATCTTCACCATCCCCGTCGCTGTGATTGCGACGAGGCAGCAGCTCGCCACCTCCGAGACCGCCAAGGACGGCAAGCCCGTCGACGAAAGCTTCACGGGTGTCGCCAAGGACATTCTCAAGGAGGACGGTATCACGGGCCTCTGGCGCGGCCTCAAGCCTTCGCTCGTGCTCACCGTCAACCCGGCCATCACCTACGGCGTCTTCGAGCGCGTCAAGACCATCATCCTCGCCACCTCGGTGGACGGCAAGATGACGCCGGGCAAGTCGTTCCTCGTGGGTGCGCTCTCCAAGACGCTCGCCACCGTCGTCACCTTCCCCTACATCCTCAGCAAGATCCGCCTGCAGGCCAAGAACACGCGCTACACGAGCGCCATCGACTGCCTCACCCAGATCGCCAAGGAGCAGGGCATCAGCGGCTGGTACCAAGGCATGCAGGCACAGATCACCAAGGCGGTGCTTGCACAGGCGCTCCTCTTCTACTTCCGCGACTACTTTGAGGTCTGGACCCGCCAGATCCTCAAGGTCGCCAAGAAGCCCGTCAAGTAGAATGTGCGATAGAGGCGTACGGAACGAGTGTGGCCGTAGGCTCCATCGATCCTTTTCCTCCCTCTTTTCTCCCTCAGTCGCTTCATCATTTCTGCGTGTATCCGATTCCCATGCGCATGTGCTCTCTCGTCCCTCTAGATTGTCAACAAGGATTCGTCATGACTCTGACGTGCTGGTCTGGTGTCGTTGCGCTGAATGAAGAAACATGCTTAGAATGGGGAGGGGCCTGTCTTGAAGTGTCTGTGACCAAGTGTCTGTCCTTGACGAGCCATGGCTGGGCGTCACGACCATGTTCTGGCTTGAATGATGGTGGGATGGCGGAAGCGGACGCTCGGTGCCGCGTTGTTAGAGCGTCAACCAGATCTCGCACGGGAGGCTGACGGCGGCAACGGCCAGCGGCTGTCAAGAGGCGGTCTCCGAGTCCCGGTGAAGGGTCCACACTTTCCTCAGAATTTTTTTCTTTTCGAGCAGATAGCGCCGCGAAGTGGGTTCAGCCGCAGGGTGAGGAGGAGTGAAGTTCCTTTTTTTTGAGAAAATTTTGGGATTCGCCGCGCCGCCGCCCAGCTGCAGTTGTGCCCTTTTTTGCCTCCCTCGCTGTGCTGAGGGCCAACCTCGAGTGGCTGCAACTTTGGCTGGCTTGGCTTCTCGCAACCTGCTCCTCTTCTCTCCTTGCCAGCCATCCACCCACTCCTACTTCTGAACACTACGGAGTTGGACAGACAAGATCGGTACGAAGCATCAAGGAGCTCGTTACCTCACTGCCGACCGTTTGGCTCACCACAAGCCACGCTCGACTATCCAAAGTCGAACCTCAAATAAGCAGCTAGGTCCGCAGCAGAATCAGTCTTCTGCACCTCCCTTGCGACCTTCTCTTTCAGCCTGCTACCTCGCAGCGCCCGACTCGCATCGACAATCTCTGTCTCGCTCCCAGTCCTGACTCACAAAGATGGCGACGATCAAAACCCCCATCGCGCCGGTTCCGACCGCTAGCGACTTCCTGGACATTGTCCTCTCCAAGACCCAGCGAAAGACGCCCACGGTCGTGCATCCAGGATGGAAGATCACGCGTATCCGCTCGTTCTACATGCGTAAGGTCATGTTCACCAAGGATGCGTTTGCCGAGAAGCTCGACGCCATTCTCAAGGAGTTCCCTATCATGGACAACCTCCACCCCTTTGTCTCGTCGCTGCTCAATGTGCTGTACGACAAGAACCACTACAAACTTGCGCTCGGTCAGCTCAACACCGCCAAGCACCTCATCGAGCAGGTGTCCAAGGACTACATCCGCCTCATCAAGTTCGGCGACTCGCTCTACCGATGCAAGCAGCTCAAGCGCGCTGCGCTCGGTCGCATGGCCACCATCATGAAGCGCCAGAAGGACCCGCTGGCCTACCTCGAGCAGGTGCGCCAGCACATGTCGCGTCTGCCGCCCATCGACCCTAGCACACGCACGCTGCTCATCTGCGGATACCCTAACGTGGGCAAGTCGAGCTTCATCAACAAGGTGACGCGCTCCGACGTCGACGTCAAGCCGTACGCCTTCACAACAAAGTCGCTCTTCGTGGGTCACATGGACTACAAGTACCTCCGATGGCAGGTCATCGACACGCCCGGTATCCTCGACCACCCGCTCGAGGAGATGAACACGATCGAGATGCAGTCCATCACGGCGCTCGCCCATCTTCGCGCTGCCGTTCTCTACTTTATGGACCTCTCGGAACAGTGCGGCTACACGGTCGAGGCACAGGTGCAGCTGTTCAACAGCATTAAGCCTCTGTTCGCCAACAAGCCGTGCATCCTGGCTATCAACAAGACCGACGCCAAGAGGCTGGCGGACCTCGAGCCGGAGCGCGCGGCGCTGGTGCAGAGCATCATCGACGAGTCCGAGGGCAAGGTACAGCTCACGGAGCTCAGCACATATACCGACGAGGGTGTCATGGAGACGCGCAACCTGGCGTGTGACGTGCTGCTGGCGTCGCGTGTCGAGTCCAAGATGAAGGGCAGCAAGATCAACGCCGTGCTCAACCGCCTGCACGTGGCGCAGCCCAAGTCGCGTGACGACGTGGAGCGTACGGCGTACATTCCCGAGGCGATCGCCAACGGCTCGATCAAGAAGTACGATGCCAAGGACCCCGAGCGCCGCAAGACGCTGCGCGACGAGCAGGAGGAGAACGGCGGCGCGGGCGTGTTCAACATCGACATCAAGCGCGACTACATGCTCGCCAACGACGACTGGAAGTACGACCACATTCCGGAGATCTACGAGGGCAAGAACATCGCCGACTTTGTGGACCCGGACATCCTGGACAAGCTGGATGCGCTGGAGCGCGAGGAGGAGAAGCTCGAGGCCGAGGGCTTTTACGCCGAGAGCGACGACGAGGGATCCATGGTCGACGAAGAGGAGGAAGCGATCCGGAGTGCGGCGGCGGCGATCCGCGAGCGCCAGCACAAGGCCAAGCTGGCGGCGCAGGACCGCAGCATGATCAAGAACCAGGCGCGCGTGCCGCGCAAGTTCCAGGAGCGCACGCTTTCGCAGATGGCCGAGCGCATGCGCGAGATTGGCGTGGACCCGAGCAGCGTCACTGCGCGCGCCGAGATGCTGGCCAAGGCCAAGGGCCTGACGGGCAAGCGCAAGCGCTCCGGTGCTGGCGACGACGACGAGGAGATGGACGAGGACGACGAGGAGGCGTCGTGGGAGGACGACGAGGAGGACGAGGAGATGGACACCGAGGAGGCCGACACGAGTGCCTCGAGGAAGGCGCGCAAGAGCAATGTCGGCGGCAGGCTGCTGTCGTCCACCACGGCTCCTGTCAACCGATCGGGTGGCCACGTGAGTGCGCGTGCCGGCCCCGCGCGTGTCTCGGCGAGCGACCGCCAGCTGGCGGGTCTCAAGGACTCGGAGCAGCTCGAAAAGGCGAGGAAGCTGCGCGAGCTCGCGCTGCGTCCCGGCAACTGGCACGCCAAGGCAGGCGAGTCGGACCGTGCGATCAAGGAGAAGAAGCCCAAGTGGCTCTTTGCCGGCAAGCGTGGCAAGGGTACCTCCAGATCGCGCTGAACTGCGTCTGCGCGTTGTCTTGTTTCTGTTCCTCATCATCTGTAGTATTCGTTCAATCATGCGTTCTTTCAGCAATCGTGCGGTGAACAGCGTGTGAGGGCGCCAGCGTTGGATCGGTCGGGTTGAGATTCGGGGGCTTGTGGAGAAGGCGTTCGGATTTTTTTCTTTCGGGGCGAGACAGCGGCAGATGTATGCAGGGTTCTCCAAGGCTGTGTGGCGAAGTGCAAGACCACGCGGAAAGCCCAAAGATGGCAGTGCTTAAAAATACGCCGAAGGCCGCTTCGGCCTTGCGAGAGCAAATGCTGTCATACGCCGTTTGCTCCTCCTTCGCCGGCGCAAAGGCGAAACGGCGGAGGTGGGCGTAGGGATGCAAGTGTCGAGGTTTTATTCGCCGATGAGGCTGGCAATGGAGTCCCTGCCACCCTGGCTGTGTGGCTGCGCAGTTGTTGCCGCATGTCCCGCAGGTGCCGCAGGTGCAGATGAAGCTCAGGGCCCCACCTCTTTGCATCCCCACACGAGCTTGTCCTCCTGGCTCAAAGGTTCTTTGATACCACGATCACGACGACTCTGACCTGGTCGAGGATACAAGGATGTCGGTGCTGCACGAAACGACGCGCATGGAGTCGAGAGCATCCAGTTCGGCAGGCAGTCGAGCAATGTCACCCGAGACTCCTCCGCAGATCGATCTGGGCTTCGACCCGTCGCTTACGAAGGGCTTCAGCGGCCTGTTTCCGTGGGTTCAGCAGCCGACGGCTTCAGAGCGACCAGAGGCGATCGAGTCCGAGACGGCTGGCCACGAACATAGCGATTTGGCCGCATTCGATCGCAGAACATCAGTGCAGCTCACTGGTGCGCAGTTGCAGACGCTGGCACCCAATGCACATGCAGAAGCACATAGTATGGCACAGAACGAGGCAGCTCCACCTCAGGACGCCAGACACATCCTCGCATTACCGAAGCAAGACGATGCACAGTCGATTCCGTCTGTTAGCCCTATTGCTGGTTCAGTCGAGCAAAACCTCAACGTTATGAGCTCCGCCATGGCGTATACGACGAGCCCAGCTAGTGGCCATACAGCCTCTCATGCCCCAAGCGATCAGCACCAACCCAGCTACCCGGCGGTACATACGAGCACTTCCACAGCACAAAGTCGGCAGTCACACAACCTCGCCCAGCAGGGTGACCTTGGTCCATCACTGTCGCGCGATGACCATGCCCGTCGATCCTGGGCCAGCAGCTCTCAACCCCAACCGAGCATTCCTGTGCACACACCAGAGACCCCAGCAGAGCATCTACAACCTTCCACATTCGCGACATACGACTTGTTTGAGGACGACAAGCTGCCCGGCTTCCGCGTGTCGGGAAGCGGATCCGCACGCTACGGTGTGCGTGTTCCGCGCAAGGTGGCCGGTTGGAAAGCGGTGTTGACGGACCTCGCGCCCAGCAGCCAAGACGTCACCAAAAAAGACAGACGGGAGAGCAAGCTGGGCCGACAGGGCTGGGAGGTGCGCCAAGAAGCCATGAAGAACAGCTACGATTTCAGGCGCGGCTCGGGTATCCTCGCCACCATGCACGCGGGGCATCGGCTGTTCAAGCACGACTGGCACCTCATTCTCAAGGACGGATCGCGCTTCGTGTGGAAGATGGACAAGCATGCGCTGGCGCTCTTGCGCTGCGTGGGCGAGAGCGAAGTACAGGTGGGCGAGTTCAGAAAGGCGGTTCCGACCACCTCGAGGGCTTACGGCATCAGCATCGAGGTGGATCCGACGACACGGATTGGCTCGTTTGCCTACGACAGCTCAGACGAGGAGGACATCTTTGACGCGGGTCTGGCGTTGGCTAGTCTGGTGGCGGTGTTTGCGGCGCGTGGGGGCTATGCGCATGTATCAGCGGCCTTCGAAGCGTCCTCGGACCCCATGCGCGATTGGCTCGAACAGAAGCGCCAAGCACGCCCGGACCGCGAAGAGGAGATGCTCGCCATGCCGCTACCTGGCTTTGTTCGAGACGCCGAATCGGTGCTGTCCGACACCACGGACGAGGACGCCGACTCGGTCACCAGCGACGCGCTCCCTCGACGACGAGCTGGGGCGGCACCTACACAAGTGCCAAGGGACATGGTCTATGACGATACAAGAGCCAGCGGCCCGGAGCCCCGCACGCAAAGCAAAGGCGCCAAGCGCCTCTCGAAGCTCTTTGGTCTCGGCAGCGGCCCAGCTAGGCGCCAGAGCGAAGACAGCGCAGCCACCACTGCAGATCGCAAAGTCAAGGAGAAGGAGAAAGCAGCCATGACAGAGTCGCAACGCATCGCACGCCAGTACCGCACACGCAGCTTCTTTGCTGGACGTTGAATGGACACTCTTTTTCTCTCTCAACTTGTAGCTCAGCATGTGTGCGTCTGTGAGGATTTTGTGAAATCACGACTGAGTGTTCGATGCGCCTGTCAAAGAGGGCAGCCAGCAGGCTATTCAATCGGCCCAGCGCGCTCCTCGCAGTGACAGCGGGAGAGGGGAAGCGGCGCCAAGGCTAGAAGGTGGCCGTGGCAACTTGACCGGCTATTTCGCGTGCCCCTGCAAATAGCCCCACCGATGAGTCCGGAACCAACCCATTTCGTCTCAAGACCTGTCCGTGACGATGAGATGACACGGCTGAAAACGTACGATCGCCGTGATCCAATGCGACGGTATGGCCGAACATCCCCCCGAGCTTCGATGAGGGCAGAGGTGTTCGACTGTGCAGTCAAGGAGCGACGGAGCATTCTCGGTCAAAACCCGAGAAATCGAGCTGCTCCGCTCCGCCTATTATTGTGACGCGAAGACAGGAAACTTGCGCGATAACGCTGCTGCAGTCACTCTGCGCAGAGTCAGGCTCTGCTTTTTTCCTCTCTCTCTGACTCACATCCGAAGAATTTCCCACCGAGCCCCACGCGCGCCACGCCCGCCGGATTCCTGAAGGGCAGAGGAAATTTGCACTTTCGCGGGAAGGAAAGAGTTGAGCCGTGCATGTGCCGAGCGCTCGTCCGCTGCGTTGGCCTCGTTGGTCGGATGACCCTGCGCGGATGCACGCCAACCAGCTTCGTATCTCGAGCACCGCACCTGCCCGGCTCCTCATTGGAAGCGCCCACTTGTCGCCCTTCCCCCCTTTCGCCCGTCACCATAAATTGCGACCAGATCCCCAGATCTGCATCTCCCCCCCCAACCATCATCCCCTGCACTTTCCCGTTCCCTGTCCCGGTTTCCTTTCGTCCGTCGTTCCCCCTCATCACACACACACACATACTCACAAAAATGGCTTCCGTACCTCAGGCGCCCCAGATGGGCCTCTTCTCGTTGCCGCCCATCAAGAACGAGCCCATGCGCAACTATGAGCCCAAGAGCGAGGACCGCATCAAGCTCCAGCAGGCCGTCGACGAGATGATCGCCGCCGGTCCCTTCGAGGTGCCCGTCGTGATCAACGGCGAAAAGATCAAGACCGGCAAGGTCAGCAAGCAGCCCAACCCGTCCAACCACTCGCAGATCCTCTGCAACTACCACGAGGCCGACGAGGCGCTCGTCCAAAAGGCCATCGAGGGCTCCCTCAAGGCCAAGACCGCTTGGGAGAACATGCCCTGGAACGACCGTGCCGCCATCTTCCTCAAGGCGGCCGACCTCATCGCATCCAAGTACCGATACAAGGTGCTCGCCGCTACCATGCTCGGCCAGGGCAAGAACGTCTGGCAGGCAGAGATCGACGCCGCCGCAGAGATCTGCGACTTCTTCCGCTTCAGCGCAAAGTACATCCAGGAGCTCTACTCGACCCAGCCGCCCGAGTGCTCGGCCAACACCTGGAACCGCACCGAGTACCGCCCGCTCGAGGGCTTTGTGCTCGCCGTCTCGCCCTTCAACTTCCTCGCCATCGCCGCCGGTAACCTCATCTGCGCGCCCGCCATGGTCGGCAACGTCGTCGTCTGGAAGCCCTCGCCCATGTCGATCTACTCGAACTACGTCGCCTACGAGATCCTCCGCGAGGCCGGTCTTCCCGACGGCGTCATCCAGTTCGTCCCCGGCCCCGCCGAGGAGATCGTCGGCGCCGCCATCAACCACCGCGAGTTCGCCGGCCTCCACTTCACCGGCTCCACCCACGTCTTCCGCCAGCTCTGGAAGCAGATCGGCAACAACCTCGACAAGTACCGCGGCTACCCGCGCATCGTCGGCGAGACGGGCGGCAAGAACTTCCACATGGTGCACAAGTCGGCCAACGTCGACGCCGCCGTCACCCAGTCCATCCGCGCCGCGTTCGAGTACCAGGGCCAGAAGTGCTCGGCACTCTCGCGCCTGTACGTGCCCAAGTCCATGTGGGAGGGCGAGTTCAAGCAGAAGCTGCTCGACCAGATCGCCCAGATCTCGGTCGGCCCCGTGCACGAGTTCAAGCACTTCATGGGTCCCGTCATCGCCAAGCACTCGTTTGAGAAGATCATGGGCCTCATCGAGGCCGCCAAGAAGGAGGGCGGCCAGGTGCTCTGCGGTGGCCAGGGCGACGACTCCAAGGGATGGTACGTCCAGCCCACCGTGATCGAGACCAAGGACCCCAAGTCGGTTACCATGGTCAACGAGATCTTCGGCCCCGTCATCACCGTCTACGCCTACCCCGACGAGGAGTTTGAGCAGACGTGCGAGCTCATCGACTCCACCACCGAGTACGCGCTCACCGGCTCCATCTTCTCGGCCGACCGCTACGCGCTCATCCGCGCCAGCAACCTGCTGCGCAACGCCTCGGGCATGATGTACTACAACGACAAGTGCACCGGTGCCGTCGTCGGCCAGCAGCCCTTCGGCGGTGCGCGCGCCTCGGGCACCAACGACAAGGCCGGCTCCATCTCCATCTTCTACCGCTTTGTCTCGGCCCGCACCATCAAGGAGACCACCATCGACCCCACCACGCACATCTACCCGAGCAACCTCGAGTAAATGTGCGCTCGACCTGCACACGCACGTAGCTGCGCTGCGACGCGTGCCAGGCTGAGCGGCGGCTAGGGTGGTCTCGCCGTTCCTGCATCGTGCATGCACCGTGCATGGAACCATTATACCCGCGAGCGGATCTTCGATACGATCCGCGCGTCACCAACCTCTCCCGCCGTCCTTGGCTCTGGCCTCGACCGGCATCTATGTCTCGGTCTCCGTCTTTTTTTTGCATCTGCATCTCCATCGCATTCTCGCTTTTCACGGTCTCTTTCCTTCCCAGCATACCTGCGCGTCGGGCCGCACTTAACACTGCCCGCACTCTCTCTTCTCTCTGTATATCCGCCGTCGACGGCCTCGGCCGTTCGACTTGTATTAGCGCGCAGGGCCGCACTTAACACAGCCCTGACTCTTTCCGCTCGGTTCCGTTCTAGTCACCTTATATACCTGGATTTGATGTGCGCGGCGGGGCGCAATTAACACTCCCCGCATCTCTCTCACTTTGTACTCTTAGGCATTCCCTGATCTCGACGGTCAAATCTACGGTTTCGAAAACCTACTCCTTGTGGTTGTGCGAGTGTGTTGGTGCGCTTGCAAGAGGGCTGGATTGGGTGGAAGTAGTAATACAGAGGCAGAGCGAAGAGGCGGCAGGGGGAGGAGGCGCATCAAGTGCTTGAGGGAGGCGAGACCTGGTTGAGTAGCGGGATGGCACGGCGAGATTGAGGGTCAGTGTGGGGTCACGTTTCGCAGCGATGGCGAGACCAAGATGCAGGACACTTACGAGGATGACGCTATCACCACGCACGAAGAGCATCTCGCTTTGGCGCTTGACCACCTGCGAAATGGCGATGAATCGAAAAGTACGAAGGTTCAGTGACTGTCTTTTGCGCCGAGCTTCGTCGTGTACGAAACTTACGCGCACAGTTTCGTGTCCAGTCTCGTCGTTGATGTCGACCACGTAGATGGTCTCCTCGACATCGCCCAAGATCAAGTTCATGTGTCCATCGTATGCCTGTTCCCGCACAACACCAAGTCTCGTCAGCATCCGTTGGACAACTTTGATCGTTGAAGGGTGGCCGGGTCGACTTACATGCAGGGTGCCGCGAAGTTCACGGTCACCTCGGAGCTTGACGTACACGCGTTCCGAGATGGAGAGGCGGATGAGGTCGAATGGCTCCGTCACGGATCCGACGGGCGCGGGCGCCGCTGGTGTCGACGAAACTTCGGCCATCGTATGCGATTCCTCAAAGATACTTCGTCCGGGCTCGTCGTGAGTTCGTGCGTGATGATCGAGAAAGAGCGATGACAAAGTCGAAAGGGAAGCGTCCAGAGATGGTGTTGGCGATGCGATGTGCAGGTGGAGCGGGCTCGAGCAGGGTGGAGTTGGGGCTTCTCGTCCGAGTCAAGAAGAGCGAGTTGAGAAGAAATCGTCGAGAAGGCCTGGGATCGGGACGCAAGAAAAAGTCGGATCACCACAGCGCTGCCGAGTGCACTTTTCTCTTCGCTCCCAACCGGCGCCAGGCAACCTGCTTCTTCACCATCAATCCTCGCTGGCGGCGCACACGATGAACACGTCTACAACAGTGACTACGGTCAACATGCTGCGAGCCGCTTCGCGCTCCGCACGCGCCTCTTCGTCGTCCCGCGCACTCTCGACGGCTGCCAAGTCGGCACGCACATCGCTGCGCCCGCACCCTGTGGTCATCGGACCGACGCAGCTCAACCGATACCAGGAACACTACCGCACCACGCTGGCATCCGACCTGCTGTACATGACGTACGATGCTGCAGCCAATCTCGATGCAGAGACGCGTGCTTCGTCGTCTGCGGATGCACAAGACCGCCAGCGCGAGTGGGACGCCGAAAGCCCGTACTCGGTCAACCGTCCTCAGCGCCCGGCGCGTGGTAACCGCCGCCTGCAACCGCTCACCAAGCCGCTCCCCGTGCAGAACACGGTGACGCAGATCCCACGGCTGGAAAAGGTGATTCTGACGTGCTTCTCGAAGGACGCGATTGCCAACAAGCACGCCTTGGTGCCGCTCATCGCCCAGATGCGCGCCATCACCGGACTGTCGGTCGAGGGCAGTCTGTCCGATCCGTCGCTCGTTGCGGCGGCATCGCCAGCATCCGGCTCGGGCGCATCCCGAGGTCGCATCGAGATCATCCGTGCCAAATCGGGCGTGGCGAGCTTTAAGCTCCGTCCGGGCATGCCGGTGGGTGTCAAGGCGATCCTGCCCGGCCCGGTGGCGCACGAGTTCCTCGAGGTGCTCTCGACCTTTGTTCTGCCGAGGCTGAGGAGCTTTGCGGGATTCCCGCTGCCTCCTGCATCGCAGCCACCTGCATCGCCGGCGGCCATGAGCGGCGTGGTGAGTCTGGGCATGCATCCCGAGGCCATCCCGCTGTTCCCGCAGATCGAAATCAACCTCGACCAGTACCCGAACCGACCGCTCGGATTCCAGATCGACTGCATCACAAACCAGCGCGGCCGAAAGGCGTCCGAAAAGGCAAGGGCTCTGCTCTCCGGTATGGGCATCCCCTTCGTTCGCAGAGGTGACATGTAATTCTCCACTCCAGATCCAATCACTTTTTTTTCCTCAATGGCTCCTCTCACTTGCATGTGTGATTGTGATGCTTGTCTTTGCACGCTTCTCGATTGATGCTGTTGGATTTTCGCGCAGGTCAGTGTTGCGTGGTCCGAGACAGATGTCGGATGAGGTAAACGACGAGGGTCAACTTGTGTCCATGCCGTCGGCTGCCATGTTGTCCTTGGCCCACATGACAAAGTCGTCGATGACCGATGGCCAAGCCGCTGCAAATGCCGAGGCACAAAGAGCATCAGCAAATATCCTTCGATGAGCTGCGGGGGGCATGGATGCTTACCGTCAAAGTCGTGATTGCTAAAGTCGGCGTTGATCTCCCTGGTGAAATCGAGGAACTGCGTCCATGTATCCTTGCTGACCGCGCGGCCGCCCGTGTGTTCGGACAAGAACTTCTTCCACAAGTCCAGCTGGTGCTGTGTAAACGTGCCGTCGCTCCCCTCTTTCTTGAAGGTCGGCGACGCTGGCAGGATGAGGTCCCAGAACGCGAGTGCATTCTCGAGTGCCAGGCTCTTCTGTCCTTCTTGCCGCGCAAAAGCATACGTGTACTCGTACACCTTTTCGTACAGCCCCTTGTTGGCCGACGAGGCGGTGGCGGGATCGGCCTTCTCCTGCGCCACGCGCTCAAGCCTCAGCGGTTTGTTTTCGAGCAGCTCCTGGCGCAGCTTTTCGATCGTCTTCTTTTGCTTCTCGAGCGTGTCTGACAGGTCGAGCATCTTCCAGCCCGCCACGTAGTCGGTGCGCGTAAACGTGCCGATCGACGGAGAGCGCAGGTAGAACGACAGCGGCAGGAACACTACATCTTCCGGGCTCACCTCGAGCGCTTCGCACATCTTGAGCGCGCCACCGATGCTCATCACGTCCGGATCCTCGGCCGCCCTGGCCCCGTTGGCTTCCGCATCTTCGTCGTCGTCGTCGTCGTCTTCCTCGGCAGCGGCGCGGAAGCGGTCAAAGAGCGTATTGAGACGTTGGGTGACCTCGCGCTCCGTCTTCTTGTCGAGCGTGCTCGAGGATGCGAGGGCGTTGAGCTGCGCTTGATCGTCGCTGAAAAAGGCGTTGGTGGCGGCTTCGAGGCGGTAGCCGTGCGCCTTTAGGATGCGATGTGCATCTTGCGGGGTGGCTCTGGTTAGTTGTCGAAAGTCGCGGAGGATCGCCTCCTTCTTGGCCGAGCTCGACATGCTGGTGAGTGTCGCTCGAGACTTGCGAGTGGGAAGCGGCGAGAGGTTAAGATGCGGGATACGGTGCCCAACTCATTGCGAGGTCAAGGGCTCAGGCGCTGCAGCGAGCCCTTTTGCTCCACTTGTCAATCGATCGATCTTTTATCGGGTGGCTTTTTCGGCCGATTCTGGGTCGCCGATCTGCATGGTTGGAAGAACTGCCCACGGGAGTGCCGCCTGCCGCCGCTCAGATAAAGCCCACTCCAGCCACCGCACCGTGGGCAGTGATTAGATCCCGGGAAGTCACGCGAAGCGGCAGCCAACCAGAGCAGAGAGCGCTCTGAGTCACGGCCGCCCCACCGCTCCACACAAGGCGCAAAGGAGAGAGACCCCCACCGGTGGCCGAGCTCCTGAGTATTCCACCACCATCTACACCCGTTGACTTTCCCCCTCACATCCAAATCACACGCGCCAACATGAGCAAGCAGACCTACAACGTCGTCGTCCTCCCCGGTGACGGCATCGGCCCCGAGGTCGTCGAGCAGGCCACGCGCGTGCTCGAGCTCATCTCGTCCAAGAGCGACTCTTTCTCCATCAACCTCAAGCCCTTTGACTTTGGCGGCGCCGCCATCGACTCGACCGGCAAGCCGCTGCCGGACGACACGCTCGAGGCGTGCAAGACCGCAGATGCCATCCTCATGGGTAAGTGACGAATCCTGGCGTGTCCGTCCGTTGCACCCTCGATGCTAATTGTTCCTTTCTTGCGTTTGCTTTGACCAAACTAGGCTCCGTCGGTGGTCCCAAGTGGGGCGTCGGCAAGGTGCGTCCGGAGCAGGGTCTTCTGGCGCTGCGCAAGGAGCTCGACCTGTACGCCAACATCCGTCCGTGCCTCTTCCCCTCCGAGTCGCTGCTCTCGCACTCGCCGCTCAAGCCCGAGGTGGCCAAGGGCGTGTCGTTCATCGTGGTGCGCGAGCTCGTCAAGGGTCTCTACTTTGGCGACCGCCAGGAGGCCAACCTGGACGACCCTTCGTCCGACGGTGCGGCGTACGACACCATGGTGTACAACAAGTTCGACGTGGAGCGCATCACCAAGCTCGCGTCGTACCTCGCGCTCCAGTCGTCGCCACCCGCGCCGCTGCACTCGATCGACAAGGCCAACGTGCTTGCCACGTCGCGTCTGTGGCGCAAGGTGGTGCAGGATACCGTAGACACCCAGTTTGCATCGCAGGGCATTACCGTTGACCACCAGCTCGTCGACTCGGCCTCGATGGTCATGGTCTCGAACCCTCGCAAGCTCAACGGCATCGTGCTCACCGAGAACATGTTTGGCGACATTCTGTCCGACGAGTCGTCCGTCATCCCCGGTGCGCTCGGTCTGCTGCCTTCGGCTTCGCTCTCGGGCCTGCCGGATGGCAAGAGCAGATGCAACGGTCTGTACGAGCCCATCCACGGCTCGGCGCCCGACATTGCCGGCCGCGGCATCGCCAACCCCGTCGGCACCATCCTCTCCGCCGCCATGCTGCTCCGCTACTCGCTCCACCAGCCCGAGCTCGCAGACAAGGTCGAGGCTGCCGTCAGGAAGGTGCTCGACGCCAAGGACATTGGCGGCCACGAACTCAGGACCGCCGACCTCGGCGGCAAGCACGGCTCCAAGGACGTCGGTGACGCCGTCATCGCCGCCCTCGAAGCCCTCCTCTAGATGCACACACACACGTCCACTTCTTCTCGACGTGATCCAAAAATTCCTTGACTTAATCTCAACGACCGCATTCTCAGCACTTTGATTCCGCGCCAACATTGAGCACAGTCGTAAAACGGAAGTGGGCGTGAGCGGTGAACAAATGCATTGCGAAAACGCCGGCTGCTAGACCTGGCGTCCGTTGGAGGGCTGGTCGTGGTCATGGTCCTGTGCGAGATGCTGGCTTAAGTCGATGCTCTGATCCGCCGGATTTTCCTGTGCCGCTGCGACGCCTTCGGCCTGCGTCGGCTCCACCGCCGCCCCATCGACCGCAGTCGGTGAGCTAACTCCAGTCGCTACGCCCACGGGTGGGGCGGGTGGGATGGGCACAGTGATGTCGCGCTTGCAGATGGGACAGAGCTTCTTGACGCGCACCAGCCAATCGTCCACCTCCTGGCGGTGGAAGATGTGTCCACACGGCAGCACGCGCACGCGGTCGCCGTCGACAAAGTCGCACAGGCAAATCGCACACTCGTCCGTGCTAAAATACGTGCGTCCCGGCGGCAGCACCGAAGCCGGATTCACCGGCCGCGTCTCCACCACCGCCGTGCGCTGCGACGGCCCAGCTCCATTCTCGTCCTCCGCCAGCAGCGGAATCGTCTCCCCCGCCCGGCCAGACTCGAGATCATCCGCAGCAAACGGCCTCGAGGCCGAAGCATCGTCACTTCCACCGTTGCCCGGACCAGGATCCACATCGGCGCCTTCAACTTTCTCCCACGGCTGTCCATTGCCACGCCAGATGAGACACGGCAGGCCCAGCACCACGAGCTCGGGCGCACGCTCCTTGCGCCTCTGACGCACCATGCGGATGCGGTGCACAATGATGGTAATCACCGTCATGAAGCTCGGCAGCAGCAGTAAAAGGATGCCGAAATCGATCAACGGCCACTCCCACACGAGGTCGTCCTTGCTAATGACGATCTCGAGACCGCGCGTGGCAGGAGCACCGTCGGGACCGTGCTGCGAAGGATGCTGCTTCTGCCAGTCGTCCTGGTCCTTTTCTGTCTCCTGAATGAGCCGCTCCAGATCGAGGTAGCTGGGTCGGGTGACAAACGTCGACGGGATGTGCACGTCGCTCGTGTCGCCCGGAGCAAACATGGTGATGAGTCGCTTGCCGCTGAGGCCAGGATCGCCCTCCTCGTTGGGATCACCTGAACGACCGCCGTGCCAGCTGGGGCTGGGAGCGTCGCCCACGACCACCGCGATGGCGCCGAGTTCCTGCGCCACGCGAACCTTGTCGGCAAATCCACACCCGCCTCCGCGCTGGACGAGCGCGATCCAGTTGTGCGGCGGCTTGGTCGATCCTTCCGAGCCTCCTTCTGCTTCATGTGTCCAGGTGAAGGGAGTTTGGGCCTGCGAGTCGGGATAGAATGCCGAGTAGAGCCTGCGGTCGTCCTCGTCTTCGTACTTGTGCTGCAGGACGTCGCGTTTGGATCCGGGACCACCCTTGTACGGGCATGCGTGGATTGGATCGCCGCTTGCGTCCGATGTGAAAAATGTCGCGTCCTTGGGGACCTTGTAGAAATCCGAGATGGGAAGGAGGAAGCCCTTGAGGCCAAGGTCGTCCGTCACGCGCGGACCGAAAGCAGCCGAGCGGGTGAGGAAGATGGCCTGTGAGCGGACCACCTCGAGGGTGCTGCCACCCCAGTTGAGGCCAGGCCCGTCGAGGATGCTGCCGGAATCGAGAGGAAGGCGGTCATCGTACGGCATCTGATCTTCGTCGAATTGGTCCAGGTCGTAAGAGAAGTAGCGGGGATCGGGGAGTGCGTGCGAGAGGAAACGCGAGACCGAGTCGACGACACGATCCTTGGCAGCGCTGAGCCATGGCCTGCGTGTGCGCGAGACTGCCTGCGCGATCGAAGCAGTCGGGTTGAGACTGGGTTGAGGAACGGCGGCTCCAGAATCCTTGGGCTGGGTGGCGGCGTGGACGGTAGGAAGAGTGGCAGACAACGCCACGAGCGAGAGGGTGGCAACACGTTGAAGCGACAGTGCTGGTCGGCGATCTCGCCTGCGGTTGCGAGCCATGATGTCCAGGAACGACAGCGCTCCAGCGCCAGGGGATGGCGTGATGTTGGCGAGGTCCTGGCGAGGTCCTGGTTCTAAGGCTGGAGCGGTGACAGAAGAATGGGCAGGTAGAAGCCGCACAAAGACAGTGCTACAAGGAACGCCAAGGCCAAGCCAGAGTTTGACCTTAGGGAGAGGGGAGGTGATGGTCGCGACGAAGGATGGTGGGGTGAGAGTAGCAAGTCGCAGAGCTGCGGACGTGCGGGCTGAAAGGCAGACATGCAGTTGTGGAGAAGCGGCAGCCGCTGGCGAGCGGTGAGGCCATCGGCGCCTGACTTCATGAGCTCAGTCGAGGCCGCAACCCTGCATCCTTTTTTTAGCGTGGCTGCGAGGCGCGCGCATCAGCTCCGTGCAGCAGCAGCAGCAGCAGCAGCCGCCGTCTCGACCCTGAAGAGTTCCCCCTCTTGCCACCGAGCCTGAGCCTGCCAGGCACCGCCGATGCAGCAACGTGGAGGCTGAACAGCTCCGACTCAGCCTTGCAGCTCTCACACGAGCGGGTAAAAAAGCGGAAAAGCAAATCGCAAGTGTAATTTTCTACACCTTAACAGTTCAGGCGGTTTTCGCACACCCCCACAAAGCTCGAATCGTCGGCCTAACGACATGAAGCTTTCCGCAATGCTTGCACATGAATCGGCCCAGCAATCTCACTGCTCGAAGAAAGCAAGACACAGCAGTGATATGATGTCAAGATATGCGCAGTCATTGCAGGGGATACAAATACAATCGATGAGTGAAAGCTTGGTGCGGGACCCGTCTCAGGCAGCTTGGAAATCGCCCTCGTCCATGTCCTTGGGCTCCTTGGGCTCTTCGTCTTCTCCATACTGCACCGCGTTGTCGATGTGCGACAGGATCGTGCCTACCGAATCTTCATCCGTGCTGTCCAGCGGCATGAACGATACCATGCTAAAGTCGTCGATGAGCTGCACCAGCGCCTGATTCAACGAGTGGAACTTGGGATTCGTTCGCGAGTTCACTTCGTCCATCAGCAGCAGCGGATCCGGATCGAGGTAGCGTTCCATCTCTCTTCGGCGACCCTTTTTGGCCTCGGCACCAATCTCGCCCTTTTCGACGAGGTCCATCTTGCTGAGCAGGTTGATGTGCGGCACTTCGAGATTGATCATCGCGCTCATGGCGCTCAGGACACCGGCAAAGTACTTGGTCTTGTCGTCCATGAACTGCGCCTCGAGCAGGTACGTTGCGCAGATGCGGAAGTTGTACTGCACCGACAGGATGTTGACCAGCCTCGACATGATGGGAAAGTGCGTGTACAGCTCGATCTGCCCAGGACAGTCGATGATGATGTAGTCGTCGTTGAACTCTCCGAGCTCGTCGTCGAGCCAGTCGAGGTTGTCCAACAGGTATCTATGATGGCGTAAAGAAGACAAGAAGACCTTGTGTCAGTAAGCCATGCTTCCGCTTCATGCATTGCGCCCGCTCAACGATGGATACCTACTCGAAGCAGTAGATGAGACCTCCATTCGGCCCGAGGTTCATCTCTTCCATCACGTCTTCGAGCGAGATGAGCTCCTTGATGTCGATGCTCGGCTGATACTCGAATCGCTCCGCAGCAGGATCCAGGTTGAAGAGGTGCACGTTGCGGCCCAGCGATTGCGCGTGGGCGATCAGGGCGGAGCAGAACGTCGACTTGCCAGAGCCCGCAGGCCCCGACACCAGCACGGCGTATCGACCCATGAGACTGTTTCTGACCCCTGGTCGTGTGTTCGGAGCGAAACGAGAAGAGAGCGCAGCTGCGTGGAATGTGGTGTCAGTCAGAGAGAGAGAGCGAGGGTAATGAAAGTAATGAAAGGCTGAGAGGAACGGCAAAGCAGTCCCTCGCAAGCCGTGTCCCGGAGATTCTTTGACTTTGACGCCGAGAACCCAAAAAAATGGCGCTCAAGTGGAGCAGCCAGACCGACCGATGAATCGGGCAGCCGATCACTTGATGACCGATGCGCATCGGCAAGACTCCACCCCGCGACGACCATTTTGGACCCCCACGCTCTGCGAACGAGCCTACTTCCAGTCGCCGCCGCCACCATCCTACCCACCGCCCTTCGCCATCCACCACCACTGAACCGGCATCTCGTCGTGCGTTTTGCCCATCATGCTGGACCACTTTACCATCTTCACCAAGAGTAAGCTTCCTGCACACACAAGCATCGCTCCTCCCTTGCAGTTCAGCGCCACTGATACCTGCTTACCGCCTTGCTTGCCTTCACCCCTTGCGCAGATGGTCTGGTCCTCTGGTCCAAGACGTTCAGTCCGGCCTTGAGCAGTGCCGACGCATCGGCGAATCCTGTCAATGCTCTCATCAAGCAGGCTTTCCTCGAGCAGCGCACCGCAGACCACAAGTTCGACAAGGATGGATACACTCTCCGTTGGACATTTGCCAACGAGCTCGACCTCACCTTTGTCGTCGTCTACCAGCGCATCCTCCAGCTTTCTTACATTGAGGAGCTCCTCGATACCGTCCGATCACTCTTCACCGACCTCTTCGCTTCCTTCGTCCGCAAACTCGCCCTCTCCTCCAAGAGCGCTGTCGCCTCTGGCACATCCAAGGCCGCCACTCTACCGGAGAGCGCGCGCCTCGAGTTCAGCGCTGCCCTCAAGGAGTGGGACGATATTTTCTCCAAGACGCTCAGGAGCTTGGAAAAGGCCGCCGCTCAGTCCAAGCGCAAGGGCGTGCTCGGCGAGAAGAAGGGCATCACCAACCAAGCACAAGCGGCCGATGCCTCAGACAAGGAGAGCGGCCTCGACACTCCAAAGTCGATCAAGGAGGGCAAGGACTCGGCAGACATTGCAAAGAGCGTCGAAGCTTTAAAGAACCGACTCAAGCTCGAAGCCAGTCCTGGCGGCAGACGCGTCGTTCGCGGCAAGAAGAGCACCTCAGGCATCTCGGCTTCCAACGGCGGCAGCGCACCGGGCACACCAGGACATGCGAGCGGTACCGAGTCGCCCGGCGGGAAGAAGACCAAGGCAGCCAAGGAGATGCGCAAGTGGGACGGCAGCCGCAGCGTCAGCGCACAGCAGGTGGCTGCTCTCGACTTTAGCGGCGCCCCCGAGAAGGATGCAGACGTTGCAGCCGGCCTCGACAGCTGGATCGACGAGAAGAGCATGGGCACCAAGCGCTCCGACGGCGTCTACGAGATCGCCGACGTCTTGGAAGACGAAGAGGACGACGACGACGACGAAGACGACGAAGACGACGAAGATGAAGAGGGCGATCTTGCGGCATCCGCATCCTCCAAGTCGGCAGGCTTCCTCTCGCGCATCGGATCAGCCTCGTCATCGGGAGCATCCTTCTTCTCGCGTCTGACGGGCGCCAAGACACTCACTAAAGAGGATCTCGCGCCCGCACTCTCCGCCATGGCCTCGCATCTCCAGAGCAAAAACGTTGCCGCCGATGTCGCCCAGCGCCTCTGTGACAGCGTGGAGCGCAACCTCGTCGGAAAGAACCTCGGCAGCTTCGGCTCGGTCAAGGCCGAGGTGAAGAAGGCACTCGAAGAGGCCATCACTCGCATCCTCACGCCCAAGTCCAGTACGGATATCCTGCTCGAGATTGCGACAAAGCGACAACGATCTGCGGCCGCCTCTTCGCTTGCTCTCGCCACGAGTGCCAAGGACAAAGAGCTGGCCAGCAAGCCCGACCCTTACTCGATCTGCTTTGTCGGCGTCAACGGTGTGGGCAAATCCACCAACCTCGCCAAAGTGTGCTTCTGGCTTCTGCAGAATCGCATGCGCGTGCTCATCGCTGCCTGCGACACCTTCCGAGCCGGTGCGGTGGAGCAGCTACGTGTGCACGTGCGCAACCTCGGCCAGCTTCGCGTCGATGGCATCGCTCTCGACGAGCAAAAGGGACGCATTGAGCTGTACGAGCGCGGCTACGGCAAGGATGCCGCCGGTATCGCCAAGGATGCGCTCTCCTATGCAAAGGCAGAAGGTTTCGACGTCGTGCTCATCGACACGGCAGGACGCATGCAGGACAACGAACCGCTCATGCGAGCCCTCGCCAAGCTCGTCGCCGTCAACCGCCCCGACAAGATCATCTTTGTCGGCGAGGCACTTGTCGGAAACGAGGCCGTGGACCAGATCACCAAGTTCGACGGTGCTATGAAGGACTTTAGTGGAGTCAGCAACCCTCGTGGCTTGGACGGAAGTCTGCTGACCAAGTGGGACACCGTCGACGACAAGGTCGGCACCGCCCTCACCACCACCTCGGCTACCGGCCTGCCCATCTACTTTTTGGGCACCGGTCAGACCTATACCGACCTTCGCCAGCTCCGAGTTCATCACGTCGTCAATGCTCTGCTCAAGAATTGAAGCGCTCTTTGGAGGTTATTCAGCAACATGCCCCTGTATCAATAGTCGCGCTTTCACGCTTGTTGCTTCCTTGCTTGTTGTGTGTCCTGTGTTCCCCACTGTGGGTACTTGCAACGTCAACCCTGCTGCCTTGTGTGCGCCGCAAAGGATGTCGTGAGTGGGAGCATCGCATCTTTGTCTCAATTTTCCTGTCGCTCGTCGACAATTTTCCCGTCGATCGTCGACCCACTCAACCCACCGAGCGGTGGCCGTTTTTGCAGGTGCGATGGGTTTGACAACATCGACAATGGATCGTGGAGGGGCAACTTTCCCGTTCATGTGGGTGAAGCTTCATCTGGGTACCAATTTTTGCTCCCTGCCTAGATACGATCCTTGCAGATGACCGCGGGCCCAAACCTACAAAAAGGCGGCACTCCACCACTTGCTGTTCCCATACACCACACAACCTGAACCTTCTCTTCGCATCATGTACTCTCTCAAGTCCCTCCTCGTCCTGCTCGTCGCGAGCCTTTCTGTGGCCATTGTCGCCGCCCGAAGCAGCTCTGGAAGCAGAGGAAGCAGCTTCGGTAGTCGCAGCTCGGGCAGCAGCTTCGGCGAGGCCTTCTGGCAAGGCGCCTATTCGTGGGATACCTATCATTGGCCCAAGACACCCGGTTCCAAGTCGCAGTTCGTCGCGGACAATGCTGCAAAGATGTGGAAGAACCGACCTGCGCAAGCGCAGGCGGCCATCTGCTTCAACGGCTCGTGGAGGGTCAAGAATCCAGACCAGGTCAGCCCCGCCATGACGGTCACCTACTTTGTCAAGAAGAACTTGGGCCTCACCAAAAAGGCACTCATGTAAGTTTTTGCTGTGGCAATTTGGATCTGGGGATGGGTACTGACGAGACGCGTTTGTTGCGCTTGTGGGGTGTAGGTACGACTGTCTCTACATTTGGGGTCCCAACCAGTCGTGGTGGAGCTGGGATGACGCCGACGACGACAAGATGGCTCACGTCATCGACGATTCCAAGTGCACCTACAACAGCACCACCTGGGACATCGACTGCATCTGATGGCCAAATCGTCCGCCAGACCCCAGGCAAGGGCTGCACAAGCCACACACTCTCTTTATTTTGCCTTTGCTCTCTTTGATCGTACCAAACCACTGTCTCAATTCATAACCATGCATCACATTTCGCGCCAGGTCGAGCTCGTAGCTGCACCCAACAATGTTCGTAGTTACACTCGACCAATTCCTAACTCTTTAAAGCGGTCACATAGTATGATTCCGGCGAGCGAGACTGCCTTGATGACTTCTGTTGAATGTCAGATGCTTCCTCTCCCAGCCCAATACGATACGGCATCGTGTGCTCCTTTGGTCACGATTGAGTCATGCGGTCTGATGCGTTCAGTCGAAAGCCCGAGGCAGACGAATGAAGCTCATAACGGTCGTTGCCTGTCTTACTGTGCTACAATGCACGGACAATAGCGAACTCGCTTTGCTCATATATCTCAACGCCCGACATTCAGCGCCATATGGACATCGAAGCACGGGGAGGACTTGGCAGTTCTGCGCAGTATCATTCGGCACCGTCGTGAAGTCGACGTCGCGAAGTGGTATGAGCTTCATGCTTTCGAAAAAGCGAAGTGCTGCTTTTCGTGTGCCCTGACGAACACATGGAGGCTTACGAGATTTAGCGAGCCATCACGTGGAGCGGCGATGCTGGGTCGTCTGACAAGCATAAAAGCATGCTCCTTTCGCCATTGTTCCCCAAAAACCAATTCACACCATTCACACAAGCGTCAGACAGAGCTGGTCGTCGCTGAGATGTCGAAGCTTTTTCTCCTGCTCAGATGCGCGTTCATCGTCATGGCGACGGTAATCGTCCGCCTGCCTTGTGGAAGAGGTGCTCCCATGTCCCCGACTAGACCTGTCGAGCAGGCCGCCACCGACGCTGGCGAATCCGTCGAGTCGCTTCTCGAGGCGTTCTTTGCCTCTCACCAGCCCTCGGCTTGGCTGGGCGACTCGCATCCGGGTTCTCCGGCTCAGTCAGCTTGGTACACCTCGCATCCCGGCTACATGTCGATGGGCGAATTGCCAGGTCCCCGTCATCTGATTCCACCGACCTACCCTGCATCTCTTCACGTTTACCCTCCGGAGCCCGCACTGCACCAACCGTCGCCTTCACATCATTACGCGCCGGATCGATCGCAGGCGGTTCTTCCCGTACCTCCAACTGAGGGAGTGCATTCATCTGCTCAAGTCTCCCCTCCGCCTCTACCGGTCACATCCGAGATCGACAACCGGTTGATCTTTGGTGAGAACTTCGCTGGAAGCTTCTTTGCCGCGAATCCGCGCATGCAGAGCGGCAATGCGATCCGCACGATTGTCCAGCCGCAGTACGTGCTCGATCTGCTCATCACGGAGCTGTTCGCCGGCGTCAGAGGAACGTGGGTGCATCTGCCCGTTCTGCTGAAGCCAGAATACATGACCAACCCTGACTTGATCACTATGGAGGCCCTGGGATATCGAGTTCAGGCCAAGGAGCTTCGACTGCAAGATGCGCAGCGCGAGCGAAAGCTTCTCTTCACCTTTTCTGTGAAGCCGGACTTTGTTGCGCCTCCAAAGCCTCTACCCCATGCACCGGGTCAGGGCGCCGAACAGTCGTACGTCGGTGTGTGGGAGCTGCTGCCGACCTCGGATGCTCGTTCGTCCAAACTGTTCTTGCGCGGCTACTTTGACTATTCGGCGCAAGAGTTCAGCGATCTCGATGAGCATCCTCAGGCCACAGGATTGCAGTATTGGCTTTCAGTGAAGCAGGCCACATCGCAGCATTCCAGCCAGCCTGTTCTGAAGGTCAACCTCGAGAGACTGGACGTGCTTTCGTCTCAGGCGCTGCTTCCGATTCAACCCCAAGATGCCCAAACTCCAATCGTTGACTTTGGCGCCCGCCTGAATCTTGGCAGATCCTTCGACGGTCGACCGACGTCTCTGTACCAGGAGATTCTAGAGACCCACTCCATCCTTGACGAATTGAAGACGAGGGCGCACTTGGGCACGCGGGCGTTTGGTCAGGTGCAGATGACCGAGGTTCAGAAAAGGCAGATTACCGCAGTGATCTCGCACAAGTTCCACCTACCGGTGCCCGTCAAGATTCTTCGCCGCGAACGTGACGAGTTTACGATGCTCATCTTTCACCCGGAGCTCAATTGGGTCACCAACCACGTCGCCGACGTGGTCTCGGTGTGGAAGGTCACAGCGGGCCAAGGGAGGATGCGCGACCTGTTCAACACTGGCTTCTATCATCTCACGCCAGAGATGTGGGGCAAGCTCACCGAGGATAGGATCCCCGGGCTGTACGACGCCAAATTCCGGTGGAGCATCGCGGCCAGGGACAGCAACAAAAGGCCGCGGATCAGGATGTCGATCCCGCCAAACGTGTAGACGGGTCGTCTGCACAACATAGAGCTCGCCTCCTCGTCAAAAGCAGATCGCAGCGATCTTTCCCCCGGCGATTCTTCACTTCCCACTCTGCTCCCCCGGCAAGCGCGTGAGCATCTTTCTGTCATTCGTAGTGATTTAAGCAGTGAACAACGTTCTTCTTTTGTTTCGGTATTTGATTTGCTATAGCGAGAGTGCAGTTATTGACGTGCAAGGAAGCTTAAGCGATCCTTTGGGTGGCGTTGCTGGGGGGTGACGTATTCACGAGGCGTACGTTGTTGGTTTCCGCCCAGGCCAAGATGTCACGGATGGTGGATCGTGCCTGGCTTTCTAAGGGGCCTTCGAAGGATACAAGCACCGTGATGTGGCGGTCTTGCATGATGGTTTTGATCAGAGTGACGAGGCTTCTTGCCAGCGACAGGTGAGCTGTGCTGATGAACGGTCTGGAAGGGTCGGGAATATCGGGCATGCAAAAGATGCTGACTTCCAGATTTCTGTTCTTCGCGTCTCTACCTCCGCCCGCGAGCTCGCCCGCCAAGTACGAGGGCAGTCCCGCCATGGTACCGTGAACGTCGTCAGTGAGACCGTCGTTCGGACTGGTGCTGATATCGATCGTAATCTTGCGCAGCTTGGGCATGTGCAAGTTCGATTCGGCAAAGATGGAGCGCCTGCCGAGAAACAGCCCTGCGTCCTTGGCACGGAAGGCAAAGTGACGCAAGCGGGCCTGTTGGCTCGACAGCATGCACTTGAAAATCACCTCGTTGAGCATGTCCAATCTTCCCACATTGATCTCCTTGATGCGGCATTCTGCGAGCTTGCCGAGCTCAGGACAGGCCTGCACTGCGCGCACCGACGACGTGGGTAAGATATCCGTGAGGACATTGTCGAGCTTGACTTTGTGGATCAACGGTGCCTGTTCGATGAGCAGACGCAGACGCTCGCCGATCCTAGACCAGGAAGCCACCTTGGGGCGAACGTTGAGCCAGCGCTTTTTCCAGTAAGCCCTTCGAAGGTCTTGATCCCACTGCTTGCAGACGAGGCGAGTCTCGACCGAGACATCCGTGCCGAGCCGCCTGGTCGAGCGTACAAGGCTGAGCAACACGGCATGCTCGAGCTCTCTGGAAATCCTTGCGTTCTTCGACTGAGAAATCAGGGTGAGGATTTTGCTCGAGGCTCGCTGATAGAGGCTGTTCAGCTTGAGCACCATTGTGAACGGCGGGTTCTCCCATCGCCAGCCCACGTGGACCTCTGGCCGATTGTGGCGAAGCCAGCTGGGAAGCTAATGCGGCAGCGCGTTTCTGGCAGCGTTGACGTTAGCTTCGAGCGCTCGAGGTACGCTTGGAACGAGAGTTGCCCTGGCGATATGAGCATTGCGCACCACTGTGCGTGCTGCGAAGCTTAGTGAATTAAGCACTTCCAGCGGACCGTTTCGCTCGTGCGAGGGGAACTGCGGGTGGACCACCTGGGAGCGCTGCACATGGCCCGAGCTGTTGGCGACCTTGGAAATGGCCCAGAAGCAGGGAGCCCAACGGAGCAGGCGAGAAATGGCACTCATGATGCTCGGTGCCCGAGCAGGGATAGCAATGCGGAGTGGTGGTGGTGGTGGTGGTTGGTGGACACACACAGGGCTCAGCCTCTGCTCTTATATTGCAAACAGATCTGCTCGGAGGGGTGATGAGGGGATAGAAGCACCGATCAAGAAGCTCATCACGAGCTTCCATTGTCTGGGTACAGCGGAAGCGCGAGGTGCAGATCGTCAGTGTCCGACCTTGTGGGCTGAACGCTTGGACCCCCTCGTTCGGCGCGCTACGTGTCTATGCGTCCAGGCGCCTTCTCATTTGCCTTGGTGTTCCGATCTTGTTATGAGACGCCGAGCCTAGTGTCAACGAGCTCATCAAAGCGCAAGTCTGCCTGGGAGTCAGGAAGGAGGTTCTGCCTGTCATGTCGCGAGGGCAAGCTCAGAGAGTCTGGATCCATCTGCACTGCGGTGGTCGGCACAAGCGGACAGCGTGGGCAGAAATCTAAATTGTTAGACCGCCGTAAGACCGACCCGGATGAATTGGCGCTTCAATCGCGATTCGGTTGTAACAAGTCAGCCCGATTGCGAGGACAAAAAATTTGAAAAGGCGTGATTGCGACACTCGTGCATGAAGGGCCGGCCGTGCATGCAGCTGTTGCTCAGTCTTCTCGAGTCACTCTGGGCTCACTGAAACGGTTGCAGAAAATGCTCCGCTGTCGAGCCGGTCTAGCGAAAGTTGCTCCAGGTCGGCGCCTTTCAGGATTCATCGCACCCACAATCGAGGCTGCTGTGATCGTGGTCGCGTTGCGGGACTGTGTTGCAGTGAAAACGATGGCAGAGGGTGGGAACCAAAGTCAGCGTAGGCACGGGGCGGTGCGATTCATTTCCGAGCAGAGGCGGGCGAGCAGCGCGAAGTGCAGGCGGAAGTGCAGCAGCAGCAGTGTCGGAAATTTAGACGAGGATTTTGGAAGATGCTGCACGTCTTGCCAGGAAAGAGTCACCCAGCGGACCGAGATCAGGGCGATAGCAGATCTGTGCTCTGCGAAGGCTCGAGCGCAGCCTGTTGTCGGCTGAGCAAAGAGCCCCACGACCGAGAGTCTAATTGTGCGTTCAAGTGGGCACACATCCTCGCCACGAACCACCATCAGTCTCGACCCCATCCGAAACGTCGTGGTCACACTCACAAACACATCGACGACACACAATGTCTGAAACACACGGACAGGCCTTCCACCGCGCCGGCTTCTCGCCACCGGGCAACGCCGGCTCGTTCGCTGCCATGATGGCCGCGCAGGCTGGCGCACAGGTGCTGTCCAACGGCAGCGCCATCCACCCGTCGTCGTCGCCGCCCACTTCGTTTTCGCCTCCTCGCGCACGTGCGCAGTCGCAGTCGGTGCCGCTGTCGGCGCCGCGTCTTCTGACGCCGTTCGACACGGGCGACATCAAGATCCTGCTGCTGGAGAACGTGTCGCAGGGCGCGGTCAAGATGCTCAAGGAGCAGGGCTACCAGGTGGACTTCCACACCAAGGCGTGGAGCGAGGAGGAGCTCATCCAGAACATCGGCCAGTACCACGCCATAGGCATCCGCAGCAAGACCAAGCTGACGTCCAAGGTGTTCCGTGCGGCGCACAAGCTGCTCGTCGTGGGTTGCTTCTGCATCGGCACCAACCAGGTGGACCTCGAGTCGGCGGCCAAGGCGGGTGTGGCGGTGTTCAACTCGCCGTTTGCCAACTCGCGCTCCGTGGCCGAGCTGGTGATTGGCGAGATGATCGGCCTGTCGCGTCAGCTGGGCGACCGCGCGAACGAGATGCGCCAGGGCACGTGGAACAAGGTGTCCAAGGGATGCTACGAGGTGCGTGGCAAGATCCTCGGCATCGTCGGCTACGGCCACATTGGCTCGCAGCTGTCGGTGCTGGCCGAGGCGATGGGCATGCACGTCATCTACTACGACGTGGTGCCGCTCATGCCGCTCGGCTCGGCCAAGCAGGTGCCTACGCTCAACGAGCTGCTGGGCACGGCGGACTTTGTGTCGCTGCACGTGCCCGAGCTGGCCGAGACCAAGAACATGATCCGCGCCGAGCAGATCAAGGCGATGAAGAAGGGCGCCTACCTGATCAACAACGCGCGTGGCACCGTGGTGGACATTCCGGCGCTCGTCGAAGGGCTCAAGTCGGGCCATCTGGCGGGTGCGGCGGTGGATGTGTTCCCCAAGGAGCCTGCGGCGTCGGGACCGGGCACGTTTTCGGACGAGCTCAATAGCTGGGCTTCGGAGCTGTGCAAGCTGCCCAACGTGATGCTCACGCCGCACATTGGAGGCAGCACGGAGGAGGCGCAGCGCATGATTGGCATCGAGGTGTCGGATGCGCTGATCCGCTACATGAACTTTGGCGGTTCGGTGGGTGCGGTCAACTTCCCCGAGGTGGATCTGCGTGCGATCACCGAGGCGGACTCGCGGGTGATCCGTATCTGCTACGTGCATCAGAACCAGCCCGGTTCGCTGCGCGCAGTCAACGAGATCCTGGGCTCGTTCAACGTGGACAAGCAGCACTCGGACTCGCACAAGGACGTGGCGTACCTCATGGCGGATATCTCGGGCGTGTCCGAGAACGATGTGCGCGAGATCTACGACCGCATCTCCAAGACCAACGCCAACATCCTTACGCGTCTGCTGTCGTAAAACAACGGCTGGCCTACGCTGACTTGTATATAGTGTTGCAATGCGCCGGTTCATGGCTCAGAAGGTGGCTTTCCAGTCGTTGAGTGTGGCCTTTGTGCTTCTGCTAGGGTGAAATGAGTGGTTCTGAGCCGCAAGAGCGAGCCAGCGAGTCCCTTCCATTTCGCTGAAAAGATGCATGTTAGGGTCCGGTTTCAGACACTTTGGCAGAATTGCGACAGGGCGATCAAGGGTCCAAATTGAGATGCCGCGCGGCCCTGGCGATTTAATGCGCATGCGGCGAGGCGCGGCTCGTGTGGACGTGGCCCCACTGGGAGTTGGTGGGGCTTATCGGCGCGCAGTGACCTCAGAGGTCGTCGCCGCGGAGCGAGAAAAGGGAGAAAGGGGGGCAACTGAGCTCGAGCTCGGTTGAGCGCCTTCCGAGCGCCGGTGGCCGCTGCTGCTGCTGCTGCTGGTCTGCATCGTGTGGGGGGGCGCGCTCCATCGGTTGGCCGCCGCGATAGGCTGTGCATTCAGAGAGGGTAGTGTTGGCCGGTGTGCGCACGCACCTCGTCAGCCGCCGTTTCGGCAAGCTGACCGGAGAGCGGGGCTTGCAGAGCTACTGTATCGTATCTCGCGCTCAGCGTTTCATAGCCGGCGAGTGACTCGCGCCGCCCCCAGACCGTATCAGCGAGCGGGTACATATAAGCCCCCCCGCATCAGCCGCCTGCTATCTCCATCACCACCATCTGTCTCTCTTCGATCTGCATTCTACATACCTATCGCCAACTCCACACCACAACTGAGCTAGACCGCATACATTGGGCAACATGGGTTCGGCTGCATCCAAGCCAGTCGCCGCCAAGTCGGCAGAGACTCCCAACGAGAAGAGCGGCTACACGGTGTCGCTCGACTCGTCGCGCGCATCGGCGCACTCGTCGAGCATCGTCAATCACCATGCTGCGGACCGTCTGGCGCGCATCCAGGCCGAGACGCTCGCTCGCTACGCCACCTCATCCGCGCCCACTGCCTCGACGGAGGCACGCGCAGGCATCTCGCTCGCCTCCCTGTCCGACTGGCAGGACGCGGCGCTCACCACGCAGGCGGCGCGTCTGGCGCAGATGACGCTGCACAATGCGCCCATCGCAGCGAGCCTGCACCGTCGCGAGACCGAGGTGTCGTGCGCACACGTCTTTTCGCACGCCATCCCGTACGAGGTGAAGCCGGTGGTGAACCAGAAAAGCTCCGGCCGCTGCTGGCTCTTCGCCACGTGCAACGTGATCCGCCACGAGGCAGCCAAAGGGCTCGAGCTCGACGAGTTTGAGCTGAGCCAGAGCTACCTCAGCTTCTGGGACAAGCTGGAGAAGGCCAACTACTTTTTGGAAAACATGATCGAGCTTGCCGACGAGCCGCTCGACCAGCGCGTCGTGGGCTTCCTCAAGACGGCGCCCACCAACGACGGCGGCCAGTGGGACATGGTGGCGAACCTGCTCGAGAAGTACGGCGTGGTGCCCAAGGCGGTGTATCCGGAGAGCTACAACTCGAGCTACTCGAGCCAGATCAACTGGCTCGTTACGCTCAAGCTGCGCGAGTACACGCTCGAGCTGCGCGAGATCAAGCGCGACGTGCAGCGCAAGCTGTCCGCCACCTCGATTGGCGCCAGCCAGGTAGCGCGTGCGGTGGCGGATGCGCAGCGCAGGAGGAAGGAGGAGCAGATGGCCGAGGTGTATCGCATGCTGGTCATCGCTCTGGGAACGCCGCCGCAGCCGGATGCCGAGTTTACCTACAATTACCGCAACCGCGCCGGCAAGTTTGTGAGCCTCACCTCGACGCCGCGCCGCTTCCTGGCCGAGTACACGGGCAGTTTCGACCACAAGCAGCGGTGCTCGCTAATCCACGACCCGCGCCACCCGGCGGACAAGCTGATCACCGTCGAGCGGCTCGGCAACGTCTGGGAGGGCACACCCATCAGCTATGTCAACACCACCGTCGACGTCATGCGCGACGCGGTGGTGCGCAGCATCAAAGCCGGCCACCCCGTCTTTTTCGGTTGCGACGTCGGGCAATTTTCCGACAAGACGAGCGGCATCATGGATCCCGCGCTGTTCGGATACGCCGATGCATTCAACATCACGCTGGGCCTGACAAAGGCACAGCGCATCGAGCTGGGCGAAAGCTCCATGACCCACGCCATGGTCATCACGGCGGTGCACATCAACAAAGACGGCAAGGTGGAGCGCTACCGCGTCGAAAACTCGTGGGGCGAAGCAGGTGTGGGCAACGACAAGGGCTTCATGGTCATGAGCCACGAGTGGTTCGAGCAGTTCAACTACCAGGTCGTCGTCAGCCGCAAGTTTGTCCCACCGCATCTCTGGACGCTGTTTACCAACGGCGTGGACAAAGACACGATTCGTCTGCCCCCCTACGACCCATTGGGTGCACTTGCCTAGATCCCACACACACACACACACACACACACGCACCCGGCTTAAATGATAATGATTCGAACTTTTGCATTGCGCGTGTGTTGGAAGGAACTTAGAGCGCGGGAGGAGGAGGCTGCCACCTGCGCAGCCCGTAGTTCGCCCGGATGACGACCAGGTCCAATGCCATGCGCACCGAGTCGGTGAGCAGCGCGATCTTGGAGCCGCCCACCTCGTGCCAGTGCACTGCCACCTCGGCAATCGGCAGTGCCAGACCCTCCAGCCCCCTCCACTCGCCTTTGCCTTGGCCTTGCTGCTGGGTTGGGATGGAAGGTGGTTTTGTCTGCATGGCGAGGTTCGAGGCGGCCTGGGCGAGCAAGATAAGCTCCACATCAAAGATCCATCCGTCGATATGCGAAGCCGGAAACACCAGCTTCGCCGTTGGCCGCGTAAACAGCTTGAACCCACACTGCGTATCCTTGATCTCGGGCTGGACAGGTAGCCTTTGCCTTTGCTCGCCGCTTGCACACCTCGTCTTGGTTCGCAGAAATGCCGGGATGAGCGAGGAAGGTGTTGGTGGACGTAGGAGGAGCGTGAGGAGGAGGTGGAACGAGTGCATGAGCAGATTGCGGAGTCGGGATCGCTTGACGACTGCGTCGGATTTGACCATATGCGCGCGGCTCCCCACCACCATGGCGTGTCCGCGCGCGGTAAGGATCTGTGCGAGCGCGCGCGATAGCGTCGACACGTCCCCGAACCTCGTCGCCCCATCGGCGTCGGCGAAGAGCACCAGCGACCCGCGCGAGTGCAGCACGCCATGCCGAACCGCTCCGCCCTTGCCGCGATTCTTGACGAGCCGAACCACGCGCACATCCACCGCGTGCTCGCGTCCAAACTCGAGCGCTACCTCGTGCGTCCCATCCTGACTCCCATCATCCACCAGTACAATCTCGTACGTCTCCAACGGCTCGTACAGTGCCTTTCGTACCGTCTTTGCATCTTTATGCTCCTCCCCCGCACTTGCTGCGATGGTGTCTGCTTCGTCCAAACCCTGTACCAGGCTGCGCTTTTGGCGGCGGAGGGATTCGAGAAACTCGACGGTCTCGCGCAGCATGATGGGTAGTCGTTCGCGCTCGTTGTACGCCGGAACCACCACACTCAACTGTACCTGCTCGACATCGTCTAGCAGCGAAGGTAGGGGTTGTGGCGCTGCAGAAGCGGGCGAGACGTACGACAGCTCCGAGCGCGAACTCGTCTTGGTCACCGGCGTCAACCACACCACCGCCAGATATAGCGTCGACGCCCCCACCGCGAGAAGGGTGACGAGTGCGAGTGCAACGTGCGGATAGTAGTGGTACAGCGCAATTGGCAGCGCCGATACAAACCCCCATATCGTGCCGTCGACCAGTGACGTTGGACCGGCCCCACCGGCCATAGCCGCTCCTGCACAGCACGCTGCTCCCATTTGCCCAGCAGAGTTGTCCTCCGAGTCAGCGAGCCGCGTGGACGAGAGATGCTGAAGAAGCTGTTGGTTGCAGATTGGGAAGTTGCGGGTGAACGCCAAGCAGCATGTGTCTCGGATCGCCGCGGCGGGGTGTTGGATGAGCGCACGGGCTGTGCGCGTCGACGTGTCAATTTTGAGGCACCGCTGCTGCCCCACCCGATCCAACCGCACAGCTGCAAGTTGCCGCTCCCTCCTGCCGAAATGAAGAATTGCAGAAATGCCGTCCAAGATGCACTCGCTCCGCCAAGCTCTGTTCGTGATGAATGCACAGCAGCACCACGTTCCCTCTTTGAGTACACGGATACGATGACAAAAGACTTTTCATTGAAGATGCTGCGGTCGACCCATCTGGACGACACGGCAGCCTAGATACTGTTGCGGCGCGCGCTGATGCCCGCCTTGCGGCGCGTGCGTCGGCGCCTCGTGCGTCTCCTCACGCCGCCGGGCCCCACCTCGTCCTCGAACTCGTCCCACTCCTCGTCCTCCTCATCATAAGACTCGTCGCGCTCCATGCTCGACGGCAGCTTGCCCTCGGCGTCCCATCCATCGAGCATGTCGACCGCCGCGCGGTAGCCCTTTTCGTAGATCTGGTCGAATCGGCCAAATGCCAGCGTGCCGTACTCCTCGACGGGCATGCGCATGTAGAAGCAGCCGTTGACCTTCTTGGCCTCCTCGAGCGTCTTAACCGACGACACGTACGTCAGTCGGCCCTGGATGTCCGGGATCGACGGAATCTTGCCTGCGTCCGACCACGGATTCCACCGATTCAGCAGCACCCACCATCCGGACAGCGTGTCGCCGTACGCGCGCGGGCTCGTATCGTCGATCGACCCCACATCGACCGCAAACACCGAGCGCGCTCCCATGGCCAGCATCACAGTCACGGGCAGATTATCCACATAACCGCCGTCCACCAGCATGTTGCCCTCGTCCACCAGCGGCGGGATGAGCCCCGCGAGCGTCATGGAGCCGCGGATGTAGCGCCACGCATAGCCGCTCGTATGCACCTCCATGCGCGACCAGGTGATGTTGGTGGTGTTGCAGAAAAACGGGATCCACATGTCCTCGATGTGCGTCTCCTGGATCGCCTTGAACACGCCGCGGTTGAACTCGTGGCCGGTCGTGTACGACACTACGGGATACGTGAGGTCCGACGCAAAGCGCCACAGCGACGCCATCCGGCCCGCGAACCGCTTGGCCCGTCCGAACGTCGACACCATCTCGGCCTCGCGCGCGTACAGTCCGCCCACGAGCGATCCGATCGACGTACCGCCCACCATGTCGATCGGGATGCTGCGCTCCTCCAGCGCCCGGATCACGCCCAGATGCGCACACCCGCGCGCACCACCTCCGCCCAGCACCAGCCCGATGCTCTTGCCACACAACCTGCGCGCCAGCCGCGCAAAGTCGGACGCGTGGTGCGGCCGTCCGGACGCAGAGAGCGGCGTCTTGGTCTTGCGATACCGCTGCAGCGACGTCTCGAGCTTCTGCTTGAGATTGCGCAGCGCCTTGACCGCCTTGGGGTCGCCGCCCGTCGCCATGGCGGCAGCGCTCTGCGAGCCGGCGAGCCCCGCCATCTCGACGTGGTGGTGCGCATGCACCCACGGCCGGTTCTTGAGCCACTCGCGCGTCGAGCCCGGCGGCACGCTGCGCTCCGGATGCAGCAGCACCAGCTCCTTGCGCGCCGTCGTCTTGACGCTCAGCAGCAGCCGCTCGTACTCGCCCATCGCCGGCTCGTCGCCATACCCGACCATGAGCACGCAGTCCGCCTGCCGGATCGACGTCTGCGACCACGCCGACGACACCGGCGTGTCCACCACGTACACCACCATGCGGTACTTTTGCTCCAGATCCGCAAGCCACCCCGCCAGCTTGAGCTTGCCCATCCGGCTGAACGCATGCCGGCCCAGCACGCCCATCACGCTGCTCTGGTCCAGAAAGATCGCGCGCCCGCCAATCGTGTCGTCAAACGCCGCCTGCAGCTTGGCCGCAAAGTCCATCACCGGCACCTGCCGCGTCACGGGCACAATCGCCACCGTCTTGAGGTTGAGATTGTTGCGGCCCAGATCGGGCAGGCCAGGGATGGGCGCGCCGAGCGCCGCGCCCTCCTGCTTGCTGCGCACCAGCTCGGCGCGCACGCGGCGCGCGATGATGCGCGAGATCTGGATCGTGATGGCCGGATGGCGCACCGAGATGGCGTTGAACAGCGTCGACGGCATCCTCGCCAGCTCCGAGTCGCGGATCGCATGCAGCGTCGTGCGCCGGCGCGAGTTGGTGATCACGTCGAGCTCGCCCACGCTGTCGCCCTGGCCGTACTCGTTGTGCACCTCGATCCCGTTGCCCTTTTCGGTGATCGCGCGCAGTCGGCCGTTGATCACGATGAAGAAGCTGTCCGACGCGTCGTCCTCGCGATAGATCACCTGGCCCGCATTCACCTGCTGCCAGTCGAGCGACGAGTCAATGTGCAGGATCAGCGGCGGCAGCAGGCTCAGCAGCCGCTTGCACAGCGTCAGCAGCACAATCGGCCGCCGCTCCATGATGCGCTCCAGCGCATGCGCTGGCAGAAAGCCCACGTACACGTCCGTCTTGGCCGCGATGTCCACGTAGCTCGCTGTGCCCAACAAGCTCGAGAGGTAGCCCGCAATGCCACCCCGGCCCACGGAAAAGATGGAACGCTTGCCGTCCTTGGTGCGCTGCCCGTTTTGCTGCTGGGCATTGTGGCGGGGCGCCTGCTGCAGCGGAGGCCGAGACGACCCTGAGATGTCGGCGTACGCTTTCGTCTGCGTGCGCACGCCCGTCGCAGTTGCAGTCGCTGCCGGCTGCGGCTTGCGCAAGCTGGCGTTGGCACCTCCGCCAGTCCCGTCGAGGGCATTGCCGACTTTCGTCGAGTCAGTCGGGCGTCGTCGCATGCCGCTCATCGCACCGTACGACGAAGATGACGACGAGCCTTCCCGAACGGGAGGCCGATGCAGCGACGACGTGGCGGATTCACCGACGCCACTCGCGCGATCTGCGTCCGTGCCCCTGCGCGAGCTCTGCGGCGTGACGTCCCACGAAGCAGCATCGTCATTCTGTCCAGTGCGCAGCGACGAGGTGGAGGGAGCTTTGCGGTGCGCATCGGCCTTTGCAGAGCTCTTGCCACCGCTACCGCTTCGGCCCGCGCGACCAGGCTTGCCCTTTGGAGCCTTGCGATCGTCCTCGTCGAGCTCGTTGGCTTCGGCGGGAAGCAGCACGTCCAAGAAGCCATCGATGACGTAAAAGAGTCCGGCGCGACTCTCGCCTGCTTTCACTAACGTGCTGCCGGCGGGGAAGAACTTGATCTCGACCTCGTTCTCAAAGTCGGACGGATGGAATCCGGACTGGCCGTGGCCGGCCATGGAGCTGTTGGTTCCCGTGATGCTCGACTCCTCCTCTGCCATTGCTGCGTCGAGCATGCTGAGCGAGCTGAAGGCCGACTTGAACACGGAGCGTTGCAGCAGCGCGTCCTGCGCACTGATGTGCGGGCTTGCCTGGTAGCTGGCCGCGATGGGAGACACGGCGGCCTGGGCAAGGCCGATACTCTTGGCGATGCAGTCCATGACCTCGCTCTTGATGTCAAAGTGCGACAGACCGATGGAGGAGAAGGGATGGTCTCCCTCGCCCTCGTCTGTATTGTGCGAGTTGCCATAGTTGCCGGAACGTGAAGAGCCGGAGCGGGGACTGGTGCCGCTGTGCGAGTCGTCCATAGGATGCGGCAGCGGGCCGTGGAACGGGTCGAGCTTGGAGACGGAGCGCGGCTTTGCGCGAGGCGTGGGCTGGGCAGAGTGAATATCAAAGCCGCCGGTATACCAGCCATCCGAACTGAGGCTGGCCATGCTGAGCAGATCGCCCGGGCCGACCGTGGTTCGGGCCAAAGGTGTCTTTAAGGCCGGATCGGGATGGCCCCAAGGAGTCTTGGCCGTCGAGATGCGCGGAGGCGCAGCCTTCCTGTTCTGCTGCTTGGGGCTAGTGTCCGAGCCTGCTGGTTCTGCAATCCTGACCTTGGGCACGCTGGTGTCATCGGCAGAGCGGCGTTCGCCTGGCACGGGCGTGCTGCTACGTTGTGCACCCGTGGTCCACTCCTGAAAGTTGCGGAAGTAGTCGTCGTCGTTGAGGGCGGACGAAGACTCGCGATGCGAGGTAGGCTGGGGGAGGAAGCGTTGGCGCAGCCTGTCCATGCCGCCCTTTTCGTAAAACTCGGAAGGCAGCGGGAAGCATGCGAGATCGTTGATCGACTTTTCTGTACGCATGACCTCCTTGGTGAGCCCAAGATACTTGTGCGCCGTGTGGAAGGTGACGCGCGAGAGGCGAGCGAGGATGACCTGTACGATGTGCGCCGCCGCGTTGGGGAACTTTTTGGTGAGGCGCTTGAATGCCTCTGCCGGGATGACGGCGAGGGTGGTGTCGACGGTGGCACGCGCCACCGTACCTGCGCCTTGGTGGTGGAAGGCTTCGGCGCCACGGCCGAGGTGGCCGTGTGCGCTGCTCATGGCGCTGAGGATGGACCCAGGGGTGTGAGGACCGATGTGTGGGTCATGCATGCCCTGAACCGAGGCAGCGCGTCCGCGGAAGTATGGGGACTGGGTAGAGCTTGGCAGATTTGGCAGGGGAGTGCCTGCAGGCGAAGCCGTGTAGCCAGGGGCGAAATGAGAGAAGGGCGCGGAGGCCTGGGCAGGTGGCATCTGAAGGTCTGGAGCATGCCCAAGGGAGTTTGTTCCGCTGTCGTCATGATGCTCTGCGGCGTCCATGACGGTGCTGTTGTCGCCGTCCTGGACGGTGACGGAGCCCGTGCCGGATGACCCAGTTCTTGCGTGAGTCGGCCTGGCACCAGCACGTACCGCAGAAGCGCCAAGACGCTCGACGGCTCCCTCGGTGGACAGGGCGTTGGGGACATTGCGCAGTGCGGCAGCGTTGAGTTGGAGCTGTGCCGTCGTCTGAGAAGGGGCGTTGAAAGCCGAGGCGTAGGGCGATGTTGGGGCAGTCGAGCCGTCTGCGCTCCCAGTGCCTCTGCCCATGCGCGTGGAGTGCGCTGTAGAGCCGAAGCTAAAGTGACGATCCATGGGACTCGGACCCAGATTGTGCGGTGCCGAGTGCATGTCGTGCTCGTGGCCAAAGGATAACTTGACGTCCTCGGTAAAGAGGCTGAGGATGGTGAAGAGACTGCTGAGGGTGCCGCCGCTCTCGACCTCGTTGAGCAGCTGGTATCCGTTGTCGTCCTCGTCTTCGACCGAGTCCTGGCCTACAGCGCTCGCGGTGGCGGAAGGAAGGGGCGCATACACCTGGACATGGCCATCGATGACGATGTAGAAGGAGCAGTCGGTGTCGAGCGAAAGGCTGTCGCCTGCCACGAGCCTGCGCGTCTGCATGTGGCGTGCGAGCTCGTGGAAGACGGGCTTCTCAAGAAAGCCAAAGATGCGGATGGCCTGGAGAAAGTCGTCGAGGTAGTTGTGGAAGCTGCCTCGATCGTTGTCTGTGCCAGCCGAAGCGACGTCGGGATTGAGATTGAAGCCCTCATCTCGGGTGAGTGGCACTTCGCGCAGCCGCTCGTACTTGTTCAAGTGCCTGTAGCGAAGCCAGATAAAGGCGGATACAAGCGATGTGAGGAAGAGGAGGGCGAGCGAGGGAAAGTTGAGCTGGAGCGTGAGGCTGTAGTGCAAGATGGTGTAGACGAGGCTGGGCACGGTGATCGTCGAGAATGTGGCCAAGATGCGGATGAGATTGAGCGAGGCGAGCGTCACACGGAGCAGGCCATCGATGAGTGCGATGAGCGGATTGCGGTCGTCGGCGTACGAAGCGGCTGCGGCAGCGGTGGCTGCTACCGTTTCGGCCGCCGTGCTGGACATGGAGGCCGCATCGGTGGCTATGGACGCCAGCGACGAGGACGAGGCGGCGATGGGCGCCTGCGACATGGCGCTGTCCGTGGCTGCTTTGATATTTGCAGCAGCAGAACACCGAGCTCGACGAGAGGCAAGAAGGATGGTGGAAGAGAGGATGATGGCTGCACAGCCTTCCATCGACGCTCAGCGACCCTGGCATGACTGAGCAGTGCAGCGGCAATTTCACGCTCAGGAGCTCTGCGCTTTTGTTGTCGGCCCTCGGCTGGTCCGAGCGGAGGGTCCAACCCCTCCACGCACCCACGCGTCATGCAGCAGCGCACAATCCTGCCAGCAGAAGAAAAAAGAAAAAGAAAAATGCCGCGGCTCAGTTCTCGAGCAGCCTTCAAGCCCGCCGTTCTAGCACAAGCACACTTGCAAAGCGAAAAGATCCATGCCGGTTGGGATGCAGATGCAAAAGACTAAGTGATACAAGATGACAGAGACCGTCATAGCGGAACAAAACCCTGGGAAAGAGAGAGCGGTGACACTAAACAATGAAGGAAGAAAAAGAGAGCGAGAGAGAGAGAGAGAAAAAAGCCCGGAGGGAGGATCAGATGCGGCGGAGAGCGACGACCTGGACCTCGAGTTCGCACTCTGCGATGGGGCAAGGTTCCTGATCGTCGATGCGCGACTGGAGGACGTCCCAGAGCGAGTCGAGGACGAACTCGACGGCGCCCTTGCTCAGCTTGCCCTTCTCGCGCAGGATGGCGCGGAAGTGCGACTCGTAGAGGTTCTTGAACAGCTGGATCATGTGTTCGGCGAAGGCGACGCGCGAGAGCGTTCCGGCCTGCAGCGCCTTCCACGCAGGATGCGGCAGTCGGAGCGGCTCGGCCTCGCTGGCGAGCGTCGGCGCCGCATCCGCCGAGATCGGCTCGTCGCCCAGTCCGCAGCTCCACTCGACACGCCAGAGGTGCCTGACCGACTTGAGCACGTTGCGCGTCTGGCGCGGCGTGCGTGCGTGCATGGGCAGGCTCAACAGATGGCGCGCCACGTCGCTCTTGAGCATGCCGCACGACACCAGTCGCTGCAGGCACGGCGCAAGCGTGTTGGTGAGCGTCGTCCAGATGTCCGAAGCTGGGCTCTCGGCCGCCGCACCGTTGCCCAGGCTAGACGGCCGATTCGGCGACGAGTTGGAACGACGACGCTCCTTGCGCAGCATCGCCATGGCCGGCGAGTTGGCCGCACGCTCCAGTGCATCGCCGTCGCCATTGACGCCGGCGATCGCAGCCGTGGTGCGTTCCAAATCGGCCGAGCCCATGCCGTGGACCGTCGACCGAGGTCGGTCGGGCAGAACCATGTTGCTGTCCTCGGACCGCGCAATGTACGCCATGACGATCACACCGCCTTGACGGAACTCGTGAGCGCGAGCGGTGAGGAACGCGGCGAGCTCGGCATGTGCCGAGGTTGAGAGCGACACCGTCGGATTCCTAGGCGTGTGCGACCAGTGCAGATCCATCAGACTGATGCCCAGATGCAGCGTCGACGGCGGAGCGATGCGCGAGGCGAACGGTCTCGAAACGAAGCTCGGAAAGATCGAGTTGTGCAGCGGCGGCTCGTGCGTGGCCTGCCACTGCGGATGCAGGTACGACTCTGGATTCGAATCGAGCATCTGCGAGAGCGGACGGAAGTCGGCCTGGGGCGAATCCTCGTGGATGATGGAAAAGTTGACCTTGCACGGAAAGTCGTCGGATGCATCCATGCCGAGGATGCTGCGCAGCGATGCGGCGCCATCCAGACCCGGAAAGTAGTTGCTGTCGTCTTCGCCCTTGGCCGCCTCGCGCCGCGGCGTGTCGGCGTGTGCCTTGTCGACAAAGGCCGAGATGATGGGCTGCATGAGGTTGATGGAGCGCGTGTTGAGGCTGCCGTACTCGGCAATCGTGATGGTCTCGCCCTCCTCGCCAGAAAGCGGGATGCTCGAGACGAGGTGAGGCAGCACCTCGGACACCTTGGCACGGACACCGGGCCCAAAGTGGCTGCCGCCTCCCAAGCCCATGAGTGCCGCCTGAGTGGGACCATGGGCGCCCGCCGCCGGGCCCTGTCGGAACGACTTCCAGCCGGCGTTTTCGGGATGGCGCGCAGCCGCATCCTGGACGGGGCTGGACGAGGTGGTGGTTGCAAACGGATTCATGTTGAAGGGATTGCCAGAAAGCGGATGCTGCGAGTCTGGTGAGAGCAGCGCCTTGTCGCCCAACGAGGGAGTCTCGAGCTGTGTGCTGCCGCCGAACGAGGCGTGGGCGTGTGTGCTGCTGCGGCTGCCGAGCGAAGGCTCGCGCTCGATGCTGGTGGTGGCGGAGAGGGGCGCGTCGATGTTGAAGCTGTTGGGCAGGCCGTGCGTCAGGATTTTGGCCTCGTTGCGAAGGGCAATGTAGTTGTTCTGGTAGTACTGCTGCTTTTCGATCTCGGCGGCAATGGCAGGTGGCGGGGGAGCTGCGATGATGGGATCGTGGGTGTCTGCGCGGTGGTGTCGACCATGCCTCATGGGCTCTCCAGGGTGCCTGGACTGGCGCGTCCCCGTGGTGCGCCTGCGGTGCAGATCGCCTTCGGGGCCGTCGGCGGTGAAGTCGGAGGAGTGCGGCGAGCGAGATCGATACGGAAGACTGACCGCGGCCGAGGTGGTTTGGGCGCCGTCGAACTGGAGCGGGGTTGGCAAGTCGTTGGCGGCGGTTTCGTACGAGGCAAGCGATGAGGCTTCGAATGTGGTGTGGTGGGAGCGATTGTAGCGGGGCTCGGCGAGGCCGGAGAGCGCTGCTGCTTGTGCGCCGGGTATGTGGGTCATGAGAGCCGAGGAGGCGAGGCTGACGCCGAGGCCCATCTCGAGGCCGGCGGCGACGACGCTGCTGACTTCGATGGGTGAAGTGCCGACGGCCGAGACGGCAGCATGTGTGGGTGGCGTGATGCCCTCGACCTTGCCGACTTCGTAGAGCGTGAACTTGGAGAAGGCGGGTGCTGGCGCGGTATCGAGGCTGGGATCAGGCTTGGCCGAGGAGATGTGCGGCGGCTCGTCGAGGCTGGCGAGGGCATGTGCGCTGCGCCTTCTTGTGCCGAGCGGGTAGGACTGGTCCTGCATGTGCGCAAACGTCTGTGCGGGCGCCGAAGGGGTGAGATCGTTGTCCATCGAGCCCATGGTGACAAAGGCGTCGATGACGGGCATGCTTTGCAAAGAGCGACGCGCGCGAGGAGCGATGGGTGGTGGGGTTCAAGGGCGTGCGAGGGATGGCATCGAACACGGCGGCTTGAAGCGGGGCGCGTGGAGCGCAGGCAGGAAGGATGGTGAATGCGGTGCGGAAGAGTCGAGGCTTGCAAGGCCAAGACACTAAAGCGAGAGGGTGGTTGAAAAGAATTGACGATAGCAGACTCGGCTCCGAGCGATCGGCAATTGGGCGGTAAGAGACGGCGGCCAGGCGTGCGAGGCTGGAGAGGCGCTTGCGCAAGATAGAGTGGATGTGCCGGTGGGTTTCAGGGACGGGTGCCGAAGTTGTACACGGTTGAGGGGCGTAGTGGGCGCGCACGAATCTGATAGCGCAGGACGCAGGAGGGATGGCGTGCGGGGCACGAGATGAAGTGGGCTACGGTACGGCAACGCGGTGAAAGAGGCGTAGTGAAGCAGCGGTGCGTTTCAATGCGCGCGGTTGATGAAAGGGCGAGGCAGGAATCGAACCGAGGCAATGTATGCCAATGCCAGTGCCAGATGGGGGAGTGAGCGCGATCGTTGGGCGTAGGAGACTTTGCTGCAGCTTATTATGAATTGGTCTGCCTTGTTTGCGTGGCAGCGAGCGTATTCGCAAGTCAAGGGTGGGAGATCGAAGACGAGGCGAGGCGAGGTGAGGAATGCAGAGAAGATGCTGGAAGGGAGGGATGTTGGGGATGAGGGTTGGAGGAGGAGGAGGAGGGATGGAGAAAGGATGGAGGCCGAGGCGTGGCTGAGCGGAAGATGGGGGGGAGGCGGCCATGAGGATCGCGTGGGATCGAGCAGAGTGAGTGAGTGGTGTTGGCGAGCCCGGCTGACAGCGCTCTCCGCGGCGGCGAGCGGCGAGTCCGAGCAGCGATGCATGAGCGAGGCTTTGAGCGGGGCGACGGAGCGGCGGAATGCTGCTGCTGCTGGGCGGGCCATCCGTTGGAGCGTGCGTGCCTAGCCGTTGCTGCCATTTCGGCCATTTCTGCCTCGCCCGAGCCAAGCCAGCCTCTGAAACCGCACCGGCAGATCGATGCAGCTGCGCACCCACGGCTCCCTCCTCCAACCCCACCCCATCTACTCTATCCACGCGCACCACACCGCAGCGCATCGCATCGCAGCGCAGCGCCCCCCGTTCGGAATGGCGCGAATTTCCGAATTTTGAGGGTTCGCTTGGCAGGGCAGCCGAGCCTGTCTTTTTTCCTCGCCCTGAACTCTGAACTCAAGATTGACTCGCAGCCTCCTGCTGCTTAAAATTAAGAATCCAAAACAAAAATGAAATGAAAGAAAAAAGAAGAGAAAGAGAGACTTTTGGGATCACGGCGAATTTTCCACAGCGATTTTGCAACGGTTTGACACACGCGCGCCGGTAAGCCAGCCTGACAAGCGGGCGAGAGAAGCAGCTGACTCGGTTGCGATCGCGAGTCGGATCAGCGCCTGCAGCTGGCTCCAAAAAAAAAAAAATCAAAAAAAGCTGACGGCTGACCCAACGCGTGTCAAATTCAACTACAGCTCGTCGATGTGTTGTGGTACAGGCGCAGACGGGAATAGATTGCCCGTCAGCACTGGCAAGACACGCACCACTCATCTTGGTTGCAAAGGCGGGTTGCAAGGCTTCGGCATGACAACCACGCAACCGCTCCATGCTGCGGGCGGGCCATGTTGTCGGAACATGTGGCTGGGCGTGCAGCCAGGCCGCCGCCTTGCAAGTTGCCGAAGCGTTAGCGTGGTCGTAGCTGCGGCAGCCAAGGAGGATGGAGGTGTGCGATGCCAAGAAGAGCTTGAGTGCGATCTTGAACCCGCTTCGAGTCTAGACGCTATCGGACGCTGTCGGCACGCTGTTGAGCGCTGTTCGGAAAAGAGGGGTCGCGGCCCGGTCCCCCTTTTTCGAGCGCCGCCGCTGCCCGTCCCAACATCCCCACCACGCATTGGTGCGGCGTGCAAACACACGCGTAAGGCCGCCATCACATGTCGAATCCACGCCGTTGGTTTCCGTTCCGCCCAACCTCGACGGCCCGACCAGGATGATCAGTTCATTCGAGACCCGTCTGGACTATTCTGCCGTCGCCTCATACGCACAGACTCTCTGATCGCAGCCGGCGCGCACAACGCCGTCTTGCCGTGCGGAAGCGTGCGGAAGCGTGCGGAAGCGTGCGTCCGAAGCGTGGTCTCGGCTGCGCCGGTTCGCTTATCCGGACTTTCACCCGCTCAATCTACCGCCGCTGCGCTGTGCAGTGCCAATTTTCCGTGCTCCTTGGCCCCACTTCGTCTAGCCGCCTTGTTTTCGCAGCCGAGCTGCCCTCGCAGCTGCACTGTCCATCGTCTTCTTTCGCCTAGCCTGTCTTGCTCGTGCATCCATCGGAGCGGCCTCAGTCTTGAATCGCGCTTGGAATCTAGACCGGTCCTCGGTTCCTCCGGGCGTTTTGTGCAGCTTTCTCTCATTTTCTCCATCTTCGATGCACACTCGTTGTCTCATATCTAGCAGCATTGCTGTGTGTTGCCGGCTGGCAGAGAGATGCACAGCTCTGCATGCATCGTCCAAGATCCATGTTGCTTGCCGCGCCGCTCGATTCCGCATCTCCAGTGCCAAAAAAAGAAAAGCACAGCAACCAAACCGCAGCTTGCGTGCAGTGCAATGCATGCAAAAAAACAAGCTCGTTGCACGTTGTGCATGCGTCGATGTGCACATGAGCCGATGCGGACAAATCAGCTTCATCTCGTCTACGATAGCAACGTGCTGAGTCGGCTCGGAAGCTGTCGTCGCAAAAGTTGAGGTATGCTGAGCAACCATCGGCGTCGGTCGCAAGCAGCAGACCAGCCGTCAGCTGCAAGGGCAACGTCTCGAACAGCGCTAATCCTAGCCGAGCCAGGACTGCAAAGAACCTGCCGGTGGCCTTCTTTGACCGAGACCGCAGCGGAACTCAGATCGAGCCAAGTCCGCGGCGCGGCGTTTTGTTGCGATTTTTCGATGCTGTTAGAGCTTTAATTTTACCTCACGATGTTAGGGTGGCTACTTCAACATGCTCATCTTTTCTCGCCGCCTCTCCACTTTTTTTTCTCGGGAGTCGCTTCTTCCGCTGCTCGAGATGTCCAGCGCTCAAGAAAATTTCGAACCCTGGACGAGAAGAAGGAGCGCCGAGTGTGTCTCTGCTCGACCACAGCGCTGCTCCATCATACTTTCGGCCCACCATTCCAGCATCCTCCGCCCTCGCTCCGCCCCTTTGCCACCGTCGGTCACCTTCACTGCACGTTCGCACCTTCTCACTGCACGCTTTTGTCACCCGCGTCAAGGCTCGCTGTGGCGCCTTCGACCTCCGCCACCATGAGGAAGCAGCTCGACCCACGCATCCCCACCCTCATCCGCAACAATGTCGCCCTCAACCACCGCTCCTTCTTCGTCATCGTCGGCGACAAGGGCAAGGACCAGGTGGTCAACCTCCACTTCCTCCTCTCCCAGTCCCGCGTACAGTCTCGCCCCAACGTGCTCTGGTGCTACAAGAAGGACCTCGGCTTCACCACCCACCGCAAGAAGCGCGAGCAAAAGATCAAAAACGACATCAAGCGTGGCGTCCGCGAAAAGGGCGAAGGCGATCCCTTCGAGCTCTTTGTCAGCCTCACAGACATTCGCTACTGCTACTACAAGGACACGCCCAAGATTCTCGGCCAGACCTACGGCATGCTCATCCTCCAGGACTTTGAGGCAGTCACGCCCAACATGCTCGCGCGCACCATCGAGACCGTTGAGGGCGGCGGTGTCGTTATCCTCCTTCTCAAGACCATGTCCAGCTTGAGGCAGCTCTACTCGCTCGGCATGGACGTTCACCGCAGCTACCGCTCCAACGCCTCCGACGACGACCCCGTCGCACGCTTCAACGAGCGCTTCCTCCTCTCCCTCGGCGCCACACACGACACGCTTCTGCTCGACGACGAGCTCAACGTCCTCCCTCTCAGCAAGGCCAAGGACATCAAACCCTTGCCCGAAACCAGCACAGGCACCGGCACCGGCGTCGGCTCCACCGTCCGCAAGGGCAAGGAGCGCGTCGAGGCCGAAGAGGAGCTCGCCGAGCTCAAGGACCAGGTGCGCGAGACCAAGGTCGTCGGCGAAGTCGTCCGTCACGCAAAGACGCTCGACCAGGCGAAAGCCGTGCTCACCATCCTCGACATCCTCGCCAGCTCCTCGCTCTCCACCACCGTTGCACTCACCGCCGCGCGTGGCCGTGGCAAATCGGCGGCGCTGGGTCTCTGCATCGCCGCCGCTGTCGCGCATGGCTACAGCAACATCTTTGTCACCTCGCCCAGCCCCGAAAACCTCAAGACGCTCTTCGAGTTTGTCTTCAAGGGTCTCGATGCGCTCGGCTACGACGAGGTCGCAGATTGGGACCTCCAGCGCGGCACGGGCGAGTGGAAGGACGTCGTCGTCCGCGTCAACATCTTCCGCGGACACCGTCAGACCATCCAGTACATCCAGCCGCAGGACCACCAGGTGCTTGGCCAGGCCGAGCTCGTCGTCATCGATGAGGCCGCCGCCATCCCGCTCCCGCTCGTTCGAAACCTCATGGGGCCCTACCTCGTCTTCCTCTCCTCCACCATCAACGGCTACGAGGGCACCGGTCGTAGCCTCTCGCTCAAGCTCATCCAGCAGCTGCGCGACAATGCACGCGGAGTAGCCAGCGCGTCTGCGGACGACGGTGCTGCATCGTCCAGCAAGACGTCTGGCAAGGATGGCAAGGGCAGTCTCAGCACTGGCCGTGCAGCAGGCGCCGCACTGGCAGCACGCTCGCTCAAGGAGGTCGAGCTCAAGGAGCCCATCCGATACTCGCGCGGCGACCAGATCGAGTCGTGGCTGCACCAGCTGCTGTGTCTCGATGCCTCGCTCACGCGCACCTCGTCGGCCGCACTCAAGGCCAAGGGCTGTCCGCACCCGTCGTCGTGCGACCTGTACATGGTGAACCGCGACGCGCTCTTCAGCTACCATCCGGCGTCCGAGCTCTTCCTGCAGCGCATGATGGCGCTGTACGTGGCAAGCCACTACAAGAACTCGCCCAACGACTTGCAGCTCATGAGCGATGCGCCCGGTCATCGGCTGTTTGTGCTGCTCGCTCCACTCAAGCCCGGCGAGGGCGGCCTTCCGGAGCCGCTTTGTGTGGTCCAGGTCGCGCTGGAAGGCAACATCAGCCGCGGGGCGGTGCTCAACAGCCTCAGCCGCGGCACACGCGAGGCGGGGGATCTCATCCCCTGGCTCGTGGCGCAGCAGTTCCAGGATGCGGACTTTGCATCGCTCTCGGGCGCACGCGTGGTGCGCATTGCAGTGCACCCGGACTACGCACGCATGGGCTACGGCGCACGCGCCCTGCAGGCACTCGAGGCGTTCTACACCGGCCAACTGCTCGACCTCGACAATGTGCGCGACGACCTGGATGACGGCGAGACCTTTGCCGCCGTGCGTGACCGCAAGATCACCAAGGACACGAGTTTGTTGCAGGGCGACGAGATCCGGGTGCGCGATGCGGCACGTATGCCGGCGCTGCTGCAGCGACTGTCCGAACGCAGACCCGAACAGCTCGACTGGCTCGGTGTGTCGTACGGCCTCACACCGCAGCTGTTCAAGTTTTGGAAGAAGGCGGGCTACACCCCGCTCTGGGTGCGTCAGATCGCAAACGACCTCACGGGCGAGTATACGGCGGTGCAGCTCAAGGCGCTCGACACGTCCACCTCCACCACCGGCTCGGCTTGGCTCGGTGCGCTCGCCGCCGATTTCCGCAAACGCTTCGTGGCCCTGCTCTCGTACAGGTTCCGCGACTTTGCCACCGTCACGGCGCTGACGGTGCTCGAGGCCGCCACGCACGGCGCCAAGCTCGGCGAGACCGAATCCGAGACCTCGACTTCGGCACCGCTCGGAGCGGTCGAGCTGCGCACGCTGCTCACGCCGTTTGACATGAAACGGCTCGAGTCGTATGCGAACAACATGGTGGAGCTGTCGGTAGTGCTGGACCTCATGCCCACGCTGGCTGCGCTCTACTTTAACAACCGCCTGCGTGCGGTGCGCGAGGACGAAGCGGCTGCTTCGGCGATCAACGCGGCCGAGGAGGAGGAGGAACTGCGTCTTTCCGGCTTGCAGTCGTCGCTGTTGCTGGCGATTGGACTGCAGAGGAAGACACCCGATGAGATCACGGCTGAATTGAGGTTGCCGTTGCAGCAGGCGCTTGCGCTGTTCGTCAAGACCGTTAGGCTGCTCGTCAAGAGTCTGCGCAAGGTCGAGAAGGCGGCGATCGCGCACGATATGCCCGAACTCGGCGCCGGACTCGATGCGCGTGCACCGCTGCGCAGGAAGGCCAACGGTTCAGAGGGTGAGGATTGGTCGGCGCTCAAGGGCGATTTGAACTCCGAGCTGCGCGATGCAGGCCGTGACTTCCTCGCCCAACACAAAGCTCAAGCCAACCCCGACCTCGACGGTGACAATGACGAGGACGATGACGAGGATGATGACGAGGGGGAAGAGGATGAGGAGCTGCGCGTGGCCAAGCAGAAGCTGATCGACGAGATGAACCTGTCCAAGTACGCCATCAAGGACGATGCTGACGGCAGCACCGACTGGAGCCAGGCTGAGGCCGAGGTGGCCAACCGGCTGCGAAAGAGCGGCAACGACCTGTCGAGCATCAACACCACCGTCTCGGTCAAGGGCGCCAAGCGTGCCGTCGACGACGGCGACAAGTCCGACTCGCCCAAAAAGGGCGCCGACAAAAAGGGAAAGAGCAAGAAGCAGAAGCGCCGCTAAGTGCCTCCCTCCCAGCCTCGAGCTAGTATTCAGACTCAATTCCAAATGTCACAGCTGGCTATCGCCATCTGCGCCCTGTCTGTGGGGTACAAGGGTATCATTGCGTGTCTTGTGGTGGTGCGTGGTCGAGGTTGGTGAGGTCATCGTCCTCGAGAGGAACGCGAGTGTCTATGTCGAGGATGGACTTGGGGATGGCCCAGATGAGGTTGCGTCCCACGGCGGCGCTGCGGTTGATCCAGGCTGGCAGCGCGGCGCCCGTCAAGCGCCGGCATACGGCGTCGGCAAAGTGGTTGCAGTTGTGCGAGACGAGATCGTACGTCGGGCCCATCCAGTCGGCTTCGTTGCGCAGCTCCTGCATCGTGGCTTGCACGTGCGCCACCGATGCCAGACGCGCACCGCGATGCCGAGGATGTCGTCCATCGGATCTCCCCTCCGCATGCTCGCTCGGGCTTGACAGCGATGTCGAGAGGTATGTAGCGCCTCCTCTTTGGGCAAGAATGGATGAAGCGTGTGTAAAGTACGGCTCGACCGAAGCGGCTGGCTCTCGAAAAGCAGCTTTGCCAGATTGCGCACTTGCCCACGGCTTCACCTCTGCGTGTGGCCGTGAAGGCTGGTCGGACTGACCCGCGTATCCGATAAAGTACGCGCCCATGTACTGTGCGCCTGGTAGCGGTGGTTCTCCTGGTGCTGGGATATCTTCGGGGCACAGCCACGACAACCCATCGAGGGTATGTGGTTTCTCTGCCAGCACGGGATCTAGATCCTTGCCTGCGGCGGCAATCACCCGCTCGTGCACTGCATCCAGCACGATCGGATCGCGTGGGATTGAAAACACGCCGCTCACATCGCGGTATCCATGGCCCCCAAACGCCCATTCCACCGACAGGTCGGGGAACCACACGTTGGTGTGAAAGATGCCCAGCCCCAACCCGCGCGCCGCACTCGTCCACATCGAAGGCGGCGTCAGGTCCCACACGGTCACGTACACCGGCGTACCGTGGCCCGAGGCGCGCTCGGCATCCAGTATCCGCGTCATCGTCCCGACAACTTCCCGCTTGCTCCAGCCGAGTTTAGATGGTGTTGGTGTTCCGCATGACAGAAACACGCACGCCGGCATGTCGATCCTTCGCGCGGCCCGAGCGCAGACGTGCAGCTCTCCTGCAGATAGCGCACAATCAGCTGCAGCAATCATCCTTCTGCCTTTTTTTCTTTTCCGCCAGCTCCGCCAGCCAAGGGTCCACCCTCCTCTTTGACGTCTCGCCCTCGCTGCAATTTTCTGCCGGGCAGTCAAAAGAAAAGAGCATGGCGTCTACGTCACTCTTCTCCGTCGGATGGAAGAGGTTCAAAAGCACAGCAAGAAGGAGCTCAAGAACGAAGCTACCTTTTTTGTGCTTCTTGTCGAGCGTAGATGGCTCAAGCGCAGCACGAGCCAACGTTCACTTGGAAAAGGCAACAGAAATGGCGACCAAGGTGACTTAAAATGAGGATGTCACACAGCGCCCGAGGGATTGCGTTGCAGGGAACCAACTCCTTGCGGGAGGGCATTTTCTTTTCTTTTCGCATGGACCGCCCAGCGCCGACCGAGTTCTGACTGCGCCGAAAATGGACCAAGGTTGGCGGGGACCAATTTTTGGTGGGGACGTCACTTCTGGCGCATTTTTGGAGGCGACCAGTCGAAAAAGGTTGCTGAAAAAAAAAGACGTGCCAAAACCGTCGGATCAGACCCCTTTTTTTGGGAAATGGGTCAGGTCGGCCGCGCTGTCCCGCCGCTTGCGAATTCAATTTTTGACTCGTCTGCTGCCAAGTGAATTACAATTTAGCCCAAATTATTATTGATAAAAATCAAGCTGGCTCGATTCGCCTTTTCGTTTTCGCTTTTTTGGCTTTTTCCTCGAAAAAGGCGGTGGCCCACTTTCAGAATCGGGATCGAGTCTCGTTGCCCGGCGTGTCCATCCGTCTCTCCGCACACCATCATCTCTATCCATCCGCTTCTTGGTCACCCCTGGCCGTTTTCTTCGAACGCCTCGCACCGTGGGCATTTCCTCCGACGAAGCCGTGCAAAGCGTCGTCGCCAAATCGCATTCCAGCCGCATTTCACGAGTCGCGCCGCGTCACTGGCCGATCCGACTTCCGGACTCACACCTAGCCGTGCCACTCGGCATCTAAGCCACCATGCCGTACCGCATCGAATACGCCAACTCGAACCGCGCCGGATGCAAAGGCCCCAAGCCATGCTTCGGCACCAAGATCATGAAGGGCGAGCTGCGCCTGGGCAGTCTGATCGAGATCCAGGGCAGTCAGAGCTTCCACTGGCGACACTGGGGTTGGTGAGTATACTTTTGACACCTGCGCGCGCGCGCGCGCGCGCACTCTCGCACCCGCTCTCCTTTCCCGGACTGGCTGCGCTTTCCGCACTGCACTGCGCTGCAACGCAACGCACCGCCCTTTCTTTTGCGCGTGCGCGTCGATTTTCCTATTTTCGCCGTCTTCAACTTTACTCGCATAACACCGCTGACACCTTCCCCTCTCACCCCGACCTCGCCTTCGTTTCAATGCCACGTATTCGCTTTGCTACGACGTCCGATAGCACCACGCCCAAGATCATCCAGAACATCCAGGAGAAGGACGGCATCTCCGACCCCGCTGACCTGGTAAGTGCGAAAAAAGCCGACATCAACCGAGCAATTTTGTTTCAATTCTGACGCCTGACATTTTCAAAAACAATCGAAAAATTCCGTGCCTCCATCTGCACTTGTGCATTTTTTGATCCATCTTGCACGATTGCTCGTCGCTCAGGATGGCTACGAGGAGCTGCTGCCGCTGGACCAGGCTCGCGTTGCCCGCGCCTTCGCCGATGGCCATGTTGCCGGCGAGGACATCCCTGACTCTGCTCGCCACGACCCTACGATGATCGACCAGGCCGACTCGGCTGCCGCCGCCGCAACCATCCTTCCGCCGCCTTCGCCGGAGAAGCAGCCCAAGAAGCGCGGCCGCCCGTCCAAGGCTTCGCTCGAGGCCGCCGCCGCCGCTGCCGCCGCCGCCGAGGGACTGCCCCAGGGATCGCAGCAGCAGAGCTCCCAACAGGTAGCACCCAACGCTATCGACCCTGCCTTGAGCCAATCGCCTCCCAAGAGGAAGCCCGGTCGTCCGCCCAAGAATGCTGCCGCGGAGCTGCCTGCACCCTCGCAGGTTGTGCCGCAGGTCGCGGCTCCGGTTGCTCCGGCGCCAAAGAAGCGAGGCCGCCCTCCCAAGAACCCCGAACCTGCGCCAGCTCCGGCTGCGCCTGCTCCGGCTGCACCTGTGATGCAGCAGGAGGCAGCCGTCGCTTCGCCCAAGAAGAGGGGACGACCTCCCAAGAATGCAGCCGCCGCTCCTGCTCCTCAGGTCGTGCCGCCTCCGCAGCCCGCTGTTGCCGAACCAGCTCAGCCTGCTCCCAAGAAGCGAGGTCGCCCACCCAAGAATGCCGCAGCTGCGGCGCCTGCGAGCGTGCCCGTCGCTGCGCCGGTAGCAGCGCCTGTTGCACCTGCTGTTGCGCCTGCCCCGCCTGCGAAGAAGAGGGGCCGACCTTCCAAGGCTTCCTTGGCCGAGGCTGCTGCTGCTGCCGCCGCGGCTGCTGGTCCGCCTGCCGTCCAGCACCAGCTTCCAGTCTACCCAACAACGGACCCGGCTCCTGACACGGCTTCTCCGACGCCCAAGAAGCGCGGACGACCTCCGAAGAATGCTGCAGCTGCTCAGGCGAGCCCAGTGGCAGCCGCCCCTGCTCCTGCTACACCTGTGGCAGCGCCCGCCAAGAAGCGAGGTCGTCCGAAGAAGGAGGCGGCTGATACTTCGATGGGTCCGATCACGACTCCGCCGCTGCCGCCAGCGGCAGTGGCGCCGCAAGCGCCTGTGCTCGCCCCAGCGACACCGCCCAGCGCTACCAAGAAGCGCGGCCGACCTCCCAAGGAGAAGGTCGAGGGTGAGGAGGCTGTCAAGCGCCCGCGCGGTCGCCCGAAGAAGTCGGACGTTGCGGCAGCAGCAGCAGCTGCCGCTGCTCCGGCTGCGCCTGCTCCTCAGCCGGCCGTTTCTGCGCCGCTTGTCGCTGCCTCGCCCGCTTCGCCGGTCAAGAAGCGTGGCCGCCCGAAGAAAAACCCTTGATGGCAGCCGGGCTTGCTCATCGGTTCTGTCTGTCTCAACGTGTTCCTCTTTGACTCGATTCCGATTGCCTCGTTGTGGCGCTTCGCCGTGCAAGGGCAGGGTCCGCCTTGTGTACGTTTTCCCCCTTCCGCTTGCTTGTGTAACACCACCTGTACTATTTCCCGTGCGATTCCAATTTGATACCGGCTACGACGATGCGCAATGTGACGACTGTGGTTCGGGATGGGGTGGTTCCGCTTGCACGAGGAGATCTTTGATGGCGAGGCAACTTTTTTGCGAGTAAATCCACCACCTTTTTGTCATTTTCCGTTTTTGCAAGGACGAGAAAAGCGTCTCGAAAATGCGACGTGTCCAAAGACGCCGAGCATTTGCTTTTGGCCGCCCACACTCTTGCAACTCTGTCTTCCCCCACGCTGTTGCTTCCTCTTCAGAGCGCTGAGCGACGGAGCTGTTTTTCGTGAGACGATCGAGTGAGCGCAAGCAAAACTTTGAGTCAAGAGGTGTGAGAGAATCACGAGCAGCAAGGTTTCCATCATTGGGGACCCCCAAGACCGGGGTTGGCATTGAAAATCAGGTTGGGTTCCTTGGTGCAACGGAGCGCTGAAACTGCACCGGCGTGGAAGCGGTGTGGCATCAAAGTTGAAAGTTGGGGGATATGATGGCAGCTGATACCCGAGCTTGTGTGATGGCCATCTTTGAATGGGGGGGTGGGGGGAGCAAATGACGTCTAGACGCAACCGACGGGGTGTTGGGTCTGCAGATTGACCGGGCTTCCGCATTGCAACGGTGCCTTTCCCACTCCGGTCCGCCTAGAACCTTGACTCGGATCGGTGCTGCCTTTCGATCAATCACATCGCTCTTTCGGACCGCTTCGGGACTCCAAAGCACACCACGTCGCCCGGAAGGGGACACTCAGCGTCTCGGGAGGTGCCTCAAAGTAATGCCAACAAAAAGTGGAAAAAGCGTTTTCCTCACCGTGATTTTTGGATGACAGGCGGCAAGAGTTACTTTTTGGTTGACGGCCTGCCGCCGCGGCGAAGTTTGCCAAAAGCCAGCGACAAGACCAGTTGACGACGAGACAGTGAGATGGCCCGTTTGCCAGCGCTGCAATCGGTGCTGCTTGGGCCTCTGAGTGTGATGACGATGGAGTGCGGCTGAAGCTGGGTCGAGACGATAGGGCATGCTTCAGATCGCTAATCACGGACGGTCGGCTAGCGGCAAGGGCCAAGGCCAGGGTCCAATCTTAGCGCGCAACGTCGTATTGTGTGCATCTGCGACAGACCTGCCATAGCGTGAACTTGACGAATTGAGGCGAGCGCACACGGATATCCCTGACGACTACCCGTGCACGGATATCCCTGCGGGATATCCGTGCACTGTTGGTCAGCCCAGGGCGTACGACCTGCAGCTGCAGCTGCTGAGCACTCCCTGCCTCCTCATTCTCCCATCCTATCGTCTTTGCTCTAGGACTCCGCTCCATCTAGTCGATTGCCCTTCGGTCCGACATCCAGCGTCGGACCGCCTCGCAATGCCGCCGGTCTGTGCCGCTTGCGTCGCTAACATCGCTTGCATCGCCAACCATGGTGGGCGCACTCTGGATTGACAGCGGCTCGGAGAGCGAAACCGAGGCTCAGCCGCAAACACGCCGCTCGCGCCAGCCCTCGCACAGCACCAATGCAGCTGCTGGGCCTTCACGCACATCGCCGCGACGAAAGCGTCAACGCTCGCCAGGGTCGACGTCGGTGATCGTACTTTCCTCCTCACAGAACCACGATGATCACAGCGCAGCACCAACGCCCGGCCGGCTACCTTCGACTAGCCAAGATGGTCAAGCACCGACTGCAGAGCTGACGCACAGCCAGCGCATGGCCAGCCTTATGTCGCAACCTTCTCCCGACTCGTCGCTTTCCAGCTTCCGAGGATTGCTCGCGCAGCACACTTCACGCGGAGCCGGGAGCCGGCCCGTCGCTTCATTTCAGAACGACGCAGACACGGCAGCTGCATCAAACTCTCATCTGTTGCCCGCTTCATCGCGGGCAGGATCGCTGAGGCGCACAGCTTCACAGCCTGTAGCGTCGAGCCCACAGCAAGACCCACCGGCCTCTCATCGAGTGCGCTCCGCAAGGACACCTGTGCGCAGACCGAGGACGTCCACCGTCCACGAAGTCATCGAGTTAGGCTCTGACTCGATAGCTGATCCGGCCAGCGAAGCAGACATCCAGCACCACTCACCAGACTCGTCGCCCATTCGATCACAGTTCAGCACAAGGCACCTGCCCAGCTCCAGTCTGCCAATACCTGTGTCGCCGTTGCGCGGCAAGCCGACTCGAGCTTCGGTCGCAGCCAGGAAGCCTGCAGACTCGACCGCAAGCCCGCCAGTGTCTGAGTCGCTACAACAGCCTACAGGTCTTCGGGTGCCCCGGTCAACCTTGCGGGTCGAGTCGGCGCCGATTGTGATTCTGTCGAGCAGTCCGCCGCCGCCATCGTTGCCTCGAGCCTCGCAAGCAGACGCGCATCTGGCGCACATGGACGACGAGCTTTTCCCGGATCTGCCGTCGTCGTCTTTCACGTACGAGGCAGGTGCGCTTCCGAGCCCACCGTCTTCGCCCTGCGTCGGCGGCGTCAGCGGCGTCGGCGAGGTCGCGCAACACGACACATCTCCCTCGACCAACAAGAGAACGACCTCCTCGATGTCCAAGCTGCCATCGCCCAAACGAGCACGTCCATTCCAGAGGACTACGTCGCTGCTCGACGCGCTCGACAACTTGCACGCCCCGAACCAAAAAGCGACCAAAGCGGGAAAAGCGGCCAAAGCGCCGGGAGAGGAAAACGTCACGGCGGATGTGCCTCCGCGCACCAATGCTGGCGATGGTGGAGCCTCGCACTCGAAAGGCACGAGCAAGGCTGCCAAGGCTGCGGCGGCCAAGGAGGCGAGGGAGGCCAAGGCGCGCGAGCGTGAGGCGGCCAAGGCGGCCAAAGCGCGGCTTGCGGCCGAAAAGAAGCGGTTCATCGAGGCGAATCGACTGCGCACGTCCAAGTCCGATACGATGCGCGAGATCATCGTCGACCTGGACCGCACGCTGTTCGCCAAGGACATGCCGCTGGCTACGTGCGAGCAGTCGATTGTCGCGCGGCTGGTCGAGGAGGGTGCGACGGTGCACATGTGCGACGGCGTCGTCGCGCCACCTCTGATCAGGTTCCGCAGAAAAGTCAAGGCCGAGTGGTCGGATGAGCGCAGACATTGGGTTCCTTTGGACCAAGAGCAGGTACGCAGGGAGCCGGTGACCATGGTGTATGTGGATGCGGCCGAGGTGGTGAGGCTGGTGGCAGAGGGCGAGACGGCGCTGGAAGCTTGGTATGCGGACCTGGAGCGCAGGTTGGTGGCGGTCAATGCGGGAGAGGTGGGCAGCAGGGGTGGTGAGCAGCAGGTGTTTCTTATCTGCCAGGGGCTGGTCAAGTACTATTCGCGCTTGCGGGCGAATGAGAATAGGGCGTATACGGCGAGGATCCGACAGCAGCTGGCCGAAGGATCGAATGCAGACGGTTCTGCGAGCACGGAGTCGGCGGGGACAAGGGCGGCAGGTCGCAAGGGCGCTGGGAGTGGGGATGTGCCGGTGCAGGCGGTGGTGGAGCGTGCGCTGCTGCAGCTCAAGATGATGCGGCGATGCTACGTGATCCACGCTGCGTCGTTAGTGGATGGGGTGGAGTGGGTGCACCAGCTGACGGGTGATGTCTCACTGCGTCCATACAAGGCGTTGCGCGATACGCACCTTTCGTTTGCAGTCGACACGGGCCGCAACACGACGTCGAACGATCCCGGAGCGATCTATGCCATGATGCTCCAACAGATCCCGCGCGTGACGCCCGCGATTGCGGCGAGCATCACTACGCGCTACCCCTCGCTGCACGCTCTCGTCGCTGCGTACAAGGGCTGTACGAGCGTCGACGACGAACGACGTTTGCTGGCTACGATCCAGATTGAGACCAACCGCGACGGCACCGTGCGCAGCGCCAACAGGGCGAGTCTCGGGTTGCAGCTCAGCAAGCGCATCCATGCGGTGCTGAGAGGTTCCAACGCCGAGATGCTCATCAACCATCCCACCAAAGACTAAGCAGGCGCGAACAAATCAAAGTGGCATCATCATTGCGAGAAGATCATGAAGAGAAAAGTGAAAGGACGTGGAAGTGAGGGGGAGGGGGGGGGGGGGGGAAGTTAGCCGACGAGGGGGGCACGTTCCTCGTCGGAGATGGCGGTGGTGTTGCGGTTGGTGAAGATGGCGATGACGGCGCGCAGCACGGCGACGAGGCTGATGATGAAGAAGGCGAGGGCGGACCAGTGGATGAACTTGGACGAGGTTTGGTGCTGGAAGATGGCGAGGAGCGAGAGGCTGATGACAGCCGCACCGGCCACGTCGCCCTCCGAGTACCACACGTAACCCGCTGCGGTCGATTCGAGGAAGAGCAACGAGAGGAATACGACGATCTTGGTGATGATGCCGGCCTTGTGGGTGGTTGCATTCACGCCAAACGCCTCGAAACCGGACACGAAGAGGAGAACGACGACAAAGCCGTGGTAGAGGCTGAAGGGCAGATGCACCACCGCGGTGTCGGCGAGGTTGCTTGCAGTGTGGTGGACCTTGAGGCTACGGTAGCAGTGGCTGACGGTAGCGGCGATGAGGAGCATCACCACGAACGCGACGATGGCGTATACGCGGTCATGGTGGGCGTTGAGCTGAGCCGACGAAAGACCCGAGTAGGCGGCGTTGAGGATGCACAGCAGGGGGAAACGCCATCCAATCCCACGAACGACGTGTGCCGACCCAGCCTCGGTGAACTGATAGATGATCATGCCGAGGAAGAGGAAGTGGATAAACGGCCATACGCCAAAGATCCATCGCGAGGGGGTGAGGTAGGTCTCGCTAACCACCGTGCCCTGCAGCTGCGCGTACACGTTGCCCGAGGTGAAGAGCGCGTACGACGCGATGTTGGCCACCTTGAGCAGCAGATCGTCGTTCCACGCCATGTTGAGTTGTAGATACGGAGGGGGTGGTGAGGGTGTCGAGATGGAGGTAAAGGGATGGTCGAGGTGGAAGATGAGGTTGTGGTGGATGGAAAGGGTCCTCCTGACTGAGCCTTGCAAGGAATGCTGCGATCCGTGCTTCAGGGTCGAGGTGGAGGGCTCTGCGGCTGTTGTTTTTTGGTTGCTCAGTTGCAACGCACGGTGACGCAGTCCAAGCAATCGCGCAAAGGCCAAGTCCGTGCTGCTGCCTCTTTTGGGTCCAAGCTCACGCGACCATCGCCGGCCGTCTTGCCCGACTCGCTGCAACCGCGGACGCGATCCATCCGTCCATCCAGCTTTGCGTCAAGGGTCCCACAGATTTTTTCGAGTTTCAAAATGTTATGCCTCATGCCTTTTGACATTTTCGGACGAAAGCGAAATGTCGAGCCAGGCTGCCGACAGCTGAGTTGGAACGCGCACGTTGTTGCTCTGCTTCTCTCTTGGATTTGGCGGTGAGGATGCAGGCTGCACTCTTGCCGCCGGTCCGCCGTGACAGCTGCTCGAGGTTAGCCTGACACGCGCCCGCCCATGAAGTGCCTTCATTCCACCTCTTTTCTTTGCGTCCAACACGCTCGGGCATCGACAGAGCTCTGCATCCCTCACTCGACTTGCGCCGAACATCCACTTTGTGCCGGAATTGAGAATCAGGAGCGCCGAGTTGGACTTCGGAAGGAGTTGCTCCATCAACCTAAAAATCGGCTACAAGGCTCGCTTAAGCTGGCTTTGCCATCGGCGCCGCACGTGTGCCCTGCCCTCCTTGGTCTCTACGATTATCGCCTTGAGTTGTGGCCTCGAATGTGCACTCTGCGAACGTGGCGGTGGTCATGCCGCGCAGTGCCGTGAGAGATGGGAACGTGACTTGCCTGCGCCTACAGCCTTCGGCACACTCGACGCCTTCGCATAAGACAGCAAGCGTCGGACACCTCTCACCCGCCGGCATAAGCGGCGGCATTGCATGACATCCGTTCGGCCTGACCCGGCGTCGCTGGTCAATTTGCCGCTCCTCCGTTTGCTGTTGGTTCAGGGTCTTGTCGCCGGAACCAGCTTGCCCGAGACTTCTTGCTAGCCATGCTATCGCCAGCATCCAGACCAAGGCGTATATAACCCCAGCTTGATGCTCATCCACCAAGACCAAGTTCGACCAATTGCTTCTCCCTCTCCTGACCCTTTCGCCCTGCTCTAAGATGAAGTTCACCGTGTTTGCCTCTGTGCTCGCATTCGCCGGGCTTGCTGCAGCATGCACACCGCCTTCGACCACCAACTGTGGCGGCAACGTGTACACCAGCGACGACATCAACACTGCCATCCAGGCCGGTCTCGACGACGCCGCCTCCGGTGACCGTCCCGATAAGTGAGTCCATCCCCCTTTCCTCCTTTCAACCCTCTTCAGAACGACCAAACCTTACATTCCTTCGCCTTGGCTTGATTCCGCAGCTACCCCCACTCGTACTACGTGGAGGCATCCGAGGGTATCGAGCTTTGCTGCAGCAGCAGCGGGCCTTACAGCGAGTTCCCACTCGTATACAACGGTCCTTACTACTCGTCGAGCGGCAACTATGTGTCGCCTGGGCCCGATCGAGTGATCTACGCCACAAATTCTGGAGAGTACTGCGCTACGGTTACGTATGTATCGACTTCCTCGCGAGTTAAGACGGACAGAGAAAGGTATGCTGACGAACAACTCCCGAATGCTACGCTTGACAGCCACACCGGCGCGGCCAGCTACAATGGCTTTACTCAGTGCTCGTGATGCGTTGCAACTTTGCCAGAGTCCATCGATATCTCACTCGCCATCGTAAATGCAGAAGGACGCTCATCGGGCATTTCGACCATGTCATTGGTCACAGTCATTCCCATCCCAAGCAGGCCGTTGATAGGCAGAGGCAGCGACGACCAGGGGGCAAGCTCATGGTCATTGCTATAGTCGAAGGGCTTGAGGCGAATGCTGCAGTTGGAGGGGTTGAGACGATGGGGAAGTGAGAGGGGGGGGGGGGGGGGGGGGCTGACGGAGGCCGGTGTATATGCGGCTTTCGAAGTGCGGACTACAAGCAGACATGCCGACCAAGCAAAGTGCGGATGGCCAGCACATGCGGGATCAGGTCGAGTGCAGGTCACAAGCAGACATCCGGGAACAAGCAAAGTAGCGCGAGCAAGGGCAAAGGGAGCTTTTTCGACAGAGATCTTGTAGACGACGACAGTGTTGCCGCCTCTTCCGTCCTGGAGGCGGTTGGTAAAGAAGTCCATTCGCTCGGCTGTGGCCTGGAAAATCTCTTCCAGGCGCTCCCTACCTCGACTCCTCAAGATAAGCACCAAAGGTGCGCCCCTTTCAGGCGCCCCGGCAGGTTGTGTATGGCTCAGAACGACGTGGTGCTGAGCTCGCGCTCTTTGGCGCTAGCTTTCACGTTGGAGATGTCGCCAAAGAGAAAGATGTCGCCAAAGAGCGCAAGCTCAGCACGACGTCATTCTGGACCGTTCACACCGTGCCTGAGCGCCCGAAAGGGGGCGTACCGTTGGCGCTCACCTTGACGAGTCGGGGTAGGCGAAGGCCAAGGCTTGAGAGATGCCTGACGAATGGCCACGATGCTTACGCGAAGCCAGCGTGAGGTAGACTTGGCAAAGTGCAAGACAGAGAAAAGAGAGTCAGAAGCCGAGCGCAAGATTGATGTTGAGAACGCGCTTGGGACACTCACAACTAACGGCAGAGGTGTCTGGAGGATTTGAGAGGCCGAGCAGGAGCACGACAAGCCAAAGGGGTGCCGAGGTAGGGGAGGGCTACAAATCAGAAGGTAAAGTCAGGAACGGAACGCCAAAGCGACGATACGAGCTTGTGCCACTTACTTGCTGTGTTGCTAGATCGGTGCCAACGGCTGTGCTGCCAGGCTTGACGAGTTGCAGGACGAGAGGGGAGGAGCGGTGGAGAGGATACGAGAGGACGAGGAAGGGGGGAGCGCAGAAGGGGGAAGTGGAGGCCGTGCGGAAGGGAGGTCGAGACTGCGGCGGGAAAGGAAGGGAGTTTAGCGAGGGGAGTCGCGACGCGTCGCTATATATCGTCGATTGACAGACACGAAAAGAGGAGCGACACTGAGAGCGGCTGGGTTGCGGAAGCGGCTAAGTTGCGGAAGCGGCTGAGTTGCGGAAGGAGTTTTGACCGGTGTTCACCTTGCAAGCCATGCTTCGCTGCTCTGCCGCTTGTCCGACTTGAACGGCGGCGGTGCAGATGAAGAGCGAGGCGTCCCACCAAATCTTGAACCTTGACGAGCACTTGCTGGCAAGCTGTGTGGATTCCAGCTCGGTTTTCCGCTTTTTTCGGGCAGCTGACGTCTGGGAAAGTGGTCGTCCTCCGTGTTGCACGGCACGATGCCCATGCGATCAGCTTTCGACAGCGTAGGCCCTGCTCAAGATGCGAGCCTCGGCAGCAACAAGTGTGCGGATCGATGCAGCCGGCAAGGAGCGGAACGTCTTGCGGCCCTCACTTTGCTCCCGCCCGCACGTTCCTCCCGCCTAGGTCAGTCGAACACCTTGGTCTCTCTACACCACTACCTCAAGCCGTTCGACTTTTGCAAGCATGGTCGAGACTCTTGGGTATGTTCGGCATTTGCCGGATGGCTCTGTCGAAATGTCGGCGATCGGGAATGTTCAGAAAGGTAAGTAGCTCATCGTGCTCTCTTCACGGTTAAAAGCTGCACTGACACCACCGTTGACTTTTCAACTTTTGCGCAGGCACTACCGCTGGAAGCCCTGAACACAACGGACAAACGACGGAAGAGTTGAGCGAGGCGTCCGCGTCGCCATGGCGGCTACCGCTGCGGAAAACGCTGCCGCTGCTGCTGCGGATACTGCTGCTGTTGCGGCTCTCGCTGCGGCCACCTATGCCCCTCCCGCGTCCACGACCGCTGCCACTGCAGCCCGACAGCACCCGCCAGCATCTTCTGCGGTGAAGAAGCAAGACAAAAAGAGGAAGGCTCGGAAACCAGGCCACCGCAGCCAAAGTCCAATGCAGGCTAGCCAGGCTCATCACGATGTGCAGACGGCCGAGCTGAAGCGTCGACAAAAGCCAAGCCACCGGCGGCAGTACCTGAGGGGAGCCCTCAAGACTCGGCACTGGGCGGACGAGCCCTGTGGAACATGCCAGGCTGCAGGCAAGCAGTGCGTGGCGCCACCGGACGATGGCCACCAAGAGAAGTGTCTCCGATGCTCAGCAAACGCAGAACCGTGCGGCAAGCGTTGGATACTGGAACAGACAAGCGCGACCACGATGCTGAATCTGCTCAGCACGAAGCGCCACGTTAGGATCATTGATTTGGGCTGGCTTGTTGCAGAGCGACAGGTCTATGGCGAGCACTCGGGAGGACCGTTTGATAAGTGCAAGGACTACAGCAGCGTGTTACGACTTGACCAGCCGGCACCCGGGCGTCGGTTGTATCCACCCGGCACCCGGGTACTAATCCCGTTCGTAGGCCGGTCAGCTGCGGCAATGACCGGACCCTGAACGGACCCTGCGGCGCGCCCACAACTGGCGCGTGCACCCCCAATCCCCTCCTTCCTTCCGGTCGTCGATTGTATTCTATTCACTCCCCAGTGTAGGAAACGCCTCGACCTTACCGCTACCCGTGTGATTCCGGCGACTGATCGGAAGCTCCAATACTCCGATACTTGCGCCCGGCCTCCGGTTGAGCTACTCCTCCCACCCGGCAGGTTACCAGACCCCTGGCGCTTTACACGACGGCTCACTACGATCGCAAGACGAAGACCTCGAGCCGAGGCCCAGCCGCACGCAAGACAAATGCATCATCAACGATAATCGCAGCATCGACGCCCTACTCCTCGCTCACGTCGCACGTAGGACGAAGACGCCAACCGCGGCCCGCGCCGCACGCAGTACGAATGGTACATCCGCGGCGATATACAATCTCAATACAGACCACCATCCGCAGCACAAGCCGCACGCAGGACGAACGCTCCATCAGCGGCCCAAGACGATTGCCATTAGCGTTGTCTCCCCTTCCCGTGCTTTGTATGCGACCATGGCATGTGTACTGTAGGCTTCACGACTTGTCACTTGTCTTTGCTTCCTCAGATCGTCGGCTCCTACCATTGTCATGAGTGTGAGACGTGTGCCAGACTGCGATGACCATCGTTGCGCCCAGCAATGCGGCTTTCGCATCAAGTGTTKGGGKGGGGGGGGGGGGGGGATTTGCAATTGAGAGACTGCGAGTATTTACAGTGGATTGAGATGATGGAGTAGAGGTTGGCGTTGAGCACCAAGCTAGCTGCTGCCGCACAGATCGAGCACTCCGACGAGGCCAGTCTCCATCAGGCATGGCGACGGTGTCGACGCTGCAGGTATACGGGTCTCTGCCACGTCTTGATGTGTCTTGATCCGACGTTTCCCGATGGATTTGCGACGGTCCTGCTTGCCCAGCGGACTCTTGGTTATGAGCGCCTTCTTGCGTCTGTTGATCACCTGCTTCGTGTCCTAGGTCTTTGCCACCGCGGACACTGACAAACGGTGAGCGCGGATCGCCGGTCTACAAGAGGCTTTGCGGCACGCTGCTAGCGAGGCTCATCATGATGTGCAGACAGCCCAGCTGGAGCGTCAACGGAAGCCAAGCCATTGGCGGCGGCAGCTAAGGGGAGCAATGCCAAGAAAAGTGTCTCTGATGCTCAGCGAAAGCATTGCTTGAAGTGCAGATGCCGTTTGGCGGCAAAAGCCAATCATTATTCTCGCGTTCTTTTTGTTAGAGTGAACGAAGACGAAATCGGTGATGAGGAGTGGCGCGAGGCGAGCGGCGGAAATGACGTCGACACGCGCATGCATGGAGAGCGACGCTTCGGCACGGTCTTTGAGATTCATGAGCGGCTCACCGGTAATTTACAGCGATTCAATGGACGCACGCCGAGGCGTTCTCGAAAATGACACAGTCGGAGCGAATGGCGGTTGTGAAAGAGCACACCAATCTGGCTGCAGCCACTGCATCGACTTGCTGCACGACGTGCATGGAGCCGCGCGCATCTGATGGACCATCTGCTGCAGCCTTTTGGCCTGCCAGACGGGCGTGAATGCGCATCTTGAAGCTGCGGAAATAGACACCTTTGCGCTTCCACGTTGTCGAGTGCGGTGCTGATCCACAGTGCAGACAGACGGAGAGCGGAAAAGGGCAGATGCGCGTCACCCCTCGGATTGTTCACAAAATAGCACTCGGCTCGAGGCGGCTGCAGAGACGAAATTGCAAAATTGCAACGAAATTGCAACAGCTCGTCAAAGCGTTGTGGGTCGGCCATCTCCTCACTCCTTCCACGCGTGCAGAGCTGAGCCCAAGCCAGGACGCTCTAAGCCGCAGCTGAATGGACAGACAGCTCAGCCCGGGCCACATCGCATCAGCAAAGTCAAATGCTGCCCGGCCGCACCACTGCACCGGCTGCATCGCTCTCAATCTGCCGCTCGTCCGCCCTTCATCGGTGCCTCTGTGCTGAGACCCTATCCCTGTGTCCCGTCAGCGCTCTCTCCTTCTCTGTCTCCACTCGAGCCCCACCTCCATCGCCACTCCTCGCTCATTGCCATCATCTCGTCCCTTCGCCTATACCTCTCCAATCCCACTCACGCTTCGACCTTCTCATATCAACCACCACACTGGCTGCACCCCACACTTGCAGTACAAACACCCTTCAACCCGCCACCCTGGCGTGTGCATCGCACCGCCCCACACGCCCCACCACAATGTCCGCTCCGCGGCCCTCCACCAACACCATCAACGGAGGCACACCCGCCGGCGATGAGGGTAAGTCGAGCCAACAAAACGAACATACATGCTGTTTCCTTGCTGACCTCTCCTCCCCTCTCCTCTCCTTACGATGACGCAGTCGCCGAAGCCGTATACAGCTTCAAGCTGCTCGAGGCGCTAAGGAAGGGCGACCAGCAGGCACTCATCCCGCTCCTCCAGCCCACCCATGCCAGCCAGAACCATCTCGCAAAGGAGAGCACATCCCCGCTCCACCTCGCCGTCCGCTGTGCCGACTTCAACATCATCTCGTTCCTCTTAAACTACAAGACCATCGACATCAACGCAACCGAATCACAGCACGGCAACACCGCACTCCACATCGCCGCCGCTTCCGGTCGCGACGATGTTGTCCAGCTTCTCCTCGAACAGCACGACATTGACGACTCCAAGCGCAACAACGACAACAGGGACGCCCTCGAGGTCTCCAAAACCCCCGAAATCGCTCAGCTCATCCAGGTCAGCCGTGCACAGCTCAACGTCAAGTACGTCGATCTCCTCACCGCCTACGAGCAGGACACCCAGGCAGCAGAGCAAGCAATCCACGCCCTCCTCGACCTCCCGCGCTACTCGGTCATCGACCTCAACGCACACGGCGCCAACGGCTCCACCCTCCTTCACGAGGCAGTCCGCCGCAAAGATACCCGCATGATCGAAACCGCCGTACGCAAGGGCGCAGACGTCTATGCACGCGACCGTCGTGGCAAGCGCGTCGGCGACGTCACAAAGGACGAAAAGGTCAAGGCGCTCCTTCGCCAGCTCCACAACGCAGACGCCGCTCGCGCCAGCCAGGCAGCACACTCCGGTCAGCCCCCTTCCTTCAAGGGCTACCTCGGCAAGTGGACCAACATCGCTCACGGCTACAAGACGCGCTGGTTCGTCCTCGAGGACGGCATCCTCTCCTACTACCACAGCCAGGACGACGAGGGCAAGCAGTCGCGCGGCGCCATCAACATGCGCTACGCAAAAATCCGCGCAGACAACAACGACAAGCACCGCCTCGAAATCATCAGCGAGACCGGCAAGGGCGTCTCCAAGCTCTACCTTCGCGGTACCCACCCCGTCGAGCGCGCACGATGGGTACAGGTCCTCCAGCAGACCAAGGAATACTTCAGCCTCGAGCGCCAAACCAGCCGCGCAGACAGCTTCTACCGCCAGCGCGCTCCTTCCACCTCTTCACTCCACAACCCCAGCTCCGCCTCAGCACCGCTCGCCAACCCCGCCGGCATCGTCCGTCCTTCCTCCACTGCACCGCTTGCCAACCCCGCCGGCATCGTCCGTCCCCCCTCCGCCGCACCCAGCGAAAAGGGCAGCCGCGCTCTGCTCTCCATCAAGTCGCCCACCACCCAGCCTCCCTCGGGCGCCCCCAGCGAGCGCTCCCTCACGCTCGCCAACCGCAGCCCCAGCATTCTCAGCCGTCTCTCCAGCGACGGTCGCCTCGACGACGAGAACGAGAACGGCGCCACCGGCGGCGCCATGCCCTTCGAGTCCGAATTCCCTCTCACCGCCGAGGCGCTCAAGGCGCAGGCCGAGGCGAGCCAGCGCCTCGTCGAAACACTTCTGGGCGCCGGCGCCGTGGCTGCTCCCGCCGTCTCGTCCGCGCGCAACTCGTCCGACGAGGTCAGCGCCGCCGCCGCCAAGTCGAACCGCTCCAATCGCTCCTCGAGCACATCCGTCTCCGGCAACAACGCCGACGCCGTGCGCTCGGCACTCGACGCCGCCGTGCGCAGCAACTTGCAGCTCGTCGAGCGCTACCAGGCCATGGTCGCCGCTCGCGAGACGTACATGACCAAGCGCTACGAGCGCGAGCTCCAGATCAAGCATCTATGGGAGGAAAACATGGCCGTCCTCGCACAGCAGCACGCAGAGATGGAGGCACAGCTCAAGGAAGCCGCCACAGAAAACGCGCGCAGGCGCAAGGCGCTCCGCGAGGTGCGCGAGACCATGGGCTCGTCGCCTGGATCCATGATCTCGCCCTCGCTCGGCCCTTCCGCCTCGACAGGTTCCGTGCTGCACAACCCGGAACCTCGCCGCCAGTCGACCATGCTCAGCAACGTCACCTCCCAGTCCTTCGAGACCGCCCAGACCGATCCTGCCGGCGGCGACTCGCTGGCAGCGCGTCGGTTGGGCCACGAGGGCGGCGCGCAGCTTCAGCTCGACGACGCGCTCACACCGCCCATTCAGGCGCAGCGTTCCCAGATCCTGAGCATCGCCGACGAAAAGGCGCTCGTGCGCGACTCGATCGACGACGCCGACGACGAGTTCTTCGACGCCATCGAGACGGGCAACCTGCCGGGCCTCAAGGTCGAAAAGTCGCTCGAGGAACCAGAGACGGGCCCGGACGAGTGGCCCGAGAAGTTCGACCGCAGCATGGTGGAGGATGCGATTCGCGAGAGCATGGCGCCGTACACGCATTTGCGCACCAGCATGCCCATCGGCAAGGACGACCGCCCGTCGGTGTCGCTGTGGGCCATCCTCAAGAACAACATCGGCAAGGATCTGACCAAGATCTCGTTCCCCGTGAGCTTCAACGAGCCGACGTCGATGCTGCAGCGCATGGCCGAGGACATGGAGTTCTCCGAGTGCCTCGATGCGGCGTCGCTGCAGGAGGACTCGACGAAGCGCATCGCCTATGTCGCCGCTTTTGCCATGAGCAACTACTCGTCGACCATCGGCCGCATCGCCAAGCCGTTCAACCCGCTGCTGGGCGAGACGTTCGAGTACATGCGCCCGGACAAAAAGTACCGCTACTACTCGGAGCAGGTGTCGCACCACCCGCCCATCTCGGCGTGCTTTGCGCAGTCGCCCACCTGGGAGTACATGGGCTGCGTCGACGCCAAGTCCAAGTTCCTCGGACGCACGTTTGAGATCCGTCCCACGGGCGTGGCGCACGTCAACCTCAAGGTGCCCAGGAAGTGGGTGCGCTCGGACAAGGAGCTCAAGCCGGCGCAGGCGCTCGAGGACCACGTGCTGGAGCACTACACCTGGAACAAGGTCACCACCTCGGTGTCGGGCTTCATCGTAGGCAGTCCGACGATCGACCACTTTGGCGACATGGAGGTCACCAACCACGCCACGGGCGACCGGTGCGTGCTGACGTTCAAGCCGCGCGGCTGGCGCGGCAAGGATGCGTTTGAGATCCGCGGCAGCGTGTACGATGCGCAGGGCAAGCTGTGCTGGGACATTGCGGGCCGCTGGAACTCGCAGCTGGTGGCGCGCAAGGTGGGTGCCGGCTCGGGCGATCTGAATCCGGACCAGAGCGTCGAGGCTCCCGATGGGCAGATTGCGGTGGCGCAGCCGCTGGCCGAGTATCTGCTGCTGTGGCGCAACTCGGACAAGCCGCCGACGCCGTTCAACCTGACGCCGTTTGCCATCACGCTCAACTCGTGCCCGGACGACCTCAGGCCGTGGCTGGCGCCCACCGACTGCAGGCTGCGCCCCGATCTGAGCGCGTTCGAGAGCGGCAAGTTCGACCAGGCCAACGACCTCAAGCAGAAGCTCGAGAACCACCAACGCGAGACGAGGCGCAAGAGGGAGCAGGGCGAGCTGCCGCCGCACGAGCCGAGATGGTTCAAGCGCACCACGGACCAGGACACCAAGGAGACGCTGTGGCAGCCAGTACCTGCGCCGCCCAACTCGGGTCCTGGCGGCAAGGAGACCACCTCCTACTGGGCCGAGAGGCACGACGTCGGATCCAAGAAGAGGGAGGGCCAGCAGGCGGACTGGAACAACGTCTACCACATCTTTGGCGACTTTGAGGTGCGCTAAAGTGGCGCTCGTTGGCGCTGCAGGTCGCACAGCCGGGTTTGTTAATCTTAGATCGTGTTTTCCGACACTTGCAGGCTTTGTGCTGTGTGCTATGAGTGGATGGGATTGGGAGGTGCACGTGGGCATAGCAGGCGGATGTTAGGGCAGGAGCTTTTTTTTTTCTGCATGTCCCGGAGCATCCGAGATGGGGAAGCGTAGATTAGATTTGACGCGCTGATTCGCGGAGGTCCGGGAAGAAAGAGTTGCACTTTTTTGGGCGGGTTGGAGTCACACACGACAGCGGTGTGGCATTTTCAAGTCCCACCACCATCTCCTCTTTGCTTCTGTAGATCGTGTTGGTTATGACGAGTGTCAACACGGCGCCGGTACCGCTGCCTAGCGTAGGCAAGCAGCTGATTGTGTTTGATTTCGACTGGTACGTCCACCACCCGTCTACCCCACAGCTACCCCATGTGGGTTGAATGCTGACTGGATCTGTTTTGGGCGATCAGGTCGTTGGTCGATCAGGATACGGATCGGTGGGTGCACGAGGTGCTCTGCCCGGAGCTGCGTGCCGAGTTGCAGCGACGCAAGAAGGGCGAGCAGTTTACGGATCTGTGTGCGGATCTGTTGCTCAAGCTGCATGCGCGCGGCGTGACGCCCGACCAGCTGCGCGATGCTCTGCGTCTGTTGCCCTTCCACCCGGGTGTCAAGCGCGCCATCTCCACGCTCAAGCAGACCCCCCAGCCCAACACGACGCTCTTCCTGCTGAGCAACAGCAACACCGTCTACATTAACACCATCCTCGCCCACCACAACCTCGAAGGCCTCTTCGACGAGATCGTTACCAACCCTGCACACTTCACGCCCGAAGGTGCACTGAAGCTCGAGCGTCGCATTGCGCCTTCGGCGGTTCAGCACACTTGCAGCGTCGGGTGTTCGGCCAACATGTGCAAGGGCGACGAGTTGGAAGCGTTCCTCGAGCGCCATGGTGGACGCGACGCCTTTGACCGCATCATCTACGTCGGTGATGGCGGAAACGACTACTGCCCCGTCAAGAGGCTGCGCACGAGCGACCTCGCGTTTGTGCGCAAGTTCCGCGGCCTCCAGACGCGCATTGCGCGCGAAGGCGGCGTCAAGGCGGGCATCAAGTACTGGAACGGCGCATGGGAGCTCGAGGGCTATCTCAACGAAGCACGTGGCGTCCCTGCACTCGACTACTAGAACGCCCCCTAAGACGCAGTGTTTATAATATCTTCAACGTGCAGAGTGCGACTGTGCTTACAGAGTGTAGATGAGGATACAGGCTACAAGTGCTGCTGGGATCCAGGGCGGAGTGGTGCATGTGGCCGCATTCGTCTGTGGCTTGGCGGGATTGCTCGGCACGGGTATCGGCGAACTGCTCGCCACCACGGGTAAGCTAGCTGCGGTGCCGGCCTCGAGAGTCGGCAGAATTGGGCTGTATGTGCTGCTTGCACCCACGCGGGTCGGTACCACGCCCGCACTCGGTGTGGCTGTCGCATTGCCAAAGAAGTACGGCTGCCGGCTGGGCATGCTCAAGCTGACGAGCGAATTCGGCAGGACACTGTTGATCTTGGTCCCCTGTGCACTGACCCAGCTGAGCACGCTCTGTGTCGGCTCGGGCTGAAACACTTGTGCTGGCTCGGTTGCATCGGCCGGTTGCCTCAATGGGAAGAACCCGACTTTGGGCGGTTCGACGTCGTTGATGCCGATCGCGAAGAGTGCGTATGTTGCACGCAGGAACGGCGTTCCCAGTATCCAGTCGACCCCCGTTGCGTCCGGCGGTGATGCTGCCGGCCATGCAAAACACAAGTACGGCTGCAGAGTGTCCGGTCCGATCAGGTAGTCTTGCGGGAGCAGCGTGATGTTACGTCCGCCAAACGAAAAGTACATTCGTGCAGTCGTATCGCACGGCACCACGAATCGGCCTCCGCCCACATGGCGGCTGTTCGTAATACCACCGAAGAGCGATTCGACATCAGCCGCGGGGCCAAGGACCGCCGACGATCCCGAGTCGATCAGCGCAAGCGTCTCCCCCACCTGTGTGTACGTCGGCGTGAGCGTGGCAGGACGGCCAGCAACGCCGGCAGCGGTGAGACGAACAACCCACTGGACATAAGACCCAAGAGCGGGCGCGTCGACATTGAGCGTAGCATTGGCGGGCAGCGAAGTGTCGCCCGAGGGGAAAGGCACAACGTCGTGCCACTGCACCAGGCTGCGATCTTGTCCCGTGGGAAGAACAATTGGATCGGCCGCTCCAAACGTCGCCCGGCCCCCCGAGGGCGTGAGGTACAGCCCAAACATCGGATACGACACATTGGTGCGCAACAGCGACGTTGCCAGCGGCAGCGTACTGACATCCCCGACCTGGTCTTGGTACCCAACGAGGCTGCGGGCGATAGTGCTTCCGCGCGGAAACCCCAGCCCCAGCACACCCGATATCCCCTGTGCGCCAAGCGTGACATTGGTCTCGTCGATCAGCGCAAACGCCTGGCGCTCGACACGCAGGCCCGCCATGCGCACCTCGTCTGCGCCCAACACCCCCTTGGCGGCCGTGTCATCATCGTAGAAGATCGAGAATGCCACGTCCGTGTCCGCGCGCTTGCTGATCGTGCTGCTGTTCGTCGAGGTCTGCGTGGCGTTATCGCCAAAGCTCGATGCGGTGAGGTTGAGCGCGGCGGCTGCGTCGATCTGGATGGTGCGGAAGGACGAGCTCTTGTCGATGTCGAGCGTGAGCACACCGTCCGCCTTGCATTGCGACGAGCTGCATCGGGACGAGGTGATCCACAGGTCCGACGACCCCGTGTCGAGCTGGACAAACACGAGCTGGGGCGGCGACGAGACGTTGAGCGGAATGTCGTATGCGCCCGATAGCAGCCCGAGCGACTGCATGGTGTCGTTGGCATTCTGAACCGCGCGCCGCCGCAGTGCCTGTGACTGGAAGTGCTGCTGCTGTTCTTGCGCGTCGGAAGAGGACGAGGAGAGGTGAGCTGGCGCACGCAGCTCGATGGCCGACTCGTCCACCGAGGGGAGTGACTGAAACCATGGTGGAGGCGCGGCTAGTCGGGCTGTGCAGTGCGAGATGCCTGCGGCGAGCAGCAGCGCAAGCGCGAGCGTGCACCTCCAGCCCCTCCGCACCGCCGTATTGGAACAGTGCATGCTGAGCGGTCGCAGGACGATGGTGGTAGCAGACAGAGGAAGAGACGGACCCTGCGAGGCTTCCGAGACGCTTCTCTCCACTTTGGCCTCGGCGATTTTTGGGCTAAAATCCTCCGAGGCTCCCGCCCGACTAACTATGAGCGCGTTGTGGGTGGTGCTTGTCACAACGCAGGGCGGAGCATTCTCATGTCCTTCTCTTCTGGGACTCACAGTCGTGGATGCAGTCGATTCATTGTATTGCGTTGAAGCAAGTTGCTTCCAAAGTTGAGGCAGTGGAAGTATGACATCTCGCCAAATGAATTCCCGGCTGCAGGTCGCTTCACGATGACATCAGGCACGGCGTTCAGATGCGGCCCAAATCTGGGCATGTTAGACCGCCTAGGTATGGTACCCCTCGGAGCTGCGTCGTGCTGCGTCGTGGCGACCATCGTACTGAACTGCGCTAGGCAGAGTCTCGGATGCGATGATCATCCCTGACGCCGTTGACGGTCCAGATGCGGCTGCCATTGTGAAAGCTGATGGTCCAATCGTAGCTGCCGCCCAGGACATTGATGACCGAGTGACTGCTGTCGCCGTGAATGTTGATGGCCGATTCGAAGCTGCCCTGAACGTTGATGGTCGACTTGTGGCCGTCGCCGTAAATATTGATGCATGTGATGGCACTATGGCCGAGGATGCTAATGACCGAGTTGCGGCTCTCGCCATGAATGTTGATCATCGAGTTGAGGCTGCCGCCATGGACGCTGATGGCCGAATTGCGGCTGTCGCCGCGGACATTGATGATTGTGTCGCAGATATCGCCGTGGAGGTTGAAGACCGAGTTGCTGCTGTCGCCGTGGACATTGATGATCTTGTCGCAGCAACCTCCGTGGAGATTGGTGACCACGTTGCGCCTGTCGCCGTGGATGTCGATTACTGGGACGCTGCTGCTGGCGTCAATGTTGACCACGCCGCTGCTGCTACCGGTATCGACGGCGGGGGCCGTGGAAGGTCCATCTGACAGGACCAGATTCTTGTCGTCGTCATCCATCTTGACGGTTCGGAGTAGGCAAGGAGCGAGTAGGAGTTGAAGGCACAGCAAGCCAGCGGGCTGCCGAGATTGAAGAATCGAAAAGTCAGAAGCGGGACACCAGCTTGAGGTCACGAGTCGTGTCACTCACTTACTGTACGATGCTACGAGATCAGTGCCAATGGCTGTGCTACCAAGCTTTCGAGGTGAAGGATGAATAGTGTGGTGGTGAGGAAGTAAGACGAGAGTGCGGAAGTAACGGAAGAGGAGCAGAGCAGGAGGAGAGGGAGCCGAGGCCGTGCGGAAGTGAGGTTGAAAGTGCGGGAGCAAGACGCATCGCCATGGATGAGCACTTGACTCGTGTGGGAAGCAACGTATCCGAGCGGATGCGGAATTTGCCGGTGCTTGTCTTGCTCGCCTGCCGGATGTGCGACTTGCATGCCAGCGGCGATGCGTCCCCACCAAGACTTGAATCCAAATCGACCTTGATGGCAGACCTCGGTCCTGCTCGGAACGGCGTCCACTCGATGAACTTGTGACAGGTGCGCGCCGGCTCAAGATGCGAGCCGCAGCGAGACGGAGGCAGCGCGGACCAAAATAGTCATAGCGATGTTTTTCCGCACTGAGCTCGTATTCGTCAACGCTGAGGCTCAGTCTAGCCGACTCTGCATGGCGTACATCAACATCGGTGGTGACGTGCTTTGGCTTTGGTGCAGGCTAGGAAGAGCGCAGCACGGGTCGAGGTAACGACGCAGTGCGACGTGCCTGTAGAGTCGTTCAGTCGAGTTCACCAGTGAACTGTCATTGCGAAGGCGATGTATGTCAGTTCGCTTGAGCGTTATTACTGTATTTGGCACATCATCAGTACTTACATCACCTGTGAAGCCGAAAGCCTCGTACGTGGACTGCATGTAGGTGATGAAATTGTCCTGCACCTCCTCGTAGGTCGGGACTCGACCGTCTGACAGGAAGAAATGGATTTGATTGATCGTACGCTGTAAGATGCGGGTTATTTCTTCGTAAAGCTCCCTAATAGCATTGTTGGTCAACAAATCGACGGGCACGAAGGGCATCTGAATCGTGCCCCTGGGCTGAACCAATCCGAGACCACGCAGACTTTCGATAGGCAGAGGCAGCGAGGACCAGGGGGCGAAGCTGTGCAGGGGATCCCGCCCTTCCTCTAGAGTGGGGGCTCGACCCCTCGGATGAGTGTAATGAGATCGATACATCATACTCTGAAAGTTGCTGGTCGCATAGTCGTAAAACCCCGTAAGAGCGTTATCGGTCAACAAAGCGACGGGCGTGAAGGGCACCTGAACCGAGTCCCTGGGCTCAACCAAAGCAGGACAAGAAGGGAGAATTCGACGCGTCACCATGTATGATCATTTGGCACGAAGCGAGGAGCTACGCATCCGAGCGGTTGCGGAAGCTTCCCACGCCGAAGTGCGACGAGAATGTCAGAGGAGCTGCGGACGAGCACACGCGTCCCACCAAGTCTGGAACCTAAACTGATCTTGATGGCCGAGCGTCGTCTCGGGAAGTGGACAACTTGTCACAGGCTGATCGGTTGAGAGCCGCCGCTAGACGGAGGCAGCGTGTGCTCAGTTGTGTGAACTCGAGCTCGTCGTGTCGACTCTGCTCTGACCGATGCAACTGGACACGGTGCAGCCGAGCAAGGAGTGAAGTGTGGGATCGGCACTTTGCCTAGTGCCGCATATATACTGAGCTTACGACTCTCGATGCTGTTGTGTGTCTCGCTCCACTATCAACTCATCCGCTCCGACCGTTGCAAGTATGGAGTCCGACAGTGACTCTAGCTTGAGCGAGTACCGACCAAGCGCATCGCTGTCTAGAACGAGACGCAACAGGGAGAGGAGTCGAAAGTCTGGTAGCCGTCGCGATCGCGATGCCTCTCCCATCGAGGCTGCACACGAGCAGCGCCAACGTAAACCCAGCGCTCGAAGGCAGGAATTGAGGGCGGCGCTTACGGAACGCCACTGGCTGGACGAAGGCTGCAGGCCATGCAGGGTTGCAGGTGTGCGGTGCGAGGCGCCAACGCCTGGTGATCATCGCGAAAAGTGTGCGCGATGCTCGGAAAAAGGGGAATCATGCGACCATCGATGGATTCTAGAACAGCGATCCGTCACCGCAATGATGAAACTTCTCTGCGAGCAGCCGATCATTGACGTCGCTTCTCCCGCCTTTCTGGCGGTAGAGAGACAGGTGTACGGCAAGCACCTGGGAGGGCCGTTTGACAAGTGCAAGGACTATCCTGATGCTTCGTCGTCGGGCGCGCAAGCAAGCACCTCGAGTGCGCACCAAAGCAACGAGCAGCCGAGTGGCTCCAACGCCGCAGCTGAGTCTTCCAGCGCTGGACAATATAACGGTGACGACCAACTCGAGCCGCACGCTGCTGTTCTCACCGACGAGCCTGCCGCCTCCTCATCCGTCTTGTCGTCCTTCTCAACTTGCTCTTCCCCGTCGTCCGCCTCGTCCGTCTCCTCTTCTTCATCTTGCTCGTCCGCGTCCCCCGCCTTTACTTCCTCCTCATCAGCCTCCTCACTGCCTATTCGCAGGCTGCGCGGGCTCGGAATGGTTCACCGCAGTGACACGTTTGAAGTGTCGTTCGTGCCGCGCTCGTTGCTGGCGAATGAGGCGTTGGAGGAGCATTACTGCGATGTCACGCGCAACAATCAGCGGACAATGGAGCAGTTGCGTTACGGATTGATGGGCCAAGGCCTGTCCACCGAAGAAGAGCTGGACATCCTGCGTGACAACTTCCAGTCGAATTACGAGGCTTCCGGCTTTTCAGGCGATGTAAGTATGCGATGACCTTGGTGGATCTCAAGAGGCGGGCGTGCTGACTCGGGTCCCCTTTGCCATGACAGTACATGTCCGCGCTCCGTTGAGCCGAATGCATGCCGATCGAGGGATCGCATACCTTTAGCGTCGGCAGCGGCGCGAAATTCTGGCTGGGCTCAAAAAGACCTCACGAAATGATGCCAAGAAATTCAAGAGTTGAAGATGCGTTGCGATACTCGAGCTGAGGCGGCAGTCAAGGGCGGATGAGCAAGCGATTAGCATTGGAGCGAAGCGAGATCGAGATGCGGAAGCGAGCGTTGGTGGGTGCAGATGGATGCGGCGATCAAAGGCGATGCAAGCGATACGACCGATGCCAAGACGGCGGGTTGCGGTGGATTCGCGCTTTGCTGGCACACGGCGTTCAAGGGGCGTGTTAAGCGAACTGGAGCGAGGCCATGATCTCTCGGATGTGGGATGGTTGACAGCAGCAATGATCGGCAGAGCGCGCGCGCGTGTGTGTGCACGCCTTGGGTTGGTAGCGAATAGCAATCTCACAATCATCAGGCGTGATTCGGCGTCCAAAGTCTTGACGGCGAGTGTTGATGCTGGTTTGGAATTGGATCCAGAAAGCCGGCTGAGTTGATCTGCGACTCGGCCCCGGCGGACGGCAGAAGCAGCCGTGGAAGGAGGGAGGCCACTCGGGGTTCGGAGAGGGAGAAAGAGCGAGAGACCAACACCGAGAAGCGACTCAAGAATTCAGCTTCCGCTCGAGCGTCAGATGCTTCCGTGCACCTGCAATTCGATACTCGCGCACACTTCGCGGCGTGGGCGTGGCGTGCAAGTAAACAATGGCAGCCCCACGCCACGCTCCCATCTTGTCCAAGACCACACTGGCTGCTGTTCGAACAGATGCATGCGTGCAGACCAGCCACAATTGATCCCTCGCCATGCACGATCTGGCCGACGATTGGTTGGGAAGAGGATAAAAATAGAGCTTGCAGAGCGCGGTGCGTAGGAAGGAGCCGGCTGTGCTCGAGACGTGCAGCGCGCAGATGCAGCTGGCGTGAAGAAGACTTGTTTGCCAAGTCGAGAGAGCATCGCATCGAGGCCGGGGACCAAGTCAAGGCCAAGATCGCCATTGCAGCTGGGCATCATTATTGTTGCGCTCGGCGGGAGGGCGAAATTGAGCGAGGCGCGAGGCGCGTTTGGTGCTTCAAGAGTGTCTCGAGTAAAGCTCTGTCTCACTCTGTCGTCGCTCGCTGCCGTCGCTGCCTGCCAAAGCTAGCTGGCGTGAGGGGGCGATGGGAGCGGCAAGGGCAAAGCATCCGACTCTCAAAACATGCACGCGTGCTGCCCGCCAACCAATTTGGCGTCGGAATGAGACTGTGCTTTGGCAGCAGCGCGATTGGAAGCGACTGCCCTCACGCCTGCTGGTGTGCAGTGCTGTGCCGTGCATGTGATTTGGCAGTCCGAGCCCAAGTCCAAAAAGAAGGGAAAAAAAAAAGTCGGATTGGAGAGTGCGCGTGTGCATGCGTGTGCTTTGGCGTGTGCTGGCAGGGCAGCGCAAGGCAGGGCAGTGTGCATTGCTGTTGTCTCCTCGTTGGCTGCTGCTGCTCCTCTCTGTCTGCTGCATGGCTCGGCGCCGAAATCGCAAAGGCAAAGGCGATCTTCCTTTCCCAGCGAGCACGCCTGGAACACACTTTCTCTCGCTCTCTCGCTCTCTGCACTCGCTCTCTGCACTCGCAGCTGAGCACTCTCGGCCAATCCAAGCTCAAGCTACAGTCACACTCTGCTCCGCTCCGCACCGCCTCCGTCCATCTTTGCTTGCTCGCCATCTTCGCTCGCTTCGTTCCGGCTCCATCATCGCAACCACCAGCGCGCGCGATCGCAACCGCCAACACACGCTCCTCTTCTCTTCGCTTCTTCCATCTCGGTCTCGGTCTCGGTCTCGCTTTCGCATCGCGCGCTGGTTCGCTCCGCCTCGCCATCCTCATCATCCACTTTGAAGCATCTCGATTCATCGTCTGCTCCGCCAACACCCGGATCCGCAGCTCCATTCCGTCCACACGGCCTCCCAGCGAACCCACCCACGTCGTCGCAATTCCTACACGCTCAAGCTTAATCCTCGCCAAGTCCTCCCCGCACTCCTAATCCGTAAGTCTTGCCGCGGCCCTTTCATTTCAAGCTCATGCTTTTGCGCATGCACATCTGCTCACACCCCCTTGCCCTCGCGTCTTCTTGCATGCCTCCATCCCAATCGCATCCCCATCGCGCTCTCACCCACCCTTCGCCGCTCATCGCATCGCCCACTCGCATCGATCATCCAACACCCACCATGCCGCCACGCCATCACACCGACCACCACGACGCTTCCGCTCGTCACTCACAACCAACTCCATCTCCCATCCCACAGTACCAACTGCAATCTCGTCCAGCTACCTTTCATTCAGTTCGAGCTCCTCTGCCTCTGCCTCTGCACCTCCATCCTTTCCACTCGTCTTGGGCGCCATCCTCCCTCCCATTCCAACCTAGGCCTCCGCCAGCAACGAGCATTCGTGTCGGCTGCCGCGTCCCCTCCTCCCTCTCCAATCAGTACATCTTGCCTCCTCCGCAATCGCACGACCGGCTCGATCACACCAGCCACATCTACCTCCCACGCCCCATCTCGGCTCACCCGAGTCAATCCACCATGTCCGCAGCAACTGCCTCCACGGTAGACCTGCTGCCTCGCATGGGGCCCTCCTCCGGCATGCACAGCCCCTTTTCTATACCACATCCGCTCTTCAACAATGACGCAGGCCCTTCCTCCTTTCCCTCGTCCAGACCACCCGCGCCCTCATCCATCGACACCGGCGCTCGCAAGAATGCCGCCCTGCTCGATGCTCTCGCCGGTCCTTCGGGCGCATTGAAACTCTCCTCGCCCGCGTCCGCAGCAGCTCCGCCTTCCAGCCTCGAACTCAGCCAGAACGCAGGCTCCAGCTTATCCGCAGGCGGTGCCTTTGGCGCATCAGGCGCCTACTCCTCCTCCAACGGCGGCGCATCCGGCGGCTTGGGCAGCACCAACATGCGCCCGGGCGGCGGCGGCGGCGCTGGCGGCAGAGACGACCTCCACCGCAACGGCGCTCCCGGCGACGGAAGCGGCTCCGGCGGTAACGGCGGCGACGACTCCCACGACGACAAGGACGACAAGGAAAAGGCAAAGAAGTCAAACCCGCTCGTCGATCTCCTCGACACAGAGGCCGCCTACGTCTCCGAACTCTCCAAGATCATCAAAAAGGTCGCCGCCGCCTGGTCCCGCTCCAACTTCCCACCGCCCGAGCTCGATGCCATGTTCCGCAATACAGAGGCCATCTACCGCGCAAATCGCAGCTTCCTCAAGGCGCTCAAGGAGATCGGTCCCAACCCCTCGTCGCCAAAGGCGCTCGGCGACCTGCTCATGAAGTGGATCGACGATCTCGAGACCCCCTACTCGCGCTTCTGCGAGAGCTACCTCTGCGACTTTGACGCATGGTCCGCCGTCCAGTCCAACCCGCGCCTCGCCAACCTCCTCCTCGACGTCTCGGGCCCGACCGATGCAGACGGCAACCCCGTCACTTTTAGCGATCGCAAGCGCGACCCCAACGAGCCCTGGACCCTCGACGGCCTCTTTGCCCTCCCGCACATCCGCCTCAAGTACTACAAGAAGCTCTACTCGCGCCTCCTCAAAAGCACGCAACCCGGAAGGAGCGACCATCGCCTGCTCGTCGGCGCAAACGAGAAGCTCGACGAGCTCGTAGACAAGTCCAAACGCAGACTCGCCGTCTCGGTCCTCGACGAGGTCGCCGGCCGCGAGTCGCGCGACAGCTCCTTTGCAGACAGCAACGTCAACAGCGAATCGTCGCAACGCGAACGCGTCTCTTCCGCCACCTCGCACTCCGACTCGCAATCGCCCAACTCGCGCCCAGTCCAGACGCTCGGCAACAAAACTTCCCCGACGCGAGCTCCCGCGGCCGGCACCGCCAATGCTGCCTCCACCGCATCTGCCGCTGCATCATCATCGCTGCTACCCGCCGCCGGACGCGCTCCGACGCCTGGTGGCATGCCCCTCTTTGGAGCGCCCACGAGCCAGCTCAACGGCCTCAGCTTGGACCACCCCAGCATCTCGGCTCCCAGGCCCGAGCTCGTCCGCGGCAACTCGGAGGTCGCCAGCGTACACGACAGCGGCTCGCAGACCGCAGGCGACGACTCGGCATCCACGCGCACCAACTCGCTCTCCCAGCCCATCGAGAACCTCGAGAAGCGTCTCGACACTTCCAAGACGCTCGACATTTTCACCATGAAACCCAAAAAGTGCCAGCTCCAGATGCACCCGCCCAATCTGCCGTTTGCCCGCGCGCTGCGCAAGTCGGCCGACGTCGTCATCCACTTTACCCCGAGCAGCGGCGGACCCGAGATCAGCATCCGACGCGCACACATGTTCCTGCTCACCGACCTCTTCCTCGTGTGCGAGCGCATGACGCCCAGCGAAAAGGCCGAGCTCTCCAAGGGCGGTGTGGGCCCGGACATGTGGCTGCTGTATCCGCCGCTGGCAGGTAAGCACTTGCGCGTCGCCGATCTCGGCGGCCAGGGCAACACGCTCTCCATCACCATCCTCAAAAAGGAGACGCTCACCGTCCACACCGACTCGCGCGAGGCAAAGGACGAGTGGCTCGAGCACTTTGCCGACTGCCAAAAGTTCGCCGCCAACCTCGGCCTCAAGGTCAAGACGGGCAGCAGCACGCTCTCGGCGCCCTCGGCTGCAAGCAGCGTGTCGGCCGCTTCGCTCGGCTCTGCGCAGCCGAGTCTCACCACGCCGGCGCTCTCGCCTGCCATCTCGGTCACACCCTCTTCGACGCACGGCCACGATGACGTTGCGGAATCCATGCCGTCGACATTTGGCAATGATGGCCCCAACAGCTCGCCCGTCATCGGCTCGGATCTCTCGAGGCAGGCTTCGTTCAACTCGGTGGCATCGTTCCCCAAGGCGGCCGCGCTCGGCTCGCCCGATCTGGGCAACTTTGCGCCCGGCAGCAGCTCTGCCTTTTCGCCACGATCGCCGTCGCCCTCCAACTTTGGGCCGGGTGGCGCACCGTCCAACGGTCCGCACGGTTTCGGTGGAGCGCGGCCGCCCATGCAGATGCGTCCGGGCATGATGTCGCCGTCCAACGGCGCGCTTTCGCCCGACACGAGCCCTGCCACCGGCCCCGTGCGCTACGGTCCCGGCGGGTTCGGGCCCAACGGCCCGATGGCCATGGGTCGACCTCCGCTCATGCAGGATCCCAACATGCCTCCGCGTTCGCCTGGCGGCATGCGTGGTCCGCCCGGTGGACCGCCGGGTCCTGGAGGTGCCATGTTCCCACGCGGAGGCCCAAGTCCTGTGCCTGGTCAGATGCCGGGAGGTCCGGGCTCGAGTCCCGGATTCGGACCTATGCATGTGCGTCCTGGCATGGCACCGCATGGAGCGCCGGGCATGGGACCGGGTGGACAGGGTGGACCGGGGCCGGCGTTCATGAACGGCGCACCGCGACCGCCGATGCCGCGACCGCCTCCGGGTGCGCAGCCGTGGGCGAGTGGCCCGCCTCCGCCGCCGCCGAATGGCATGGGTGGCCGCGAGCCGTACAGGAGGCCGTCGGCGCCGAATCTGCGCCAGGCGTCGCACGGCTCGTCGGGTGGCGGCAGGACGTCGGACGAGGGCGAAGGTGGGCGGTCGTTTATCCGCACGCGCTCGGTGTCGAGCACGGGCTCGACGGCGCCCAAGCTGCCGTCGGCCATGATGAAGGAGGGCCGCGACCGGGGCGAGCGCGGTACGGATGTGTCGCCGCCAAGCAGCCCCGTGGCCAAGAAGCAGGGCCCGTTCCGAAGCACCGTATCGGCGCAGATGCGATGCAAGCTCTTCCTCAAGCAGGGGCATGCGCAGTGGAAATCGCTGGGAAATGCGCGGCTGAAGCTGTTCCACATCCTGCCGGACGACATCAAGCAGCTGGTGGTGGAGAACGAGCGCAAGACGCTCATCTCGACCATTGTGCTCACCGACGGCGTCGAGAGGGTGGGCAAGGTGGGCGTCGCCGTGGAGCTGAGCGACCGAGGCAACCGGACGGGCATCATCTATATGCTCCAGATGCGATCCGAGGAGTCGGCGAGCGGCCTGTTTGGGCAGCTGCTCGAGGGCAGCGACAGGACGGCGGCGGCCACGTCGATGGCCGGCAGCTTTGCCTGAGCACGCGAGGCGCCGCCAAGTTTTGCATTCATTCTGCTCAACATCGTAACTACCAATAGAAACACTTTGCACTTGTATGCGCGCGAAAGGGATGGGAGAACCAGGCTTTTGAGCAGATGCGAGTTGTGGATATTGTACAGGGTGATAGTGTAGAGATGTGCGGCTATTACTCGTCGTCTTCTTGGTCCATATGGTCTTGGTCGTCGTCGTTACCATGTTGGTGCGAAGGACTGTCTAGGACGTCGTCATCGTCTTGTGGCTCAGCTTCCGATTCTGGGTCTTGTTCTGCTTCGGCTTCTGGTTCTGGGTCGTCTTCGTCCTGGAGGGTGCCTTCTAGGATCATGTTTTCCTCGGTTTGCTTTTGGGCGAGTTTCGTTTGGCGTGCTTCGAGGGCGGAGGAGAGGGGCATGGCGGTTGGGATGGCATCGCGCAGGAACTCGAGCGATTCAGTCTGCTGAACGGCTCGAGAAAGGTCCTTGTAGAACACGTGCTTGCGCTTGTCGAGCTTGGCGTTTGTGTACGCCTCGTCGGTGAGTCTGCGGATGAAGATCTCGGTGGCAATGCTGATGAGGAACGTCGCCTCTTTCGAGCAGATGTCCACGTCGCGGTCCGCTTTGATGATGCGCTGAACGCGAGCGACGGGGAAGACGGAAACACCCTTGTGCGTAGTGGTTGCCGAAGGAGCGGGGTCCTCCTCCACCAATTGCGGAGATGATGGCGACGACATTGGGCTGAATGGTTTGTCGACCGAGCGAGAGGGCCAAGCAGAGAAGTGATGGTGGACTCGAAGCAAGGCTGGATTCGTTGGGCCTCTTTACGCGACGCGTGCCGTCGAAGCCAAAACGCTCAGTCCAAGCCAGAAGAAGAGCTGACGCGCAGAGAGCAACACTCCACCCGCCCATTTCCACTCGATTCGACTCGACTCGACTGCGCCCAAAAAGGTGTGACTTTGGCATTTCACTTCACTTCATCACCTTCTTGGCTTCGGCTTCGGCTTAGCACCACAGTAATCTGCCCCTTTGAGATATCGGCGTGGCCGACGGGTGTGTCAGAATGCTCATCGTCATCAAACGCTGAGCTGCTCTTTGCTCGTCGACTCACCCGCCTCCGCCCTCCATCGTCTGGGAGCTCAATAACAATGGTCGACGATCGCGAACAGGACCTGCCGCCCGAGGCCGAGGCGGCGCGCTACAAGCCGATCCGCCGCCTCGACGAGAATGTTGTCAACCGCATCGCAGCCGGCGAGATCATCCACCGCCCCGCCAACGCGCTCAAGGAGCTCATCGAAAACTCGCTCGATGCTGGCGCCACTCTGATCCGCATCACCCTCAAGGAAGGCGGCATCAAGATGCTCCAGATCCAGGACAACGGCTGCGGCGTTCAGCCGTCCGACTTGCCTCTCCTCTGCGAGCGCTTCGCCACCTCCAAGCTGCGCGACTTTGCCGACCTCGACAGCATGGCCACCTTTGGCTTCAGAGGTGAGGCGCTCGCCAGCATCAGCTACGTCTCGGCTTCCATGAGTGTCGTCACAAAGACTCGCGACAACGACTGTGCCTACCGCGCCTATTACGCCAATGGCGCTCTCGCCCCACCTAAGCCCGGACAGAGCAGCGAGCCGAGGCAATGCGCAGGCACAGACGGCACTCTCATCACCGCCGAGGATCTCTTCTACAATGTCCCACAGCGCAGAAGGGCTCTACGCAGCCCCGCAGACGAGTACAACCGTGCTCTGGACGTCGTCTCAAAGTATGCCGTGCACTACGGCGGCAGAGGCGTCGGCTTTGTCTGTCGCAAGGCTGCCACCAACGCCACCGACCTCAACACTCCTTCGTCGCCCACCAACACCACGCTCGACACTATCCGCATCCTCCACGGCAACGCCGTGTCGCGCGAACTCGTCGAGCTCACAGATGTACACGACGCAAACCTTGGCTTTCAGTGCAACGGCTGGATCAGCGGCGCCAACTGGAGCAGCAAACGCACAACGCTGCTTTGCTTCATCAACAATCGCCTCGTCGACTGTCCGCTGCTCAAGCGCTCCATCGAGGCGCTCTACGCAACCCTCCTCCCCAAGGGCGGTCATCCGTGGATCTACCTATCACTCTCCATCAACCCGGCCAATGTCGACGTCAACGTGCACCCCACCAAGAAGGAGGTGCATTTCCTCAACGAGGACGAGATCGTCGAGCACATTTGCCGCGCTGCCCAGGACAAGCTCGCGGGCGCCAATTCGAGCAGGACGTTTGCCTTTTCGCAGGCTGTGCTCCCTGTCCTCGCAGCCGACGTCGCTGCTCGAAGCGTACCCGCACCCGCGCCTGCGCAAACAGACGAAGCCGATGCGCACAACCCCATTGATGCGGGGCGCGAAGCGACGCGCAGCCGTGACAGCGGGAGGGCGACCACAAGCTCATCAGCCTCGGCGGCTCGAAGAACAACAGGAGGTCCCATTTCATCGTCGAAAGGCTACCCACAGCATCTCGTACGCGTCGACGCCAAGGCTCGAACGCTCGACTCCATGTTTTCGGCTTCAACCTCCGCGGCGGGCAAGAAGCGCCTGCTAGATTCAGATCTGCACCAAAGTTTCGATTCCGACTTGCCGACTGAGGCGTCGGACGATCAGGCAAACGCTGGTACCTCCAACCGTGACAGCAGCAGCTACAGCGCTCCTGCGGCCAAACGCGCGCGCCAAGGCCTTGGCGTGCGTGTCACCGACTCGGACTGCTCGCTCACATCGGTGCGCCAGCTGCGCGCCCACATTGGCAAGGCGCAACATCGCAACCTCACCGAGGTGGTACAGAACCACACCTTTGTCGGCGTCGTCGATCTGCACAAGGGCATCAGCCTGATCCAGCACGAGACGCGCCTGCTGCTCGTCAACCACGACGCCATGATTCGCGAGTTTGCCTACCAGCTCGTGCTGCGCCAATTCGGCAGTTTCGTCGCGATCAAGCTGGATCCGCCTCTCTCGCTCGATGAGCTCGTCGACATTGCGCTCGACAACACCGCCGGCGTACCCGAGGACTCGACGGCGAGCACCGAGACGGTGCGCGACAAGATCGTCGGCGTGCTCCTCGACCATGCCGAGATGCTGCATGAGTACTTTTCGTTTACTGTAGACGCGGATGCGCGCACGCTCAAAGCGCTGCCGAGTCTGCTCCCCGGCGCGATCGTGGCGGGCGTGCAGGGCGCGTGTGCGATCGAGCTCGAGCGCTTGCCGCAGCTGCTCGTCCGCCTCGCCACCCGCGTCGACTGGCAGGACGAGCAGGCGTGCTTCGACACGTTTGCGCACCAGATCGCATGGAGCTGCGTGCCGTGTCCACCGCCGCCACCTCCAACGTCGACGCAATCGAGGGCGGGCGACGAGGAAGACGCAGTACAGGCACGGCAGGCGTCCGACGAGCACGAGCGCGAGACCGAACTGGCGCGCCGCAGAGTGCAGCACCTCTGGTTTGACAACATGCCCAGGTCGCGCGCGCGCTACGTGCCCAGCCGCGCCACCAACGACGTCGTCGTACAGGTCGCCAACCTGCCGGACCTGTACCGCGTGTTTGAGCGGTGCTGAGCTCGTTCATGTACAGCATCACTTGCGGACGTTTTGTCGATCTCATTGCTGCGTTTTGCGCAAGCGAAGCACACGTCGACACTGGGGTCACACAATGATATAACTTAGTTCGCGCAATTCACTACCGCTACTCGGGCTTGCTATTCACTACCGCTACTCGGACTTGCTCTTGTCCTTGCCAGCGGTCAGGGGGGACCACAGATGCTGCAACCATGCGTCCTCGAACGCCTTTCTGCCGAACATGGTCTTTGCTCTTGTGCGCGCATCTGCCCTAATGCGCTGTATCCGCTGCGGGTCTGCATCGAGCATGTGCATGATTTGCGCCAGTGTCGCTGCGTACTCGTCCACGTCGCGTGCATGCCAACCCACGCCCTCCATCTTGCCAACTTGATTTGGCTGCGCAGGCAGATTGATGGACGGCGTGGCGATGTCCAGCCAGGGTCCTGCCGACCTATGGCTGAGCGTAAGCAGGCCGGCAGCCATGAATTCGACGACGTTGATGCCAAAGTGTTCGTCCTTCATGGTGCTCAAGCCGACGCCTGCGCGCGAGAGGTGGCTGAGGATCGTCGGATAGTCGGCATTGACTACAAACTGCACGTGCGCATCGACACCCAGCTGCTTCGCCAGACCGCGCAGCATCTCGATGCGCGCCTCGTCCGCCTCGTTGCGCGACGAACCCATCATGACGAGCTTCACCGCCGCGTCGCCCGAGAACAGCTGCGGCTCGCGGTCGTAGAGCGCTTTGAGCACGCGCAGCTGCGTCGGATGCTCCTTTTCCGGCCGAAACTGCGCCAGACTCACAATCGTGCGTGGCTCCGCCCTTGGTTCGAGCGCAAACTTGGTCAGCTCCTCGGTATCGCAAGGAGGATAGACGACATGCACGTTGTGTTTGGGGCCGAGCAGCGTCTTAAGGTGGGCCTGGGTCCAGGAGCCGTTGGCGACGAGCGCATCCGCGTGGCGCAGCGCCCAGCTGTACAGCCGCGCAAACACGCGGTAGTAGACGAGCTTGACGCGCGAGCGCAGCTTGCTGTTGGCGGTAGCGGCGTCGTTGGTATGGCCCGCCTGCCTGTCCTTCACGCGGCGCAGCATGTCGGTGCTGATGATGGGATAGTGCACGTAGGCGCCCGTGCGCACTTTGCGATCGATGAGCTTGAGCGCCACATACGAAAACGCATAGCCCATCGTGTCCACATACACGTCCGGCACGAGCTGCGAGAGCGCCTCAAACGCCAGCCACACCGAGCCGTAACTCTGCCCGAGCAGCGTCCAGCTCTTCCACGCACCCTCCTCGACCATCCAGCGCCGCTTGAGGGGCACCATGGCCACGCGGCCGGCGTCGAGGCTGATGCCGAAGCGCGCCGACGCCTTGGCGAGGATCTGCGGCTTGGACGCCGCGGGGAAATCGCCCGTGTAGATGACCACCACCGCGCGCGGGTCGCGCGCGAGGTGCAGCGCCACCGCTTCGTACAGCACGCGCTCGCCGCCCCCGCCCGCGTTGCAGTACGGATGGAAGAAGCCGATGATCGTGCGCGCCGGCTGGTCCGCTGCGAGCTCCGCCTTCTCGTCGATGCCCAGTTCGGCGAGCAGCTTGCGTCGGCGCGTGCGGTTGGTGCGACGCACGCGGCGCAGCGCCCTATCCACCACCTGCACCGCGCCGACCGTGACGGAAAAGAGGATCAGGAAGAGCGGCAGAAAGATGGGCACAAGCACCGACTTGAGCGTGTCCACCAGCGAGTCGGCGCGCTCGTACACCACTGTGGTCGCTGCAGGGTCGTACGCCGCTTTGCCTCCGCCGGGCTGCGATGTCGAGGACGCACTGACGGATGCGGGCATCATGTACAAAAACACGCCCACCAGCAGCAGTGTGTACGCCGACCCCGACAAGCCGCGCGCCGAAGTGAGTGCATCCACCATAGTCCGCTGTGGCTTTGTTGACTTGGACCTGGTCACCCGCGCCGGCTCCGTCCTGAGCCTTGCTGCAATGTACAGATAACTGTCGAGCATGAGCCAGAGCGGCAGTGCGACCCAAACGACGTTCATAAACACGAGGTAGAGCCAGAGGAGCAGCCAGTTGCTCGTATCCAACTGTGCGCTTCCCGCCAGCCATTCGGGTGCAAACGTCATCCATCCGCCATAGATCTCGCCTGCACTAAGCACGGTGACCCAATAATAGTACGTCGGATCGTCCTTTGCCAGGAGCCAAGCGCAGTATCCCGCCATGGGACCGGCGACGAGCACGGTGAGGAACTCCATGGAGACGAGCGTAGGGTCTGCTGTGCCCCATCGTGCATCGGCTGCCGCGTACTCCTGCCAGAGGAAGCCAAAGAACGATTGGGATGCGTTGACGGTGCGCCCGCGCACCGAGAGGTAGAGGAAGGATCCCTCGAGCGTGAGGTGGCAGATGGCGTCGAAGGCGAGCCAGAGGAAGACGAGGCGCGTCTTGCGCGTGGCGGTGGGCGCGAGGAGCGCGCGCGAAGCGAGGTGGGCAGCGAGCACCATCGCACCCACGTAGCCCAGCGATAGCGCCGTCTGCATGTTGAGCAGCCGGTCCATTTTTCGGTCAGCCGACACAGCGCAGCCGTGGGTTGAGAGAGGTGTTGGTGGTGGTGGTGAGAAGAAGCAAGTGATGGGAGTGGGGGGGGGGGGGGGGTGCAAGAAAAAGGGTCCGTGCCGCCGCGGGGTTTGGAATTGCAACCCCTTTGGTCCGACCTCAACGCCGCTCCACCGTGTTGGGCTCAGATGTTGTCTCTGGTACTGGGCCGTGGATGGCACACACTCGTGTCTGTGGGAGACGAAAACGTCGGCTCAGGGTATCTGGCATTGACCGGTGCTACAGCTACGCAATCCAGCGCAGCGACTCGAGCACCCTCTGCTGCAAAAAGTGCGTCTCTGGCTGCTCCTCCGCGCTGTGGTCCGCCTCAGCCACCGCAATAGCCGTACCGTCATGGCGGCACTGCTCGCTCTCAACCTGAGCCACCCCCGCGTGAGCAGCATAGCGTTCCATGATGCGTTCGCGCGCGCGCAGTCTGCACCTCGGGCAGAACTTGACGCAGCCTGCCGAGTCGGCAAAGCGCACGCCTGCTGCCTCGGCTGCCACGTCGTCGTTGTCGGCGGCGCTGCACGTGGGCACGCTGACTCCGAGCTCGAGCTCGATGAGGTTGCGCCTGCGCATCGGACAGTCTGCTACACGCAGCGTGCGTAGATTGACGCGCGTGTTTCCGGTGGTGAGCAGCGTACGGAGCGTCTGGGGCTGGAGGGTCTTGTTGGCGCCACCGAGCAGCGTGAGGCTGGCGAGGTTGGGCAGCTCGCTGAGCATCCTGGCCGTCGCCACGTCGTAGCAAAAGTTGCCCAGACGCAGCGAGACGAGTCTGCTGCTCCAAGCGGCCCGCCCCGCGTCGACGGGCGTGAGCGCGCGCAGGAACGAATGATGCGGTGCGAGCAGCCAGCACGACTGCGTGATCCACTCGAGATGGTGTGGCTGAAAGTGCGTAAAGAACTCGACCGCCTCGGCCACTGCCTCGCCGGGGAAGCGCACACGCAGGCTGCGCACGCGCGACCACGGTTGCTGCCCCTCGCCGGCGCTCGTCTGGACGCGCGAGACGAGTCGCGCAAGCCGCATGGCCTGCTTCCAGTCGATGCGCGCCGAGTAGACGTCGAGTGCGCGGATGTACTGCGCATAGTGCGGATGCGCCTCGAGCGTGGACAGCGCGCACGAGAGCGAGAGGCGCGATGTGAGCGTGAGGTGCTGGTACAGGTGGCGCACGCCCGTGCGGCGGAAGAACGAGTTGGCACACAGAACATCGGCGACGCTTCCCGACGCGGGGCTGTTCTGAACATGCGCGAGCGCAAAGGCGATGACGAGCGACTGTAGCTCGTCTGGCAGGCGGTCGAAAGGAAAGCTCGCGGCGTCCGAGGCGCACGCCAAAGGCGCACCGGCGCTCAGCTCGCTCGCAGTCGCACTCATGGCGATGGTGTTGGCGGTGGATGAGGCAGGGCCGACATTCCGGGGATCACATGGGCACGAGCTGCGTTGGATGGGATATCGTCGTGTTCGAGGTTGGTTGGAAGGGTCGACGTTGGCCCGAGAGAGGTGGGCAAGTGGAGGCGAATTGCGAATTTGGGCAAATGTGAGATCGATGCCTCAAACACTGTCAGAGCCGGCGCGCGTGTGTTGGACGGGAGAGCAACACTTTCAATTTTGGCATCACGTGGATCGCGACGCGCGCAGTGCGAGTCGGTGTTGGCGCAGTGCAGCTCGTGCTGCTTAACCACCACCACCACCACCACCACCACCACCACCACCACCACCACCACCACCACCGCCGCCTCTGAATCCAACATGTCTCGATCCAGACAAGCGTCCGGGCCGACGCCCACCACGCCGCTGCGGCGCATCTCGCGCGGCTCGCTCAACGCGCTCTCGCACTCGGCGTCCAAGCAGCTCGGCACCGGCTCCACGCCGCTCTCGTTTCTGCAGGGCGCGATGAGCGACCTGGCCGAGGAGGTGGGCGTGCTCAAGCTCAACCTCGAGAGCATCGAGGCGGTGCACGACAGCCTGCACAGCTTCAACGAGAACTTTGCCATGTACATGTACGGCCTCAAGATGAACGCCTACTGCGTCGAGTGGCCCGAGGCGCCGCTGGCGGACAACTTTGAGCGCGCCGAGAAGCGCATCGCGCAGCAGGCGCAGCAGTATGCGGCGCAGCACGACCTCGATCTGGCGCTCTCCGCTCAGGGATATGCGGGGGGTGCGGGTGAGACGGTCAATCCGGCTGCCGACCAGACCTACGTCACCACCGACGACGAGAGCATCTACCGCACCGACGCGGCGCCCCTCGTGACCGCCAATGCACCAGCCGCCAAACCGGCACTCAAGTCGGCACTCAAGAAACCCGCCACAGCGACAGCAGCCGCCAAAAAGCCTGCTGCGCCTGCTGCAGCGGGAGCTAAGCCCAAGATGACGCTGGCGCAAAAGAAGAAGCGCGAGGCGTATACGGACGAGATCATCGAGACGCTGCCGCTCGAGTACCGCGGCGGGGGCAACGATCCGAAGCAGAACGCGATGGCCAAGCACGTATGCATGGCGCTCATCGCCGCGGGTCCCAAGGGGCTGCGCATCGCCGAGATCGTCAAGAATCCGGAAATGTCGCAGGCCAAGATCAACAAGACGCTCATCGCGCTCGTCGCCGCCAAACACGTGGTCAAGGCGAGCAACAACGTGCGTCTTGCTTTACTCTGCTCCTGGTTCTCTGCGTCGTCGTGACATGGCTGACCCCATTCTCTCTTCTTTCTCCTGCATCTTTTGGCGCTGTGTGCAGGGGATCGTGTACAGCCTGGATTCGAGCCGCCATCCGACGCTTCCCTAGGCGCGCGCTGCGTGGATCATGTATTTGTATTGTCTTTCTTTGGTTCAGAGTTTCTTGTTGGCCTTGTCTTGTTTCTCCTGTTTGATCTGTTCGAGGCGCTTGGATCGCTCACGCTCCTCGTCGATGGCCTGTTTGGTGAGTTTGCCCTCGGGGTCTTCGGCGACGTGTTTCATGGCGTCAAAGTCGAGCTGCTCGGTCTGCGTCTTGAGCCGGTTCTGCTGCGCATGGTCCAGACGCAGCTCCTTGTCCTTGATGAGGTGGCGCGAGCCAAAGAACAGCGCGAGGCAGACGATGCCGCCGGTGAAGAGGAAGAGCGGCGTGATCTCGGGTCGGTTGACCACCTGCTTGAGCTGTGGCAATGCGTTCGATTAGAAAGAGTGGGTCAGATGCGCAACTCGACTGCGATTCGAAGCAGCGCGGCACTTACGCTTTCGCCTTTGGCACGGGACTGGTCGTCTAGTCGCACGCGCGTGGTGGACAGCAAGCGGTTGCCGGATGGGGTGCTGCGGGGCGCGCGCAACAGGCTGACGCGCATCGCTGTGGCCGTGGATGGGGTGAAAAGAGATCGCATGTTGCTCGGCTCTAGCTGTCTAGGTGGTGCGGGAGCAAGAGGTGATGGATGCAAAAGACAAGTCAAGATTGGACGGTTGCGCGGATTTCTAGACTGGCCCCGATCGTGGTCAGATGCTCGGACCGCACACCCAGCCACGGCGGCATGAAGCCGAAGCCTCTCCATGGCCCTTGGGTTGCTGGCCATGCTGCGAATGAAGTCATCCTACATCGAGCCATCGACTGCGACAAGCTCGACCATCCTCCACATTCGCTTTTTCGACTCACAACAAATGATGTGCCCTAACACGACATTATCGGCCCAAAAAGGCGTAGTGCCAACTTTAGCAATCAAGCTCACCTTTTCAGGGTCTGGACTGGTGGTGGTGGAGAGCTCATGCCGAAAAGAAGAATCCGAGGGCGGCGCGGGGCACCTCTTTTTCCTCGCCACCTGCATCTCTTCTCTACACGGAGCAGGCATCGACAAGGATGGCGGCAGCAGTGGACACGAGCGCTTCGCACGACGTGCGCGCCGAGCTGGAGCGCCAAGAGGCGCTCGACCTTGCCGACCCGCTGCGCCACTTTCTCGCTGTCGACGACTCCACACCGGGCCCTGTCGACACCAGCGACATTCGCGATCTGCCGAGCAGCAGCGACTACAGCATCGTGCCCACCCAACTCGAAAGCATCATCGACCAGCGGACCACCATTCGCTACTTTTGCGATCTTGCGCGGCGGCCGCAACTGCTCGATTCGTCGGGCACCGATGAAAGCGAGGCGGGATATTGGGATGTGCATCTGAAGCTCGACATGACTACGGGGTGCGGGGGGAAGATTTGGCCTGCTGCCGAGGTGCTTGGAGCGTACATTGCTGCCAAGTACTCGTCACCCGCCGCAGCAGCCGGAGCGCAGCAGCAAGAGCAGCAGGAAGATTTCAACAACCACGGTTGGGATTGGAGGGGAAAGACGGTGCTCGAGCTGGGGTCGGGGACGGGACTGGTGGGCTTTCTCGTGCATGCCATGCAGCTGCAAGCAAAGGTATACGTGACGGATCAAGATGCAATGCTTGCACTCATGCGCGATAACCTCGCACTCAACTTCCCCACCACCTCGGCCACCACCGCGTGCGCCGCGGATGGACGAGGCGAGTTGGTGGTGGCAGAACTCGATTGGGGCTCGCCCATCCCCGCTTCGATCCCCGCACCAGACGTGCTGCTGCTGGCAGACTGCGTGTATTTGGAAGTGGCCTTCCAGCCGCTCATCGATACCATGCAAGCACTGTCGACGAGTCAGACCGAGATTTTGTTTTGCTACCAGAAACGTCGCAAGGCAGACAAGCGATTCTTTGGCCTGCTGCGCAAGAAGTTCGTCTTTGCCGACGTCACCGACGACGATCCCGTGCGCACAGTGGAATACCGTAGACAGGGCACACAGCTCCTACGCATTCGCAAAAAGTAGCAATCCCCAAACCCCTCTTCCTCTCTCAACCCATTCGTTGTGGAAACGTTTGCATTGAAACGAGTTAGGCTATGATGCAGCACTCGCTTGGGGCTCGATCCGACTGTTGCTCGCCCGACGCTGGTGCGGACGAGCTGAGTGAGCGGATGGAGAATCCGCTTGCTGAGCGTGTGGTTTGTGCTGGCTCGGATGGTTCGAGTGCGACGGTGCCGGAAGTGCGGCCTGCAGCCCTTACACGCATGCGCGAACGCTTACCCAACGTACCACCATCGTACTTTGCCGCCACCCCCGGTGTGCCATCCGCCTCGGCTTCGGGCGTCGAGAACTTGCTGTGGATATCGCGTGCCGCCTGTGCAAATGCCTCGTGCACATTGTGCCCCGTCTTGGCACTCGCTTCTACGAACAACAATCCATGCTCCTGCGCAAACTGTCGTGCCTCGGCCGTGCTCACCTCGCGCTTCTTGCCCTTGCTCCGTCTGCGATCGATCCTTGCCCTGCGCGTATCCTGCGCTGCCTCGTCTTGTGAAGTCGCACCCCCATCTGTGGGTACGTCGTCTTCGTGCTCGACCAGATCGTACATGTTTCCAACCAGCACGATGCTCACCTTGTCCTCGGCATGCGATCGCACATCTTCAAGCCACCCTTTGACGTTGAGGAAGCTCGGACGGTGCGTAATGTCGTACACGAGCAGCGCGCCTGCTGCGCCGCGGTAGTAGGATCGCGTGATGGAGCGGAACGACTCCGACCCCGCCGTATCCCACACCTGCACCTTGACGGTCTCGCCATTGTCGAGGCGGATGAGATGCGAGCCAAACTCGACGCCGATGGTGGGATCCGGATCGGCAAGGAACCGGTCGTCCGTCAGACGCACGAGCAGCGACGACTTGCCCACGGACGAGTCGCCGATGAGGATAAACTTGAGGATGTAGTCCCACCCCGACGATGGAGGCGCGGTGCTTGCGCCGGCAGCCGATGGCGACGAGGTGTAGCTGCCAGATGGAATCCGGATAGGCGCCATGGCGAAAGCAGCAGCACGGTAGATGGCGAGCGCAGATGGTGGCAGCCAGCAACGACAGAGCGGATGGCAAGTCATAAGTAGGCTGATATCGCCTCGCCCTCGCCTCGGCTCGCGCCAAGTCGGCCCCCCAAAAAAGGGTTCGTCTCCCCACGCGCCTCTCTCTCTCAAGGCCTTGTTCGAATGGAGCGCGCCTGGGGGGATGTGCCTGAAAATCCCGCCTCCCCGCTGCCATGCGTGAAAGTGGAGGCCATCCTCCGCACCCACGAGCCATGTCAAATGTAACTTACACACACACACACTCCGCCTCGAGCCAAGTACGACTACACATTGCGGCTACAATACAATGGCGCTGAGCTGCTTATACGGCTGCAGTCGGACGATACTTTTCCTGCTTGCTCGGACTCTGCGGTGCATCGCCGCCTCCCGTGCCCAGCGCAGGCGAAGCGACGAGCGGCGCACCGCGTGCATTGTGATGCAGCTGCGCCTGGTGCTGCTGTGCCGACGTCACTCCAGGGCTGGCGTGCGCCAGATCAAACAATCCGCCTCCATTGCTCGTCGGCACCCCATTGACGCCGCTCGCCTTGCCGTTGCCAACCACGCCATTCACCCCGGACGCCGTGGCGGCAAACGAGTAGCTCGCCGACATGGCCATGCTCCCATCCAGCCACTCGGGCTTCTTGACCAGCTTGTCGCGGCTGCGTGGCGGCGATCCGATCCCACCCGTCCAGCCCGCGTCGCGCGCCGCGTCAAAGTAGCCCATCTCGCTGAAAAAGTCCCACACCTTGCCCAGCTTGTTCACGTCGATCTTGATGAGCGCGCGGCACTCGCGGCGCGTGAGCTTGCCGCCGCGCGCGATAAACTCGGCGATCAGCGTCGACTTGATCACCAGGAACGGCTGCGGCAGGATGCGCAGCGCAGAGCACAGCTGCACCTCGGCCGGCGTCAGCAGGTTCAGCGACGGCGCCTTGGCCAGGTTCAGCGGCTGCGGCGGCTTGCGCGGCGTCTTGGGCTCGTCGCTCCCATTGGCGCCGCTGCCCGCCTTCTTGGCCTTGCCCTCCTTGTCCTTGTCGCCCTTGTCCTTCTTGCCCTCCTTGCCGTTCGCCGCAGCTCCGCCACTCGCGCCTGCTGCTGCCGCTGCCGCTGCCGCTGCTGCTGTCGTGGCGGTGTCGTCGTGCGGCGTCGGCGTGCTCGTCTCGCGCTGTCGTGCGCGCGCCGCGTCGATCCTGGGCCGCGCCGATGCCGCCACGGGCGTCGCTGCCGCACCGGACGCCGGGAAGGCGGCGAGACCGCCCGCTGCGAGCTCGGCGGCCTTGCGTGCGCGTTCGGTCTTTTCGCGCTCGTACGTGCTGGCGTCTTCGAGCGTGAGGATGCCCATCTTGCGGTAGTGCTGCAGCTGCGCCGCCGCCTTGCGCAGCGCCTCCTCGTAGCACAGCCCGTTGAGGAAGTCCTCGTAGTCGAGCGCCGTCTGCATCTGCGCAAAGTGCTTGGTCCTCGAGAGCAGCTCGCGCTCCTCCTTGGGCCGCCGCCGCTCCGCCGCCTGGTTGCGCCGGTAGTCGACCAGATTGCGCTCAAACATAAAGTGTTTGCGCCGCAGTCGTCGGTCCAGCCGCTCGTTGTACATGTCGATCACCGTGAGCTTGAGAGACAGGTCCGTCGGATCCTCGTCCCAGTCGAACGGCTTGTCCTCCGGCTCGGCGTCCTTGTCCTTGTCTTTGTCCTTGTCCTTGGCATCCGCCGCCGCCGCTTGCTGTTGCTGCTGCTGCTGCTGCTGCTGCTGCTGCTCTTCGGCGTCTTCGTCGGCGTTGCCCTCCTTGTCCGCATCGGCTTCGGCATTCTGGGTGGCCTTTTTGCTGGTGGGGCCTCCGCGTCCGCTCGCCTCCATGCGTGCGTGGCCCTGCGTCGCCTTGCTGCCCAGCGCCTCCCATTCCGACGGCATGTCGGCGCCGCCAAAATCGTACACGCGGCCGAACTCCATATCCTTGATCAGGTGTTCTGCGTCCTGCTCGTACTCGTGCTCAAACTCCAGACGGCCGGGCATGAAGCCGGCGAGCTCGCTGTGGTTGGTGGGCGCACTCACCAGCGGCTTGGCCGACTTGGGCGGCGAGTACGACGCCTGGGCTTCGCGCAGCGTCTCGACGCGCCGCCGCTTGCGCCGCTGGAACTCGTCCTGCGATATCGACGGTGTGAACGCCATCGAGGGGCCCACCACGGGCGGCTCCTGCGTGGTGAGCTGGCACGCCACGCGGCTTCCCGTGCCTTCGTCGTCTACGAGCGGGTCAAACACGGGTAGCGCCACTCGCTGGTATCGCTCGAGCGCTTGCTGCGCTCGCTGATCGCCCTTTTCGCCGCCATCGCGGCCCTCGACATAGACGCTGAGGTAGTGTTGCTGCACCTCTTCCTTGGTGCGGTTGCCGATGTGGTCGGCAATGTCGGCCCAGTTGCCGAGGCCGTAAGTCTGGCAGCCGTCGATGAGGAGCAGCTCCTCGTCGGCGCCCCAGTCGTCGCAAAAGATGGGGTACGAGTGCTGCTCGACCACGCGGTAGTCGTGCCACGCCTTGTGCTTGCCCGGCTGCGCGCCGGAGCAGAAGCACGATGCGCACAGGTCAAAGTCGGTGCAGCCGCCCGCACACCGGATGCGCACCGTGAGCGTAATGTCGGCGCCGCATGCATCGCAGTGGTAACGAACGCCCGGCTCGGCGGCGGCGGTGGTGGAGCCGTCTTCGGACTTGGGCGTAGGCTTGTTCTTGCGGTGGCTCACCGTCATGATGATGGGCGGTCGGGGTGTAGACGGCCAGCCGCTCAGCCGATGTGCGACGCAAGACCGATGTCGTCAAAGTCCAACACGACGACGGCGGCGCGCCGTGTGGGAGCAGGCACCGCCGCGAGGACCGAGGAGGAAGAGGACCGGCTGTGTCGCTACTTTACGATGTCAAGTCGCTGCTGAAGTAGGTGCCAATGTGTGATTGCGCGCCGACGACGTTGACGAGGCGTGACCGAGGCGACTTGGGCGAGGATATGACGGAGCGCGGTGTTTGTTGCACGATGCCGGACCGAGCTCGAAGCGAACGAATGTGAGAGCGGACGACGCGCCCAAAGTGGGGCAGAAGTTGGAAATTGAAGGCACTAGAGCAGTGCTAGCTCTCTCGGCCGTGATGCGCAGATTGCATGCGCTCGTTTGAGCTGGTTGCGGCGTCGAGACTAGCCGAAATAGGTATGAGGATGCAGCCTGGGATGCCGAGGATGCGAAGAGCGCAGGAAAGATGAGGTGCACTCGAGAGAGATGGCGCGCTATGCCAAGGGGCAAAGCTGGGGGAGATGGGTGCGAGAGATGGCGGTGGGCGAAAAGGTCGCGCGACGAGACGGTGTTGTGTGGCCTTTTTCGCCTGGCGTTGCTTTGCTTTTGGCGGCCGGCGCGTCTCTCTCGTGAGCCTCGAGTCTGAATCCCAACCGCGCGCCTCACTAACTCAGCGATCGGGATGTCGTCTCGATTCGATGCGCAATTTGGCCAATTCATTCGCACGAATGAAGATCGATGCCAAATTGCTCGGAACTCGGCTGTTTTTAGTCAAGGGTGCAGGAACGCCGCCGCTGAGTTTTTTCTTGGGAGTTGTGTGGAGAGGAGGCCAAATCTTCCCCTCACCTTCCCCTTTCGCCAACCGTCATCCCGACCCTTCACGACATCGGACACAGCTTCTGCCAGCCATGCCAAAGGCGTCAGCTTCTCCGGCCAAGCGCGTCGCTTCGGCGTCCGCATCCACCTCCACGCCGTCGCCAGCCAGCAGCGCCAAGTCCAACAAGGCCAAGCCAGCTCCTCGACCGCCATCCCCTTCCGATGAAGACGAGGAGGAGGAGGAAGAGGAGGACTCTGAAGCCGAGGCTGCAACAGCCAGCGCAAGTGATCATGAAAGCGAAGACGAGAGTCAAGGCGGTGCGAGCGGGAGCGGCAGCGATTCGGATCATGACGAAGACGCCACAGCAGCCGCACCAGATGAGGCCGAGCAGGACGAAAAGAAGGTGGCCACGCTCGCCGAAGACGGCAAAAAGGTGACCTTCGCCGACCTCGGTGTGATCCCGCAGATTGTCGAGGCGTGTACCAACATGGGCTTCCAACATCCCACGCCCATCCAGGTCAAGGCGATTCCCGAGGCGCTCCAGGCGCGCGACGTCATCGGTCTCGCCCAGACCGGTTCGGGCAAGACGGCGGCGTTCACCATCCCGATCCTCCAGGCGCTGTGGGACAATCCCAAGCCGTTCTTCGCGTGCGTCCTCGCGCCCACGCGTGAGCTCGCCTATCAGATTTCGCAGCAGGTCGAGGCGCTCGGCTCCACCATCGGCGTGCGCTCGGCAACCATCGTGGGAGGCATGGACATGATGTCGCAGTCCATCGCGCTCTCCAAGCGGCCACACGTCATCGTCGCCACCCCTGGTCGTCTGCAGGACCACCTCGAAAACACAAAGGGCTTCAGCCTGCGCGGGCTGCAGTACCTCGTGATGGACGAAGCCGATCGACTGCTCGACATGGACTTTGGACCCATCATCGACAAGCTGCTCCAGTCCATCCCGCGCGAGAGGCGCACCATGCTCTTCAGCGCCACCATGACCACCAAAGTGGCCAAGCTGCAGCGTGCGTCGCTCAAGAACCCCGTGCGCGTCGAGGTGGACACCAAGTACACCACCGTCTCGACGCTCAAGCAGCACTACCTCTTTATGCCGTTTGCGCACAAGGACACCTACCTCGTCCACCTCGCCAACGAGCAGGCGGGCCACTCGATCATCGTGTTTACGCGCACCGTGCACGACTCGCAGCGCCTCTCGATCCTGCTGCGTCTGCTCGGCTTCCCCGCCATCCCGCTCCACGGCCAGCTGAGCCAGCAGGCGCGTCTGGGCGCGCTCAACAAGTTCAAGACGGGCGGTCGCTCCATCCTCGTCGCCACCGACGTCGCCTCGCGCGGCCTCGACATCCCCGCCGTCGACCTGGTGGTCAACTACGACATTCCCACCAATTCCAAGGACTACATCCACCGCGTCGGCCGTACCGCACGTGCCGGCCGCTCCGGCCGCTCCGTCACGCTCGTGACGCAGTACGACGTCGAGCTGCTCCAGCGCATCGAGGCGGTCATTGCGCTCAAGATGACCGAGTTCCCCGGCGGCAACGACAAGGAGGCCGTCATGCTGCTCAGCGAGCGCGTCGCCGAGGCGCACCGCGCCGCCGTGCGCGAGCTCAAGGATAAAGGCGTAGGTAGCGCAGGCGGCTCGGGCAAGCGAAAGAGAAAGATGGATGGGCGACACGCCGACGACATGGACCGCGACGACGACCATGTGCAGGCGGGCATGCCCGTCTCGGGCAACGGCAGGCACCAGAACCTCAACCGCAAAAAGGGCCGGCGCTGAGCTGGCGTATGCGTCCAAGCATGTGTATTTGTATCCCAGTCGCACCTTCCTAGACATTGTTCGCTCTTGTGCACATCGATCGAGTCGCAAGTCGTGTGAGTGTGAGAAGGCTGCGAGCATGAGAATTCGGGACTCGGCCTCCACACTACAGACCCTGAGTGAAGTTTTGAGGCCGTGCCAAATTTTACCCGCCCGCCGAGGGTGTCAGCTTGCCACCACCTCTCTCACCCACCTTGGTTGTTGCGGGCGTGCAACGATGGTGGCGGCATCCACGACTGAATGCGGCGAGTGCTCGGCTGCGGCCAAGTACACGTGTCCCGCGTGCGGCGTGCGCACCTGCTCGCTCGCATGCACCAAGGCTCACAAGACCGACACCGCCAAGCATCCGTGCGGTTCCAGCGCAGCCACACATGCCAACGGCCCAAGCACCAGCTCTGTCGCCAAAAAGGATGCGAGCACGACCGGAGGTTACGTTTCCATGTCCGAGTACGGCGAGACGCACATGATGCAGGACTACCTCTTTCTCTCGGCCATTTCACGCACCACCGCCGAAGCGGGGCGTCGCATCGTCGACATGAAGCTCCTCCCACCTTCCGCCGCCGCTGCTGGTGCTGGGGGGAACGAATCAAGGGCCGCCGCGGGACCGACGCAGCAGAGGGGGATGACGAATGCGCAGCGCCAGCGCGAGCAGCTACTCAAGCAACTCCACTACCGCCGGCTGCGCGTCATGGTGCTACCGGACGGCATGGCGCGTCGCAAACGCAACCAGTCGGGCTTCAACCCCAAGTCGAAGCGCTTCGAACTCAGCGCGCTGCTGCGTCTTCCTCTTCATCTCGACGCGCATGCCAAGGGCAAGGCGAAAGCCGACGCGCACGAGGCCGCGCAAAACGGTAACGACGAGAGGGAGAGCGAAGGGTGGATGGTGCATCGACAGGACGCCGAGCGCAACGTGGCCGACGTGGTGCTGGCCGAACTCGAACGCCGCTCGTTTGCAAGTCGCAAGGAAACGCTCAAGGCGAAAGACGCGCTCGGTGTTGCGCACAAGTCGTGGCTCGTGGCGGTAACAGTGTTGGAGACGGCGCGGTTGGTGGTGCCGTCAGCGCGGCGGTGTGCATGGGCGGATCAGCAGTGGGTGGCGTTGGATGCATGGCCGAGCGAATGGGTAGTGCATGTACCCGCCTACTCTGCGCGGCTTACCAACGAGAGCACCACGCGCTATCTCGACTGGTGGACACGCAAGCGGCGGTGGGAGGAGGCGAATCCGGAGCTTGCAGCCGAGCAGAAGCTCCAAGCATCTCGACCGCGCCACGACAGCCCACCGTCCGCACCGCAGCCGGAACCGTTGGAGCCACGGATAATGGAACCGCCAGTGGGGGAGGGGATTGTGTCCGGTAGCTTGCTCTCGATGCTCTCGCAGCGTTTGGGTCGTGCGCCTCCTGAAGCCGGCCCAGCCTCACCTGCGCCCGCGCAAGAAGTGGAGCCAAAGGAGGAGGACAAGGCGGCACAAGCCATCACGGCACGCATCTGTGCTCCGGATACGATGACACTTACGGCGCTGCTCGAGCAGCTACCCGAGGGATATGCGGTGGTCGAGTTTCCCGAACTGCGCGTCGTGCCCACCGCCCACCCGGCGCCACACGCTGTCGATCTCACCCCGCGCCAGCAGCCAGCGACACAGCAACACGCACAGCCACGCGCGACTCGAGCGGTTGCCGTGGGCGCCAAACCACTAGGTGCACTGCTGGCGAGCTACGATTCGGACTCGAATGATGACGATGGTGACGACGATCATACTCACGCACAGCCAGACGCACACACGGACAAGTTCGAGACACACGATTGGGAGGGCGGGGCTTCGCTGGCGGCGCTCGCATCGGTGCATGGCTTTGTACAACCCACGTCGTGAAAAAATGAACAACATTGCGCGGGCTAGGAAGGCGACGAGTGCGGCATGGGCGAGCGAGGTGAGCAGGGAGGGTGTTGCGAGGCGCGGGTCGGCGACGTGCGCCACAGCAGGGCTACGCTTCAGGCGGCCATGAATGCAAGGATTGCGACGTGTGCGGACGAGACGAGCAGGGAGAATTTGCGGACGAGGACCAGGAGCCTGCATGCGCACGACGAGGGTATGAGCAGCGCTCGCAGAGGAGAGAGCCGCCAATAAAGTGCGACAGGCCTCAGATCACGGCTCTGTGCAAAAGCACGGCATCGTAGAATGGACCTTGCACGGCTGTGAATGCGAGCGATGCGACGTGAGAAGCTGCGGTTGGCAGGGCGAGGGCGGGTAGCACGCCTTGATTGGGGTTGCGTAGGAGCAATGCGGGGAAAAGACGCAGGGGGCGCGACTTACGTCAGTGCACGGGTGTGTGCGATGGGCGACCACGAAAGCGAGGTGTGCGGCGTGTGCAGAGCGATGATGCACTAGTGCGGCGCGTGTTTGTGGCCGGCGTCAGGAGGGGGAAGGCGGATAGGCTCTGGGTGACGGGGAGGCGTCAAACGCCGTCGCAAGACCACGCTTCAGGCGGCCAAGAACGCAAGCAGCGCGACGTGGGCAGCTGCGGTGGTGAGCGCGACCGTGCGCCTATGCGGGGCATGCGTCACTGCCGCCACCAGATCCACCAGCGCTAGCAGCACGAGCGTTGCGAGAGCCACAACCACGCTGGGCCTTGGGGCAGATACGACGAGAGCGGGCGAGAGGCACTTGACCAACGCCACGCCGATGTGCAGCGCTTCGGGAGGAAGCATCTCCCACGACGTGCTGCGACTGAGATGCTGTGGATCGCCGGGGGTGTGTGCGGGTAGCGGGGGAAGAGCGGCTGGTCGATGCAGGGCGAGCGAGACGCGTGCACGATGGTCATCGCTCGGCGTACGCTCTCGCTTGGCCTTTGCTGCGTGCTGTGCCTCGTCGAGGACGCGCAGGACATCCTTGCAGCTCGGCCTGCGCACGGGATCGCGCTCCAGCAAGCTCTCGAGCAGTCCAAGCAGCCTGTCATCGCGTCGTCCTGCCGCATCGCACGCTGCACGATCGAAGCCGCCATACGCCATCATCTCGGCCCTCAACCTGTCCACATCGGTATGCTTGTACGGCAGCCTGAAAAACAGCAGCAGATGCAGTACCACCCCCAACGACCACATGTCCGCCTTGCTGCTCAGCTCGGCCAGCCGCCCACCGGCATCGGCAAAGACGGCTTCGGGTGCCATGTACTCCATGGTGCCCGTGTGGCCGGAGCGCGTGCGCGTCCAGCTGTCGTGCAGCAGCAGCGACGAGCCAAAGTCGCTCAGCAGCGCGCGCGGCACGAGCGAGTCGTCGTCCCAGTGCAACAGCACATTGCCCGGCTTGATGTCGAGGTGCAAGATGCCACGCTCGTGCAGGAAGCCCAGACCGGAGGCCATGTCGTGCAGCAGACTGTAGATCTCTTCCTCGCGCAGGAGGTGCACGCCCACGCCTGCGCTGGAGGCCCCATCGACAGACGACGCAGATGCAGCAGAAGTGGTGGGATGGTCGGCGCTAGTAGCATCGTCGGCGCTCACTTTGCGATTCGCCCGGCGCTGGCGCAACGCCGCTTTGAGCCGCTCGATCTTGCGCCGATCAGACGCCGTATCATCGGCGCGCCCTGTCGTCTGTTGCGGCTCCGTGGCGGAGGCGGTGTGGGCATCGGCATCACTGGGCGAGTCGAGCTGCTCGGCGGCAGCGGCGGCGTCACCGGCGCGCGCCGAAATCCAGTCCGCCAGACTGCCGCCGTTGGCCGCCATCATGAGCACAAACAGCGTGGGCACGGTGGGACCAAACTGCGTGAGCTGGCAGCGCTCGATCCACGCATGCTGGTAGTGGATGAGGTGCGGATGGTGGAGCGACTCCATGAGGTGCACCTCGTTGAGGCTGTGCAGCAGGCTCTGCGCGTGGTCGCCCACGGGGATCTTTTTGATGGCGTACTTTGCCAGCTTGTTGCCGTTGAGCACGTGCTGGCACAGATACACTGTACCGCGCGCCCCGCGGCCCAGCCGCTTGAGCTCCACAAAGAAGCGTGCATAGTAGCCCTGCGCCTCGGCGTCGTGCTGCAGCGGCTCGGACGGCGTGCATGTGCCCGAAGCGGCGACGGGCGTCGACGAGCCGGACGCCGACTCGAAGCGGTTGCGCAGCAGGCTCGGCGTGTCGGGCCGCGTCGTGTAGCCGCTGGCGCCCGTCGAGGTGGCCTGCGCCAGCAGACGAAAGTAGTTGGGCGCGATGTACGACGGCGCCTCGCGGTCGTACTCGGCGCGGTTGTACTCGGCCTCGTTTTCAAACTCTGCACCGAGTGGTTCTGCCGGATTGACAGGCCAGGGCCGTGCACACGTCGGGCAGACCGAATCGAGCTGCGGACTGGGAAGCGGCGACGGCCGGCGGAAGCGCTGCAAGACCGTCTGCGGAGTGGTCTGGGAGCGATGGCGAACCAGTGGCGCTTGGGCCCCAGCTGGCTCTGTGGGGTCGGGCGGCGGCCACTTTTGCAGCGAGAGCTCGTTGGATGCCGGGTCGTAGTAGGCGGCGTGCTCGCGCGTGCGTAGGATGATCTGCAGATCGCTCGCGCGCGGCGCGGGCACCAGATCGCGACTCGACGAGCTTTGCGCGGGTGTTGAGCTGTCGATGATGCTCGAGGTCACCCAGGTTGCATCCGACGACCGGAGAGGAGACGGACGATGCTGCGCCGACATGGTGCTTCAAATTTGAGTGGCTTGGGTAGGAGCGGATTCTGGCATGGTCCAGGAACCAGCACGCTGCGGCTTCGGTAGGGTAACGGAGGATGCAGCCCCGCCGATGGTGCTGACGAGAGAAGGGTGCGGCGGTGGGGGGAAGGTGAAGTGGTGGCAAGGAGCACAGTTGGGTGGCCCAAGCACGGCATTATAATATGCGCGCCCCACCACCGGTTGCAGAGACAAAGCTCGCAATTCAGGGTCCATTCGGCCCGAATCATTGCGGCACAAATTCGAGTCCATCCCGTATCCATAAGTTACTCTGGCTGTTGGATGCGCACGGCGTCCTTGAGCCCATCTTCTGCTGCAACATGATCGCGCCGTTCCTCGCTCAACTGAAGCAGTACTCTACTTGTGCATCAAAGAATGAGCTCAACAGCCAGTGAGGTAGATCAGGTGCACAGGCAAACATGTTGTGGTGCAGAACTTCGTATACACAGATGCCATATGAAATTGAGTTGTCACAGCGACGGCCAAGGTGCAACATCCGGCCAAGGTGCAACATGTCTCGCTCAAACAAAGCAGTATCCGTTGAGCTCAGAGACGGGCTGCTCGAGTGTGTGAATGGCAACAAGACGTCTGTGGCTGCAGCAGCAAGTCGTCTCATGAGGCCGCCATGACAGAGACGCGGGCACGCGCCTCTAGACCACCTTGTTGAAATGGAAAGAAGCAGTTGAAATTGCGACACAAGATCCTGCGAGAGGGACTGTACGTGGCGGTCGGAATGAAGGCGAGCGGGGCGTCGTTACTTGAGGCTGATGGTAACGCTGGCCAAGGTGCCGGGGAGTTCCTGGGAGCCCTGGGCCAACAAAAAGTAGACGCTGCCAGCGCTGACCAGCACGAGCAACACCACGCTCGAGGCCAGCAGCATGAACTCTGCCGAGACGTCCTTCTTCTCGCACGCCGCGCCGGCCCAGTAGGTCTTTTTGCCCTTGCGCACCTCGGTGGGCGTGCACTTGCAGCGCCAGCACGCACGGCCGCCCTTGGACGACTTGACGCCCTTGCCGTGGCCCGAGCAGCTGTTGGTGGCCTTTTCGAGCTCCGACTGCGAGCCGAAGCACGTACCGGCGAGGTCCTTGGGCAGCGGCGACGGTTTCGACTTTTTAGCCGTCGACGCAAGCACGTCGCTCGGACGCAGAGCCGCACCGTGGGACAGCTCCGAGGTGCGCGCCAGGAACGGCGCCAACAGGTCCGAGCCGGAGCGCTTCACCAGCTGCTGCTCCGTGTCGGTATCGGTGACGACAAAGGCGATCGAAGGCACACGGCCGTGCTCTTCGGATCGTGCCTGGAAGAGCGCAGTGACACGCTCGATCGCCTCGCGCACCAGCTGCTTGGCGCGCGCCAACTCGACGCTCTGCGTGCCGTAGGTAGCTTCGACGTCGCCGAGCGCCGAGAATCGCAGCGGCTGCATCGAGAGCTCGTCGGCCGAGTCGTTGGCGCGCGTCGCCTGCATCTTGGCCACGAGCGCCTCGGCGGCTCGCAGCTCGTGCTCGAGCTTGGCAAACGCGTCCGAGCCGAACGCCGCGGCGTGGTGCGACCAGCGTGTGGCGGCCGTGTCGGCGTGCGAAGTGAGCCAGTCGATGCTGGCGGTAAAGCCGTCGAGGAAGGTGCCTGCGAGGTGCGAGAAGGCCGACTCGGACGACTTGAGCGTGTTCGAGACGCTGCCGAGGTAGCTGTCGAAGAGCGCATCGAACGAGGTGGAGCTCGGCGCACCCTCGATGCTGTGCGTCGCACCGACACTGGCAGGAATCACGTCTGTCACAAAGGAGCAAAGAGGGTCAGTCGCGGCATTCTAGCGAGCGCAATACGTCAAAGGGCTTGCGACGTACCCTGGTGTGCAGTGCCGTGCATGAGCACGAGGAGACGGTTGTGCTCGTCCTTGTGTCCGTCAAAGAGGCGCTCGACGCCAGCGCGGTTGTCGACCTTGGCGTGTGCCGCGCCCATATCGAGCATCTGCCACACATCCTTTGCATCCTGGTACGACGCATGGTCGTGCGCATGCTGCTCGACGTGCATGTGGTGTGAGAGGATGCGATGCGCCTGGTTGGCATCGATGTCGACGCGCGCATCGGGCGTCGTGGCGGGCGAAAGGTAGAGGCTGGTCTTGGCCGAAGCGCCGCTCACGGCAGCGGAGGCGATGCACGCCAACGAAGCGAGTGATGTCGCCGAGATGCGCACCATGGTGACGATGTGTGTGCAAGCGTACGGTAAGATGAGGTGCAGGTGGAAAGGCAAAGGTGTGACGATGGCGGGCGCGCGTGTGCCTTCTCTCTCTCTCTCTCTCTACCCCTGCGTCTCCGCTGCGTCTCCACTGCCTCTCCACTGCATCGCCGCTCCTCAGCCAGTCCGTGCGGCGACGAATTTCGCTTCGACTCGACTCGAGGCGGCTCGGGCTCAGCTTTGGCTCCGTGCAATTTCGGGAGATGTTAGATCGCCTTCACACCATCTCAGACCGGAAGAAGTTGATCTCGGGTCCCAAACTCGGGCGAAAGGTGCCCGGACTCCAGTCACGAAGCTGAAACTGTTTACATCAACAGTCGAGGGACGCACTCATGACATGGGGCGACGACAGAGGTTCATCATCGGCACTGAGGCTGATCAAGAGTGCCTTAGAGCCTCCAAGCAAGCCGCAAAGCTACATCTGAAACCGATGAGTGGTGTTTTCCTGAGACAGAGGGCGATGCAGAGGCTCGCCCTTGACAAAGAGACACCGAAGAGCCTCGAAACCAAGCCGCAGAGCCACCTCGTAAGGGATGCCTTCCTACAGAGGCTGCAGCCCTTGACCACAGACCACAACCCTCGACCACAGACCTTCGGAATACCGCCTGTTACCCTCTGCGGCATTCTCACCGATCTCCCCACATTGCGATGAGTCAGGCATGATGTCGCGAGAAAGCAGTCGGCATTGCGGTGAATCCAAGCACACGACCGAGTGGAATTCAGGAAAAAGAGAGTGGTATGATGGCGAAAACAAACGAGAAATGAGCGCAAACTGGGAGGTCGACTAGGAAGCGTACGGCGGGCTGATGGGGGCTGCGGTGGTGACGATGCTGGCGGTCTTGGCGGCGCGCGCACTGTCGGGGCCGAGCAGACTCGCGTCCTGGTCCTCGCCCACCTTGAGCGAGTCGAGGATGGCGACGGCGCTGGTGCCGTTAGTGCCGTTGGAGCTGCCCAGCATGGGTCCACGACGCGACTCGCGGCGGTGCGCACGACGACCCTCGACGTCAGCCGCGCCCGCAGCACTGTCGTGGCTCAAGCCATTGGTGTGCTTGGCCGATACGGGCGAGGCGGTGCCGAGCGCCTCGCGAAGCTCATTGACACCCGTCGAGGCGACCTGCATACTCAGCCTGCCTCCGCGCGAAAGCGAGGCCGACGAAGCATTGCTGCCATTGACAAGCGATGCCCCACCGACAGCCAGACCGTTGACCGGCGTCACCGACGGACGACGCGACGGCTGCTGCGACGCCGAAGCGACGGACGAGCTGGCGTACGGGTTGGAGGCATTGAACGCCTCGTCGACCGCCATGGTGACGTTCCAATCGCGCTCGAGCCATCGCCTGAGCACGCCCGCATCGAGCTGCGTAGCCGACTGCAGCTTGGCGCTCGAGGCAAGCCCACCGACAACCGTGCTGGCGTTGAGCGAGGGCGAGCTCGAGCTGCTCGAGTCGCCCGCCGCATTGATGCCACCCACCGCCGAAAAGGGGATCACCTCGGGCGGCAGCGTCAGACCCGCTGCGGGTGACGGACCCGGCTCGACACCCAGCGAGGGCACCTGCGCCAGCACGCTCTCGGCGGCCTTGGCGATGGCGGGCACGTCAAACGTCTCGCCGAGCTTGGCCCACACGCGCGCGGCGAGCATGCGCGACGCGACGCGACGCTGGTTCTCGAGCCCCGTGCTGGCCGAGGCAGCATTGACCACCAGACGGCTGCCTGCATCGCGGTCGAGCGCGACGAGCATGGGCGTGAGCGCGAGCGCTGCACTGCACGGCAGCGCGCTCACAAGGTGCTCGAGCGCCTGCGACACGGCGACATAGTCGACGGGCAGCGCCGCCATCGACTCGGCATCCGACGCGCTCGACACGCCGCTGTTGAGCGAGCCGGGCCGCCCGGGGTCGGCGTTGATGCGGTCCAGATGCGGCAGCGCCTCGAGCGGCGACTCACGCAGGTTGGCCACCACCTGCGCGGGCGGCGAGAGCGTCTTGCCGAGGCACATGACGTGCACCGCCGCGCCGAGCGCGTGCACCAGACCAATGTCGTCGCCCACGCGCTCGCCGATGGGCGCCGCAGCAAACACCGAGGCGCTCGAGTCCAACGGCTCGCGGTCCAGCTCGTCGCGGAAGAGCGTGATGAGCGTCTGCGCATACGCCAGACGCACCGCGTGGTTGGGCGAGGCGAGCAGGCTGGCGGTGGGCAAAAGCGACGAAGGCGAGACGCGGTTGCGCGTACCCGCGCGCGCCAGGCCGAGCTTGGTCTCTGCGTTGGCCGCCTTGCCCTTGGCATCGGCGTCGCGCTGCTGCGCTGGGGCATCGACGGGCTTGTGGATCTCGCCGCTCGAGTGGTGGGTGGCGCGGAGGACGCCCTGGAGGCAGAAGAGGAGCACGCGGATGCTCTCGTCGCGCTGTTCGGGCCCTGCGTTGGCGAGGCGCTGGCGGTGGATGTGGTTGTTGAGGTCGAGCTGCTGTCCGCGGCCGAGCTGGCCGAGGTTGTTGGGCTTGAGCGAGGCGGCGTCGGCGCTGGTGTTGGCGTCGGGCATCTGGAGCGCGGCGATGCGTGCGGCGATCTCGTCGACAATGTCGTTGATCTGGTCTGCGTAGTAGACGTGCGTGCCGAGGCCGCTGATGCAGTCGACCAAGGGTGGGAGGAGCGAGTCGCGCGTGTCGCGGTACACCCTGCGCACGGCGAGCGCCGAGAGGTTGGTGAGCGTGTCGGAGGTGCTGAGGCCGATGAGGCTGAGCTGTGCGGTGAGGATGGTGCGCGCCATGTGGATGAGCGAGAGGTGCTTGGAGGTGGCGGTGCCCTCGCAGGACTCGACGAGGTGGGCGACGAGCGTGTCGAGCACGACGAAGCGGTACTGGAGCGCGGACCAGGTGCAGAGCGACTGTGCGAGCCAGCAGCACCACTCGGTGTTGTCCCACTGCGAGACTGGGGTGCGGCCGTCGGTGGGGGCGGGGATGGCGAGGGCGGAGTTGGTGTCGAGCCAGAGGATGACGTTGTGCACGACGCTCTGCACCTGGAGCGCGTCTGCGTGGCGGAGGAGGCCGCGGAGGGTGCCGATGGCGGCGGAGGTGACGTCCTCGGAGGAAGGGCCCTTTTCGCCCGCGACGTGCGCCGAGATGGAGCGTACGCGGCGGATGGCGAGCGGCTTCTTGGCGATGTTGAACTCGGCGTAGCTGGGTTCGCCGTCGGAGGCCTTGTTGGCTTCGCTGCGGAGCCAGTCGATGGTGACGCGGTTGGGCTTTGCGTTCTCCACCAGGGCTGGGGTGATGAGCGCGATGAGGTTGGATGCGCTGGACGAGTAGATGGCGTCGGAGCCGACTGCGCCAGCGAGAGCGCCGAGGCCGATGAGGCGGGTGCGGTTGCGCAGCTCTGCGTCTTCGGGCAGGGTTGCGTCTGCAGCGCGTGGACGCTCTACGGCGAGGGCGGCGAAGGAGCGGAGGTTGCGTTGGAAGGCGTCGTCGACGGCGGTGGTGGCGGGGTCGAGGAAGGAGGCGAGGGCGTAGAAGGCGCTTGCGGCGCGTGCGCTGATCTCGAGGTCGCGCGGGCGGGCGGGAGTGGGCTGGGCAGCGTCGAGGGCGGCGGCGATGATGTTGTGCGCGGGCTTGATAAAGTAATTGAGCGAAGATTTGCACTCTGCCAGCAGGTTCTTTGTGATGGCGAGGGTGATCATGAGGCCGGCCTTGGCCTTGTCGGCGGCGACGCCGGAGGCCTTTGCGGAGCGAGCGTCTGCATTTGCCTTGGACTCGAGGAGGCTGCCGACCTTTGTGAGTTTTGCGGGTTTGTTCTGTGCGTAGTAGGTGAGGCGGCCGAGCTCGTTGGAGTTGGGACGGTACTCGGGAGCCGAGGAAGCGAGCGCCTTGGGGGGCGGGTAGCAGTCGTCGACGAGTTTCTTGTGGTTGGATTTGGGGATGCACATGGCGGCGAGGGATGGGATGTGGTGGTGAGGAGGCGGGAAAGGTGGCAGCCAGGCGCACCGAGTATGAGTTGTAGGATGGTGGCGGTGGGGAAGCAAGTGGTAACTCGACCCGCTACTGTAGAGAGCAAAGTGCGCACACAGACGGCGGCTGCCACACGGCTGCCACACACTGCGTCGGCTCGCAGCTGAAAGGAGTGATGCATCGCGAGAGAGAGTGCACGCGCCCACTTTATTCTCGAGGCTTGGCTCTGGCGGAGAACATTCGCGCATCCCGCATTTCGCATTTCGCAGTTGAGAATTCGCATTGGCCGCGTGTTGAAAGCAGTCCATCCGTCATTGCTCGTATAGCGGCTCGGCTCGGTCTGTCTGCACTGCAAATCCTCCTCGCTGCCCAACAGCTAGCTGGCTTCCACTTGCGGGGGCAGCCGCTGCCATCACCGTTGCCGACGCTGTTCATGCTGTCTATGCTGCCCTCGCTCTGCACACCCCACACCGCCATTGCCTTCCATCGCATCGCATTGCATTGCGTTGTTTGCCTCGAGCCTCGAGCCCACAGCGAGCCCCTGCGTGTCGACTGCATGATGAATGGACAAGCCACCGCACGGAACGAGTGCGTGGATGGGGGGCGGCCCAGGCAACGTCGTCCAATTCACCAGAGCCGCAGGTGTGAAAGCGGGGCAAAGCAGCATGTCTCGCTTGCGCCCCGCGTCGTTGGGCTCATTCTGCTTGGTCATGCTTACACCTTTCACCCACACATTCTGACTTTTTGTCCTTCACGACCTAACAAACGAAACCAATTTTTTCACCGGCATTCTTCCGCCGCCCGGACACGTCAGCTGCAGCGGCGGGTTTGCATTTCTTTGGACTCGAAGGTGGAGTGGCTGAGTCGATATGCAAGCAGCATAGTTGGGCATTCGGACCTCCAACCAACACCTCACACACACACACACACACACACACACACACACACACACACACACACAAGGCCACGTCGACCATGCATGCGCCTGCCCACCAGCAACACCCCTAGGCCCCGCCCGCTTGGATATAAGCTCGACGCTCGTACTCCGAATCCTCCCCGCGTCTGTACGACGCACGACATGATGGCCAACCAGCAGCCCGCCTCGTCGCGCGCAGCACCGCGCATCAGGGTGCTAAGGGCGCGCACGTTTTCATCGCTCGTTGTCGTCGTCACGCTCGCTGCGCTCATGCTGCTCGCCGCAGCCACCACCGCTTCCCAAGCACCGTCACGCCCGGCGCTCTTCCGCTCGCCTGCGTCCGACAACTCGCGCGGCGCCGACTTTCTGCAGCAGGTGCTCACCAAGCCCAAGCGCGCACCCACCACCGCCGCAGCAGCAGCGTCCGACTCCATCTGCCGCCCCACCGGCCACATCGAAGACGCCGCGTGCGACTACGAGACGGTCGAGACCATCAACTCGCAGTTCTTTGACCGCCTCGATGCGCTCCGCCGCACCGACTTTTTCAAGTTCTACAAGGTGAACCTCTTCAAGGAGTGTCCCTTTTGGAACGAGAACGGCTTCTGCATGAACCGCGCCTGCAGCGTCGAGACCGAGGACGAGGCAGACATCCCCGAGGAGTTCCGCGTGAAGCGCCTCAGCTCCGTCACCACCGCCGCGCCAGGAGACGTCGCCATGTCCGGTTCGGACTCGAGCTGCTCCTGCTCCTCCACCGAGTTCTGCCACCTCGACGACGACGCCACCAACGACGGCGTGTACGTCGACCTGCTCAAGAATCCCGAACGCTTCACCGGATACGCAGGCGCCAGCGCCAACCGCGTGTGGAAGTCCATCTACGAGGAAAACTGCTTCAACGGCGTCAAGTTCATCGAACCCGCACGACCCACCTCCTCTGGCGGCACAGGCTTCGTCGACAAGTCCATGCTGCACAGCTCGTCGCCCGCGTTGGGTCCAAACGGCGGCTTTGGCGGGCTCGTGTCGTCGCTCCAGGCTCCGCTCGACAGCGGCGACAGCGAACAGTGTCTGGAGAAGCGCGTGTTTTATCGCATCATCTCGGGGCTGCATGCCAGCATCTCGATCCACATCTGCCACGACTTTTTGGACACGTCTACGGGCGAATGGGCGCCGAACCTCGAATGCTTCATCACGCGCATTGCCGAGCATCCCGAGCGCCTGCAGAACGTCTACTTCGACTATGTGCTGCTGCTGCGTGCGCTCTCGCGCCTCGGCGATTCGCGCGACAACTTTTCGCTGCGTGCCGGCGATGCGATCGAGGACGGTGCGGCGGTGGAGCAGCTGGACGAGCTCATCGCCGACGCCCGCGCGTGTCCGACGACGTTCGACGAGGCACAGATGTTCAGCGCCCAGACGCGCGAGTCGCTCGAGCTCAAGAACGAGTTCCGACACCACTTTCGCAACATCTCCACCATCATGGACTGCGTCGGATGCGACAAGTGCAGGCTGTGGGGCAAGCTGCAGGTGCACGGCATCGGCACCGCGCTCAAGCTGCTGTTCAATAGCAACGACGAGCATGGAGCACAGCCGGTGCAGCTCCAAAAGTCGGAGCTCGTTGCGCTCGTCAATGCCGCCCATCGCATCGCAGAGAGTCTGCGTGCGGTGGAGAGGTTCAGGGACATGTATCAGGCGCAGCGTCTTGCTGCGGATGCAGGCCATGCAGCCGTTAATCCACCCGCCAATACCTCGCATCCCGTCCGCAGTGCGCAGCAGCAAGAGGCGACGACGGGCAAGCTGGCGCAGATGGCACAGCTGGTCGAGTGGATCGAACGACAGCTGCACCAGACTATGCAGGCGTGTCGCCGCGAACTCTCGCACTGCCTGCGCGCGCTTGGATTCGCCGCACCCTCGTCTTCCTCCCAACACCCGCAGCATGCAGATTTGTAGCATGGCTTGTTTTTGGCATCAACACTCGGGTTTGCATCTTGTACTTTTACACATCCACACTTGCTCAATGTTTCCAATGCATCTTGAATCGCAACAAAATGGTCGATTACGCTTTGGGAGGAGGCTTGGTGCGCGTGAGCAGCGTGGGTGCACGTTGGGCCAGCACCTTGCGCGCGCCTGCGCCACCGATGTATCCCAACCCGGACCAGACGGTGGTGGCCGCTGTGATCCACATGAGTGCAGCCACTGCGCGGTCGACGAGCCGCTTGGTCGAGTCGTCCTCCTGTTTGGCTGGCACTAGCGGCGGGGGTGGTGAGTTGGGATACAGCAGCGGGTACATGGTAAGGATGCCGAGCAGGAGCAGCTGGAGGAAGGTGTTGTACTTGCTGATCTGCGTCGGCGTCACACTGGCCGACGGCAGACGCGGGTTGAAATAGCGCTGCAGCGTCTTGGGCGGCTGCAGCGTGCGGTATCGGATGACAAACGCCGCCACCACCAGTGCGATATCGCGACCCAGGATCACCGTGGCGATGGGCCAGGGTAGCATGCCGGAGAGTGCGAGCGATACGACCATCGTCGTCACCAGCGCCTTGTCCGCCGCCGGATCCGCAATGCTGCCAAACACCGTGTACTTGCCCGTGCGCCGTGCGAGCCAGCCGTCGAGCACGTCGGTGATCGACGCGACGAACAGCAGCACACATGCGGGCGCGAACTGGTGCGTCGCAACAAGGTACCCAATGTACGGCGTCAGCGCCAGCCGCAACATGGTCAGCACGTTGGGCAGCGTCAAGAGGTCCTCGGACAGCGCCGGCTTTGCTTTTCCGTCGTCCGCACGCGATGGTGGCGGTGGAGGCAGCGAGGAGTCGCAGCGCGAGGGCGTGGACGAGAGGCTTCGCAAGTTCATGGTCCGCCCCAGTATCGATGTCCGGCTCGTTGCCAGCAGGTGCACTGCGCTCGACGAGATGCCGCGCTGTGTCACGATACGAGGAGGCAAAGTGGAGGCCATCGAGAGCGTGTGTGTCGAGAGCATGGCGGCAGCTGGACGCAGCAGTGGCAGAGCAGTACGCCACGCAGGTGCAGCGCTCGTGCAGGCGGCACGCAGCCCGACGGAGCCCAGCATGGTGTGCATGCTCATCAGCGCCTCGATCGCAGAGATGGTGGTGCTCTCCTCCACTATCGGGGCCTCGGCTTTGAGTGCTGAAATGGACCGGGAGAAAAAGCTCGGCTTTCGGACTCAACGCCGCGTTGCTGCTGCACGGCACTCTGTTCTCACCCTCGCCTCACAAGTGGCAACACCTCTTTGCACTCCTGCTCAACTTGGCACCAACTGCTCGGCATGCACGGCGTCAAACGCACGCCCAAGACGGCGACCACCGCCGAGGCACGCGCCGCACGCGCTGCCAAGGACGCCGCCAAGCTGCGCGCCTACCTCGACATCGAGCGCACCTTCTTCGAGCACCGCCAGCAAGCGCGCAACGACGCCACGGCGCTCGCCCACACCACCACGCTGCTCACGCTCAATCCCGAGCTGTACACGGTGTGGAACTATCGCCGCGATATTCTGCTGCACACCTTTACGCAGCCTGTCGACGACGATGCGCCTAGCGAAAAACCGGACGTGTTTGCTGCGCTGCGAACCGATGCTGCGCAATCTAGCACCAGCGCCGACGAGGCGAGGTTGGTGCGCAATCGGCAGCTGCTGGACGACGATTTGAGCCTCACGGAGCATGCGCTGCGTGCGCATCCCAAGGTATACTGGATCTGGAACCACCGCATGTGGTGTCTGCGCCACTATCCTGCGTTGTCCGCCGATCCACAGTGGGCATGGCGACGCGAGCTGCGGCTGGTGGAAAAGATGCTCGAGCTCGACGCACGCAACTTTCACGGCTGGAACTGTCGTCGTGCGATCATCGACCACCTTGCACTTGGCGTCGTCTCGTCGGCTCACCCGCCTGCACTCGCCGGCGTGGAATCGTCGCACGCGTCGCTGACTGCGCTGCTCACGCATCCGGCCATCGTTGCGGCGGAAACAGATGCGGTGAGGGACGTCGAGAAGGAGCTGGTGCGGCTGGCCGAGGCGGAGCTGGCGTATGCGCTGCGTCAGATCGAGCGCAACTTTTCCAACTTTTCGGCGTGGCATTTGCGCTCGCAGCTGCTGCCGTGCGTATGGGCGGCGCAGAGGCTCACGCCGGAGCAGGAGGAGGCGCGCCTCGACAAGGAGCTCGAGCTGGTGCAGCAGGCCATGTACACGGATCCGGCGGATCAGAGCGTGTGGTTCTACCACCGTTGGCTCGTCGATCGCCTTACTACATCGCCACCAGAGGATACGGCGGGGCTATGTGCAAAGCTCGCCAACGAGGTGCGCAGCATCGACGAGCTGCACGAGCTCGAGCCCGACAGCAAGTGGTGCGCCATCAGCCTCGCGCATCTGCACACGCTGCTCGTGCAGCTCGACCCCACACGTGCAGACGAGCACCGCACAAGCGCAAAGCAGCTGCTCGAACGACTCGTCGAGCTGGATCCTGACCGTGCGCAGCGCTACCGTGACTTGCTGGCGGGCCGAGCGCGGTTCTAGCCCACCCAACAATGGCAACCATGTTCACTGTGTGCACGGACGCGGTTGGGATCGCAACGTCGTGAGGAGATACGTGGGAGGACCCGTCAAGCTCAACTCCCATCGTGCGCAGCGGTAGCGTGACCTGCTGGCGGGCCACGCGTGACTCTGAGCCAACGAGACCATCTCGACAATGTTCACGTGTGCATTTGCACGACTCCGATTGCAGGGTGGCGGGAAGAAACAGGGGAGGATGCTGGTGCGAAGCGCTGGTCGAAACGAAAACTGGGACTGCAAGGGGATGAGAAGGGAATGCCACTAGTAGAGGTGGACAAAGACGTTGGTGCCGCCGAGCGGGCCGGTGGCTTCGCACTGCGCCTTGCAGTCCTTGATGAACTTGGCGTTGCACTCGACCGAGTTTTCGGTCTGGTGGCACTGTCCGCACGTCAGTCCGTCCCTGCAGAAGGGCTTCTTGCCGATCGATCCCACCGTCTTGCCGTCTGCGTTGCGGCAGGAGACCTTCATGTCGGGGCAGATGTCGCCCTCGTCATCATCGCCACCCAAAGCATGGCTTGCTCGGTCCATGGCATCTTCGACCGCGGCGAGTTTGCCGCCGAGAGGACCACGTGCTTGGCACTGGGTGGCGCACTCCTTGATGTACTTGGTGTTGCAGTCGAGCGACTTCTTCTTGGGATGGCACATCTTGCACGACACACCCTGACGGCAGAAGTCCTGGGGTCCCAAATCGCCGACGACTTTACCGTCGCGAACGCACTGCACGGGCAGCTGAGGGCAGATGTCATCATCGTCGCCGGCAGAAGAGTGGAACCAGTTGGGAAGCGTCAACACACGAGGCGTCGATGAAAACGGAACCTGGATCGGCACCGAGATCGTATCGTCGTCCGCGTTGAACGCCAGCGGCGTACCAGAGACGCTCGCCAGCACCGACGCAACCACCACGAGCGAGGCCGATGTAAACTTCATTGTGGAATGCTAGAGGTCAGAAGGTGGGGATGTCGAGAGTGGGTTGGAGATGCAGGGTGTTGGAGTCAGATCCAGGGTCCATGGCGCAAAGGTAGGCAGACCTATATACCAACTCGCCAGCTTAACTTACGCTGCGCGGGGCCACACTTGACTCAGCCTCTCCCTTCACAGCAGCGCGGGGGGGGGGGGGGGGGGGGGGGGGAGAGGGGGTTCAGCCTCGCCTAAAAATAAAGCGCTGCTGATGGGCAGCAGCATGACGACGATGATGCGCCACCGCACGCCGTGACGGCCGCCGCTCATCTGTCAGCCTTGGCGAGCGGCTGCTAAATTTGGCGCGCGGCGGCTGCGGCTGCTGCTTCTCCTCTCCGCAAAAGGTACGCGAAATCCCCACAAAAGCGCACAAAAGCGGCGACTCGCGCTGCACCCTCAGTTTGACGTCAGCCTGCATTTTGGCCATTTCGGGCGCTGTCTCAGATCGCTTTCAGCCCACCGTGGACCCACGCGTAGCCGTTCCCCGTCTGGTCCTGCCTTTCTGCATGCCTCCTGCTCGGCTGCTTTACACCCGCGTCGAAAAGCGCACCTAGCAAAAAGCTGAGCAGAGGGGTTCTGCTACAGATGTTGGTATTGCAGAGCCTTTGTGGGACTCTCTGCGGTAGTCACACAGATTCCAACTCTGTCCGATGTGCGATACACACGCGGAGCCCATGTGTGTGAGGAAACACGGACTGCAGGCAAGCACATGAGTTGTATGAGCTCGAGTGGGCCCCAGTTGGGCGCAGGGACGAGCGCGCAAAGGGAGGGGAAAACAGGGTGGACAACTTGCTGACAGCCACTCATGCTGTTGGCGCGCAAACCGCGAGTGAAGGAGACGATAGAAAGCAAACAGGCACAGAGGGCGGGCCAGCGCAGTGGCAGATCATCACTGCGCTTGTATACAGCGAGCCCTCAGCTGACGCCTTCTCCAACACTAGGTGCAGCATCCGTTCGCGGCCACACACACACCTGTGTGATTCCGCACGGCAGTCGACCGCGACCTTGTCAACTTGCACCGACTCGTAGGGTCAAATCAGAGCGCGTGATATCGTACAGTCCATTGCGCTTTGGCATCCACGCTTACAGAGGCGCGAGCACGTCCAGTCTGCACCTGTTTGCTGCGCAAAACTTGAGATGCGCGTGACTACCGCAGCTTGTCCCACCGGGCGAACGAGCTCCTACTTGACACAGAGCTTGCCTACGGGCACTGCGGTATTCAGCATCAGCGTCGAGGTCAAGCACCAGAGCCTCGGAATGGAAACACACGCACCACACAGAGCCAACACAGAGCGACACGTGTCGATATCGAAGGCGCGAAAGAGGAATCGCAGTAGGTACAAGGCCTAGGAGGCGGCCTTTGCGTCTTGAGTGGCGGCATCATCCTTGACTGGCAGCGGCACGAGCGAGTAAAGGCCAGTGAGCGTAGTGACATCAGCAGTTCTGCCCAAGGAAAGCGAGGACGGCAGCAGCGTTTTCCAGACCCTCTCACACACACAGGCAACGCAAAAGCGACACGTGTCGACATTGAGACTAGAAAAGAGGCATCACGGTAGGATCACGATCTAGGAGGCGGGCTTTGCATCTGCAGCTGCGCCATCAGCCTTTGCGGGGAGTGGGGTCTTGGCCGCAGCCGAGGTGTCGACGGTAGGAGCCTCCCACGAGAGCGTGTAGAGACCGGGCAACGTGGTGACATTAGCGATCTGGCCACGGAAGGCGATGACGGCCGTGGCATTTTCCCACACATCCGTCTCGTAGTGGTCGTTCTGGTTGAGCAGCACCAGCGAGAATCGCGACACGCCCGGCTTGACACCATCCTGACGGAAGGCCTGGGCGAGCAGTCGCCCACCGAGCTCGGTGATCTCGTCGGTGCTGCTCACGCCAATGCGCTTCGAGTACTCCTTGGACGCTCCCGTAGGTCGAACCGCCGTAGAAAGGTGGGAGAGAACAGAAAAGTCCGACGAACGCTTGAACAGCGACGTCTCGTAAACGCTGTTGGTGCCCGTCTTTTTGGCATCGACGACGTCTTTGGCCTGAATAGCTTCCGCCTTCTCTCCACCGCCCGCAACAGCAGAACCAGTCTGGGGCTTGAGCTCTTGCGTGGTGGTGTCGGGCTTGACGTCATCAGCTCGACGCCAGAGACTCCTACGACGGCGCTTGTCCTTCTTTGCATCACCAGCGGCTTCAGCGACGGTCTTGGTGTGGTTGGGATCGGCGGCAGCCAGTGCATCCGTCGAGTCCGGCAGCAGCAGCACGGCGGCATTGCAGTTCTGGCACACGTTGGGCAGGTGGGGCGTGGTAAAGCCATCCTCGTCCTTGCGCAGCACCAGATTCCACAGCACCACGCTGCGCGAGTAGTAGCGGATCGACCCAATGAGCAGATTGCGCGCCGTATTCTTCATGTTCTTGTACGGCTCGCTAAAGTATTGCGTCACCTCGGTGTACTCGGTAAAGTAGGTCTCCTTGTCCGGGTAGGCGTCGTGCACGACCTTCTGCGAGCTCGGCTGACCGGCATAGCCGTGCCATGCGGTACCGTCCCACGGGGTAGGATCGGCATTGAGCACCTGCAGCGCATACTCGGTGTTGTCCCAGTTGTGGTCCCAGGTGAGCAGCTTGACCTTTTCGAAGCCCTGCTTGTTGAGCGCCGTGCGCACCAGCTTGCCGACCGTGATGGCCTGCGTCGCAGACATCTTCATGGTCGGGTACTCGAGCTTCTGAATCTGCGGCTCGTTGAGCAGCGAGAGCGCATAGATATCCAGCTTCTCCTGCTGCTTGATCTCGCTCACCGCCTTGACGAGGTAGTTGGCATACACCTCCTCCATGCCCTCCTTGAGGTTGCCGCCGAACAGTGGCTGCGTCTCGTCCGCACCGTCCTTCATCCAGCCGGGAGCACTCCAGGGCGCAGAGATGATCTTGAGGCCCGGGTGGATGGCGACAATGTCGTGCAGCGTCTGCCACAGCTTGGGTGCTTTTTTGATGGTGAACAGCTCGAGCTTGGGGTCTTCCGAGCCGTCCTCGGTGTCGTCGTACGTGTACGGTGCGGCGCCAAAGTCGCATGCGCCCAGGGGGACACGCACCGTGTTGAGGCCCACACCGCCCTTGGCGTGCCACTCGGCATCCTGCGAGAAGAGCAGGTGGAGCAGATCGTCGTAGTCCTTGGGATGCTTGCTCTTGAAGTCCTGCAGCGTGATCGCCACACTGTCCGTCACACCGCCGCCAAACGTGTCCACGAGCTGCGCAAGCTGGTTCTCCTGAACCTGGATGCCAATCGCATCGTACTGCTGCGACTTGACGGACGCGGCGGCAGTCACGTTGACAGAGGCTGTCAGGGCTTGGCCGTCGACAAACTTGATTTGGGGATCGCTGAGTTCCTGCACCTTGGAGTAGTCGTACGTCGTACTCCACATGCGGTCGATGACGATCTCGGCGTGCGCGAGCTGCGCGCACGCTGCCACCCACGCAGCCGCAAGCGCGATTACCTTCATGGCGCTCTGTTGGAGAGACTTGGCACAGTCAAGATGGGAGGGGTAAGGAGGGCAAGAAGGGAAAGAGGAGGGGCGGTCGAACGGGGAAGGCGGAGAAAATAAGGAGCGGGATCGAGGAGCAAGGGGCCGGCACTTTATACGACTGGATCTGCACTCGCAGATCCTCCACCGTGCGCAACATCGTTCATCAAGCACGTTGATGTGATTCCTTGACGCCAACCAGCCAGGTCAAGCAAGCGCCACCGGGTCTGTTCATGTGCCGTTGAGTGGGGAAGATTGGCGTGTGTGGGCAACAATGTCCGGTCTCCACCGCGAGTTGTGCACAGGGGGAAACACATCGACGTCGAAGCCCACCTGTGCTCTTGCGGCGGCGGCGGCGGCGATGTCCAGGGGCCAACTTGGTGCGGGCCCAATGCATCTGCGCGCTGGGACCGCTGTGTTTCTGACTCGGCGTCGTTTGGGGCCGTGACCCCAAATTTAGAGCGGCGCCCGAGCGATACGCCGCTGTGGATCTAGGCTCGGATCTGTCGGTCACGAGGCCCACCAACTTGGCGGCTATTGTAGACTTTGAGCGATGCGCGTTTGTGCAAAAGCCAGCCTTTTGGCACCGAACGACAACGATGCGGCTAAGGCTACAGTCGAGCTTTTTGGCTGTCGCGCTTGATCTTGCACGCCTGACGACGCCGCGCGTGCAGATGAAACGCAATCTCGGTCCCCACTCGCCCTACTGCAAGCTCGGGATCCATAGCCCAGCGCATTTCACGCGTTGCTTTGCAACAAACACTGCCCAAACAACCCGCCATCCACTGCCACGTGCAGCCCCAAGTTTCCCCCCTTTGTCTCAGAAGCGCTTCTTCCGTGGCCATCGAGGTGTGAATCAACGTGATGCAGAGATTATTGCTGGACGACATGCGAAAGAAAATTAGGACGGAAAAAAAACAAAGGATCAAAAAAGAAAGCTAAAGCTAGGCTCGGCAGCGTGTCTCGAATGCAAGCTGGCGGCGGTGCACTAGCTCAAGAACAAACAAAAGCCAATCGAAGACGGCTCGGAGCGGTGGCCAAGTCTGTGTGAAAGCGAGACTGCGCCGCATCTGAGCGGCGTATTGTTCGCAAGCTGAGTTGGTGGAGACAAGGAGGCGACTACGCAATGGCCGAGTTGGTTTCGGTGGGATCGTTGGCCTGGGCGGACTGGATGAGCGAATCGATGCCCGCCTTGGAGGTCTGCTGCTTGGTGGCCGAGGAGGCGTTCATCTGACCCGCACCGGGCAGCTCGCCAGGCAGCGCTTGACCAGACGACGTCTCGACGGTCGCTGCGCCCTCCGCACCGGGAGGCAGGGGCGATCTGGACATGCGCCGCGCATGCATGGCTGCCGCCTCGGTGGGCGTGGGTGAATCGGTAGGCGAGAGCAGCGCGGCCGAAATCGAGGTGGGAGGCGACAGGTTTTTGCCCGGTGGCGAAGCCGAGGTGGGCGCCGGAGACTTGGCCGCCGGAGACTTGGGCGCGGGCGACTTGGACGCCGCCTTGGAGTCGAGCGCCTGCAGCGCCTCTTCGATCGAAGCCGGCGGCGTCTTGTCCTGGTCCTTGTCCGGGAGCCATTCGGGCTTGTTGGAAGACGGCCGCGGCGACAACTGCGCTGCGATCGGCTGGCGAGGCGGCTGCGGTGTCGATGGCTTTTGCTGGCTCGAGGCCGAGGTGCGACGCACCTTGGGCGCGGGCATGCGATTGCCACTGGGCGTGGCCGAGGTGTCGGCGGTGGCAGCGCTGCTGCTCTCGACGCTGCGGCGGCTGAGCTGCGGGGACGAGGCGCGGTCGGACGTGCTGATGCTCGACGCGGTGCGCTTGGTTGATCCGGCCCGGGACACCTTGCCGCTCTTTGAAGCTTCTGCCTTGACCGTGTCTGCTGCAGAGGCAGAGGCGTCTTGCTTGGCACTGGTGGGCTTGGCGTCGCGCTTCGGCTTTGCAGCCTTGTGAACACCGGACCTGAGCGCGGTGGCGCTCTCAGCGGCGGCCTTCTTCTTTGCGGCGAGCCTGCCCTTGACCTTGTTCTGGAGCTTCTGCATGATCTGCGAGTGTGACAGATCGGTGCCGGGCACGGTGCGCTCTGCGGACGAGTGAGATGCGAGCGAAGAGCGCGATGTGCGTGCCGAGAACGACTGGAGAAGCGGCTTGGAGGCCGAATCATCGATCTGCAGACGGGCCACGCCGGCTCGCGTGGATTCGGCCGCGGTATCTTCCGAGGCGCTGCGGAGCGAGGTGGGTGCATCGGCATGGTTGTCGAGGCTGCCGGCGGGAACGCCAAGCAGGGGAGACGGCGTGAGAGCTGAGACCGATCCGGCGGCCGAAGTGGAAGTTTCGGCGGCAGGCGAACGCAGAAGCGGCGAGCGGTAGTCATGAATCGGATACGGGCGCGGCGCATCGGCCGTGGTGGGAGAAAGCTGGGGCGAGATGCCGATTGCGTCTGCGGAAGCGCCAAGGTAGCGGCTGGAGGGCGAGGCGTACGGATGGAAGGAGTGGCGGACGGTGGAGCGGGCGAGCCTATCTCGGTAGCGTTCGTCGTCGTATTCGGAGCTGAGCACGGCGGTGCGGCCGGTGTAGTCTGCCATGGATCCGCGGCGTTGGTGACGGCGCGGGTAGAGCTGGGGAGGCGCATCTAGGTAGTCGTCGATGGACCTAACTCTGCGATCGGGAGCGCGAGTTTGGGGCAGAGGAGGCGGGTGATGAGGGTACGCCGGGTAGCGCGAGCGATGGGAGGTGATGCGCTCATCTTCCAAGGCGCGTTGTTGGCGAGATGCGTCGTCGAGATGCGCATGGCTGGGTGGATGGAGCGGGTAGCTTGCAGCTGGACCGGCCATGTCTGAAGAAGGTTGCGATGATGTTGGATGTGCGTCGTAGGCAAAGGGCGAAGGTGATTCGGGACGGTGTTCGGAGATGGGCATCATGGAAGCGGTTGCCGAGCCGGACGCTGCAGGATCGGCGCGAGCGACGTCGTGATAGGCGGGGTAGGCGGAAAGGGAGGCTGGGCCGGGGTCTGCGTATCTGGAAGCGTAGGCGGCGTGAGTGCGGGCGTTGGAACGAAGTGGATCGGCTTGCCACGATTCGCGCACGGGGTGCGGATGGGATGCGCGATCGGACTCGAGTCGATAAGCGTCCAAGACCTGGCGGACAAAGAGGGGCTCGCGTGGGTGGGGGGCGTCCATGGCGTGATGGACAATGTGTCTGACTTGTTCGATGTCGACGCCCATGGCGATGGAAGCGCGACGAAGGGCGACTTCGTGTAGATGGGCCGAGGCCGAGGATTGTGTAGAGGCAGGGATGCTGTGTCGGAGATGGGTGTGCCTGGGCATTTGAACTGGCGCAGCTTCGAGGCGCGGGGAAGAGTCGGGAGAAGCGGATATTTGTTGGTCGTTGAAGAAGGATGAGGGAGAGGAGGAAGAGCTGGGATTGCGTTGGAAGAGTTCGTCTCCTAGGCTGACGTGTCGCAGCATGTGGTGCGATGCGGAAGGAAGAGGCATGGCGTGGTCCGAATATTGGGAGCGACGTGGACGGCGGTAGTCATCGTGAGACGAACGGAATGCGGGAGCGGATTGTGCGAGTGTAGACGAGGTTGCGGAAGAAGAAGCTTGTTGTTGTGTTGTAGCGGACTGGGACGGTAGCGGAGGTGGAAGGCGCGTTGCCGGGAAGGTGGGCGGTGCGACATCGGCGTCGTTGCTCGGAGGAGGAAGAGGTGCTGGTGGTGCTGTCGAGGGGTCGGCTAGAGAACGAAGAGCGGCCCTTGCGACTTCCTCCTTGTCTGAGACGGGGCGCTGGGAGCGATAGGAGCCACGGCCGTCGGCGCCGGCAGCGGGTAACATGATGTGACTAAGTTGCCGGACGAGAGGTGGAAAGAGAGGCCGAGTTACGCATCGGAGTGCGTTTGGATACGAGAAGCGCGAGAGGTTGGTGGTGTTGATCGTGGTGGTTGCGAGACGTAGAGATGAACGCTGTCGAGGATCGATATACGAGATGCGAGGTTGTACTAGTGGAAGCAGCAGAAACGAACGTGCACAGGGTCGGACAGATTGGTCGATAAGTTGGCAAGCGTGCAAGTGTTGATGGCGGTGATAGTGATGGTGATGGTTGGCGGCCCAGATAGCAAGAGCAGTGATGAGGGTCTACAGAGGATGTAGCGTCAGTGGCGCTCGGAAGAATAAGGTGAGAGAGAAGTAGCGATGCTGCTGACGGGCTGCCGTTAACTTGGTGCTGCCGCTGCTGCTGCTGCTGCTGCTGCTGCTGCCAAAGTGAGCGGCTCTGCGGGATTTAGAGCGCGACGACGGTGTGGGAGCAGAGTGAGGCAGAGAGGCAGAGAGGCAGCCAAAAAAAGACGCCGGCTGCGTCACCGACCAAACAGCTGCTTGGTCTCTCTCTCTCCGCCTTCCGCCTTCCGCCTTCCGCCTGCTGCCGGCTCACGACTCTCAAAAAAAAAAAACCACCAAAAATGGTCATTCCAAAAATTGATAAAAATATCGCGCGGATTTTCTTTTAATAAATTGCGCGCCCGCCGCGCCCGGTCGGATGGCCACTCGGTTAGCACGATGCAGCCGCGGGTCTCGAGCCCAGATGTGTCTGGAAGCAGCATCGGTGGTAAGACTTGGTTGTACTGACTGTGTGTGGGCTGGGAAAGAGGCAGCCGCGGAAGACTAGGTGGCATTGATTGCCGCGCGTGCATCCGATTGCGGGCACCTTTGCAGCGCTGGACAGGCACCGTACAGGCACCGTACGGATGCATGCTGCTGAGCCGGGTGCCAAGATTTTGGCCGCCGCCAGCCGCCCCCCCGCCCAGTTTGGATGAATTTCTTTTCTTTTCTGCACTTTCAACTCACCGGGTCAGCCCATTTGGGCGCCGACTTGCCCTCTGTGCGTGGGACAGTGCGGCCATTCACTCAAGACGCCGACATCCGGCTTTGAGAGAGAGAGAGCTTTTGCCGACGCGCTCCAACAAAGAAGCCATGACAAACCGCGCTGAGCGCAACACCGTCTGCCCCGTAAGCGAGAGCACCGCCCCGGTACAGCCTAGCCCAGACGCTCCATTTTCACGATTGTTGAACCGCCAAAAAGATCAAAGATCTGCCGGCCCACTCGTACGCCCCTTGGGTCGTCGCATGGCGTCGCACCGCGGCCAATTTCCCGAGTTGGCGGGTCACCCAAAAGCCAATTTTCAACCTTTTTGCTGCTGCTTCTGCTGCCGCCAACAAAATTGACCGGCAGTGATCCAAGGGCGGCTTGGCCCTCTCACCTGCTCTCCCACATCGCTCGGCTCGGCTCAAATTGATCTTTGATCGAGCTGGCAAGTGCCATCGACTGAGCCAACTTGCGCGCCATACGATCCTGCCCATCTTTCGATCCTGGCTAACCGAGCATTATCGGGTGTCGATCGATTCGCTTCAACTTGCTGTATCCTGATATGCTGCTGCCCAGCCATCCCGCCTGCCATCGTGTGGTCGCGCTTCATTAGAAGCAAGCAAGCGACAGACGCTCCAAGCCGCTGATTGCGATGCCTTGATTTCCGGCTGTGGTTCCAGACTCTATCTCTCTCGCTCGGGCGGCTCCTTCGAAATCTCAAATCTCGGATCGGCAGATCCTTTCAGATCTACCTCTAAAATCGGGACGCGCTGGACCCTGACTGCACGGCATCCTCAGCTCCACATGCCGGGGCGCAGCGGCAGTCGAGGCGCGATTCAGGATTGGCGTCGGCCTGCACTGACCGCCGACACTGACCGCCGCCCACAAAGACCGCCTCGACCGACGCGTGCGAGTGTCGCCCTAGCCTCCTAGCCTCCTTACTCCTCATCACCCACGCACCACCATATCACCACGAATTGGCGCCAACCACGCATTCAACCCTTCCGCATCGTCTCTGCTCACCCATCCTCGTGCTGTCCGAGCCGGGCCACGCTCCGTCGTGCGCTCTCTTGATAACACCATGTCGTCGCTCGCTCCCCCTCCAGACGCCAACGATGCCATCACTCCCTTGCAACAGCTCCTCAGCTCTCCCAACGTGCCACTCAAGTACTCGATCGCACAGGCTTCCTCATGGTCAGGCACCTACCATCCCTCCAACATCCTCCACAATCGTCCGCACGAGATGTACTCGAGGTGGTCCGGCTCCTCGCAGCATGCCGTCAACTCTGCCTCCTCCTCTTCTTCCACCGGCACCGGCACCGGCACCGGCATCAACCCTCCCACCTACCTCTCCCAGTCTGCTGGCACTCAGACCAACACAGCCGCCCCCTCCTCATCCACCACCAGCGCCGCATCCAACCCCGCATCCAGCCCCTCCCTCTCGGCTGCCCTCCCGCCGCTCGCATCCCAGTCCGCAGCCAGCAGCCGCCGCACCGCATCCGTACCCGTCATGAGCAACGCAGCAGCATCAGCATCAGCCAACGTACAAAAACAGTACATCATCCTCAAACTCGACAAGCCCAGCGTCGTGCGCTCCATCACCTTTGGCAAGTATCACAAGCCCCATCCGTGCAACCTGCGCGACTTCAAGGTCTACGGCGCCACCTCCATCGACTCCCTCCTCCCCACCTCCTCCGTCCACGGTAGACCCCCTGCCACAAAACGCCTCCTCCGCGGCGGCCTCAAGAACGACGCCATCCCAGAATCCTTCGAACTTCGCTGGCTCGAAGACGCCGCCACCGGCTCCGGCTCCGCTTCCTCCATCGACGGCGCCATCCGCATCCCCGCAGACGGCGAGCCAGACCGTCGCTCCGCCACAAACGCGCTCGTCAACACCGGAAACGCCGTGCCCTTCGCCATCCGCTACATCAAGATCGTCCCCCTCGCAGCCCACACGCCCAACTACAACTTTTCCATCTGGCACGTCGCCCTCGCCGGTGTCTCCGATCCCGCGCTCGTCTCTCGCGTCGCAAAGAGCTACGACCTCCACCGCCACTCCTCCACCACCCGCCTCATCCTCAAGCACCTCCGCCAACACGGTCACCACACCGCCTTCCAGGCGCTCCTCCAGTCTTCCCGCCTCGCTCCACCCGCACCTGCCGAAGCGACCGCCGCTCTACACTCAAAGCTGCTCCCCTACAGTCCGCTCCGTCCCTTTGAACACCCGCTCCTCACCTCTCTCTTCGACGCTCTCGTTCGCCGCGGAAACTGGGACGAGGTGGAGATCTGCCTCAATCGCGCCGCCTACGGTGACGCCGCCGCCGCCGTCCAATCCGCCGCCAACAGCGGCTCCAACACGCCCCTCTCGCCTTCCACCGCCAACCTCAGCCGCAGCGGCGTTTGGACGCAGCCTTGGCTCAAATCCATGTTCGCCTCCTACATCTCGCGCCAAACCCCCAAACCCAGCTGGTCCCACATCCAACCCTCGGCCCCCGCCTCGCTCCCCTCCGCCTCTCCCTACCACCCATCCGCAGCACCTGCCCCTGCCTCGACGCCCATTGCTCCCTCCGGTCGCGGCGGCCACGCCATGGTCTTTGACTCCGACAAGGGCATCGCATACCTCTTTGGCGGCTGGGACGGCAAGCGCGACCTCTCCGACCTCTGGGCCTACCACGTCAGCGAGAATCGCTGGCGACTCATCTCTGCCGATACCCAGCTCCAGGGTGGCCCCAGCCCGAGAAGCTGCCACAAGATGTGCCTCGACGAAAAGAGCGGCTGCATTTATCTGCTCGGTCGCTACGTCGACTACGAGAGCGCAGACCAAGCCGAGCCCGTGCCCGCCGACTCGATCGCCCACCCCTCCCGCACTACCCCTGCCGTCTCCACGCTGCCGGTCACTCCCTCCTCATCCACCGCACGCACCACACGCGCCAACTTCCTTGCGCGCTATCCCGAATCCATCGCTCGCGACATACAGATGATCCTCTCCGACGCATCTGCCGACACCGACGACATTGGCACCGAAGGCGCTGGTGCTGGCGCTGGCGCTGGCGCTAGCGCCGCCGCATCGACACCAGCGCCCGCTTCCTTGTCCGAGTCGTCGCCTCTGCTTGCTGGCAGCGGCGCCGGCTCTGCGGACACCAACAGCCGCTCTCCCAGACCCTCAACCCGCACACACAGCGCCGCGCGCACCGACTCGCAGCAGCGCACCGCCGCACCCGCATCGCCACCCGGTCGCGAGGCCGACTTCTTCCGCTTCTCCACGCGCTCCGAGCGATGGGAGCGCCTCAGCGCCGACACGCACGCCGACGGCGGGCCCAAGCTCATCTTTGACCACGGCCTCGTCATCGACGCGCAGAACCAGATGATGTACGTCTTTGGCGGCCGCGTCACCGACTCGGACCCCACCAAGTTTGAGTTCAGCGGCATGTGGCGCTACGACATCATCCAGCGCAGCTGGACGTTTCTGTTCGACGACCGCACCTCCAACGGCGCCAAGATCCTCAGCCGCTCGGGACACAGCATGCTGCTCGACAGCGGCAGGCCGGGCGCGTCCGGCATGTCGCCCTCGCATACGCGCCAGATCTGGATCCTCGGCGGCCAGCGCGGCGCCTCGGCCACCTTCCTTGCCGACATGTATACCTACAACCTCGCCACGGGCGCCGTGCGCGAGGTGTCGCGCAACACGGCGCACAACGGCCCCGAGGCCGCCTTCACCCAGCGCGCCACCATCGACGTGGCCGCGCGCGAGATCAGCGTGTTTATCGGCCTCATCGGCGGCCGCACCGAGCGCAAGCGCAGCGCATTCTGGATCTACAGCATCCCGCGCTCGTCATGGCGCAAGGTGTACGAGTACGAGGGCGGCATCTCCTCCGAGTTTGCCTCCGACACGATCAGCGCTGGTGGAGGTGGCGGCGGCATGGAAGGTGGCATGGGCGCGGATGAGGCCATGCTGGGTGCAGGCGGGGCCGACGGCATCGATTTTGACGGCGAACTCGAGGGCGACGAGGTGCCCGAGTCCGGCCCGCTTCAGGCGCTTCCCGCCTACTCGGACGACATGAGCGCCGATGAAGAGATGCCCATCGACCCGCCTGCCAACAGCTGGACCGCCTACACGGGCCAGAACGCCGACGCGGCCGCAACGGGAGCGCCCGCATTCGCCACCGCTCGATCGCCGCACGCCTCAACGCCCAACGCCGGCCGCAACCGAGCGGACTATGGACCGGGGACGTCCAGCGGCGTGCATCCGACGGAGCCGCAGCCTCGGTACGCCACGCAGCTCGTATTCGACGACCGCAAGAAGGTGTACTACCTGCACGGTGGCAACCCCGAGGATGCATCCGATCGCTCGTACCGGCTCGACGACTTCTGGAGGCTGACGCTGCTGCGGCCGACACCGGGCGAGATTCTGCGCCGCGCCAAATTCCGTGTGCGTCGGCAGCGGTTCCTCGAGATGACGCGCAACCTGGCGCGCATGCCCAACGACTCGGACGACGACTTTGGCGCGTCGGCACCGAGTGCGGCCGTCGCGGGCGGCGATGTGCAAATGCAGCCGCAGCTGGGACTGGAGGCGCTCATGTATCTGCAGACCGAGGTAGGTGCGGTGGTGGACCACTCGGACGAGTCCGAGTCGCGTCTGTTCCGGCGGCTCATGTCGCACCTGCTGAGTGCCGAGACGAGCGGCTGGACGGCGCGCGCGCCTGGTCTCGATGGCAGCACGGACGAGGCGCTGAGCCCGCTGCGTGGCGAGGCTGCGCCTAGCTTGGGTGGCGGTGCGATGGGCTCGTCGCCGCTCAACCCGAATACGGGCTCGTCGCCGCACGACAGCTGGGGCGCCGCGGGCTTCAAGCGGCCGCGCGACGAGGCCGAGACCGAGGAGGCCGAGATGGGCAGCTCCGTGTCGTCGCTCATGAGTGCCGAGGACGGATCCGAGACGATGTTGTCGGCGTCGCAGGTGCTGCAGCACCGACTCAAGCGGAGCGCAGGCGCATCTGCCGCGCCCAAGCTGCCCACGCTCAGCGTCCGGGACGACGAGGGCCGCCCCGCGGCGCTGTACGTCGAGCGAACGCGACTCTTCCGCGAGCTCATCGAGTACTTTAACCCCGAGCTCGTCGAGCCGCGCGCCGAGCTGGACGGCTGCATCGAAGCCGCGCTCGGCGCCTAGACCACCTAGGCGTAGTCAACATGCAAACTGTACAAGTGTTTGGCTCCACGATGTGGGCGATTGAGTGAGATCGAATGTGAGACTGAGATCGGGCAGTGAAAGTAAGATCGGGTCGATGAACGCGTCGAAGGTGGCGATCCGTCCGTGCGTCGATGCTTGCGGTCGCGAAGAATCCATCTGGCGCCAAGCATCTTACCACCAGCATCATTGCCACTGCCGGCTTTCGGAACCCAACCACCACCCACACAGGAAGGCTCCTGAAGTATCACTTGGACTTTTCACGATGGAGGCGAAACTGCAGTCGCTCAAGGTGGCGGAGCTCAAGGCGCTGTTGACGTCGGCGGGGCTGGCGGTGTCGGGCAACAAGCCGGACCTGATTCAGAGGCTGCTTGAGAACCCAGCTGCCACCGCGTCGCTCGGGGGAGAGGCACAAGAAGCGGCTGCTGCAGCTGAACCTGCTGCTGCGCCGGAAGCAGTTGTCGAGGCTGCATCCGAACCTTCTCCGGCGCCTGCAGCAGCCGCCCCCGCGGCGGTTTCAGAGGCAAGCGAGGCTTCGCCAGCAGCGTCTGGTGCGGCAGTGCAGGCGTCCGAGTCGGAGCAACGCGATGCGCTCATCCGGGAGCTGGAGAAACGCAAGGCGCGTGCGGCCAAGTTCGGGCAGCCGCTGGGCGAGGCGGAACGCAAACTCGAACGCGCCATCAAGTTCGGATTGGCCGCAAGCGACGAGGCGGACGTCGCCAAGCTCTCGCAACCTCTTGGAGCGCCGACGAAGAGAGAGGGGAACAAGGCAAAGCCTGCACAGCCTGCACAGCCTGCACAGCCTGCTCAGCGCGTGGAGAGCGAAGAGGAGAAGCAGCAGCGTCTGGCGGCGCTCGAGGCGGAAAAGGAAAAAGCGCGCAAGCGCGCCGAACGCTTTGGCCTCGTTCCGAAAGAGTCGGCTGAAGAGGCCGACAAGAAACGCAAGAGAGACGCGCGATTCAACAACGCGGACACCCCAGCCGAGGACAAGAAGCTCAAGACGTAGCCGCTCAGACAATCTCACACGTGGACGCTGCTGATGCGAGGGTTCGATGATTGACAGCGTGTGCGGGTGTGTGGACGTGCAGATCGGAAGGGGCGCGGGGAGTGTGGTTAGGGGATGAAGGGGGATTGTTCAGCTCGACTTTTTCGCCTTTTCCTCTGCGGCGTACTGGTCTATACACACGATCAAAGAGAGGTGGTGTTAGCAACCCTGCGACGGGATCGTGCGACTGGAGTGGGTTGGGTGTGAAGGGGGGGGGGGGGGGGGGCTTACTTTTGAAGGGAAAGTTGCTGACCGACTTATCCTTTGCACTTGCATCTCCGGCCTTTTTGCTGTTGCGCGTGAGGTCGTTTCCGAACATGAACACGGCGAGGCCCCAGAAAGCAAAGCCGGCGTGTGCTGCTCCCAACACCTTTCCGAGGGTCCCAATGCCCAGCGCCGCCGGATCCATGCTGCCGGTGCGCTTGTTGGGGCTCGAAAAGCTCCAGGCCGAGTAGGCGTTGACGCCAAAGTACACGGTGCTGATCACGACGGTGGGGATTCGGAAGGGTGATTTACCGGACGAGGATGCGTCGGGTACGGGCGAGGTCGTGACGGGGATGGCGCCGGAGAGGACGAGGATGAGGGCGGCGATGGCGAGCATGCCGAGCGCGTTGGTGTGCGATGCGTATCGCTCGAGCGGCGTCAGCTGCGGACCGATCGCGCTCACGGCACTGCGGTCGGCGTCGGAAGCGGCCTGTCCCACAGCGCCGCGTGGCGTCGAAAGCAGCAGCAGCATGCGTGGGAACAGAAGGAGCGGCAAAGACAGCGCGATCAGAAACGCAGAGGCGGCATAGGCAAAGTAGTGCGCCGGATTGCTCGGCGACGACAGCGCATCCACATCTTCGCGTTTGCTCTTCTCCATGGTGAGATCCGCTTGTTGTGTCAGAGAAATCGAGGAATCAGGAGCTGGATAGGGTGATATGGAGGATGGAAGTGCTTCGGATGCCGTCGACTCAGTTTATAGCTTCAGTCCTCACCGGCATGCCATCTTGCTCTAACTTGACAGCGCACGGACGTATGGCCAATGGTGGCGGGCTGCAATGAGGTCACGCTGCCACGCTATGCGGCCATGAATCATCGGTGGCTCAGCATGAAGTTGGCTTTCTCTGCCCGAGGTGCGGGGGGCGAGTCTAGACAGGCTCGAGAGGGAGGCTGCAACGGCTACGTCATCCCAAGTGCCAAACGGCAGCCAGTGTGAGATTGCGACCTTCCGCACAACTGTGCTCGTGGCGCATCGAGACCATCCGCCGCAACGTCGAGCGCAGCTGGATCAGGAAAGGCACACATGGCGGAGTGCGAGAGGCGAGAGAGAGCCAAAGGGGAAGGAGCACGACGGCTGGCCATCACGGGTGCCGTTGCGGCGGCTCGGATCGCTCGGCGAGAGGTGCATGGTGAGGCCGAGCGCGAAGACCGAGGCGCGCAGCGGCAGCAGCAGTGTGCAGCCGGTCTCGCTGGCGTCAAATGAGACATCTGGACCCTGAACGCACGCACGCGTCCGCGATTGCTCAGCTTTTGCCAACTTTGCTGCCTCGACCCCCGCCAGCCTCTCCTCTGGGCCACCTGACGATGCAACAGTCTTGGTTGCGACATGCAGACAAGAAGGCAGACGCATTGACAGACGTGATGAGCTGGCGTGGATCTGTTCGCGACGGGGAGAGCCACGACCGAGAAGGGAAGGGGCAGAGAGGGGGGCGAGCGAAAAAGGAAAGGCCACATTCCGGCCACCTTGGTCGCGGAATGCAAGAGCGTCGGTGCTGGATCGGCAGCGTGCATTGACGCCGGCACTGCATACTGCACGGCTCCTATGTGCGCAGCAGGTGGCTAGCATACGATGCACTCTTTGCAACGCTCGCTGCGCATACGTCGTGTGCGTGCGTGCGGCATTGTTCAACACGCAGCGCGCTTCATGCGTCTCGACGATCCGCAATGCATCCTCCAAGCCGAGCCGCGTGCTCTTCGCCTCGGCCCAAGCCTGCCGCCGACGGCTGCTGCAACGCTACCGCCCCACTGACCCCCGCATCGCTCGTCCTTCTGTTGCATCTCGCAAACGCTTGCCTTATATCATAGCCGCCTGGCGTTGCTGTTCAAGCCTCTTCTTTCGATCCTTCCATACGTCTCGTTTCTCTCCACCATCACTTACTCACTCGCTCCCGCTCCCCAGTTCCCAATCCCCTTTCCCCTCAAGGCCCCACCCTTCAACGACTCGACCCACGCTCGCTTTATCAAACCCACACTCTCTTTTGAACCAGCTCATACTCTCGGCCCCACCACGCTCGCTAAGCTTCGGTTTGCAATCTGCATTCACCCGCATCGCACGCACGCACACACACGCACGTTGCTCCTAACCCGCTCCTTGCGCCCCACCAATCCCAACGCTCTTCACAAGCCACGCAGCCAACCGCGAGGTCTATAAAGCACACACATCTGCTCCCATCTAAGCGTCGATTCGATCCGCATCCATCCAACCCCTTCCCACGTTTTCCTCTTCAACAAGATGCGTTTCGGTACTTCGTCTACGCTGTGTGCGCTCGTCGCTGTTGGTGGAGCATATGCGTCGGTGCTGCCGCGCGTGCTCGACTCGTACGATCTGGGCATGCCCGTGCTGGAGCGCGAGGTGCCCGTGCTGCAGTGCGACTCGCAGCCGCTGCACGTGGGCCAGCTCAAGCTCGTCTCGTCCGCCGGTCGTGAGGTGAGCGCCGCCTTCGAGGGTCTGCGCGACGCCGACGGCTTCCAGCAACTCGACGTGCAAAAGGCAGGCCAGCCGGCGCGCTACGAGAACTTTGCCTTCACCCAGTGCAACTCGACCTTCATGGCGTACCAGCCCGAAGCCAACAAGGCGGCCGAGGTGTTCTACGGCCGTCTGCAGCCCGCCCACCTGGTCGGCAAGCGCTGCGTGGCGGCCGACTACCTGGCCAAGGCAGACTCGAGGCTGATTGCGGACAAGTGCAACCCTTCGGACGACTCGGGCCAGCTGCTGCAGTTCTGGAGCCTCACCAAGCAGCCTGCTGCCGAGGAGGGCAAGTTCCAGTACTATGTCAACTTCCTCGGCCAGCCCGACGGCCAGAGCGCCGACTTCCCCGGCGGCTACACGCTCAGCAAGGCCAACGTAGGCGCCAACAAGCTCGTGCGTCTCGCGCACAACCAGGATGCCGGCAAGCCCAGCGCCTTCTTCCTCAAGCTCGCGTGAGCGCCAAACCTTGGTTTCTGCTCGCCAAAGCTTGTTCCCGTCCCGTCCAGACCGTCTAACTGTATCTTAGTATCCGCCTCTCCCTCCTTCCTCGCCGCTTTTCTCGGTCTTTCCCGGCTCCGACTTGCGTACATGGCCTGGTGGGGCTGGTCGAGCGGCGCCGTCTCTCGAGTCGTGTCTCTGTAAAGAGCGGGCTCCTGGACGTCCTGTGCCGCAGGCCGGATCCATCCCGCCTTGTCCCCTCCCTTCCCGCCTCCGACCCTGCTGCTTGCCAGTCAGTCTACGAATGCAACGTGTTCATGACCGTCATGAGAGACAGTTGGGAGTGATTGTGCTCAAGTCGTTGAGAAGCGATGCGCAAATCGACGTGATCGGAGGGCGCGTTGGCGAGGCAGCGAGGCAGCGAGGCAGCCCAGCAGGCACAGCGAAGGGTGAGCGCAATGTGGCAATGTTAGATCTTGGATCCGATCGTGGATTTTGCTGTGCGGCGGGTCCAAAGGCGAGGCCGAAAGGCGAGCGAGAGTTGACGCGTCCTCCTCCAAACCTCCACTGCGGAGCGACGGCGCAAAAGCGTTGCAGAGCGAGAGACGCAGGCTGAGTCCAGACAGAAGCCATCGCCCCAACCATCTGGCGCCTTTGCCACCTCTCTTCCACCTCCACCTCCCAGCTTCAACAAAGCATAGATCGCCGCCCATGAAGCTCCTCATCAAATCCCTCGCCGGTGGCAACTTCCACCTCGATGCCGAGCTCTCGGACACCATCGGCACCATCAAGCAAAAGATCCAGTTCGAACAGGGCCACAATCCCGAATGCCAAAAGATCATCTTCTCCGGCAAGATCTTGACCGACGACAAGACCGTCGCCGACTGCAACATCAAGGAGAAGGACTTTCTCGTGGTGATGGTCTCCAAGCCCAAGGCTCCCAAGCCTGCTGCACCCGCCGCCGCATCATCCTCCTCCTCCTCCACCACAACAGCAGCCGCAGCCGCAGACACTGCCAAGCCCGCCGAGTCGGCTCCTTCCACCACCACCACCACCACCACCGAGAGCGACAAGCCTGCTCCGGCCGCACAAGCCGGCTCGACTGCCGCCCCGTCATCCACCGAGGCGAGCGCCGCACCCGCTGCTGCCGACGCCACCCCGGCAGGCGCCGGCGGCTCGTCCGGCAGCTTCCTCACGGGCGGCCCGCTCGAGGCCGCCATGCAGGGCATGATGGAGATGGGCTTTGAGCGCGACCAGGTGCAGCGTGCCATGCGTGCCGCCTTCAACAACCCGGACCGCGCCGTCGAGTATCTCATGACCGGCATCCCCGACCACCTCGCCAACCCACCAGCCGAGCAGTCCGCACAGACGCCCAGCGCCGCCGCCAACGCGCCCGCCACCCCCGCAGCCCCGTCCGCAGGCGCTGCCGCACGCGTGCCCGCCACCCCCGCCACACCCTCCCCCGCCAGCGGCCGCGCTGGCAATCTCTTTGAGGCCGCCGCCGCCGCACAGCAGGCAGGCCGAGGCGGTGCACGCGGTGCTGGTGCGGCTGGTGCCGGTGCAGGCGCAGGTGCAGGCGCAGCGAGCCTGCTCGGCGAAGACGACGGCTCGGGCGAACAGGTGATCGACCTGGGCAACCCAGCCATGCTGGCGCAGCTGCAGCAGCTCGTGCAGCAGAACCCGGCGGCGCTCCAGCCGCTCGTCCAGGCCATCGCCCAGTCCAATCCGCAGCTCGCCGAGGCCATGAACCACGATCCGCAGGGCGTGCTCTCGCTGCTCGCCGGCGGTGCGGGCGGCGCGGGCGACGAGATGGAGCTGCCCACGCTCGCCGAACTCAGCGACGAGGACCGCGCCGGCGTCGAGCAGATCGTCGCCATGGGCATCCCCGAGGACAAGGCCATCGAGTCGTTCTTCATGTGCGGCAAAAACGTAGAGATGGCCGTGCAGTACTACTTTGAGAACCCGCAGGATTTCGACGATTAGTCGACGCAAGCGCATGCGGTGGTAATTTCAGTGGTGTCGGGCATGAAGCATTCGCGTGTGCGCGTGGACAGTTTGTCCAAGAGAGCACGAATGAAGATGAGCGCGAGCCGAGACAACCTCTGTCCTAGGAGGGGGCTGGACAGGGTTGCTCCTTGCGAATCCAACCAGGCTCATGACGCGAATGCGGTTCAGCAACCTGCGCGGCGATGCTCGACTCGCTCGACGCTGCGCCCGCCCCGCTCTGGCGTTGGCGGTGGCTGAGCGGAGTGGGCGACCAACAGCGCCCGTCGAGACCAACATCGCATGTCAAGACAGTCAATCGATCAACGCGGGCCAACATTCACGTGTGTGGGGGCGGGTTTGTCGCAGAGGCAAGACGCGGTGAGGGTGGCGAACCAGTGCATGCAGGCGCGAACGAGGAGCAGCGTCGTTGAGGTGTTCGGATTGAGAGAGACGGGCTTAGACAAATGCCAGCTGCTTCAGGCAAGCTTTCGGCCGCCCGCTCGGCTTTGGGCGGCATGGTCGCACAGCAGCGGCAGCAGCCAGATCCAACACTCGACTCCCAACGCCGCCTCTTGCCGTGCCAATTCGGCCGCGTGAGTCGCTCCGTGCCTTTCAACCAGCCAGCCAGGCCGTCCCGCCCAACCAACCGCGACGTTGTGGCATTCACGTGTGCAGGGCCGGCTCATCAAAGAGCGAGGACGCGGTGCGGGTGACAGACCAACGCGTTTGGTGTTTCAACGTGTGCGATTGCGCGTCAGCTTATGGCGTGTGCGGGGGTAAATTGTCCAAGAGTGACGAGGCGGTGAGCTGATCGAACCAGTCCTTGTACGTTTGCGTGCCGGATGTGGCGCGGACAAAGACGAGCGTGAGTTCAGCGTTGGGGTTGAGGAAGAACGCGTTGGTGGGGGCGAGCGTTGTGGGGTGGGCAAAGTAGCCGGCCATATTCGAGGTCAGGGTGAGCCAGGGTGCGGTGGCTGTGCCCGTGTTGGTGATTCTGATGTGCCAGTGCTCTGCGTCCGGGGGATGGTGCGCGTGCAGTGTGATGATGGGTCGGGCGTGCGTAGAGACCCGAGCAAGTGATGCGGCGAGAGACGGCATGTGTGTCCAGTAACTCACCACCTCGGTGCCAGTGAGGACGAGCGCGAGGCGGACGTAGCAGCGAGTGTCCCTGCATAGCTGGGTGGGATTCAGCTGCCAAGCGCGCCACCACCCGACGTCTTCCTCGACGTGCACGCCGAAGCGACGCTCCTCAAGCAGCGTGCCGTAAAAGTCGAACCACTCGACCACCAAGTACCCACCCTCATGGCTGGCACCAGTGTAGACAACGCCGATATCGAGCAGGCTGTTCGAGGTGTTGTAGATCGCCACGGGTGCAACAGGCGCTTGGGCGCAAGCGAGGGTGTAGTGCGCCAGCTTCCAGCTGCCCGAGTACTCGACGCTCGACCACGTCGTTCCCGTCCACACGTCGTTGAGCTGCCATACGATCAGGCCGCGGTTGCGCTCGCCGCGTGCAGCCCCGCGGCGGTACTCGGCTACCTGGTTGGCTACGAACAGGGCGTGGTAGAGCTGGCTCGACTCGGTCCAGCGCCGCAACAACGCACGCCCACTCTTGCCCGACTGGTCCGGATCGGCGAACCACGTCTGCACTCCCGCCTTGAGCTGCTGCATCCCTTCGTCGGCAGCGAAGGGGTAGCTAAGGTTGCCCGCGGGTGGATGCTTGAGATGTGCGTGCATGACAATCGAGTCGACTGTACACTGCGGCTTGGACCCAGTCTGCACTCCCACCTTGAGTCGCTGCACGCCCTCGTCGGCGGCACAGGGGCAGCTGAGGTTGCTCGCCCCTTCGACTGAGCATGCCAGCTCGGCAACATCATTGCACGAGCGCAGCATGGGAGACTGCGCCTTGAACTGCTGCACATCCTCGTCAGCGGTCAAGGGATAGTCAAGGTTGCCCGCCGAGTCAACTACACACGCGGGCTCGAGCGCATCGCTGCACGAGCTGGGCAGGATCTGATCGAGTGCGTGAATGGACGGCAGGGAGAACATGCCGAACTCGACCATGAAGCGCACGCGCGGGTAGCTGGCGATGTCCCACGCGCGCGCGGCGTCGTATCCATAGTGTTCGCCTGTACCGTGCAGCTCGTTGTGCGGATAGGCCGTGTATCGTCCACGGTACGGATGCAGCGAGACATAGCCCGTTGTCGTCGAGCATGGAATGTACGATAGCGCGCGAGTGGTGTCGAGCACCTCGTCCCGCACGGCATGGTCGAAGAGCATCTCGTAGGCGCGTTTCCATTCTGCATCGCGCGTGCGGTGGCCGTAGCCACCGAGAAAGTACAACTCGCCCTCGTTATTCCCCACCACGGTGACGACGCTCGCATGCGAGACAACGCCAGCCACGGCCTGTGCCACCTCGGCGCGCACATCGGCGACGAATGCATCGTGAGCCGGGTAAAGGGATGCGGCGAACATGGTGTCGAGCCAAACAAGCATGCCCATTTGATCGCATGCATCGAGCAGCTCGCGAGAGGGATAGCTTCCGCCGCCCCAGATGCGCAGCAGGTTGACGTGCGCCGCAGCGGCCGAGTCGAGCAGCCAGTGCATGTAGCCCGGCGCCGCTCGCGGACCGAGCGTGTCGAGCGGGATGAGGCTCGTACCCACCACGTACACCTCGCGCGCGTTGACGAGCAGGCGAAAGTGCGAGCCCGGCTGAACGTGCTCGGATGATGCCTGTGCGCGCGGGATGCGCGAGAGGTCGAGCGCGGCAGTACGGAATCCAACGCGGCGGCGCAGATGGATGTGCAGCTCGTCGCTATGCACTTCTAGGGTATACAGCGTCGGCTCGCCGTATCCGCGCGGCCACCAGAGCAAAGGTGCACCCTCCCCGCTGCTGTGCATCTCAAACGCCGCATGCACCCGCTCGTTGAGTCCCGCCTCGATAACGGGCAGCGACAGCAGCGTGTCCGGCATGGCCACGCCCAGCGATGGGATCGCAATGCGCACCGACGGCCGCTCCACACGACGCGCCGTGAGCAGCGTAAGCGACACATTGACCACCCAGTTTGCATCCGGATCTGGCGGCACAAGATTGTTCGTCTGCCCCTTGCGGTAGATGTCGACGTGCCAATCCACAACGTGCACCTCCTGCTGCAGTTTAGCGGCCTCGACGGACGCTGGACCGCAAAGCTCCACGAGGTATGCCGGCTTGTGCGGGCCCACGGGCATTAGGGCGGGACCCCAGTCCCAGCCAAAGTCGGACTGCTGCTTGCGCACAAAGATGCGGTGCGGATAGGCATAGTCGGACGTGCGCGAGCGCGTGGGGCTCTCGACCTGGTTTGGGTAGCCCGGATCGAAGCGTCGAGCCTGCTCGGCTGCATACGTGTTGATATTGTGAAAAACGAGCGTGAGGTTCCTGTGCTGTGCAGATGGCTGCTCCAGCAGGTGCGAGGGGATGCGCACGGCGTGCCAGGTGTGTTGGTTGCGCGTGCGCAGAAGACGCTCTCCGCCCAGGAACACATCGGCGACGGTGTCGAGACCGTCAAAGTGGAGCCAGTACTGGTGCTGGGTCGGCTTGTGCGTCGGGCGGATCTGGTCGAGGACGGGGGCTAGATCAGCCGTGTATGTCCACGCGGGCTCCTCGGCGATCCAACGCTGTTGTCCCTCGTTAAGTCCGACAGCAGGATCCTGGATGATGCCTGCGCGGAGGAGGTCGAGATGCACGAGCGACGGCAGCAAGGCATCGACGCTGATGGAGCGGTTGGCATTGGTGAGCGTCCAGCGCAGGTGGGCGGGCGCTGCTCGTGCGCGCCAGCCATGCAGGGGGTCGCCGGCGTCATCGTCGATGGCCGCGGTGAGGTTGCGCGGCCGCGGAGGGAATGCTCGCTGGTGTGTCTGCAGCGTAGATAGCGACCATACCCTCGCACGCGAGTTGGACGGCACTACCTCGGGCGGCAGCTGCCATGGCTGCTGATGGATTGCTAGCCCGAGCGCGGCCGAGGCGAGCAGCCAGGCAATCGCGACGAGAAGCTGATGCATGCCATGCAGCGTAATCAAGGCATGCCAGGCCCGATGCTGCCAGACCCCAAAGCACAGGAGTGCAGGTGGAGTGGGCGAGCTTTAAAAGGGCGCCTGGAGCGTGAGACAGTTTCTGACAAGGAGCCGCTTCGTAATGCGGCTGGTTTGTGCGAGCGGACCCTGCATGGGTGCACGAGCCGTGCCAAGAAGAGGCGCTGCTGTGCTACAGTGCTATCATCCTCTCGCTACGTTACAGCTTACTGCCTCGGACAGAGAAAGCCGTGATTTCCTGGCGAAAATCGCCGGCGCTGGTCGGTAAGCCAAGAGCCGGGGATGCTGTTGATTTGGTGCACCATGGAAATGTGGGGAATGCCCCGCCTTGATCAACGATCAGCGACTTGCGAGCACTCGACTCTTTCGCAGCGATATAAGTCTGAACCCACCTTCGACCCACCTCATCTTCATCAGCTAGCCTTCCGCAATGACTTCTGCAACTTCAGCAACAGCCGCGCCCTCTTCCGGCGGTGGGCGCAAGGACTTCAATGTGGCGGTGGTGGGCGGTGGGATTGGTGGGCTGACGCTCGCCATTGGGCTGCACGACCGTGGCGTGCCCGTGCACATCTTCGAGAGCGCGTCCAAGTTCGCCGAGATCGGAGCGGGGATTGCGATTGGACCGAATGCGCAGAATGCGCTGCAGCGTCTGGGGCTCTACGAGAGCTTTCTGCAGTTTGCCGACTTTCCGTCGCGCAACCTCTTCTTCCAGTGGCGCATGGGCGAGGGCGAGGAGCAGCGTCTGCTCTCCGAGACCATCTGCAAGCAGTACGGCATGGCGAGCATCCACCGTGCCGAGCTGCTCGACACGTTTGTCAAGCGCATGCCCACCGAGCTGTGCAGCTTTGGCAAGCGGCTCAAGGACATCCAGCAGCCCGAGTCGGCCGAGGGCAAGGTGCGCATCACGTTTGAGGACGGCTCCACCCACGATGCCGACCTGGTGATCGGCTGCGATGGCATCCACAGTCGCGTCCGAGGTGCGCTGGATCGTGCCACCGCGGGACCCTCGGCCGTCGCCGGCTCCGACTCGCTGGTCTGGAGCGGCAGCTGGGCGTACCGTGGGCTCATCCCGCGCGAGCGCTTCGTGGCTGCGCTGGGCAAGGAAAAGGGCGAATTCTATGCGGACACGGCACAGATGCTGCTGGCCAAGGACTCGCATGTTCTCATCTTCCCCATCCACGGCGGCAAGACGGTCAACATTGTGGCGTTCCGCACCGACCGTTCGCGCTGGCCGCAACGCACGCCGTTCCCCAAGGGCGAGGCGTGGATCCAAGAGACGAGCAAAGACGAGCTGATGCGCGACTTTGACAACTACAGCTCGGACGTGGTCAAGATGGTGGAGTGCATCGACAAGCCGAGCAAGTGGGCGCTGCATCAGGTGGTGCCGTCGCTCACTTCGTACATCAACGGCCGCGTGATTGTGGCGGGCGATGCGGCGCACGGCGGAGTGCCTCACCAGGGCGCCATGGCGGGCCAGGCGATCGAGGATGCGCTGTTTCTGTCGAATCTGCTCTCGCATCCGCGCGTCAAGGCGCAGAATCTCACCAAGGCGCTCGGGGCATACGACACGATCCGCGTGCCGCGAGCCAACCGCGTGCTGGAATCGAGCCTCGAGGCGGGCGACACCTACGAGTTCCGCGGCGTCGCGGCCGACGATCCGGCCAAGCTGGGCGAGCACCTGGTGGAGCGCTTCGACCACATTTGGGACTACGATTTGGACAAAGAGAAGCAGCAGATGGAAGAGTGGCTCGACGCCAACCTCTGAATCACGGCGCAGAGTGGCTGCCAGTCGTCATGCTTGTAATCCACAGATTGTCTAGAACGCACTTCTTACCGTGCATCATTGCAGTATGTACAGATGAGTTCGCTCTCGAGGGCGCAGCGGCCATGGCGGTGTTGTTCTTGTTCACACGGTCTGTGGGTGGGAGGAGAAGGTGGAACAGGTCAGCAAACGGGCGAAGGGGAGGATGTGCATAGGACTCGCAAAAAGACTTACCTCGACACCGGTGTACTCGCTCGATACGGGGGGTTCGATGAATGCGGCGTGACCGAGGATGAGGAAGGCCGAGCTGCCGACGAGCCAAAAGACGAATCCAAAGGGGCTGGCGAACCAGAGCATGAGGCCACCGACGACAAAGAGGCCGGTGTAGAGGCTCTTTTGGGTGATGACGTGCTCGCCCACCTGCATGGGTTCGGGCGCGAAGCGGTTGATGGCCCAGAAGCCGGCGACGAGGAAGATGAGCGCAAAGAGGAGGAGCATGTCGTTGATCATGCCGTACACGGTGAGCAGCACCACCACCACGGCGTAGTTGCCCGAAAAGTGGCGCGTGTTGTACGTGATGCGCTGGAAGGCCTCGTTGGTGTCCTGCGGGCGCGAAATGCGCTGGTGGTCAAAGAACTCGCCCAGCGGACGCAGCGACGACAGACGCTCCTGGCGCATGCTGCGAATCCGCTCGGGGACTGTGGGGATGAGCATCAGGCGTGTGAGCAGCGTGCGCGCGCACAGCTTGTTGGGCATGTCATGCATGCGCTACTTACTCTTCATGGCTATGTCAAATACTTGCGCCATGGTTGCAAACGTGGCTCGATCCTAGAAGCTAGACGGATGATGGCGGAAGGCATGCAAAGAGCCCTGACAGCCCGCGTCCATCTATCTGCAGGCACGAGTCGGAACTCGGCTGAGCCCGTCCATCAACCGCAGGGCTCAAAGCGCGGCCGCTCTGTAACAGCACAGCCAAGAAGGCGCCTCGGCCCTCAATCCAACTCAGCGGTTGCTGGCACTGCCGCACTCTCTCACTTATCTGCATGCACTCTGCCCGCCTTGCTGTCCGCGCTCGGCGTGCTGAGCTGGAAGAAATGCAGGCCCCGTTTTGCATTTGGCGCGATGAAATACGGTGTTGGACCGTCACTTCCAACACTCTCAAACTTGGCCTCCCAACACCCCAACACTCACAAGCCGTGCTTCAAGCCGTGTTCGTACCGGTGACATGATGATTACGCTCGTGATACAATACAATACTGAACCGCCAAAGAAGAAGATGATGCCGAGAAAGGGAAAGAGAGAGAAGCTAAAGCGGAGGTAGCTCCTGCACTCGGTTGCGCGGACTGGCGATGGGGCTCGACACAGCCAGCGCCGTCGACGTTGGCGGTGCAGGCGGTGACAGGACCAAGCTGTGCAGCAGCTCCAGCACGCTTGCCTCCGCTGCGGCGCCGCCCGCCGCCATCCTGCTGCGCACCATGTCGAGCGTCAGCGACGACACTGCATTCTGGATGCGCGTCGTGAGCTGCGCCAGGATCCCTGCCAGCTCCTCGTCCGTGGCATCGTCGCGGATGCTGTAGATCAGCAGCTCCGGTCGCATGTTGAGCATCGCCTCCACTCCCTTGCGTCGTGCCTGATGCGACAGCACGCGCCTGCCCCCCTCCTCCGCTTCACCAACGCGCACCTCGCGATCGAGCGGATTGCGCGTCGCCTCGCCCGACGGCGTCGAGGGCTGCGACCGATGCTCCGCCTCCTCATCCTCCTGCGCAGCAAGGATGCCCGGGCACACCGTCGAGTTGGACAGATACTCGAGTCGCAGGCACAGCATCCCCACCTGCTTGACGTCTTCAATGTCGAGCAGCTGCACCGTAGGCTCGTACACCTGCGCACGCGGCGCATCCAGCGCATCGTCCGTCTTGGCCTGCTCCAGTCGCCCCGCAAGCTGCTTCGGATACACCAGCCACAGCATCTCGGGCGTCTCGAGCCCCTTGAGCCGTCGCTCCCCCAGCTGCGAAAGTCCAAAGCCCATCCGACGCAGCAGCACCACGTCCCGGCTCACGTTCGGATTCAGCAGCCGGAAGGCATCCTCGTCCAGCTCCTCCTCCGTCTTGGCCGCCTGCTCCCCTGACCCTTCGCCTTGACCTTCGCCACCCGACCCGGCCGCGAGCGTATCGTCAAACGTTCCCAGCAACCCTTGCAGCTCCTTGATCACGTCCTTGCTCGCAAGGATCTGGCCGCCGTCGGCCGCACCGCTGATCCTCGCCGCGCGATTCACCATGGGTCCAAAGTAGTCCATGCGTCGCGTGATCGGATCCGCCTCGCACACCGGTCGGCCCCAGTGGATGCCCATGCGCACCGACAGACCGCGGTGGATCAGCTCGCCCGAGCTGTCGTACACCTCCTTGCCGTCCTCGCTCTCCAGGATCTCGCGCGGCCAGTCCTCGTGCAGAAGCTGCTGCTGCACCGTAAAGCACCACAGCAGCGCCGCACTCACCGACGGGAACGACACCATGAATGCATCGCCTTCCGTCTTCACCTCGTATCCGCCGATCGTGCGCAGCTGCCTTCGCAGCAGATAGTTGTGCAGCCGCATCGCCGTCTGCATCCCGTTGTTCGTCTCCCACAGCGACGTCGAGTTCTTGATATCCGTGAAAACCAGAGCAACCTGCCCGATCGGCGGCGCCACCTCGCGATCCAGCCGCGCCAGCGTCCGGTCGCTCGGCAACTCCTCCCGGAAGCGTCGCCCGGCCTTCTTGATCGCATCGCTGTTCTGGTAGCTCGAGATGGTCAGCGCGCCGCCGTTCCTCTGGTCCGACCGGTAGAACAGATCGCCCACCGAGATCACCATCACCATGATGCTCTCCTCGGCGCCGTAGCTGATCGCAAAGTCCCGAAGCTTCTGCGCCGCGATCATCGGGTCGTTGCGCTGCGTACGCGCAATGTCCACCGCCGTCTGGTACGACACGTACTGCCACAGCGTCCGGTTCGCAATGATCACAAACTCGTCCGAGTCCGTAAGCTGCACCGTCGTCACCGCAGGCGCCGCATTCACAATCGGGAACAGGTGGAAGTAGCCAAACGATCGAGACACGTCGAGCATGTCGTTCACATAGCCTCGCAGCGAAACCCATCCTTCCGCGGATCGGATCCGCTCGATCTCGGCACGGTCAAACGGTTCATGCTTGACGCTCACCAGGTGCGCCGTGCCGCCGTTGCGCGACATGACCGCCAGCGCGTCTCCTGCATTGGCGATGTGCAGCGTTCGATCGGACACGTACGCCAGGATAGCCGACGCTCCGGCGCGCCAGTCGTGCTTGTTGGCAGCAGCCGCGATGGCGGGCGCCGAGCTGCGCGTCACATCTGCTGCCGCCTCCGCGTGCGCCTCGGACAGCTTGCGGCTTCCGTCGTTGATCAGCGCGTCGGCATAGTCCTTCTGCAGCCGCAGGAACGCGCGGCGCAGAGCATCCGGCACCGACACCGGCTCCGTCGAGTTTTCGTTCTGATGCTTTTGGAACTCCCAAGAGATGCGCGTGCCGCTCCATTCCGCGAGATGGTGCGCGATCCGGCTGCCCACATGGGCGCCATGGCCACGGCCGTCAAAGAGGCCAAAGATGCACTCGGTCTCTTCCTTGCGGAAATTCGGCATGACGATGTCGATCACGCTGAGGTTGTCGTGCTTTCCCAGCGCATCGGCGATGCCGTAGGCCATGCCGTTGATCTGCGAAAGCGACGTGCGTACACGGCGATTCTCCGATTCGTCAGGCGTAGCGTTCGAGTGCAACGGCATCGTGACGTCCATGAGGCCGAGCATGCGCAGGTTGGTGAGCCGACTGAAGTCCGAGATGTTCGACTTGCGCGTGAAGCCCATCTCGCTTAATTTGGTCTTGATCTCCAGGCGCGTGTTGCCCGAAAGATTGAGGTAGCGCAGTTCGGGATTCATGTTCCAGTTCCAGTCGTAGTGCCAGTTGGCGATGTTGTACTTGAGCACGTTGTTGCCCACGTCCAGGTTGGCGAGCTTCTTGAGCTTGCCCAGCTCGACGGGCAGCGTAGTGAGCTTGTTCGAGTTGAGGTGCAGGATCCGAAGCTCCTGCAGCACCACCAGGTCGTCCGACGGGATGGTGCTCAGCTGGTTGCCGCTCACATACAGCTCGCGCAGCTTGGTAAGCGTCTGCAGGCTAAAGTCGGGGATCTCAAAGATCTCGTTGAAGCTGAGGTTGAGCACCTCGAGAGAGGTCAGCTCCGAGAGCACGCTGAACACCTCGTCGCCCAGCCGATTATCTCCGAGTCGGAGCTTCTGCAAGCTGAGCGACAGAGGCGCTACAAACACCTCCGTCGGCGTCGACGCGTTGGTTCCAGCTGCCGCAGCGCCATTTGCCGCGCCGTTTGCCTGGTGAGCCAAGGACGAGCTGGTGGAGCCCTTTCGTGCCGCCAAGATGGCCGAGCCTCCTCCGGCTCCGCCGAGCTCAGCTGTAACCGCCTCGGTGCGCATGTCTGGAGCAGCGGCGAAGGACTCCAAGAGATTGGAGCTTAGGTTGATGTGGGTGAGGCTCTCGCAATACCACAATGCCTGTGGCAAGGTCTTGAGATTGTTGTTGTGCATCAGGAGCTCCTTGAGCGCCTTGAGATGGCCGATCGACTCGGGGATCGTGGCGAGCAGGTTGTTGCTGCACGAAAGCGTCTCGAGGCGTTTGAGCTCTCCGAGCGTGTCGGGCAGCACGACGAGCTGATTGCCATCGAGGATGAGCTTGACCAGCGCAGGCAGCTGCGGGAAGAGCCCTTCCTCGAGGCGCGTCATGTTGGTCGACGAGAGGTCGAGCGAGGTGAGATCGCACGTGGTGAGGGCGGCGATGCGCACTTTGCTGAGCGGATTGCGGCCCAGCTCGACGCGGGTGAGCTGCGGTCCGAGCGTTGCCTCGAACGACTTGATGTTGTTGCTCTCGGCCTGCAGGTTCTGGAGTCGCGGCAGGCCGAGCAGCGCCGAGACGTCCTGCACCTTGTTGCGACGCAGATCGATGGTGCGTAGACTGGCGAGCTTGCTCATGCCGTCGGGGAGCTTCTCGAGCGAGTTGCCTGCAAGGATGAAGCGTTCCAGATTGACGAGGTTGGCAACCTCTGCGGGCAGCTCGGTGATCGAGTTGAAGGAGACGTCGAGGTCCACGAGCGACGTGACCTCGCAAATGACGCCAGGGAACTCCTCGAAGCGATTGTTGGAGATGTTGAGGTTGCGAAGGGTGGGGATGCTGGAAAAGTAGGACGGCAGGTCGTAGAGTCGGTTGTTCTGCACCTTGAGCGACATGAGCTCGGGGATGAGGTCGAGGCTGATGTGCGAGAGCTCGACGATGCGGTTGTTGGACACGTCGAGATGGGTGAGCGTCTCGCTGTGCCGGACGCTCTGCGGGATGCGCTTGAGGGCGAGGTTGGAGAGCCGAAGCGTGCGCAAGCTCGAACAGAGCTGTACAAAGTCGAGCGGCAAGTCGGACATGGGGTTGCCCGAGAGGTCGAGACTGACGATCCAGTCGGCATGCTTGTACAGGAAGATGGGCACCATCTCGAGGTTTCTGCTCTGCAGATCCAGGTGTTGGAAGGTATGCTCGCTGTGGCCGATGGACTCGGAGTCAAACGTCGGCACGCTGTCCGGACGGAAGACGAAGCGAAGGAGGTAGGAGAGGTCGTCCCTGCCCATGTCCTCCAGAGCATCGTTTTCGGAATGGCCTGCTTGAAGCAGACGACGTCGCTGGAGCTGTGCGGGCTTGTCAGCATTGCCGAGCGGCCTCTCGGAGCCCTTGTCGCGCACAAAGAGGCGATAGGCGGTGGACTCAGTGGTGAGGCTCTTGCGGGCCAGGATGGTCTGGACCTCGTTGGCGGTGGAGACGAGCGAGCACGAGAGGGTGGCAAAGGTGCCATCGGTCTTGTAGACGCGGATGAAGTGGTTGCGCTGGGCCAGACCGGAAGCGGCGCCGGCATTTGCGGTGGTGGGCCGCTTGAGCTGGTTGGCATCGCGGCGGAGGGTGCTGGCGATGCTTGCATCGTCTTCGGTCGAGAGCGTCGAGCTGAGCGTCGTGGTGGACGGGCGCGTAGCGCCGATGGAGCCGGCGGTATTGGGACGTGCGTTGGTGCGGTGTTTAGATGTGCGATGCAGACCGAGCTTTCCGGCAGCAGCAGCGGCGGCCGAGGCACCTGCAGAGGCCAGCATGCTTGCTCCAGCACCACCTCTGGACGAGGAGGGTCGCATATGGCTAGAACCATGTTGAAGCTGATGGTGCTGGGAGGGTTGGGGCTGCTGCTGCTGCTGCTGTTGGGCGAGAGCGGACTGGGCGAGGTTGTTCGTCTGCTCGAGCACGTCGACGTTGCTGGCCGACTCGTCGACCGACTTTGTCTTTGGCAAGGGAGGCAGAACGGTGAGCGGATCGACCGAGTCTTCGGTGCCGCGTCGCGAACCAGCGATGGAGGTGGGCTTGTTGAAGGGGTCAGTGGAAGCGACGCGGAACATGCTCGATGCATGCACGGAGCTGACGCCGGAGCTGGAGCCGCGTCGCTTGCCATCGGCGAGCATCTGTGCACGGACGGAGCGGTCGTCGTCGTCATCCTCTTCCTCTTCGCCGACGTTGTCGTCGCGAAGGTAGTCGCGCGTCTTGTCGGGCTGGACTGCCCAACTGTCGGGAGCCATCCAGCTGGAGCTTGGCTCTTGGCCGGAGCTGGCACTTGACTTGCGGACGTTGAGGAGCGAGCCTAGCGCCTGGTCGCTGACGGGCGGGAATTGGTAGGAGTGGTCGGCGCGACCGTCGATGTGGTTGTCCGGTGGCGGAGCTGCTGCCCAACCCGGGCTTGCCGATGGAGTTGCCGAGGAGGAAGCGGCTGCGGCGACTGCTGCTGCTTTGTGACGCTCGTGTGCGGTGACGCTGAGGTTGGCGTAGGAGGTTTTGGGAGAGATGCCGCTGTGGTCGGAGCGAAGGCTGTGAGCCGATACGACGCTGTCCTTGCGCTGGTCTGCGAGGGCGGAATCGGCAGCGGATGGGAGCGATGGCGGCAGCAGCGGCGGCAGCGGTGGTGGTGTGGCCGGCAGCGCCGAGTCGGAGGTGGCGAGGGCGGCGGCCATGGAATCGCGACGGACGGGCAAGCTGGAGGCGGAAGGGCTGTAGGAGGCGCTGGAGGGCATGTCTCTGAGGTTGCTCGATAGTTTGCGGAGGGACTGGTAGTTTTGCATCTCTGCGAGGCTGACGCGGGGGACGCTGTTGCGGGGCAGCATGTTGAGCTGGCTGGGGCGTCTGTCGCTGAGGATGGTGGAGGTGGAGGATGATGTGGAGATGCTGGCGGTGTTGCGGGAGCTGGAAGCGCGTTGGGAGGCGGAAGCGTCGGAGAGCTGGGAGGAGGAGTCGGTGTTGGTGGTGAGCGAGGCCTGTCGGGTGGAGGGCAAGGCGTGGTCGGAGGGTGAGGGCGAGTGCGGGTGGTGCGGGAGGCCGGACTCGCTGGCGGATGGCGAGCGATGGTCCGAGGGGCTGGTGGTGGAGGTGGAGGCGGCATCGGTGACGGAGGAGCCCTGGAGCCTCTGGCGTGCGGCGTTTGTGTCGACAAAGTCTTCGAGCTGATCAAAGTTCATGTCGAGGGAGAGTTCGACCTCTTGCTGGATGGAGTGGCTTTGGGAGGACAAGGAGGGGTCGCCAGAGTCGTCTGTGCCTCGCTGCCTGTCGGAAGCCTTTGCGAGGTGGTGGCGGACGCCCTTGATGCGCTTGCGCGCTTCCTTTTTGGCGTCGCGATGCTCGGACTCGAGCTCGTCCTCGAGGCTGATGGCGGCGGGGAGCGAGTCGATGCGTGAGTTGAGCGGGTTCTGCCACGGAGCGGGGATGGAAGCGGGAGGTTGGTGGTAGTGGGAGCGGAGGGAGGCGGAGGAGGGCGATACGGAGGAAGCCAAGGAGCGGTTGTGGTTGTTGTCGAGCCATGCTGGCGGGCGCATGGGGTTGAGGTTGGCTGCGTTGGAGCCGTAGCGGGAGGAGAGGGAGGCGACCGAGGGTTCGTTGCGAACGAGGTTGATGTTGGAGGAGGAGGCGGAGGCGGATGCGGAGGTGGAGGCTGCGCTTGCAGATGCGGCATGTGCGCTCGAGTGGCTGGAGGGCTTCTTCTTGAGAAAACCAAAGGGATTTCGCGACTTTTTCGCGGCAGCGTCTTTGGAGCCGGAGCCGTTGAGGGTGGTGGTGGAGGAGGTGGAGGCGGAGGGCGGCGTGCGCGGACGGAGCGAGTGTTGTGAGCGCGAAGGGGTGAGGGTGGGGTTGTCGATGCTGGCTAGGCTCGAGTCGGTGAAGGAGTACTGTGTGGTGCCTGTACCTCTGCGTGGACGCGTGCGGATGACGGGAGAAGCGGTGGCCGGGTTAGCCGCACTGGCGGTCATCGTCGTCGTCGTCGTCGTCGTCGTGGTTGCTGCTGCTGCTGCGGATGCTGAAGCGGCATGGTTGTTGGAAGAGTTGGCACGACTTGGGCCGTCCTGCATGGAGGGGGACTGGAATAGCCACGGACTGATGTCCTGATGGTTTGCCGCCTTGACGGCCTTTGCAACGTCGCCGTCAAAGGAGGAGTTGTTGCGGTGGTCGGTGGGGCTGCGCGAGAGGATCTGGCGAAGTTCGTCGTCGTCAAAGGAGGAGCTAATGCCGTGATGGTGGTCTGGGATGGATGAGTGCGAGCGGTCGTGGCGGTGGTGGTCGTCGCCAAAGTAGTCGCGCTCGAGGGAGAGCGAGGAGTTGTGCGAGGGTGTGGAGGGTTGTGTGTGCGCATGGTCGAAGGTGGGTCGCGAGTAGTTTTTGGCGTTGTGCTGCGGCGTACGACGAGAGGAGGAGGAGGGCGAAGGTGTGGCAGTGAGGCTGAAGTTGAGGTCGGGCTGTGAGGATTGGAACGAGTTGGAGATGGAGCGATGTGGAGTGGAGGCTGGATCGGCCTTGTGGGTAAAGTTGGAGCTGGCGGTGGAGTCGTGGGAGCTGTGTCGTTCGAGGCCGAGGTCGGTGGCCCTGTTGTGTGTGTGCTCGGGCGAGGCCGGGGCGACGGGCCTGCGATTGGAGTGCATGTTGGCGATGCGGGTGTGTGCGCGAATGCGCGGACAGCGCGGATGACGGATCTGCTAGCTAGGTAGCCGAGTGTTGGTGGCGGCGCATGTCGACTTTGGATTGATGGATCTGGATTCCGCAGTGGCTCTGCAAGCGGTGTCGCCGCTCTCTCGATGGATGGTGGTAGAGATGGTGGAGGAGGAGGAGGAGGAGGAGGAGATCCCCGCCGAGTGACGGCCTCTCTCTCTCTCTCTCTCTCTCTCTCTCTCTCTCTCTCTTCTCTCTCTCTCTCTCTCCCTCGAGAGCTCCACTCACTGCTCCTCCGCCTCTCTGAAAGCCTTCTCTGCCTTTTTGGCGCGCTATTCCGCACCGGCCAACGCGCCGTCAACAGTCGCGAAAGCTGATTTTTTGGGATTGGATTGTTAGAGCGTGTAATCTCACATGTGCTGTGCTCGCACGTCGCTACAGTGACGCTTCTCTCCACGCTTTGTCGAGGGTGATGAGCCATTTGACAGGTGGTTGCGCCAACGCCAGCCTGCCTGCTGCTGCGCAGCAAGTTAGGTTTTGCATATGTGGCCATCCCCATCCCCACCTTCGACCACCCATCTCGGTCCCCACTTCCTCACATCAGCCTCCATCGCCGTCGCCATCACGTCCAGCCATACCCACACCCACGCCGACACCGATGTAAAGCCGCCACGGCCACTCTAGACCATCCTACCTCGTCGCGCAAGTGCAGGCTCGCGTCGTCACGCATGGCGCGTAATCCCTCCCGCTCACAGCGGCGCCGAAACAAGCATCAGGCCGGAGCAGCTGCCGCACCTCATCGGCATCATCATCAACAACAACGACAGCAACGACAGCAACAACAGCAACAACAGCAACAACAGCAACAACAACAGATCGAGCCGCGTATCCGCTGCACTGTCTGCCTCGTCGAGTATCCGCACAAGTTGTTCAACAGGGTCGATCGCAGGAAGCACGCTCCGCGTCCCGTCTGCAGGCCTTGCAAGACAAGTGCCATCATCGAAGATGCCGAACTTCGAATGCTCTGCGACGAGTATCAAAACGATCATGAAGACGACCAAGACGAGGTCATCATCCCTGAGTGTATGGCTGATGAGGAAGAGCTTCATCGCGACTTTGAGGACCTCGCCCCGGAAGAGCAGCGAGCCAAACTGAGCGCGCGCGACCAACTCGCCACCGTCACTGGCAAATTCCTCAGCGCCACCAGGCTCGCAGAGAGCCGCCTCCGCTTCCGTCGCCGCGTCCGCCCCGCCAGCGAGCTCATGCTCGAGCGCGAGATCCTCCGCTTCCGATGGCTCGCCGAAAACCTGCCGTTCATGTCCCAAGACGACCGCGTCAAGCGGGAGCAGCAACTCGTTCAGATCCGCTACCTCAACAGCATCGCAGCCATGCAGCTCGAACCGGATCTCCTGCCGCAAGCACAATTCCTCCTCTCGCTCGACCTCGCCGCCACGTCCGACGACGACAACAATGCCGACAACGTCGACGACGAGCTCGAGCGCGCCACCGAGCTGCTCGCACTCATGCGTCTGCCCGAACGCGATGCCATCGAGCAGGCGCAGCTGAATCGCGAGCGCCAGCTCATCACCACCAACAACCGCAACCAACTTCGCCACCAACGCCAGCTGGCGCACCAACTCGCTCAACAAGACGCCGACCAGCTCGCCCAAATCTTCCAGCGCAGCCTCGCGCTCACCGCCGACGACGACCGCTCCTCGCAGCCCGCCAAAGCTCCGCCCACCTTTACCGCCGTCGCCAACTTGGCCGCCGTCAAGGCACAGCTCGCTGCCACCACCTCTTCTTCCACCACCGCCACCTCGCCTCCATCCGCACCCTCGGTCTCTGCCCGCACCGGCGCCGACTCGCCCACTCCGAGCCCGCGTCCCGCCAAGCGCCCACGCAGCCAGCGCGAGACTCCCGTCGACCCCCGCCTCGAAATGTTTGAGCGCAGGCGCCAGGCACTCTTGCGTCGCCAAGACGAATCCAGCCCCACTCCTCAACTGTGATGACAGTCGCATCCGCTTCCGATTCAAACTTGCTGCTCTTTCTCGCAATGACATTTCGTTCTCTGAGCACCGACAATAGTGTGTAATGGGCGCTCTCTCTCTCTCTCTCTCTCTCTCTCTCTCTCTAGGCTACAAGACTCACTGCAGCGGCACGGGGCTCTCTTCGCACTTGAGCGTGTAGAAGCGCTTGGCAGCCTCGATGGCGTCGTCGAGCGCCTGGCCGCCCATCTCGCCCACGCCCTGTGCCGAGTCCTGCTTTCCACCGCCCTTGCCGCCCACGTGCTGCGCCGACGTCTCGATCCACTCCTTGGCGTTGAGGCCCTTGCTCTGGTCGTGCTTGCTCACATACGCCGCATGCACCACCTTGGCCTGCAGCGCATTGCCCTCGGCCACCTTGGTGCCGTTGACATCGAGCTCCTGCGAAAAGAGGTACGCCGTCTTGTCCATCTTCTTGAGCGTGTTCATGGCCGTCTGCAGCGCCTTCATGTTGGCGCCGACGTCAAACTTGTGGATGAAGCTCGTGGCGTTGGGCTGCTCCTTGAAGTGCGCCTCCACCGCATCCACCACCGCCTTGGTGTCCGCCTTGTCCTTGGCCTTGAGCCCGGCGTCGAGCTTCTTGCGGATGGCCGAGAAGCGCTCGTTGAGCGCAGCCTTGCGCACCACGCTCATGTCGAGCTGCGCGAGGTGCGTGCCGAACGCCTTGAGCGCAGCATCCTTGGCTGCCGCCTCGCCGATGGCGTCGATCTCGCCCAGGCGCGCCTCGGCCTCGTCCGCCACCCGGCTCACGCTCGCAGCCTCGTCGCCCGTCACGGCAATGATGCGACGGATGCCCTTGGCGATGCCCGATTCCTCGGTGATGACAAAGTCGCGGATCTCGCCCGTCTTGTCCACGTGCGTACCGCCGCAGAACTCGACCGAGGTCGAGCGCCACTGCGGGTTCTCGAGGTCGCTGGCGATGGTGTCGAGGTCGTGCTCGAGCGTGACGACGCGCACGGGGTTGGGGTAGGCCTCGCCAAATACGGCGCGCAGGCCGGGGATCTTCTGGGCCGTGTCGAGCTCCATCTCCTTGGAGAAGACGCCGACGTTGCGCTTGATCCAGTCGACCGAGATGTGCTCAATCTTCTTGAGCTCCTGCACGTTGACGCCCTGCTTGTGCGAAAAGTCGAAGCGGAGCTTTGCGGGCGCGACGAGCGAGCCCTTCTGGTCAATGTGGTCGCCGAGCACCTCGCGCAGGCCAAAGTTGAGGATGTGGGTGGCGGTGTGGTTCGACTGGAGCGGAGCGCGGCGGCTCTGGTCGTACGAGACGGTGACCTTGTCGCCCAGCGCGAGCTCGCCGCGCACGAGATGGCCAATGTGCAGCACATAGCCCGAGAAGACCTGCGCATCCTCGACGACGAACTGCGACTTGCCGTCAATGGTGATGGAGCCGGTGTCGGCCTGCTGACCACCGCTCTCTGCGTAGAGGCAGGTGCGGTCGAGCAGGATGCCAAAGTTCTTGGCGCGATCTGCGACCTTGGCGGTTTCGGGGAAGAAGGCGTGGTCCTGGTAGATGGCCTTGACGGTGGCGTCGACCGAGTTGACGTTGTATTTGAAGTCGTCCTGCGTCTTGGGCACCGAGTCGTCCTTTTCGAGATGGCCGAGGTCGTGCACGTCAAACTTGACGGCTTCGGCCTCGCTCTTCTTGCCGCCGGCCTTGGAGAGCTCCTTGGACTCGGCCTGGGCGGCTTCGAACTCCTTTTCGTTGACGCCGAGGCCGTGCTCTTCGGCCATGATGAGCGTGAGGTCGACGGGGAAGCCAAAGGTGTCGTAGAGCTTCCATACGTCTGCACCGCTGAGCTGCTTGTTGCCGGCCGCTTTGGCCTTGGCGGCGTACTCTTCGAAGAGCTTCTCGCCGCGGTCGAGGGTGCGTGCAAAGGAGGCCTCCTCCTCGTCGAGGATGGCCTTGACGTCGTCGATCTTCTTGGTGATCTCGGGGAAGAAGTGGCCCATCTGGTCCACGAGCGTGGGGACGAGCTGGGAGAAGAAGGAGCCGATGGGGACCTGGAAGTACTTGCGCACGTAGCGGGTGCCGCGGCGGAGGATGCGACGGAGGACGTAGCCGCGGCCGTCGCGGTCGGGGACGCCGCCGTCGGAGATGGCAAAGGTGAGGGTGCGGACGTGGTCTGCGACGACGCGGTAGGCGGTATCGATGCCGTCGGTGTCTTCTGCGCCGAGCTTGCCGGTGTAGGCGCGGGCGCCGGTGAGCTGCTGGATCTTGGCAAAGATGGGGGTGAAGACGTCGGTGTCGTAGTTGGAGGGCTTGTCCTGGAGGATGGAGACGAGGCGCTCAAAGCCCATGCCGGTGTCGATGTGCTTTGCGGGGAGAGGCCGCAAGGAGCCGTCGTCCTCGCGGTTGAACTGCATAAAGACGTTGTTCCAGATCTCGATGACGTTGGGGTCGTCCATGTTGACGAGGTGTGCGGCGTTGCGGCCGCCGATCCTGTCGTAGTGGATCTCGGAGCAGGGGCCGCAGGGGCCGGTGGCGCCCATCTCCCAAAAGTTGTCCTTTGCGTCGCCGGTGAGGATGTGGTCGGCGTCGACGCCGACCTTGAGCCAGAGGTCGCGCGCCTCGGTGTCGGGCTCGAGGCCCTGCTTTGCGTCGCCTTCAAAGTAGGTGACGTAGAGGCGGTCCTTGGGGAGGCCGTAGACCTTGGTGAGGAGCTCCCAGGCCATGGCGATGGCCTCGGGCTTGAAGTAGTCGCCGAAGGACCAGTTACCGAGCATCTCGAAGAAGGTGTGGTGGTAGGTGTCCTTGCCGACGTCGTCGAGGTCGTTGTGCTTTCCGCCTGCGCGGATGCACTTTTGGGAGTTGACGGCGCGCTTCATGGATCCAAAGGCGGAGTTGGGGTCTGCGATGCCGAGGAAGATGGGCTTGTACTGGTTCATGCCTGCGTTGGCAAAGAGGAGCGTGGGATCATCGTAGGGGATGGTGGAGGAGGAGGGCACAAAGGTGTGTTGGCGCTCCTTGAAGTATGCGGTGAAGGTATCGCGCACCTTGGTGGCGGGCCAGTCGCCGAAGCGCGAGGAGGTGTCGGACATGGTGGAGGATGGGTGCGCACGACCAAGAGGCTGAGCGGCGCGGAAGATCGGGTTGAAAGCGCGTTGGGGCGAGAGGCGAGTTTGCGATGCTGGAACGCGCGAGTGGAAGCACCTCTGCCAGACGAAAAGCGAAGGGCTAGCTGTCGATGTACGAGACGGAGAGGAGCGGACGATGCGGGCGACGAGCAGCGAAGAGGTGCCAGCCTTGTGCATCAACAATCTGCGGGATGAGAGTCGCGGTGGTGCTGGTGGTGGTGGTGGTCAGGGAGATAGCAAAGCTCAGTCCGACCTCGCACGGCCAATTCCGTGTTGAGTTGCGTGCCGCTCTGCGCTTCTGCATTTTCTTTCTTCCGTCTTCGGCCTGGAATTATTGGTGGAATTGAGGCTTGGAAGCGCGCGTTGTTGGTTGTTGCGCACGAATGACTCGCGTGGGGAATGCTTAGATAAGCATGACTGGAAGCCAGCCTCTTGCCCCACTGCTTCAGCTCAGCCTCCAGCTCAGCCTCAGGCTCAACTGCTCCGCTCAGCCGCCATTCGAATGGAGAGAGTGTCAGCAGAGCCGTGAGGAAGGACGGCAACTCTCTTTTGCTATGGCTCGGGAGACGATTCGATGAGGATGGTCTCATGCCACACGGTGCTTGCGAGTTCACCGTCCTCGTCGCTGTCGACCATGACGATGGGCGCCTGATGCCTTCGGCCAGCTTGTGCATGCCCGTTCGCTGGTCCGCCGCTGTCTAGCTTCGTCTCGTGTGGCACCCGCGCGTCTCGCTCGGCCACCTGGACCGCAGCCGCCTCGTCGATTTCGGCTTCGGCTTCCAGTGCGGCAAGCAGCATGCTCTCGTCCTCGTCCGGGCTGAAGCGATCTGGCGCTGCCATAGGTGCGTGATTCGAGCCGTTGCCGACGTGCGCTTGGTTCGAGACTGCTTGGGGCCGGCTCGGCATACCGCGCTTTCTGCGTGGCGGACCCAGTTGGGCTCGAAGCGTCGCAATCAACTTTTCCTCGGCCACGGCCTGCTTTGCCGATACACCGCCGCCCTCCACGCTCACCGTCGCAGGTGTGAGGAGCAGATAGCCGTTCTTGACCAGCGCGCCCTTCAGCAGCAGCTTGCTGCCCATCTTGGTCGTGTTCATGTCCAAGCCACCGATGCGCTCCAGCTCGATCGCCCACACGTTGGCGCTGCTGCCGCCGTCCGAGAGCTCGAGTTTGAGCATGCGTCGCGGGTAGATCGTGTTGCTCTGCGATTTGCCCTCCTCCTGCGCATCGAACGCAGCCATGGCATCCGCACCCGACCAGGATAAAGACGCAGACGCGGCAGGTTTGAGGCCAGTGTAGGCTTCGTTGGGATCCTTGTTGGAACGACGCGCCTCGACGCGTGCCTCGGCGATCTCGAGCTGCGAGGCGGCGGAACAGCCAATGTCGATCATGCTCTCGATCTGCACGAGCACCGCTCCTCTGCCACTGTCGCCCACCTTCCCATTCGCCGCTCGAAGCTTTTCGGGCGCGATGCGGCTGTACGACGGCGGCACCACTTGCGCCAGGTCGGTCTCCAAGAGCTGCTGGCGCACCGAGCGTGCGAGCTGATCGTTTGATCCGTTACGCACAGCTGCGGCCCCTTGGCGCACGTCTGCGATGCATCTGTCGAGCCACTGAGGATCAACCTCGAGCGTCGGATAGCGTGCAGACAGAAGCCGCTTCACTGCCGCCAGTGCATTCGGATTGACAGCCATCTCGTCGACTGCCTACATGTTGATGAGGAGCGGAAGATAGCTTGCGGAAGCGGAAGCCGAGGCGGAGGGCAGACTCTCATTCGAAATTATTCCGTCTCCAACTCGAATCCGAGTTTCTCCAACCCCGCAGCAGAGCAACACTCCAACACCTCCATCCCAGCGTCGCGACGCGTTCCTCGCAGACACACTGTGACTATCATACACAGAAATCAAATCAGTATCACACGCTCAAGACAGAGCATGAGCATGAATCTGTCCAATCGTCATCAAGGGTCGTATTGCCGTGCAAGAATCAAGGTGGAGCGTCGAATCCGCCCCATGTCTCGGCGTGGTTTAGCTTTCTGCCGGTGCCTGCTCGGCGCGTGTAGCAGCATGATCCCCACGACGGCCGGGGCACCGGTCGATGCAGTGGCTGGGCAGCCACCACTCGAGCAGCTTGAGAAACAGCATGTCCACCGCCACAATGATGACAAAGATCTTGCCCGCAATCGTGCCGCCCGCATAGTATCGCGCCAACCGCTCCGACGGACGCGGCAGGCGATTCTGCATGGCATCCCCGTACACTTTCTCCACCCGATGCGCCACCTGCGTCCACGAGTACATCTGCTTGACCGCCGCGTGGTACGCCAGCGCATCGTGCTTGCCCGCTCGGACGTGCGCAATGGCATCGTGCATCGCCTGCACCACATCGTCCTCCTCGGGTCGAGCCAGCCGGATCATTTGCGGCGGCAGCACTTCTGGTATGCCGCCGACGCGCGTCGACACTACGAACAGCCCTGCGCACGCTGCCTCGATGATGCCCGTCCCAAACGCTTCCGTCAAGGATGTGTTGAGAAAGATCGAACCGCGCGTCAGGTGATCCCGCACCTCGCCCTGTCGCACCGCACCGCAGAGCTCCACTCGATCTTGCAGCAGATATCGCTCGCGCATCTGCTCCAGCTCCACCCGTTTCGGACCGTCGCCCCCTGCACCATGCCCACCATGCAGCGAGCCAAAGCAGACAAACTCCAGTCAGCATCAGCACCAGCTCGAACCACCCGATCGACCCACAGCTTCGCCGTCATCGAACACACTTACCGATGAGAAAGTGCAAGTCCGGGTGTGCTGCACACAGCCTCGGGATCGCCGCGATCAGCAGATCAATTCCCTTGCGGTACATCAACCGGCTCAGAACCACCACGGTCAGCTTTCCCGACTCCACTCGCGAGCCATCCGGCTCGAATTGCTCGGCCACCACCGCGTTCGGAATGACGGACACCTTGCTCGGGTCCAGATTCGCGCGTAGCGTCGTGTTCTCCTTGCCCGTGTGCGAGACGCACACCACGCCGTCAACGTCGCTCAGCGCGAAGCGCAGCAGCTTGTTCGTCAGGATCGACGCCGTGTCCGAGAATCCGAACAGACTGTGGTCCGTAAACACCGCACGCAGCCCCATCGTGCGCGCGTGCAAGATGCCCTCGTGCGCCATCGACGACAGCGCCTGATGCCCGTGCACAATCTCGATCTCCTCCCGGATCAGGATCGAGCGCAGCGCAGGAAACAGCGAGAAGAAGTTCGGCAGCGTGTCTTGACGTGCAATCACCCCATAAGGCACGTGGTACACCTTGAGCCCGTTCGACAGATATCGCACTCCCACCCGGTCCGGCGCATAGGCATGCGTGATCACAATCACCTGTCACAGACGTCCAGCAAAGCAGATGCGGCGCTCATCTCGGTCGTCAGTGATACTGCAGAATCGCGATCGCTCCAGCTCCAATCAACTCACTTTGTGACCCATGGCCAGCAACCGCCCGCCGAGAAAGTAGATGTGGCCTTCCACACCGCCCACGTTGGGATAGAAAAAATCCGAGACCATGCTAGTCGTCGCATGGTTCCACGGAAAGCAACAGAATCAAACGTAGATCCAGCCAGCGAAGGATAGAAGTCGCGCATGGGTTCGCAGGCGAGAAGTCAAAACGAGGCGAAGCGTGTCAGTCTCGAGATTGGCTGAAGGGATTCCAAAAGGGCTGTTACAAAGCAAATCAAGCTACTACGAAAGGTCTCGAGCAATCGGCGAGCTTCGAGCGAGCAAAGGGGGTGGTGGGGTCACGCAGTCTGCTCACGCGATGTTGTAGCGGGGCTTGATGCTCTCGTCCGCATTGCGCCTCGCAGCGTCATCTTCCGATCGTGGGCCTCGCAGCGAAGACAGGTCGATACTGAGCGCGGATGCGATCAAGTCCGCGGCCTCTGTTGACTGCGTAGAGAAGCTGCCGCCGAGCGCCGTGTGCGTGAGCAGCAATTGCATCGCGAGCAAGTGCGACGCTACCTCGTTTCTCTTCGTACCCTTTGCCAGCGTGTCTTGGAGGCGGCAAAGGTCGCTGGCTGTGCATTCCTTCCAGCTTGCACACTGAGCCGCTTCCAGCAGCTCAGGCCTCGCGTACTTGGCGGCGAGGCGAAGGAAGAGTTCTGGGTCGCGGAACTGATTCGGCTTTTCCTCGACGAACAAAAGCGTGTTGGTAGCAAACGCCTCGTCAAACATCTTGTCGACCGCCTCGGGGCCCGGCGTCAACTGCTGCCAGACGTACTTTGACCACATCTCGGCGTCAGCGGAGCGCTTCGTATCGTAAAAGGCCGCCATCCAGCTCCAGGCTCGTTCGGTCGAGACGTCGGGGCCTGCACCGCCGCGTCGCGCCAGCTCTCGAATCGTGTCGTAGCTAGTAGGCGCACTATCCAACGATGCGCCGATCACTGGAACGGCAGTAACGGTCTCGCCAATCAAGGCAGCAGCTTCGGCACGTACATCCTCGTCGTCATCCGTCAGCAGATGGATGGCCGCAATACGCGCTTGGAAGAGCGCCGAACCCATCGTCCTGTCTTTCTGAGCTTCGCCCTGCTGCTGGTCCAAAGCTGGGAACAAAAGCGAGCCTAGAACGCGCAGCGCCTGACATGCGGCGTCGCGCGACTGTACCGAAGCGTCCTCGTTGGCGCACTCGGCGACCATGTGGCACCACTGCTGCAGCACGGGTCGTACAGAGCTGTCCCCGCCCCGGACAGTCACCAACAGCTTGCACAAGTCAGACAAGTAGGGCAGAAGCGCCTCCCTGAACGGCACGCACGTAGTCGTCGACGCAATCTCGGCGATCGAGCAAGCCTCACTGACCAACGCCTGGGCCGAAAAGGCATGCGAGAGCCAGGGCTTTCCGTCCGCGGCGTTTCGCATTGCGACTTCGTGCAGCACGGCGGCGGAGTGGACGCGGTGCCAGATTCCTTCGTCCTGATCCTGCACCACCGCATGCAGCCTGCGGACAAAGGCAACGAGCCGTTCAGGATGGACCAAAGACGACTTTTGCAGCGCCACGATGCCGTCATCTCCAATGAGCGCCTCTAGCGAGCTGATCCGCACGTCGTGCGAGCTGGACTTCAGCTGTCGTTCGCAGGCATCAATGAAAGCCGCGGGCGACGTGTCGTGCGCTGCGACTTGCAACTGCAGTCGGGCACATGTTGAGGCCAGTTCCGGCCCACCCGGCGTGAACCGAAGCTTGGCCAAGAAGTCGGGGCGTTCCAGATCGGACAGCAAGGTTGCGATCCAGATGTCGACGATGCGAAGTAGATGTCGTCCGAGATCGTGGAAAGCGCATTGACGAATGCCGACGAAGTCCTGAACCACTTCAAGATACGCCGTCTGTGTGACAGCACAGCGGTTCAACTCCAGCAACAAGCTCGCCTTGTCGGTGATGGCTGTAGCAAGACTCGACATAGCTGGCAGGATCGCCTCGGTTGCCACCTCGGTTTCTGCCACGCTTTGCAACAGACGTTGCACCAAGAGCAGCTTTCCGTGCACCTCGTTTTGCGAGCGAAGATAGACAGACGCCAAAATCGAGGCTGCATGCTGTGCCGCTACGCGCAGAGGCACAAATGCGGCGTACGCTTTGACGGTCACTTGGCGCACTTTCCAAACCTTGTTGTCCAGGCACCTGCAGAGCAGGGCACGGTACTTCTCCATCCTTTGGGCCTCTCCGGGCCGTTGCGGCTCCGTTTCGGGAGCCTGCATGCGGCTGAAGAGCATGACCACCGCAAAGAGACTCGAGGCAAGCCCCTCGTCATCGAGGCCTCCATGCGTCTGAGCCTCTGCGAGGACGCGTTGAAGGAAGGCGTCGAGATCGGGGTAGGCTGCGAAGAATTCGTCGACGGGCATGCGTGCCTCCCTTGTGTCCTTGTTGGTGTTGCGACTGCCGAAGATCTTGATGCTGAGAGAGGAGAAGAGCATCATGCTGACGTTGCGCAGCCCCCAGAAACGGGAGCGGAACGTGCTGATGGTGAGCTCGAGCAGCGGCCCGAGGTAGCGAGACATGTGGTCTGTCAGGCCGCCATCCATGACGAGGACGCGCAGGATGTTGAGTGCGTGGATGGAAGCGACGGGCATGACGTCGGGGTGCGACGTGTATTGCGTGGCGATTTGCATCAGGCGCTCTACGGTGGCGCGCAGGATGGAAGCGTCGGTCTTGTTGGGCTGTGCGCTGACGAGCGCGAGCACGGCGTAGCCAATGCCGGCACTACGGCGCGTGATGCTCAGCTGCGCGCCGGACTGTGCGACCACGTCGAGGAAGGCGGTGATCCAATTCTGCGGGAGGTGGGCGATATCGGGTGCACCTGTCCTGACAATGGCGGCGGCTGCATTGGCATAGGCAGGATAGATGGTGCTGAATGCACCGCGATGACGGACCTGCGTGAGCCATCGATTGAAGCGCTCGCCAACGGCTTCGATGTCTTGCACGCGGAAGACTTTGCGCCATGCGTCGGGAGGCTGGACGGCAGAAGCGGGTTGATGCTGTGAGCCTTTCTTCTTGTTGCGCTGCAGAGGATGTGGGGCGAGGCACGTGGCGACGACGACTCCGAGCAGGGCGCTCGCCTCCTTCATGCCACGCCACGAATAGGACAAGATGACCTGATGCTTTGGACCGGCGTTGGACTCCTCCTGAGGCTGCATGAAGGCGAGCTTGGCATCGTCGTCGCTAGCCGCCTGCATCGCCAGAGCAGTCTCGTGAGAGGCAGGCTGATCGAGTCCAATGTTCGGATCGCTGGAAAGAGACTGGTCGGCGTCGCCTTCGGCCTGTGTGCTGCCTTCGGGTGCCGAGTTGCAGAGCACCGCCTTTGTGATGCACCAAACTCGATCGATGAGCTCCTGCGCCGCCAAGACGGCTTGACGGAGCACCTCCTGCTCCGAGTCGATGAGCGAGTGGAGTTCTACAGAGGAAAAGAGCTCTTGAAGCGCGACAAGGGTACCGTGCAACGGATGGGAAGTGGCGGCTACAAGGATGTCTCCCGACTCGGCTACGTTGAGTTGGTAGTCCAAGAAGTCGAAGAGGTCGAAGATGAGGGTCAAGGCGGTGTGGGTGGAGGCGGTTCTCGACGAGCCGGTTTCGAGGGCGACGAGGCCGAGCAGCGATGGCGGCTGATGAGCCAGTTGCTGCATGTACAGAGTGCGGTAGAGCTGCATAAGCTTGGAAGCAGCAGCCGACTCAAAGTCTCGCGTACTCGTCAGCAGCTGTGCGGAGCGGCCGAGGAGACGCTCTGCTGCCGCTTGCGCAGTCTCGAGGCCCGCCAGAGGCGCAGGGAAGCGCGAGAGGATGGTGAGGGCACGCGTCTGAATGTCGTCGTAGGTGCTCTCTGAGCATGCGAGGAGCTGCTGGACGAGCGCGGGCGTGATGAGCTTGATGGCGAAGGGGAATTGCTGCGAGAAGACCTGCTTGGATTTGTTGAGCGACATGCCTGCGTTCTTGGCGAGCGTCGTGGTGGATTGTGCTTGGGCGTTGGAGAAGCTCGGGTCTGCGCCGCTCTCGAGGATGAGGTCGAGGAAGGTGAGCGAGGTGATGGTAGATTGATAGGAGGCGCCGGGACGGAGGGTGGAGCGTACGAGCTGGACCATCCATTCGAGGAAGTGGCGGCTTGCGTCGATGGAGTGTTGCATCTGCGCGAGCTTGAGCTCTTCGTGCTGGTAGCGTTCCGCTTGGTCGATGCGTGCGATCTTGGCAATGTCGCGAGCGAGGGCATAGGTGCTAGCACGGAGGCGCGTCAGAAGCTTGACAAAGAAGCCGCGCAATTCGCCACGGGCGGCGGGGTTGGTGATTGCGAGGCTGTGTGGGAAAAAGGTGCGGAGGATGTCGAGCTCGATGGCGGTGAGAGGTGCTGCGGGCGTCTTGGACTCGATGACGAGGGAGAGGGCCGAGATTTGGAGTTCGCTCGCTGCGGCCAGGATGCACTCCTCCAGTAGGGAGGCGGGCACGAGCAGCTGTGCTGAGCCGGCCGCTGTGGCGTGCTCGTCGGTGGCAAAGTCGGGCGTGGAGTCTATGCGGCACAAGCCGTGGAGTTTTGCGATTCGGAGGACGAGAAAGACGCTCTCGACGTTGATGGTTGCGTCCGAAGAGGAGCGGGCGAGAAGGTGGTGCAGGAGGGTGGGGAAGACGCGGGTGTCGAGGTCAAAGAGCGAGGCGAGATGGTAAGAGGCGAGACCGGACCGGAGGCGCTCGCCGCCTTGCTTGAGGGCAGAGGTGAGTGCGTCGATCCAGATGGAGGACCAGGCTTGCCAGGAGGGCGACGTGGGATCGGCGAGGTTGTGGTGCTGTTGGTTGGATTTGGATGTGGAAGGGTAGAGCGGACAGCCGAGGTCGTCGGCTCTTGCGATCAGGAAGCTGAGGGCGAGTCGGGAGCGACGGTTTGCGCCGCCATCGACGGTGCCTAGGCCGCGGATCATGCGTTCGTAGATGGCGGCGTCGTCCATCTTGGAGCCAAGCAAGGAGGCGGAGGCGGTCAAGAAGGGAGCGGAGCCAAAGTGGGCGATGATGACCTCGAGGACGATAGGAGATTGTTTGCGCTCAAGCTGGGACAGCGCGCGGTCGACGAGAGTGGTGAGGAAAGTACTTTTGTCGGGATACTGTCTCGAAGGCTGCTGCGGGGAAGAGGAGGGGGACGACGGTGGCTGATAGATTGCGTCGAGAAGGGCGATGACAGCTTCGAAGACGGTTCTTGTCCTGGAAGAGACTTGTGTCCTCTCGGAATGGCAAGCGGACCAGACAATGTCGGCAAGCGCGAGCTGCTGGTGCTTGGGAAACAGAAGCTGGCGGGAGTCGAGGTCGAAGGTGGACGAGGAGGTGGAGGACAGAAGGCGGGCCAGCTGGTTGGCCCACAGGCGCAGTGCATCGAGGCCGTACTTGAATGATGCTGAGAGCTCGTCCGGGGATTCCAAAGCGAGGTCGAGGCAGCGTGTGAGCAAAGAGAGCGCCTCCGCGGTGTCGAGCGGAGCGGCGCTTGAAGAGGAGGCGGATTGAGTGGGCAGCTGCTGGAGTGCGTCGATGCGCTGCAGCAGCTGTAGCACGGCTTCGGGTGCCTCTGGATCGGTCCTTGCTTTGACCATGATCGATACAGAGACCGACGAGAATGAGAGCGATGAGAGAGTCGATGGGGGAAGATCGAGGTGCGGAAGAAGAAAGTGTCGGTTTTACCGTTCGATTTTGTTTATTTTTTCCTGCCTTTTTTTCCGGCCGCAATTTAGAGGTTTTGTGGGTGTTCTTTGACCCCATCATGGATGGCACGGAGAAGGAATGCGATGCGAACACCGATACAAAGGACAAGCACTAGACACACACGCACACAGGCGAGGCAGGTCTCGCGACATGGACCAAAGGATGCTGCGTTACAAGAGAAGTGCCGGCACTGAGGCGGTGCGCGCGCGCGTACAAAATCATTGGCCGACGTCAAAGACGCTGAGAAGGGCAAAGCAGGCGTAGAAGAGGCCGACGGGATAGGCGACGAGGAGGCGCTGCTCGGACAGACGTAGGATGGAGACAAAGATGCCCGATGCCGAGGTGGAGCACCAGAGGATGAAGAGGGGCGAGACGATGTAGCCCAAAAACGAGCTGGACGGCGGCGGCACGGCAAAGGCAAAGGCAAAGGCAAAGGCAAAGGCAAAGGCAAAGGCAAAGGCAAAAGAAGAAGCGGTCAGAGGAGGGGTCAGCCACGGACAACACGGTATGAAGAGAAAGCACGGAGACGGAGGACTCACTCTAGACGAACCACGATGCTTGCCGTGCTGAGGATGCAGAGCGGGAGGAGGCAGTAGCCGAGCACCGAGGCGACGCGGTAGGCGTCGATGCCGCCTTGGCTCATGAGGTTGAGCAGCGTGTAGATGCTCACGGCGCCGAGCAGCGCGACGCCGTACACGTAGCCGAACTGGCTCTTGCCTGCGAGGAGGAGCGTCATGCCAAACACAAAGCAGAAGAGCAGCGGGCCTGCGAGGTCGGCGTCGTCCATCATGTGGGCGTCCTTGGCGTGCGAGGCCGAGTAGCGGTGCAAGGGGTTGAGCACGGTGAGTGTCTTGTCGACGATGTGACCGATGTTGATGCCGAGCTCCTCCATGAGCGGCGGCTCGTCTGGGAATCCGCCGGTGCCAAAGGCGGACCAGAAGCCCATCTGGGAGCTCATCATGGCGTGCGCCGCCGATCCGGGCGCGAATCCTGCCGAGGACGACATGTTGCCTTCCAACGAAGGGCGTGTATTGGAGGCAGACGGAGTAGCATACGCCTGGTGTGCGCCAGCTGCTGACGACGAGTAGAACGACGAGAACTGGTTCTGCTGGCTCGGATTGCTGTAAAAGTCGAGCGGGCTGCCAGCCTGACCCCCGGCCGCAGCGGTGTGCGACGCCTTGTTGGAGCCGGCACCCGAGCCGGACGCGGAGGCTTGCGGATAGCCGTACGGCGAGGAAGAATCGAAGATGGCCGACATGGTTTGACGGGACGGCGAGAAGGATGGTGTTGGAGTGTTGGAAGAGCGAAGATCAGCACCTCTCCAGAGTCGAAGCGAAGCGCCTCGGAGGGTGATCCAAGCGCGCGTCCCTTCTTTCAATCTAACATGTTGACGTGTCAATATTCATACTCGCACGAGAAAGAAATGGCTCGAACCCTGACCGGATTTTTTTTTTTTTTTTTTTGGTCGAAATTGTGGGAAGTTGGAAAGTTTCGGGCGAGCTGCGCGAGTCGACTCCACCCTCTCTCTCGCCTCCGCTGCTGCTCAGTCGATTCAAAGTGCAGTATCGCCACGCCTCGAGCCGGCAGTCTCTCCTCGCCACCATCCTGTCTCGACCCAATTACACCTACGTGTCTACGACAGCATGCCTCAGGTAAGTCCATGCCTTGTTCAGTCTAGACTGGCAGAAGTCATGCTCGCCCAACATCGATCGCTGACCCTCGTTCGTGCTCTTTGGATTCGCCGCGCCGGCAGAACGACTACATCGAAGAACACATCCGCCGACACGGCCGCCGACTCGATCATGAGGAGCGTCAGAGGAAGCGCGCGGCGCGAGAGGTGCACAAGGCATCCGCCGTCGCACAAAAGGTCACCGGTCTCAAGGCCAAGATGCTCAACAAGAAGCGTCGCAACGAAAAGATCCAGATGAAAAAGACGCTCAAGGCGCACGAGGAACGCGACGTCAAGCAGGCCTCCACCGCCTCCGACCCCAACCAGGCGCTCCCCACCTATCTGCTCGACCGCGAGGGCCAGAAGGACGCAAAGGCGCTCTCCTCGGCCGTCAAGGAGCGCAGAAAGGACAAGGCGGCGCGCTACTCGGTGCCGCTGCCCCAGGTGCGCGGCATCGCAGAGGACGAGGCGTTCAAGGTGGTCAAGACCGGAAAGCGCAAGCAAAAGGGATGGAAGAGGATGGTCACCAAACCCACCTTTGTCGGCGAGAGCTTCACGCGCAAGCCGCCCAAGCTCGAGCGCTTCATCCGTCCCATGGGCCTCCGCTACAACAAGGCGCACGTCACCCACCCGGAACTCAAGGCCTCCTTCAACCTCCCCATCGTCGGCGTCAAGAAGAACCCGCAGAGCCCGCTCTATACCCAACTCGGCGTGCTCACCAAGGGCACCATCATCGAAGTCAACGTGTCGGAGCTCGGCATGACCACCACCACGGGCAAGGTCGTGTGGGGCAAGTATGCACAGGTCACCAACAACCCAGAAAACGACGGCTGCGTCAACGCCGTCCTCCTACTCTCGTCCTAACACCACACCAAGACCATACGCATACACACATACGCCCAGCCCAGGCCCTCTCCATCATCCGCATTCTCTTGTCTCATGAGTCTCTCTGTACACTAGCAATTCCAGTTTGTCGTTCTTCCATTCGATCGCCGCGCCAGTCTTTTCGACACAAGGTGGCATTGCGACATAGCTATAGTACAGTGGGCAAGGCTCGTCAGCTGTCGAGCTCCATCTCTTCCGAAGCACCCAGGCAACCGGACAGATCGACAGGCTGGGCGCCCGCAGCGTTGGTGCGCGATGAGGCGGCCGAAAACACGTGCATGTGCGGTGCGAGGTTCGAATGCGCTGGCTCGGGCAAGCCGTAGTGGTGGCCGTAGTGGCGCTCGCCGTAGTGAGGCTCAGCAGGCGCGCCCGCAAAAGCCGCACTCGCAACAAAACCTGGCGCCGATCCGCCCGTGCCGAAGCCCTGCAGCGGCGGCGCGGCTATGGAGCCGCCAAAGCGCGCCTCGAGCACCGAGGGCTCTGGAAAGTAGGAGCTCGAAAGGCGCGACTGCTGTGCGTATAGCGGACTTTCGAGCGTGTGCGGGGGCGAAGGCATCCCAACAGGCGCACCAGCCTGGCCAACGCAGGCTGGGCCCGACTGAAAGGCCACAGGCGCCTGACCGAGGAAGCCGGTGCGCGCCGGGGCGGATGCGTCGGCGGCAGTGTGCGCGCCAGCCGACGAGGCGCCAGCCGTGGTGGTGGCCGCCTTGAGCACTTGTTCGGGATCCTTCCAGAGGATCAGCGCGCCACGTGCATCGTCGGCGTTGATGGGAGTTGCGTAGCCCGACGAGGCCGGGCTCGATTGGTTCGAGCGACGCCGGCTGCTCAGCACCGAGCCGAGGCCGGAGATGGCGGGAGTGCCAGCGGATCTCCTGCCTGAGCGCCGGGAGCGGACGGGGAGAGCGGCTGCTGCTGCCGCTCCTGTCGCTGCTGCTGCGCCGGAACGCGAGGTGGAGGCGGCATTGTCGCGGTGCGAGGTACCGGTGATCACGGCTCGGCTATGCGCCTCGAGCTTTTCGATGAGTTCGTTGTTGATGACAAAGTCCGAGGGCTTGGCTACGGGCGCGGTTCGGTGTGCAGCGTCGCGATCCGAGGCGGGGCCGTCATCGCCGCCGCCGTCTTCGTCATCACTATCGGAGGAGCAGGAGTCGTCCAAGCTGGTGACGACGATGCGGTTGGGTTCAACTTCGAAGCTGGATGGGACGCGGCGCGACATGCTCATCTCGGCGTCAGCGTCTGCATCGAGTGATGCATTGTGATGCTGATGCATAGGATGGTTGTGGGATTGGGCAAAGGTTGGTGCGCTCTGCGAGAGGCTGGGCGAGGTGGGTGGAGCCGGTGCGATGGCATGTTGGTAGACGGCGGAAGCGTGCATGTCGAGTGCGGCGGGAACAAGGGGAGCGGATGGAAGCTTTGTGGGGCTCGATGGCGGCACGCGCGGTGCGGCGATGTGGGCTGCGACCAAGGGGTCTAGCGGTCGGGAGGAGGGCACGGCGGAGGCGAGTCCAAAGGCGGCGGTGAGGCCCGTGTTGGCTCGAGGCGCGAGCGGCCGATCTCCAAAGCCGTATTGGTGAGACGCTGTTGGGATGTGCGGCGGCACTGGAGAAGAGTGGATGTGCAGGCCGGCGAGCTTGCCAAAAGTCTGTCGATCCTCGTGGGATTCTAGATGCGGACGCTTTGCGGGTCTGGCGAGCGAGGCGAGCTCGTCGTGGTGCGTTTCTTCGTCGAGGTTCGAGTGGGCAGGCCATGGTTGCGGGGCGACGTTTGGGGGCAAGGAAGCCGAGTGCCAGTCGTAGTCGCCGTCCGAGTCGGAGAGATCCTCGATGCCCCAGCTGCTTGCGCTGGACGAGTGGCGCGGAACGAGCTGGGGCGAGGGCGGATTGACGATCGAGGGGATGACTGACGAGGTAGCGTGCGCCTGGAGCAGAGCATCTGGCAGAGCCTGGGGGAAGCGGGAACGCTTCTTGTTGGCGGCGGCGAGGGGGGCCTGCTGCCCATATGGTTGCGCCATGCTTGGGTATTGGTCCTAGTGAGAGTGCGGCTGTGGTTTGCGGGGCTACGACGCAAGGCGGCGCGCCGACCGACGAGATCAGACGAGCATTTGTATGTGCTGCCGATGGTAGTGTTCAGATGGCAAGATCTTGCGCGCTGTCGTGATGGTGGTGAGTGTGATGGTGGTGGGCAGAATGAGTGAAGGGACGAGCGGATTCAGCAAACCACGGTGCCGCCCACTGAGCCGTAGACTGAATCGGGTGATGCACCGCGTCAAATCACTGCCTTTCAGTAGACAGTTTTTGAAACTTCTGGAAGAATTCTCTGAAATCGGGTGAAGCATGTCCCGATGTCACCTCCACACCGATCCTCCACACCGATGCTCCGCACAAAGCTTCCAAAGACGCGGCTCAGCTTTGGCCAACGCTTTGATCCACCGCCACCATCTTCTCCTCCTCCTCTTGCTTCCCCTCCTTCTTCGTGTTACGGCGTCGAGGAGAAACCACCACGCAGAAGCCAGTGCATTTGCACGGCTTCACAAACCAAGCCGACATGCCAGCGTCGGGCGCCTTGTACCCCGCCAGCGTGTTCGTCGCCGCGCTCCTCCTCCTCGAACGAGCCGCCGACGCCTTTATCCACAGCGTGTCGCACCTCTCTTCGCAGCTTAGCATCAGTCCCACTCTCATCGCGCTTCTAACCGCTGGCGCAGAGTGGGAGGAGCTCGTCGTCGTCGTCGCCGCACTCGCCCACGGTTCGTCCAACCTCGCGATCGCCAACGTGGTCGGATCCGCCATCGCCAACATCCTCGGCGCTTTCTCGCTCGGCATCATCGCAGCGCCCAACGCGATCCAGTTCGACGCCAGCTCCCGCAGATTTGCCATCATCCACGCCGCCATCACCACCCTCGTCATCGCCCTCCTCCTCACCGTACAGCTCCAGCACGGAGATACGCACGCCAAACTCGCCACACAGCGCCTCTTTGAAAACGTCGTCGGCCTCAGCCTCATCACCCTCTTTGTCCTTTACTTTGTTGGCCTCTCCTGGGCCATCGGGCGCGGCATGCTCGCCGCTCCCCAGCCGTCCGACTCGGAATCCGGTTTCGAATCCGCCGATGACTCCTCCTTCTCCTCCTCGGCCTCGCCCTCGCCCTCGCCCAGCACCTACAGCGATGCCTCCTCCCCCCCTCCAGCACGCACACGCACACGCACACGCGCGCAAGCTCCGGCCGCACGCCGCCCTAATCCGCGCACCACCGCCACCGCAAACGCCCTCGAGAGCACACCGCTCCTGGTGGGCTCAGCCACCTCGTCCAACCTCGCCGCACGCCTCACACGCAGGCGTCGACGCGCACAGCTCCGCAGCCTCCGCAACCTCGTCGCCGCCTTCCTCCTCCTCTCGCTCGCAGGCTACCTCCTCTCCCACTCCGTCCTCGACCTCGCATCGCTCCTCAATCTCTCCGACTCGCTGCTCGGCCTCACCCTGCTCTCCTTCGCCACCACCATCCCCGAAAAGCTCCTCAGCGTATTCGCTGGCCTCCGCTCCGCACCTCCTACCAAACCACCACCTCCACCACCCTCCACCTCCCGCCCGACATCCTCCATTGCGCCGGCAGCCCAACGCTCCCCGCAACGCGCTCACAACGAGCCCGACATCGCCCGCAGCGCAAGCAGCGTGCTCATGGCCGCAGCCACAGGCAGCAACATCTTCCTCCTCACCCTCTGCCTTGGCATCTCCTTGCTCTTTGACCGCGATCATCCCTCCCCCAGCCCCTCTATCCAATCCACCTCTCCCCCGCATTCCCATCCTCTCGCCGCCAGCAGTGTCCGGTGGCAAGAACTCGCGCTGCTCGAGGTCGCCTCCCTCTTCCTCGTCTTTATCGCCTATACCGACGCACAGCGCTGGCAAGGTCTCCTCCTCCTCCTCGCCTACTTTGCCTTTCTTGTACTGGAATTCACGTATCTGCGCAGGTGAGGAGGCTGCCGCCTTACACACCCGCCTCGGCCACTCTCACTTGCAAATGCATCATGCCATTGCCATCGTGCACCAAGCACGTCCCTCTATTCCGCCAGCATCATCGCCCCCTTGAGTGTTGAATCAACTGCTAACCACCGCACTTGCTTCGTTGGGCCGCACGGTGACGCCCGAGCTGAGCAGGCTCTGGAGAACCTTGTCGTTGCGCTCGCGTCCGTTGCTCAGCAGCGCCGCGACGCGCGACAGCACCTCGGACGAGCCCAGCTCGATCTTGCTCTCCACGATGCCATCCGCCCGTGTCGGCCCGCGATTGAGGATCATCACCGGCTTCGCCTGCTCCACCGCCTGCTTCACCAGCCGAAACGCCGAATACGTCGCCAGGCTCGTCCCCACCAGCAGCAGCGCACGCGCATCATCCACCATCGCATACGAATGGTCGCGCAACCGGTCCGGCACCGACTCGCCGAAGAAGATGACCGACGGCTTGAGCACCCCGCCGCAGTTGGGACACGCCGGATAGTGGAAGGTGTAGTCGACATTGTGCAGCTCCACATCGCCGTCCGGATTCGTCTTGGGCCTCTTGCCCGTCTCGGCCATATCTCGCTCGAGCTGCGCCCACGCCGGATTGAGCCGGGTCAGCTCGTCCTGGAACACGGCTCGCGAGCCTCGAAAGCCGCAGCCTCGCGGATAGTTCTCGCCCGTCGGCGTATTGTCAGGCCGCAACGTCACCGCCCTCGGTCCTCGCAGATAAGAGGTGGCCGTCATGGCTTCGTAAAAGTCGGCGTGGACCGGACGCTTGGACTGCTCGCGCCCAGCTGCCTCCGGACTCGAGACGCACACCACATGCTTGAGCGTGCCGTGCAGCTCGAGGATGGTGCTTGCTGCCAGCGAGGCCGAAGGCGTCGCCGCGTGATGCAGGTTGTCAACGTTCTGGGTGATGAATTCCGGCACGTAGCCTAGCCGCTGAATCGCAGCGATGCTGTAGTGCGTCTTGTTCGGCTGCGCCACCCGCACAGGCGGGAATCCAAGGTAGGACCGCGAGAAGTAACGCTGGCGGGCCAGGTGGCCCTTTTCGGTGGGGTCGGTGAACTCGTGGTAGAAGATAGGGCGATACGTCTTGTGCACCGTATAGTGTCCCTTCTCCCCGCGGTAGGGTGCTATGCCAGAGTCTACCGAGACGCCCGCTCCCGTCATGATGAGCGCCTTGCCTTTGGCAGCCGCGAGGAACTCGGCGACCATCTCGGACGCCTTCTCGAGGCTGTACTCGATCGTCGGCCGACTGGCATGTTCGGGGATGGAAGGTATGGATATCCTCATCGTCGCCCCGTCCACCGGGCTTGTGCGATCGTGGTTGTCGCAAAGCAGAGCCGTATAAGGGCACCACCGTCTTTTGCGCCCCGTCGTCCTACAGCCGCACCAGCCACGCCGAAATATCGCGTCTCCTCGCTTCGCTTCGGAATATTTCGCATGCCGCTTCTGACCTTTGTGACGTCTCAGCGCGGCTCGCGCCCAGCTCGGACACGAAGCTCATGGTCAGGCCGCGTTGGGGCGATGTGTCAGCGTGGAGGATCGCGTCTCGGTTGCTTTGACGGATTTTTACTCAGCCGACGTCACGCAGGAGCCACGACTGACGCATTCCGCGCATCAAGAGCTGGTGATTTCCACTTCCATGTAGGGTGGTGGCGCGTACAGCAGTAGATACCGGCGTAGATCCATGTGGAGCGATGCCTTGCTTTAGAAGCGAGATCCGATCCCCCGCATCTGGGGCGGTCGTGCTTCTGTACAAATACCAAGTCGCTGGTCGCGCGCTCCCGCCACATGCTATCCGTCCGCGCTGTCAAGCTCTGCGTACTACGTTCTACGACCATCTGCCCAGTCCTCCCTCTCAATCCTTGCGAGCAACATCTTGCGCACTACTCCACGGTACCGACCGCTCAGAATGACAGGCGGGAAGAAAGACGCACACAACCTGTCCGAGGGAGACGAGGTGTCGTGGAAATGGGGATCGCAGCATCCCTCCGGCACCGTCAAAGAGGTCGTTGACGGCGAGGCACAGGCCAAGACCAAAAAGGGTTCGACCATCACCAAGGACGGCAGTAAAGACGACCCTGCCGTCGTCATCGAGACGGCCAACGGCAACAACGCCGTCAAGAGTGTTGAGTATCCGCCACGGCCCCCGCTCGAGTGCCGCCTTGGCCTCGGCTCGATTGAAACGTGCTGCTGCTGACGCCCCTTTCACACTTCCAACAGGCGAGCGAGATCGACGGAGTCAAGCCTTGACCGGAGTCGTTGCATTCATATTTCCTGTACCTGATTCACCAGCCGAATTGGAGCTGCTGGCGGGAGAAGACGGGGGGAGTCCAGTTGAGTTTGTCCGGGTTGATGCGCCTGCGCTTCTTCTTGGCCGTCTTGTCGTGCTTGGCGATGACGGCGTCGGAGAGGACGAGGTAGTGCTTGCCCTGGTATTGCTTGAGCATGTTGAGCGCCATGCAGGTGTGGAGGACGTCTGCGTGGGTGAAGGCGGTCTTCTGTGCGATCTCCTCGATGCTGATGTCCTCTTCGGTCTTGAGCAAGAGGTCGACGATGATCTCGGCCCAGTAGGCTCGATAGCTGAGCAGGCCCAGATCGGAGAGCGGCTTCTCGGGACTGCCGAGCTTGTTCTCGCGCTTGGTGAGCTCGTAGGAGAATTCGATGAGAAGCTTGCCATAGCCAGCGCGCTGGTGCTGCGGCAGGGTCAAGATGCAGGCGACGTTGTAGTTCTCGGCGGATTCCTTCTCCTTGGAGAAATAGCCCAAGAGATGGCATCCGAGATCGTCGCGCTTTACCATGCAGTAGTAGAGAAAGGGATCGACGTCGTAGTAGAGCGTCTTGTGGTCGAGGAAGCACTTGCTGAGCAGGCAGAGGTTGCGGCACCACGTCTTTTGGCGGCGACCGTCGATCTCGAAGAAGGAGATGTCTTCGTGGCGGTAGATCTCGTTGCCGGGCGGATGCGCGAGCGTGCACTTGCTGCGGTGACGGCGGAGGGTGACGGGCGAAGGAAAGTAGGAGAGGCACATCTCGCAGATGTAGAGCGTGTCGATGTGGGCGTACTCGAGCGGATAGGGGCTAAAGTACCAAGTTTCGACCTCGGACTTGCCCATCTGGATCTTGTTGAGGTTCTTGACGCGGGCGACTTCGGAGACGGACTGGGTCATGGAGCCCGAGGTGCGAAGCTTTTCGATCTCCTGCTCCTTGCTAAAGGTATCGCTCGACTGATTGGCGTTGAGCGAGGCGGTGAGGCCGCCGTTCTTGTGCGTGGCCACGTCGTCCCTCTCCTGCTGGTCGTTGCCACCGAGCATTTCGATGGCGACGACGGCGCCGTCCTCGTCGTCCTCGCCGTCGGCGTCGGCGTCTGCGTCGGCATCGACGGAGTCGGCGCGTGTGCTGTGTGGGGTGGAGGTGTCGCTGGAGCCGAGCTTCCGCTTGTGCTGAGGCGTCTCGAGGTGCGCGTCGTCGAGCACGTTCTTGGCTGCCTGAGCGGCTGCCTTCTTGAGCAGGTTGGTGGCGCCAGCGGATCGGTTGCCCTTGGCTGTGGGGGTGAGGGGCGTGGACGGTGTGGAGGTGCCGCTGGCGGTGCGGACGACTTTACGCTTGGTCTTGTCGTTGGCGGGCTCCTTCTTGGGCCACTCGAGTTCGCGCGAGGTGATGAGGCGCGTGCCGCTGACCCACTCGTCGAGGCGCTTGTTGAATTCGCAGTAGTGGACGTAGTACTCGAGCTTCTCCTCGAGGGTGGGTGCTGGCTTGCCTGCGAGCTCCGCCTGCTGCTTTTTGGTGAGGCGCGGCTTGGGCTTTTCCCTGATGGAGAGGATCTCTGCCTTGCGCTCCTCCATGTCGCCCGTGACGACGTCGGGCTTTTGAACAAAGGCTTTGCAGCCGACGACCACATCCTCGAGACCATACGTTCCGGCGGGGCTGATCTGCGGGCCTTCGTCGGGACCAGGCGTGCCCGATCCTCCGGGAGTGCCGCTGGTTGACTTTTGCGCACGCGGAGCCATTGTGACGATGCCTGCAAGGTGCGAGGTGCGAAGAGCGAGCCTCGGGGTGATGAGAAAGAAGTGAGAGAGCGTGCGGCTGGTGCGGCTGGTGCGGCTGGTTCAAGAAGTGGTCGGAGAGGGCGAGGCGAGGGAGCCCATCTGCAGAGGGCCTTTGCCGACCGCCGAGTCGAACCGAGGCTGGCTGACGTGCTGCTGCGGTTGCTATATGGTCAAGAGGAGCAGGAGATGATGGAGGATAGATGGATGGATCGTCGAAATGCGAGGCTGCAGAGGCTCAGTCGGCTGAGTCGCGATTCATAAGCCGAATTTTTGTGTCCATCGGGTGATTCGAATTCCGATTGGCGATTCAACGTCAGCGGAAGCGCCCCGATTTGCGGGTCGGCTCAGTCGGTCTCTGCTTCGTGTTGGTAGGCGGAAGGCGGAAGGCGGCGTGCTCTCATCACCACCCCCACCATCACCGCGTCTTCCATCCATTCAACTCGCTGCTCCTCACTATTCGCATCGTCACTCAGTGGAAACACGCTGTGCAGCCGTTCGTGTCCATTGCTCGCGCCCATCCTCTCCGTACACACGCCCTCGTCTACACCGGCGCTTGGCCTCTTGCCTAGCGGACACCTTCTCGATCTCACCTCTCGAAGCGCCTTTCCCCGCCCTGGTTTCACACAGGATGACCCGAGACGTAGAGGAGATGCGCAAAGACCAGGCTGCTGCCGGCAGACTTACTGGCTACGATCAAGAGTCTCGCCACGGTTCTGGGTCGGGCAAGTACGTGCGCGAACTGCCGACAGATACAAGCAGCGACGACAGCGATTCCGACGGCGCCAGCACAGGACGCCATGGCAGTAGACGCAATCCTCTCGACGCCTACTCGGCTCCGCAGCACCTCCTCCACGAGTATGCAGACGAGGACGAGGACCCACTCAGGGCCCGTGCCGAATCGAGGCAGATCGCCGCTCGTCAGAACGAGTACCAGCTTCGCAGATTCAACCGCGACCTCAACCAAGGCGCTGCCGTCGATCCGTTTGCGCACGACAACGCCGACGCCGCCCAAGAACACGAAAGCTACAAAGACCGCATGAGGAGAGCCGAGCTGGAACGCGAGGAGCAGCGCGTACACAATCTCATCCAGGCAAAGCAGAGCGAAGATGCAGGTCCCTCGTCGCGCCGTGCAGCCTCCGACGAGTGGGACATAATGCCAGAGTCCGCGACGCAAACGCCCGACGGCGAGCGCACGCCCAAGACGAGGCGCAAGCGAAGGTGGGACGTCGCAACTTCAGATGACCAACAAGACACCGCTGCAGCCACCAACGGCTCCCATACGCAGCCGCAGCCGCAGGCGCAGCCAAGCGAGGCGGCCCCACGCAAGCGCCGCTCACGCTGGGACGAAGTTCCTGCCGACGCCGATGTCGCCAACGACACCGTCCACGCCTCGCTCGTTCAAACAGAGGCGAAGCGCTCCCGTTGGGACCAGGCGCCGCCGGTCAGCGCAGACGCGCTCCCCTCTTCGACCGACTTTGCTGCTCCCGGCAAAGACGCCGCTGCTTCAGCCTCTCATGTCTCAGCCGATTGGCGCAATCGATACATGACCGACGAGGAGCTCGACTCCGTCCTGCCGTCCGAAGGCTACACCATCGTCCAGCCACCGTCCGACTACGTGCCCGTCCGGGTGCCGCCGCACATGCAACCAGATCATCACGGCGCCGAAACTGCCGGTGGCTTCGTCATGCAGGACGAAGGCGCAACACGCGCCGTCCTCGAGCAGATGATTCCGGATCTGCCCACCGACATCCTTGGCGTCGGGCAGCTAGCCTTTTTCAAGACGGAAGATCAGGCCTTCTTCAAAAAGATCCTCACCCACGAGGACGAAGCCAATCTCAGCAGCGAGGAGCAAAAGGAGCGTAAGATCATGCGCCTCTTGCTCAAGATCAAAAACGGAACCCCTGCCACGCGAAAGACTGCGCTGCGTCAGATCGCCGACCGTGCCCGCGATTTCGGACCTGGCCCGCTCTTCGACAAGATCTTGCCATTGCTCATGGAACGGACACTGGAGGATCAGGAACGCCACCTGCTCGTCAAGGTCATCGATCGCATCCTCTACAAGCTCGACGATTTGGTCCGTCCTTACGTCGGCCGCATCCTCGTCGTCATCGAGCCCCTTCTCATCGACGAGGACTACTACGCACGCGTCGAAGGCCGCGAGATCATCAGCAACCTTTCCAAAGCCGCCGGTTTGGCCCACATGATCAGCACCATGCGCCCAGACATCGACCACGTCGACGAGTACGTCCGCAACACCACCGCACGCGCCTTTTCCGTCGTCGCTTCGGCTCTCGGCATCCCGGCCCTGCTGCCCTTCCTCAAGGCAGTGTGCCGCTCCAAGAAAAGCTGGCAGGCGCGCCACACGGGCATCCGCATCGTCCAGCAGATCGCCATCATGATGGGTTGCGCCATCCTCCCGCATTTGAAAAGTCTCGTCGACTGCGTAGAGAAGGGGCTCGAAGACGAGCAGCAAAAGGTCAAGACCATGACGGCGCTGTCCCTGGCAGCGCTCGCCGAGGCAGCGGCCCCCTATGGCATCGAGAGCTTCGAAAACGTGCTCAAGCCGCTCTGGATCGGTACGCGACAGCACAGAGGGAAGGGTCTCGCCGCTTTCCTCAAGGCGATCGGCTTCATCATTCCGCTCATGGATTCCGAGAGTACGCTATACTTTGTCAAAGAGGTGACGCCGACCTTGATACGAGAGTTCCAGAGCGCCGACGAAGAGATGAAGAAGATCGTCCTCAAGGTCGTCAAGCAGTGCTCCGCCACCGAGGGAGTCACGGGCGCGTTTCTGCGCGACGAGATGCTTCCCGAATACTTAAAGAACTTCTGGGTGCGCAGAATGGCGCTGGACCGTCGTAACTACAGGCAAGTCGTCGAGACTACGGTGGAGTTGGCCAACAAGGTCGGCGTTACCGAGGTTGTGTCGCGGATCGTCGACGAGCTCAAGGACGAAAGCGAGCCTTTCCGCAAGATGGTGATGGAGACCATCGAGAAGGTCGTCGCCAACCTGGGCGCGGCCGACATCGACGAGCGCCTCGAGGTGCAACTCGTCGACGGTCTCATCTACGCCTTCCAGGAGCAGACGGTCGAAGACAACATCATGCTCGATGGCGTCGGCACGGTGGTCAACGCGTTGGGCCTGCGTGTCAAGCCCTACCTCACGCAGATTGTCTCGACCATTCTGTGGCGTCTGAACAACAAGAGCGCAAAGACGCGTCAGCAAGCCGCTGACCTGACCACCAAGCTGGCGTTGGTCATCAAGCAATGCGGAGAAGACGCTCTGCTGGCCAAACTTGGTGTGGTCCTGTTCGAGCAGCTGGGAGAGGAGTTCCCCGAGGCTCTGGCATCGATCATCAGCGCCGAGACGGCCATCGCCAACGTGGTCGGCATGGCGCAAATGAGCCCGCCCATCAAGGATTTGCTCCCGCGTATGACGCCCATCCTGCGCAATCGTCACGAGAAGGTGCAGGAAGCGAGCATCAACCTCATCGGCAGGATCGCCGATAAAGGCGCCGAGTTCGTCAGTCCGCGCGAGTGGATACGCATCTGCTTTGAGCTGCTGGATCTGCTCAAGGCGCACAAGAAGGCCATCCGCCGAGCTGCGGTGAACAGCTTTGGCTACATTGCGCGTGCCATCGGACCGTCGGACGTGCTGCAGGTGCTTCTGACCAATCTGCGCGTGCAGGAGCGACAGTCGCGTGTTTGCTCGACGGTGGCGATTGCCATCGTGGCCGAGACGTGCGGGCCCTTCACCACCATCCCGGCCATCCTCAACGAGTATCGGACACCGGAGCTCAACGTGCGCAACGGCTGTCTCAAGGCGCTGAGCTGGGTGTTTGAATACATCGGCGAGATGAGCAAAGACTACGTCTACTCTGTCATTAGCTGCTTGGACGACGCGCTCACCGACCGAGACCACGTGCATCGACAGACGGCGGCAAGCATTGTTCATCATCTGGCTCTCGGCACGTTTGGACTGGGTCACGAGGAGAGCATGCAACATCTGCTCAATCTGGTGTGGCCCAACATCTTTGAGACCAGCCCGCACGTGCTGGGATCTGTCATGTCGGCCATCGAGAGCCTGGAGGTGGCGCTCGGTCCGGGCGTGCTCCTCAATCACACCTTGCAAGGCCTCTTCCATCCGGCGCGCAAGGTTCGAGAGGTGTATGTTCGCATCTACAACTCGACCTATCTGCGTTCGCAAGATGCCATGGTCGCATTCTACCCCGACTTCTCCGAATTTTCGGACGAGCGCAACGACTTCCGAAGGCACGAGCTGCTCGCATTCCTGTAGTTGGCCAGACTCTCACACCGTGTTCCAGATCGAGGCCGAACGACGTCTCCCCCCCCCCCCCCCCCCCCCCC